GTCCTGGAAGTTGCCCTGATATCGGGGCCCAAGCGCGTGGTGAACTGCAATATAATCATCGCTCAGGACATCCTCAAACAAATAGGCAGATGCCAACGACCATCTCGAAAAGACAAGGCCCGGGCCGCTCTGATTAGAAAGATCGCGGGGGGTCCCGAGGAAGGCCTGGACGGGATTGTACTTGTTCTGATTGGAGTTGAACGAGGCAAATGTTTCCGTGCTTCCGTTTGCAAGCGGGGGCACGTGCGGGTAATTGCAGCGAATCTGTTCAGCAAATTCGCCGTTGACGTAGAGAGACGCCTTACTGGCCGACATTGTCTTTGGTCGGCGATGAACCACGGCGATGTGGTACCACTTCTTCTCACGAAACGTTATCGACTTGAATCGCACACTAGGCTTATTGGAAAAGACTGAAGTCTGAAGAATAAAGTTGTGAGTATCTCGTTCCAAGTACATGAGCACGAAGCACGTCTGGGAAGAATCGTAGACGCCAAAAACAGTGGTATGCGCAGTTGGGTCGAAAGAGTCGACGCGTATCCACGCCGCAAAGGTGTATCCAGCCGTGGATTGAGGGGGGAACGGGCGGCCCAGGGTTGGGAGTTCCAGCGACGAATGTCCATGAAGCGAGAGGTCAAACTGAAAAAAGGGAGGGCCGGTATGCTTGGACGTCATCTCCAGGAAAAAACTGGCGGCCTCGGGACCTGGTGCTGACAGCAGGAACTGGACATCGGCAGGTTGGTTCACACCAAGGTGCATAAGCAATCGACATAGGTCCAGGACTGTCTCGCGTTCGGCCCGCGCCAAGTTGGACTCGGGGGAAAAGGCAGCCTCGAGAAATTGAGAGAGGACGCCGGTGGAATGGATGGCGGCACGGTTATATATCGAGACGGATGCTGCACTGAGAATCGTCTCCAGAACAATGAGGGAGGACGGGCTTGGCGGCGAGTTCTCCGACCTTGGAATAGCACGCCAGAAGCTCACGACAGCTCTGAGCAGCTCCGGGTGACGTATTATCGTCTTTGGAGTAACCACCTCGCGCACGCTCGGGCCAATGTTTCCAACGGAGCGCGCAAGCACAAGATCCCATTGTTCGTCGGCTGCATCGTCGGCATCGTTTTCAGGGGTATCGCCATGGCCAGACTCGGTTTCGACATCTGCGCGCAAGGCCTTTGCTGTAGACTGGCAGAGCAGATCCAACGCTTCATCGTCCAGCGAGAAAGCCAGCAGCTTGCCAAAGACATGACAGCTAACCCAAGCATCGGGCTCCGCCCCTCCCAGACCGATGCTCGCAATGATCTGCTCGAGGGCCTCCCATCCGCCGCCTGCGACTCGATATCGGAAGAACCTCTTGTTCCCGGAGTGGTCTCGGAAAGCAGCCGACAAGACACTTAGAAACGCACCGAGCAGCTTGAATAATGACATCATCTCAGCCTGGGTCCGCTTCCGCGGGTCATGATAGCCCGCAAAGTTGCGGAGGACGTCGAGCACGCATTCGAAGCCGCCGGCGTATCGAAAGGCATCTTGGTTTGAAGTTGTAGGGGTGGAAGCTATCAACTGGGCAACGTTTCGCAGGCCCTTGACAAGCTTGGAGGTTTCGGGGTAGCCATCGTCATTTCGAGAGGCCAGTTGGCGGCTGAGGTCATCGAGCAGCGTCTGCAGGACTTGTATATATTTCGGGTTCGGGTTCGCCGTAGCTGACGCCGAGGTCGACGATCGATATCGCGTGGGAAAAGTCTGAAGAGTCGCCATGGTCCCGGGTCGGCCGATTTCTCATTCCAATAGGTTGCCCTCCAGGGCCCGTCAAGGGTCCAGGCCGCCAACTATCCGCAACAGCATTGAAGGACAAGACGAACAGGCAGCTGGGAGCTCTGGCGCGGGGCGCATGAAGCTCTTGGGCGGCGGTCAGCTGGCCGATGGAAAGGCTGCGGCGCTGCGAGGCGAGAGAAGCCAAAGCAGGCGGCAAGGGTGGAAATGGCAACGCAATGACAGAATCGATATTGGCAATGCGTGAAGCAATATCCGGCGTGGTAGGGAGGCTTTGCTGCGGTATCTCGACACTTGTTGCCCAGCTCTCGATGAGGTTGCAGCCTGCCAGCCAACCAGCCAATCCGCCGTCAGCCTTGAACGTGGCTGAGATTCGGCATTGCGGCTGGTGGACACAGCAGTCGAGCCCCGCCGCGAGCCACTAAGCGGCTCCTTCAGGAGCTGGACCGCAGGCTCCAGTGCTTATCGCGCGGTGGCTGGTGGATAAGGGGGTCTATGAATATGTAGGAGTCCTACATGCATACAGATAGATAGATAGATACAGGCAGGCTTGGGAGTTGTGGATTGCTTGGCTGGAGATGGAAATGGAAATGGCTTAACGGTGATGGCAGATCAATGCAATCCGATGCAGCTCCGGATGCTATGGATGCTCCCTACGGATACAGGCTGACGCCGCTATCATGACTGCCTCTACTCGTACCTACTAATCGTAGGCATGCAGCTTAGCTACATGAAGGCACTTGTGCATGTATAAAATGCCAGCGAGGAAGAGGAAAAGGCAAAGGCAGTGCTCAGCTCAGATCCGCGTCGCACGTGCACAAAATCAAGTCCTGGGAGCAATGCTAGGAGAGTCAACGGCCGATCGCGGCCGAGGATACGGGCCAGAGTTAGGAGAAGGGCGCTGAGAGGGAAAGGGGCTCTGGACTCGGGGGGGCATTTATGCTGGTGATGAACCGCCGAGTACGATCAATGGATTGAAGACAAACAACTTCAGGTCATGTTATTATTACTTATTACCTACTAGTAGTACTAATTCCGGAGTTAGTCGAGTCGTACCGAGTACTATCGACTCGCACGGGACGCGGGAAGCAATCGCGCAACCACTTGTTGGCACTGGCCAGCGCTTGTAGCCGCGCTGAAACGGCCAAGGTCTGCTTCTCGACACTCCCTGTGTCACATCAATACTTGCTCATCAAATGCCTGGCCCCATCTCGTCGTACTCGTACTGTACCGCGTGCCTCAGCTGTACTCCGTAATACAGGCAATTACTAGCACCTAATAATCAATCTTGATGGCTTACCCGGCAATAAGCCTCCCCAGCTGTCGTGATACGTGCCTGTACCCAGTACCTGATGATAGGGTAAACCTTGGGGTCATCTTGGCCGATAAGCACGCAAGTCATGCTCACGTCAATGCACCGCCTGCCTAATTCTGAAAACGGCCGCCAAGGTGGCTGGCCCTGAATGTGTACCCGGTTGGTCCTCTGCACGTTTAGCTCAGCGAACACTGCTGAGATTCAGGAACAAAGTATCGACTACGGAGTACCTCTATACAGTACCTACCTGGTATACAAAGCCAAACACTGACGGACAGATATCGGGAACAAGGAACAAGTACGGAGTACCAAGATAGCACAAGATAGCACAAACCCGTTTTGGCTTACGACGACCATGTACGAAGCACTGTGCACCTGGAGGCACTGATATGGATATGGATATGGATCTGATCGAAAGGGAGGCGAATCTATCAGCAGGCCCGTCTTGCCGTCCTCCCTACTGCACTCCGTATTAGACTATACAGTCTACTACTCCGTGCAGCGCAACTCATACCCAACGGGCTCTAGCCAGATGCAGCCCACGGCTGTAAATAACGTTTGATCAGCACGGCGTCACTGGACCAGCGTCGCCAAATAACTCCCTGGCCGCCGTCACGAGCCCTCCCCGAAATGGCATGAGGAATTATTGGCAGAAAAGACTCGTGATCATCCAGCACGAGCCGGGCCACTTTGACGCAGCGGATCAACGGGCTGGGTGGCGACCAATCGGAGCCACATCTATCCCCGCATTTTAGGACGGGGAATGGGCCCAGATGCACCGCTGTGGCCTGGAAATGCAGGGCTTATCGCCTTGTTGAGCTGGGGGAGCAAGGAGGCCGAAGCTGGCAGACTGGGGGAGGCTGAGTTGGTTGAATCAGTTGGGGGATGGCGATACGGAGAAACGGTAGATACGGAGAGGGTTGAGAGTCATGGATGGACATCAGCTGCCGAGGGGCGCCCCCTGAAATGCCAAACCGATCCCTGGATTGTTCACCATTGATCGTTTGCGTCTTTGCCAGCAGCTGCTAGTAGTATCAGGTACTCAATACTGTACTGCACTACGGAGTGTTCATTGCGGATCAGGCAAAGTCAAGTACGTAGTGTGTACTCCGTACGCAGGTACGAGTGCAGTACCAGCACACGACACTCTCCTGTACAGTGCCAGCCCGGGATTTCCGTCTCAGGGGACCGCTCGCGCGCATGTACCCGGCACAAGCTCCTTGCCTCGCCTTACGTGATGCATCCTCCAGCCATCTGCTTTGTGCTGTATGTACCTACTCCGTACTGTCCATCAAGGCACACACACACGTTCAAAGACGGGCGGAGAGACAAGACAGGAGAGGCGGTGATGCGCTGGCTGTTCACATTCGCAGATTAGCATTAGCATATCGCATCCCTTCACTCGCTCTTTGTCAGGCACCCCGGGCGTTGAACAAGTCGTGACGGAACAATGACTCTTCCGAAATGAACGCTCTCATGGTTGGCCTACGATTGAACCTTGGCAGCCTGTAGCTGATACTTGCCGACCAGGGTCAGGTCACACTGTAAGCCCGAGTACTGACCGTGTACATCGCACCTCTTCTCCCTCGACAAAGGGCGCCAGGTACCGCGCCAGGTACCGTGTCAGGCAAAGTACAGCGCAGAGGTACCGGGGCGTTCAAGGCTGAGTACGACCCAGTACTCGTGCATGTACCTGCGCTGTTCCGCTGTTCAGTGTTGCGTTATCGCATCGCCCCGGGAACGACGCGCTAAACCCACCTGGGCGGCCCCCCAGACCCCGGCCACAGCGATGCGTCACCGCGGCTCACTGTTCACGCCCGCTGAGGCAGCACTGGAGCCTCGTGCCGCCGCCCTTATCTACCGCGCCATCGCTCGTCTTCTCGTCCATCTTCTTTCTCTTCTTCTTCCATCATCCCTCTCCCCTTTCCCTTTCCATCTCCATCTCATCTGCCATCGCATCGCTGTTTTACCGTGCAGGAGGAAGCAGGAGTTCTCTGTCCGCTGCCTTTTCAGTCTTTCCGGTGTTTCGTCGCAGGTTGACACACTTCCGTTTTTCATCTTAATCTCAATCTCATCATCGCCACGATGCGGTCCGTTGTCGCTCTCTCTGTGGCCGCTGTTGCCCAGGCCAGCTCCTTCTCCATTGGCACCATCCACGAGAGCTCTGCCCCCGTGCTCAGCACCGTTGAGGCCAATGCCATCCCCGATGCCTACATCATCAAGTTCAAGGACCACGTTGGTGAGGCTGACGCCGACAAGCACCACAACTGGCTCCAGAACATCCACAGCTCCGGCGAGCAGGAGCGCCTTGAGCTCCGCAAGCGAAGCAACATCTTCGGCTCTGACGATGCCTTTGCCGGTCTGAAGCACACCTTCAAGATGGACGGCTTCAAGGGCTACGCTGGTCACTTCCACGAGTCCGTCATCGAGCAGGTCCGGAATCACCCGGATGTAAGTTTCGCAATGCCCTTTTCCTTTTTGGTTTCAGCCATGAGCAAACGCTAATTATCCTTCCCAGGTCGAGTACATCGAGCGCGACAGCATTGTCCACACTATGCTTCCCCTCGAGTCCAAGGACACCATCATTGTTGAGGATTCTTGCAATGGCGAGACCGAGAAGCAGGCTCCCTGGGGTCTCGCTCGTATCTCCCACCGAGAGACGCTCAACTTTGGCTCCTTCAACAAGTACCTGTATACTGCCGAGGGTGGTGAGGGTGTTGATGCCTACGTCATTGACACTGGTACCAACATTGATCACGTCGACTTCGAGGGTCGTGCCAAGTGGGGAAAGACCATCCCTGCCGGCGACGAGGACGAGGACGGCAATGGCCATGGCACTCACTGCTCTGGTACCGTTGCTGGTAAGAAGTACGGTGTCGCCAAAAAGGCCCACGTCTACGCCGTCAAGGTGCTCCGATCCAACGGATCCGGCACCATGTCCGACGTCGTCAAGGGCGTCGAGTGGGCTGCTCTCGCTCACATTGAGGCTGTGAAGCAGGCCAAGGCCGGCAAGCGAAAGGGCTTCAAGGGCTCTGTCGCCAACATGTCTCTTGGTGGTGGCAAGACCCAGGCTCTTGACGCTGCCGTCAACGCCGCCGTCAACGCCGGTGTCCACTTCGCCGTCGCTGCCGGTAACGACAATGCCGATGCCTGCAACTACTCCCCTGCTGCTGCCTCCGCTCCTCTTACCGTCGGCGCTTCTGCCCTCGATGACAGCCGTGCTTACTTCTCCAATTACGGCAAGTGCACTGACATCTTCGCCCCCGGCTTGAGCATCCAGTCCACCTGGATCGGCTCCAAGTACGCCGTCAACACCATCTCTGGTACCTCGATGGCCTCTCCTCACATCTGCGGTCTCCTGGCCTACTACCTGTCTCTCCAGCCCGCTGGTGACTCCGAGTTCGCCGTTGCCCCCATCACCCCCAAGAAGCTCAAGGAGAACATCGTCTCCATCGCCACCAAGGGTGCTCTCTCTGACCTCCCCGACTCTGACACCCCCAACCTGCTCGCCTGGAACGGTGGTGGCTGCAGCAACTTCTCTCAGATCCTTGAGGCCGGCAGCTACACTGTCAAGCCCAAGGCCAAGCACGCCAAGCTCCCCGCCACCGTTTCGGAGCTCGAGAAGGCCATCGAGGGTGACTTCGAGGTTGTCTCTGGCAAGATTGTCAAGGGTGCCAAGACCTTTGGCTCCAAGGCCGAGAAGTTCGCCAAGAAGATCCACGACCTCGTCGAGGAGGAGATTGAGGAGTTCATCTCCGAGCTTTCTGAGTAAGGATCTCAAAGCATATACTTTTCCTTTTTTGTAGTAATGGCCATAATGCGCCGATGAGATTATCAGTACGAGGGTTCATGGATCGGTATCAGGAGAGACTTGTTTTGTTTTTGGGTATTAGGCATGCACTTTGGGCGCGAAGCCACGGATTTAGTATGGGATTTTTGCCCTTGACTCTGTATTCTACTGCACGGTCCTACGTTTCTTCAGACGGAATGCTTGTACAGGAAGATGATTATATAATCGATAAATTTGCTTGTTAGAGCACAATCATTGCCACTTACCCATGTGATGGTCTATTCTCTATGTCCAGCATTCACTGCACTTTGTAATGTCCGATGTCCCTATTCAATACCAGCGTGTACTCTGCCCCTGTCTTTCTTTGACATCTAAACTTTGTATTGTATGGGCGTCACCTTATACACTCGTGACTCGTCAATAACAACGCCAAAGCTAAACTCAGTCTATTAAATATTATCAGCGTATATTGAGCAGCTTTTTCCAATATTCATCCCAAGTATTTGCCTTTAGTTATTATTCATACCTAGTAAGTGAAGCATAGACGTCAATTCCTTAATAGGCATCCCCAATCTGGCTCCGCAAAACTCAAATGGCCGCCAGCTGCCAAAAACCCCAATCACTCACCCGCAAGGCAGGAGCAAAGAGGTGCAAAACTGGCTCTTTCCGTACCATCTGGCAAAATGGATTCTTCCGATATGGGAGACGTCATCGTCGCCTCCTCCCTCTCAATTGGCAAGAGCACGCCAAAAGGAAAACAAAAAGTAATCTTCATCGCTCATCAACTCTGCCTTTTGGCTTCTCGGAAAGTCACATCCAACTACCTTATACTTTGCGTATAGTCAGCCCATCTCATTATCACAGCACTCGACATCGTCATCTGCTTCATATTGTCGGACAAGGCGTCACGATAAGGGCAACATCTCTGCGCAGCCTCTACAGCCTCAATAACGACAATGCTTCGCAGGAACAGCTGCAGAAGCCAGAATCATCGCCCCCTGAGCAGGAGCAGGTCATCCGTTTCCATCGTGCGAAACCCAGTCCATGAACTCACGAGTATCGAGCCATATGCGGCGGAGCGAGACGCATATCTTGCCGCAACTCTCTCGTACAATAGAGCTCAGCCACAGAGCAATGGCGGTGGAAAGGCTTCACGATTGCATCGTCAACAGAGCGTGAGGTTTGCCGGTCCCAACGCCCAGCCACAGAGGAGATTAGCCGCTCGAGCGAGTATGGCTTTGGTGGGAAATATAAATATGCCACGGCGCCCCGTGGGCTCTCAGCATCTTTCGCAATCCTCGTTTGAGCCGGGCGAGGACGCTGCATCATTATCATACGCGAGACTACGCAAGTCGAGATCAATGTATACGCCTTCAATCCCGAACACTCCCACCTACACGATGGACAGCGGAGACAGCGTTGATGTGCTTAACGGATGGTTGCCAACGCCACAGATCAGGAAAGAAAATGAGCCCCTTCGGAGCTTTGGTGGCCCAGCACTGAGATCGCCCAAATCCATGGGCTTCCTCTCAAATGACTGTGAAATATCCACGTCTCGGGCAAGCATTAGCAGCGGCCATGCATCCGTACAGCAGACACGCAATGGGTTTTATGAGCCGTCGGAGCGCTCGAGTCGCCTACAAAGCCGGCCGTCAAGTTTCTTTCGGTCAAGCTACAGGCACGCTCCGAATCCGACGAGCTTCCCCAAATCTCTTCGGGGCAGCAGCAACAATACTTCGTTTCTCTCTTCAGAGTCTATTTACGGTGCCAAATTTCCTCCCCAGATTCCTTCAGAGCAACCAGGGCTGCGAAAAAAGGCTCGCAAAATCTCCAAATCGCTCAAGAGCAGGATCAAGGGGCTATTCAGTCGTCCCAAGAATAGAGATGACATTGTGGACCAGACTGAAGAGCATCCCCAAGACCTTGAGTCGAATAACGGCAGCAGCTACAGTTCCCAGACACCAGCTCGGTTATCCCATGAAGCATCGCTCTATCGCGTAATATCTCACATGCCTTCTTTCCACGCAGTGCCCCCGAGTCAACAGCTCAGGTCACGACAGGGCAGCTTAGGAACCATTGAAGTAGAAGACAATACGCTCGACGATGATAAATCGCGAGTCACTAGTTGGACCAACTCCACAGCAGACACAATTTCAAACCAACTTTCGGCAAACTGGAGTCGGCAATACCCGTCTCTCCTTCAAGACGACATGGACACCACGCTTTCGCCTCACAATCAGACCTCAATGTATCGCAAGAACATGATAAATACTGGTCCTATAGTCAATAGTCAGCGCGTGTACTCGGCGCTCATGAAGAGATTGCAAGAAAAAAACGGCCATCAAAATCAGTCATTGGGCGAAGATCATATGACCCCGGATCCTGTGGAGACAAATTCACTGCGAAGCACTTCAACGATAAGACGGCAAACCCGTCAAGCCATGTATGCAGGATCAACTCATACAATTCGCCATGTTCAGTATGATGACGACGTCTTCCAAGATAGTGTTGAAGGGTCGACCACATCACGCTACTCTTCAGAATCTACAAAAAGCGTCATTAGGCGCCATCAATCCTCAGACTCACTACAGGACTACGGTCACAAGTCTTGTCCCAGTCCGGGTTCTGGGAACGTGTCGGGTTTTCCCCCTAATACGAATGATGTTAAGCCGCATCCAGTTACTGAGAATCAAAAGCCGACGCTCTCTGGCCGAAGCTCAGCCTTCTTTGCCAGCCCAACATGTCATCTGTTTCGTACAACAAGTCCGTATCGCCGAGCACTGCAAGAGAGTATGAGGGCAGCCCAGGCCAGCAACCAGCCTCAAACGCCTGGCACTAAACATCTAAGTTCGCTGTCTGCACTTAGCCTTCCTATACGCCGCCCAAGCACTGAGGAATCTGACGATGATGCACGAGTGGCCTACGCAGAGAGCGTGTACTCTAACTCCAGCGAAGAGAATGCGCCCCAAGTTGATGAACCCTCGCCTCCTCTGAGATCAACAGAAGAAGAACCAAGACCTCAGGTTCACGGTGACGCCACCATCTTCCTCAATACCGAAAGACCACGGCTGCCACCTCCAAGTCATACTCGAGATAGCTCCTCTGCCAGCTCTGTCGAGTGGAAGACTTGGCTCAGTGCCAACGTGTCCAAGCTGGAGACGCCTCCGACCACACTTAAGCCTGATCTCTCTCAAGAGCCTTCATCTGCCCCCCAGACTTTTAGCCATGTCAGGGAGAAGACGGAGATTGACTCTGATGTGGATGATTATCCTCAAGACGCGCCAGGTGGCGGCCTGTCACCTAAGCTGGGGCTGAGCAAGGATAACCACAGTCCTTCTGTCTTGACACCAATACCAAGGGGGAAATTCCATCTTGTGAATCCTTGGCATCTTCAATCTACGGCTAGCAATGAAAACTCTCCACCGACATCAGGGGTGCGATCCAAAAGCGCCTGTAGTAAAGATGCCTCACCAGTGGCTCCAAAAGGGCATCTGCGCACTATTCCGTCGGTTCCCAACGTCAACACTTGTGCGACTAACGCTGAATCGTTAATGGGAGAGCCACGAAATCCCTCTCTAAACACTTGTTCTAAACCATTCGATCCTGTCAGAGAAGAGGCGCGCCTCAAACGACGATCACGAACTCGTCTCGGGGCAAATGACGCATCGGCCAAGTCTAGCCCCGGCTTTACGACCGCTCTTAAGAGGCAGTTTGGGGTTAGTAGGACAGGCTCACCCGGGGTATGGAAGGCAGAAGAGCCGTCAGGCGAACTTGGGTCAGAAGCAGACCCAGGGGTTGACGAGTTGGGGCGTCGAGACTTTGATGCGCAGGCCATGGGGAGCCGGAGGATGGTTGACTTGTTTCTGAGTAGTCGACGACAGAGAATTGCAGGTAGCCAGACGAGACAGAGCAGCGACAGTCTGTCAGCAGCCTTTATCTAAGTTTGTGCGGGGGGCAGTAGGCTATGTGCTGGTTGAGCTGAAGTAGAGCATTTATTATTTCTGGATGGTGCACGATTTATCATGGCCGGGCGTGAGCAAAGAAAGAATGTCGATATTACTGAATTCATTAGTTATTGTAATTTGGTTGACAGACCGGAAAGAACAATTGTTTCAACAGGGGCTAGATAGAATCTTTGCAGTTTTCACATTGACTTTACGTGTCTCAACAAGCAAGATGTGGAAACTCTTTATGTGTATCTGTTACGGGTCATTATTATATTATTATTCATCTATTTCAGGAAACCAAAGTATTATACAAGCCGTCTTTGAAGAACCCATCGGGTCCCCATGCTTTAATGGGGTTATTAAAGGGGTAAGTAAGTAGTCGTAGGAATCTCTCTAGGCAAATCGAGCCGAAAGAACCCTCAAGAGGCGAACATCAAGAATTTATCATCATCATTATTTGTCGTCATCGTCGTCATAGGACACAGGGCTGACATGAACCTCCCACAGCCGCGCCATGTCCTTCGGAAATTCGTCTTTACGCTCCTGACTAACCCAAGAGCCATACTGCTCATGCGTAACCTTTTCCGCCAGGACGCCCCTCATCTCGCCCCTGTGCACGAGTTCAAGCTGCGCCCGCGAAGAGTTTGCGCCGCGCGACGTCCGCAAAAAGTGCCAAAAGTCGTCGGCCACACGGACGTACTCCCTCAGGGCCTCCCTGGTGTTGAGCGCCGCGCCGGTGGTCCAGCTGAGCAGCAGGGGCTCGATCAGGGGCGCATCGGAGACGCTGGGGTGTGAGGTGCCGATGCTGGTGAGGAACCACGACGAGTGGCTGGGGATGCGCTTGAGCACGCTGAGGGCGAGGTCCTTGACGGTGTCAAAGTGCGGGCGGCCGTAGAAGACGCTGGTTTGCTTGGACCAGGTGTTTGAGTGGACGATGAGGAGGGGAACGTCGATGACGGCGTTGAGCGGGCCACTGGACTTGCCAGGGTCAAAGATGATGCCGCCAACGGCAGGATTGATATCTGAGGGTGCGTGTTTGAGGGCTTGAAGTGCGCCGGTGGCACCAAACGAGTGGCCTGCAATAGCGAGATTGCCAAAGTCGAGGCGACCAGCCCAGTCGCGCAGGTGGGAGCCTTCGGAGCGGGAGTTACGGCTGAAGATGTCGTCGCCTTTGCCACTGTTGATGGCGCGCAGGATGTTGACTGTGTCGAGGATCTCGGCGTCTCGGAAGGCAAGCTGCTCGTGCTTGTATCGGGCCGTGTCCATGGGAGGATCGGACAAGAGCTCTGCCTCCTTAAAGGCAAGGAGCTGCAGGTCGTCCTGTCCCTTGATTCTCATGAGAGTCCCGGGACAGCTCCCGTCTCGGTGCTCAACGGCTGCGACGACGTACCCACGGCTGGCCAGCTCGCCGACGAAGTGGGTGTAGTCGGTCCTCGAACTGGCGTCGCCGTGAGAAAAGACCATGACCGGGAACGGCTCGGCGTCTGGGGCCCCAAGCAGCGGCACATCGACCTTTGCGGGAATCGTGATGCCGCCCGCAATCATCCACAGCGCAAAGGTGAATATGGGTCGGACGATGAAGTTGTTGGCGTGGATGATCTTTGCATAGCCGGCCGCCGTCAGGCCAATCGGCCTCGCAATCCAGTCGTGTCTGCGGCGGTGCTCCCTCGCATCCTTGTCGACGGGATAGTAGACGGTGAAGAGCGTCGTCTTGTGCTCAAACGCCGGCCGGCCACCGTCCTTGAAGACCGTCTCGGACACCCGCCGCGGGCTGTCGAGCGCAATCTCGACGTCCACGGCGCCGACATGGTAGGGGCCCGAGTAGGCCGGCAGCGGCGAGGCAAGCAGCGGCACGCCACGGGCGAGACACAGCAAGGCATATGCCGACACGAGCACGACGACTGCGTACCGCCAGCTCCGGCGAGGGCGCACCAAGTCAGCAAATGAGGTGAGAATGCGGCGCCACCAGTGCGTCCACGTCCACCGGCTGCTCCGGTCGAGACGGAACCATCGCGGGTGACGAAGCCATTTCGGCTGCGTTTCGGCCGGAACGAGCAGTGGCGAGTCGGGCAGTGAGACGGAGTCTTGTTCCTGGGCTTGATCTTGATCTTGCGCCTGTTCTTGCTCTAGGACCGAGTCAAGCTCCAGCTCGGAGTCGTCATCGGAGGAGGAGACGGGCTTGGAGGAGATGAGGGGGGCGGATTTGGACTTGGAGGAAGACATGGCGGAAAAGTGAGGCTATCGAGACATTTGAAAATGGAGGAGTGACATTTACAATGAATGTTGTAAAGAGAGAGAGAGTATTCGTAAGTGTCTACTGGGTATTGATTGAGGCAGGAGCCTGCAGGGTCATGCGATGACGTCGGTTTTTTTTTTTTACCTTATGTTTCCTGCCAAGTCTTTTTTTCCATGCCGTTGAAAAGGTACTTGCTTATTCTAGAAAAATGCCCGCAGGTTCGGGTATCTCGGTGATTCTGTATCCCAGACAAACTGGACGGCAGCTCCGTCGCCACGAATGAAATTGAGCGAGTTGTGAGATGAGAAGTAAATAGTCGATAGGAATGAGAATGTGAGTCGATGAGCATACGCACTTAAAAACCATATGCTTTTAATTTAAACGTGTTTGATGTGCCAATGTGCCTGATTCTAGGGTAGGTTAGAGGAAACTCAATCTAGTGGCGATACCGTTTGACGGCTATCCTCGTCTGTATGTGGCTGGGCATATTGGATCAAATGCCAATGAATGAGTCCCTGTTTCATCTACCACTGTATTCTATCTATTAAGTGAGATTTCCAATGATGGATATTCTTTTATTTAGGTACTCGTGGTTGTGCTACATACTCATCGTTGAGACATGCAGGAAGCTTTGGCTGGTATAAACAAGTATGTAGGAATTGCCTCAAGCGATAGCAAGACAAGATGCTCAAACTGCAACAGGATGAGGAGAACTAATGAATGTGTACATAGTAGCTGATACCCTGCCAAGTCAATAATACCAAATAACGTCTGGCATCCAAAAGCTTACCGGCGCCATCCGCGAGGCCTCTCACCTCTGCCCAAAAAGCAGGGCAATTTCACAGCTCCCTAGCAGAGCCCCAGGTGTAATATCCGGGCCACCAATTCTAGATTCTAGCAAGGGTGGGCCGTCCGTCACAGAAAGCGCCACACCGGAAGCAATATATCGATACGGCACTGTCACGAACATGCACGTTTTGCCTTAGCTCTCTAGCTTGACGGCCTGCTCGGACAGGACGGACGACGCAACCTTTTTGCCGTGAGTGCATTAGTCTGCAAGCCTGCAATGCATCGTCGTCGGCATCGGCGAAATGGCAGCCAAAAATGCTGGTTGCTTTGCCGGTCCAAGCCGGGCAGTCCTGAGATAAGACCAGGTGCGAATCGTCTTGAGCTCCAACGAGGAGGATGAGGCGAGAGAAAGACTGAGAGAGACTCGGGCGGAACTGGGATCGCCTGGTGGCCCCTTTACACACTGTGAATGAAGAGTTTTCGGCTGCATTCTTGCCGGCTTGCTATCATGCAGCCAAGCAAACGTGCAAGCTGCCGCACGAGCACGAGCACATAATCCACGGGCAGCTGGGAGAGTTTGGATGAAGCCAGGATCCCCGCACTTGGCACACTCATCGCTTTCTTTGTGTCTTATCCAGGCCATTGCCGAACGACATCAGATGACGGGTTATCAGGTATGAGACCTGAGACCTGAGACCTCTGCTAGCCAAGTACTGTCTATACTCGTACTTGACTCGCTGGTGCAAGAAAGGACTCATGCATGGCTGCGCGGGACAGACACAGCAAAGCTGCAGCTGTGAGGTACGAGTACAAGTACTCTCACATGGCGTGGAGCATTTTGCGTCATCACAGTGTCTGCATCTGCATATCGAGGCGGCAGTCACCCAAGCTGTTGGCCGTTAGTCCCAGAAGAACAAGACTAAAGAAAAAGAAAAAACCAGTTGGAGGAGAGGATTCGGGGTGAAGCCGGGCTGAAGGTGATTCATGCAAGTTGGATGCATGAAGCGGGCGAGTGGAGCGGCGAGGGATGGCTGGCGGCTTGGACCGAAGGGCTAAATGAGCCTATCACACAGCCTGGCCGGCCATCGCGTGAGCCACAAAGAGAAGAAGCAGGGCGGGGGGGAAGGGATGAAGATGGCGGCTTACTATATGAGTGCCATCAAATAGCCTCGACTCACCTGGCCAGTCCAGTCCGAACCATCGGTATTAGGCATTATGCCTCGCCACACACACAGGCTATATAGGACGGTGGTGAGTTACTGCCGGCAACAAGACACTGGTCTTGGTACCGGTACTGGCGCTGGCAGTTTGGAAGCAAGACGATAGATACCTATCTGATACCATGCGAGCGAATACTAGAATATGGACAGCATTGCTCTGTGCTGGTATGCTGGCAAACGAAAAAAAAAAAGGTACGCACACTTGTACAGTACGAGTAATGGTAGCATGACGGAAGAGGCACAGCAGCCAAACTCAAAAGGACTGCGCCTTGGACGGGCCGCAGCGGGAAACCGTGGCCTCGGGATGCCATGGCAAAAGCCAAGAGGAAAAAAAAAAGGTCCATCTCTCTCTGTGTGTGCCTCTCTTTCAGCCCGTGTGAATACCTACTAGGTAGGTAGGGCCAATGTCCCGCCCCCAACAGACAGACATCGAGCGGTAGTTGTGTGTACTCATAACGTGTGAGCACTGTAAATGCAATCAGCCAACTCTGGTTCGTAAAAAAAAGAAAATAATCCGGGTATAAGTCGGGGCCAAGTGGCGCGCATCTTGACAAATGGAGACAAATATCCGTTTGGCGGCCTCGACGAGCCATCAAGTACGAGTAGCAGCAGATGGCGGCCCCTCCATACCCCACAAACAGGGAACAAGACAAGAGAAGCCACGCTCAAAACGGGCACCGGGGGGGACCAGCAGGGATTTTGCAAGAGGACTAGTAAGTACTGCTAGGTAGCAGAAGTATGGAGAAGAAGAAGAAGCAGAGAGAGAAGCTCAAGGGGGAATCAAAGTTCTGCTGTTTAGTAGGATGTGTTTGCGTTGCTGCAAGACTGCAAGAGGCCATGAAGAGAAGAGGGCCAGAGTCATGACGTCTTATCGCACGACGGCGACGGGCTATAGTTAGTTTAGGCAAGGCGCGCGGGATGCCATCTGGCGATAACGGGTGCTTACAGCATCCATCTGGAAGAAGGGATGAGAGAAGCAAAGCAGTGTTTGGTTGATACGAGGGCATAAGGGGGATGTACTATGTAACAGGCAGAAAGAGGCAATGGATGTGGACGGGGAAGACGGATTACTCCGTAGAAGCCCCAAATGGGCAGGCGGGCGGGCCGGGGGGAGGCGTTTTTGATGGATCAGTTCAATTTTTGATGTATTTCTTTCTTTTCTCTTTGGGCGGTGGTGTAATACTGTACCTGTACTTGTATAATCCATCCATTCAAATCCATGAACAACAGAGGTTGCTGTTTAGATGTACAGTACATATATCCTGTTCAATTCTTTACGTACAGTTACACCATGGAGCCACGGCAGCTGTCCAAAGGGCCTCGGTAAGGCTGAAGAACACAGCCCAGTCATCAAAGCAATGGATGTTCAATGATGGCCTCAGCTCTCCTGCTCCGGCGGGTGGCTGCTGTAGCTCCCCCGGGCTGCACCGCACCGTGCTGGATCGACTTGTACTGTTCCGCATGACACCCTGAAAAACGCCCTAAAGCGCCATCGCCATGGCCCAGCTGCGAGACAAGTCGCCGAAGGCAAACGGGCCGTGTTGGCGGGCCCAATGCTTTCATGATGCTTCGTTACATTACCTAGCAGGTACTAAGTGCTAAGTATGTGTTCTAACCATCATCTCCTACATACGAGTATACTAGGTAGTATACTCTCCCTAGCATAGGTACCTCTTCTTGACCGTTCCCTTTTTCTTATTTCCCTCTGCTCGCCTCTCCGCCCCATCTGCGCCAAGATCGAGCCATCCGTGGTGGAGTTGCGGAGCAGCAGCAGGTAGCGGTACAAGGGCCAACACGGGTCCTGGTACTCGGATATGACAATTGATGGCACTGGGCCTGTTTTCTTCCTTTTTTCTTCCTTTATCCATTCTTTCGAGCGTCAGGTGGTAGTAGAGTTGTTGTTCCTAGGGCCAAGCCCAACTGATAACCAATAGATGAACGCTTTGAGACTTGCCTGTGATGCTCGGAGAGTTGAACCCGCAGTTGCAGTTACAGTTACAGTAGTTGGACGCGGATCAACCAAATTAATGCAAGAATCCCTTGTCCAACAGGCAGAATCCAATGACAATCCGCAGGGTCCCGTAAAAAGGGCTCACCCAATGCAAATCCATACAGTGTGCTGTAATCTTGAAGACCTTGATGGATTTTCCATCCGATCCAATTGATTACATGTACATGTAGCCTCTTCCCAGCGTCCGATAGGCCTGTCAGCCACTGGCCGCAGTGGGCTGCTGCACTGTACTACTAATGTACATGCTGCTTGTACAGGTACAGTGCAGTGCTGACCATGACACCTGCCTGTGCTGCGCTCGCTGCATCCTCTGGCCACTTTCAGTTCATGTCAAGGTTTTTTTCCCCTTCTCCCCTCCCCCTAAGTAACTCGCATTTTTTTCCTCCCCCATCGCGAATTCTGCAGATTCTTCACTCCCATCGTTCCGCCTGGCCGCTGTGTAGCGCCGCTCTCTTTTTTGCCCCGTGCTTCTCTCTCCTCTCTTCTCTCTTCTCTCTTCTCTCCTCTCTCTTCCCTCTTCTCTTTAGAAATTCTTCAGTAACTACAGCACCTTGTCCACCAGACAATCTGCGCGCTAAGCCGGTTCCCGCAGTCCAGAGCTGGTTTGGCTCGGCCCCGCTTCGTCTTCATTTCTCCCGAGACCCCTTTACTTGACGATTTGACGCCTCTGCATTTTCGTCGCGCCGCGGCTTTTTTTTTTTTCTTTTTTTACTCTCCCTCTGCTCGTCCTCCTTCGCTTTGCTGCCGCCCGACGAATCCCCAGCCGCCGCTCAAGTCAAGGTCCCAGCTCCTTGTTTTCTCCGGGGGTGAGTGTCTGTCTGTCCCGTCTCGTCTCTGCTGTGCCCCGGCCGTGAGGCTGAGCGGAATTTGCTTTGCCACGACGTGCCTCGCCGGATCGCTTGATCCAGGCCCTCGCTTCCCCTCTACAGGCCTCTACGGGCCTCTACGGGCCTCATCGGGCCTGGGCTCGCGGCTCGCTGCCCACAAGTCACTCTTGGAGACGTCGCATCTTCAGCGCCCACCCCGGCTGCCGCCTGTTCCAGTTCCAACTCTCTCGGCCGTGGGGAAACTGATATGACGACGTTTTCCATTATCCATGGCCCCACAAATTGCATTTGACCGCAACTTTTGATCGATTTTATCTCGCATCCTCACCACTAACACCTTTGGATCTCTAGCCCGCAAGATAGCCGTCCATCGCCATCGCCGCCTTGTCTTCGTCCCTCGACCGATTCCTGTCCCCGACGCAAACAATGTCCTACTACGACAACCCCCAGTGGTCGGCTCCGGCCCAGAACAACTGGGACCACCACGGCGCGAGCACTCCTGTTCGCGCAGGTACGTTGCGCGCTCTCTCTGTCTGTCTCTTGACGTGGGCGCCGTGACTAACGAGTTGATGCCCGCAGGTGCCAACGGACCACAGCCGCAGGACGACTTTGCATTTTCGTATCAATTTGATGGTACGTACTGACTGACGGGTGGCGTTTCCGACCCACGATGCAAGACGGGGCAATTGTTTGATGCTTGTTTTCTGGGTTGCTATCATTAGTGCGCCAAATATGCCAAAACTGTCAAAGCTGCCACTTCTGCCCCCATAAAATATTGACTCTTGCGACGGCCCCTTGCGACCCTCTTGTCCCCCGTCTGGTCGATTTTTGACATGATTATTGGGGACAGTTGCTAACGTGTTGATTCATAGAGGTTGATCGTGCCCACGAGAACTTGCAGAAATCCGGCAAAGGCTATGTCATGGGTGCGCGACGTGAGTTTTCCATACCCTACTAGCAGTCGCTGGCTACAAAAGAAGAAGAAGAAGAAAACAAGAACCAAAACCCCCTCTTCTCCTCTCACTCCCCCCCTCTCCTACTTGTAATAGGCAGAGAAGGGCCTCGAGCAGGCCCCCAAAAGAGTCCTATGGCTAACCGCGTAACTGTCCCCCCCCTATAGATGGTCGAATGGGTGGTCCTCGTGCTCACTCCGTTAACAACTTCGATGACGCTCGTGGCCCTCAGGGAGCAAACCTCCACAATTTCTATGCTGCCCAGCGTCACCAGTCTTCTCGAGGCTCCAACGAGGCGGAGCAGGTCATGCAGGCTAAGAGAAGGATGGCAGCTCAGCGGGAGCGTGAGCTTCGAAACCTCCACACGGAGCAGCAATATCAACGAAGTAGGCCTCCCTCAACTGTGTAGCACTTCCAATCTTCCTATTCAAAGAAGTTCCCAAGCCAGAAAAAAAAAATAATTAAAAAAAATGTTATTGGCCAATGGGGTGGTTCAAGATGGACACCTGCCTGTCCCGCCGAGTCTTTTGTTTTTTTCTCATCCCGAGCCGTTTTGTCGCCGGAATGGCTGTTTCTTTTCTGAGATGGCATCTCAGTTTTGTTTTCTCTTGTCAATTGTCTGCGTCGTGTTTATGGTTCAGCGTCGAGGATGGTGGGCAATACGTGCTAACGTCTCTTTTTCTTCTGACGTAGGTGTCTTGTCTGATGTTGCCACCCAGCAGGGAAACAACAAGCATATGACGGAGGAGGAGACTCGTGAGCTCATTGCTCGCCAGCGCAGCGCTCTGTATGGAGAGGGCAGCTTTGCCGACAAGGGCGGCTACATTGACGAGACTGGCAATATCCGCGCCGGAGCCCCTGGTCCCAGCGGCCCTGCAAGCCTGCGAGGCCACTCTCCCCTCACCTATGACAGCATTGGCCGCGTTCCCCAGGACGTGGGAACCCCGGGATCCGGTGTTGATATCAGTGCGGCTGATGTCGGCTCGCGACCTCAGAGCACCACTAGCCCTCAGACCGCTGGACCGACCAACAAGGTGTTTGACAACGCCGTCGGCTCCCAGAGCCGTACCAGCACGTCTAGCCCGACCAACGCCTCTCCTCCCCGCGGAGACTTTGGACCTGGCTCCAAGGTTTCTCAAGGAGCCGCCGTTGCCCCCATTGGAACTCGTCCCACTGGAACACCCACGGGCAATGCTTCTGCCAAGCGCTCCAGCACTCCTCACACTGCAAACGGTGGCTGGGGCCGCGGTAACGGAGTTTGGGGCCAGTCTGGCCTCGGTGCTCAAGCCAGCGTCTGGGGTTAAAACTCAGTCGGTTCATCATTTGCGGCGGCGTTGAAAGGTGGTTGTCACTTTTTTTTTCTTTTTGTCATTTTTGGCTGCAGGAGCAAGGAGAAGAGCAAGTTGAATTGTTGCATTAGTAGAAAAAAACAAAGGCGCTGGGGAGGCAAGGGAATGGATCCATTGGCATTTTCGTTCGGTCATTTTTGGTCAAGGCGGTTGATTTCGGTCTTCGCGTTTTGTTTTTCGCTGGGTAGTCTTTGGTACGATATTCGGCGAAGAAAGGTATTGCGAGGCATTTCCGGGCGATTACGACAAAGGCAAAAATAGGGGGAGGCTTGCTCTACTCTATACCTGGGATCTGGAATTGGGATGGCCTGTTGGGTGAACTCGACAGAGGAGCAAGGGTATCCGGGTAGGAGTTTATCTTGCTTTTGGCGCAGGATTGGGACTGGAATGAGGAGTTGCGTCCTTGGTTGCGACAACGGCGTATCCTTTTTTTGAGTTTTGGCGACTCGATTTACACATGTGATGGTGGGATTACAAAATTGAACAGAGCGTTTGGAGAGAGTTGGCTGCAAGACGGGAAGGGGATGGGTTTGGCTGGAGTCGGCTATGGAGTAGTTCATTTGCTGGCAGGGAAACAAAATTTGATCATCACTATCCGGGACACATGGAAAGGCGTTCCATTGGGCTACCGGTGAGACTGGCAAAGATGGAAAACAAAATACACGACATGCGACTTGGCTGGTTGGGATTTTGACTTGAGGACATGGGAATGGAAGATGTCTGGTGCTCAAAAAGGACCCGAAAAAAACAACAGAAACAACTACCAAAAAAGGCACAAAAAAACAAAGACATGAAAACGCGGGTGGAAAAAAGAAAAGGGGCAGTTGAGCACGAAGCGGAACTGGGGGGGGGGGATTTTGGGACTTGGCTTTCCTTGTGTGGTTTTCACTTTTCCTTCTCTTCTCTACTGGGCGGCTCTGGGAATAGGCTTGGGCTCTTTTTAACGGAATTCTTTTTTTTTTTTTTTTTTTCTCTCTCTCGAGGGACTGGAATGGGTTTACTTTACTTTATCAAGGGGGGTTGCTTTCACTGTTGACAACGGTCTGCTTCCTTTATATACTTGGGAATTACAGGCGCAGTCACTTGATGGAGGGGAAAGAACGATAATTGGGGGAAATTTATAGGAATTTTTTTTTCTTTTTTAGTTGCAAATGCTAGCAAAGATAATGGGTTGGGAAACGTGCTCGATTTTTTTTTTTTTTTGATTTGATTGTGTGAGTTGATGATGGTGAGGAGATTGGAACAGGGGGTTTTCTTGTCTCTCGGGGGAACACGTATTGATATTTTAATATACCAACAAGTTATCATGATGAATGAATCAGGAAGTGGTTTATGCTATCCAGCATGGTGTGTATCCCGAGTTACATTGGCAGTGTTATAACATGTGGTTACTTACATACCTAAGGTAGGGACTCATGTCAGAACTAGAAGAGGGTAGCAATAGAGTTACATTGGCAGTGAGTGTTATAACATATGGTTATTTACGTACTCATATCAGATGAGTACTGTATAACTTATGGCTATTTACGTAGGTACTCATATCAAGGCAGCGATAGTAGCAGATACTTAAAGAACCAGGCATATAAAAGGTGTATCTCGCTGGGGTATTGGATAACCAAGTTAGGGTATGATAACCTCCCCCTAAATAAATATGTACAATATATTCCTCTTCAGCATCACCAACATCGTATCACAGCATCAATAGCTTAGCCCCTTCATCCAAATCCATCACATCATCCGCACTCGTCGCCTTGCCGCCCCAAACCACAGTCCCTCTCCCATCCACCGCAAACGCCCCCGCCTCCTGCCACTTACTCCCCAGCTCCGTCAAAGAACAATTACTCTCCGCCTCGTCCTCTCCCCGTCCTCTTTTCGCCTCCGTATATCTGCCCGTCGCCTCACGAGCACCGCCTCGCTGGATGGCCCCCACCACTTTCTCTCCCAGCCAGCCCGTTTCCTTCCACGATTGGACTTGGGTTGATGGGCTGAGGACGTACCAGATGCTGCTTGCTGTGCCGAGGCCCCAGGCGGCGTAGATGGAGCGCTCCTGGTCGATGACGATCTGGACGTTCCATGAGCCGCCGAGGAGGTCGATCCACTTGTATGTGGCTCGTTCGGACGAGTGTGAGATGGCGATGCAGGTGATTGAGCCGGCGTGGCGGTTTGCTATTGCGCGGAGCTTGAGGAATGTCTTTTGGGCAACTGTATATACATGGTACATCTTTTGTTAAACGGGCTTATACTTGTGGAATTGTGATGTATGGTAAATGGGTACATGGATAGCAAGAGCAGCCTCACCACTCAGGGCTATATGGGCTATGACAATGACAACAACGGTACTGGGTCGTAGGACTTACAAGCACAGCCAACACACCTCATAAATACAACTAGGCATTTGGTCCTCCCTCCCAGCTGAAGCCTCCTCTGCCGATCCAGCGGCGCGACCTGTCCGATCCGAGGCACCGGCGCCGGCTTTACCGGCGGCGGCGGCGGAGCAAGCCAAGGGTGGACTCTGAGCGGCAGCGACGTGGTCGACATCCATGTGCCCCAGGCGCCGCTCTGGGTATCCCCGGTGCCTGTGCTTTTGCCTGTGCTTGTCCGCGGCGGTGCGGTGAGCGCTGACAGGTCCAGGGCGTCGCTCGAGAGGCCGACCTTTTTCAGGGCGAGCTTTGTGGTGAGGCCAGAGAGCATGGTTTGAGCGTGCTTGTATTCCCGGGCAAAAAAGAGATGATGTGAGACAGCGTCGTATCAAGCACCCACTTAAAGCATCCAAGTCAACAGCAGATGACGAAGTTGTCCTTCGCGCGACAAAGATCCGTCGACGAATGAAGGAAAAAAAAAAAAGTCCTTTGGTAATTCATCCCTTCATCTCATGCGGCTGCTTGCTCTCTTACCCCCGTGCTTGGTACTGCCACTAGCAGCGCCGTCATCCTGTCAAAACCTGTATCCAAGAAACAAACCTGATACAGGGGCTCCGGGGCTGTTCCGACGCCAACAGTATCAGAAACACTAGGCTCTCCAAACATTTTGCTGTAGAGCACCAACACCCTACTTGTTCCTTCATTTTCCTTTTTCTCTTGGCCTCCAAGTAAGATGGAATTTCGGCTTTCAGGGGTCCCGGTCAGGGTCCCTGAAAGCAGGGTCTGCCGATTGGTTGGCGCATTGCGGAGGCCAACCGCATGCCTGGCTGAGAGACCGAAAGGGACAAAATGTTTTGTGTGTTTTTATGAGCATGTCTGTATTGCTCCGTCAAGTAGAACGAGACCATCCTAGCCAGAGCATAGGGTAAGCCTCTCCAGAGACTTGCTGCACAGCACCTCTTGGCATTGCTAAAGACTGGCAGTTTCACAACCACTCCTGCAAGAATCAGAGGTCACAAGAGTGAGATAGGCTCGGCCATAGTGAGGCTTCTGTGTGAAAAGTTGGTCTGGGCACTCTGCACGCCCACTTGCATGTGGCAGATGGGTTGCACCAGCCTCTCCTCGAAGCAGCACAAGGCCCGTGTTACCGCCAAAGCGAGGCGCATATTGCGGTAGGGCTGAACGGAATGAGAGGCATGACGAACAGACAGATCGGCAACGAGTCTCGCACTGGCTGCGCCTCACCCGGCCTGACATAATATGGGTTTTCATAGAGCGGAATGGAGATGATATCAGCTGAGAGTGTCTTGCAGAGTGTAGCCTGAAGTACAGCACAGCCTCGCCGAGTATGCTGACAACTAATTTGGATATTGAAAATTGCGACCCTAACCGTGCTGTGTCTGGGTTACAGTGAGATACGAGAATATCATATTGCTTATGCATGCAATGACGGAGCTATTGGCGTGGTTGAGCATAGGCGCCAATATTAAATATCCGACATGCATCTGATTCAGCCTTCAAGTCCTGTGAGGTCAAATTTCGGTCATGTGTGGCACGCCTGCCGGGCTTGTCTCTCTAAGCATATTGGTATGTATAGATTTCTCTAGCAAAATGGCTGCTGAAGAATATTATTGGTTTGCAATTGAGTCGTAGGATCAACGGGAAATCACAGCAGGGACTCGCGTGTCGAGGTTCTCCTATGTTGCATAGCCTTATTGTGCTTTGCGAGAGTAGGATTGCCACTTGTGAAGTCGATGAAGTAGATGAACAAACCATAGTCAACTCTCTACAGCCATTATCGAGCACACAGGTTTGGCCTCTGGGCTTCTTCACTTTTGAGGATAAAGATGGACTTCTTTCTGTCATGTTTTCACACGGTGTGCGATAAGATTGTTGGCTTGAGGCTCGTGGCCTTGGCAAGCAAAATCGCTCCACGCCACACACAGCACGGCAGAACGGCACAGGCACGTAATAATGCATTGACCCGTTACATTGCATGAAGTGACGGGTCTTGGTATAAAGCGGAGGCATCTCGGGTCCTCTCGCAATACTTGGCTCACAACGGCGACGGGTATCATCACGACAGCTGAACATCCAGATTTGAGGCGGCTAAATGGTTCCCCGGCGACATTGCGGCACATTTTGGACATGTGGTGAATCAGCCTGATAGCAGACAGTAGTGCGCGAGGGAAAATAGGAAGAAGGAGAAAGGAAAGAGAAAGGAACAGCGGAAAACGCCAAGCCAGACGTAGCCCAGCCATGATATGTGCAGCTGTAAGCAACAGCCAGTATGACTTGGTTTCGGTGCTTACAGCGCAACACGATGTATGAGTGTAGTTGGGCATCTCCCATCCGTAAGGTGCCGTGGTGAGCATTTAGCTCAGCATTCAATGAAATGGACATGCCCTTCTGAGAAGACCTGCTGTATTCGATAGGCATCGTACGGGCATGGTTCGAAAAGAGATGGACAAGAAAATAGACTTTGGCCGCTGAGCGACGAGCCGGAGCTTGCCTGCCGGGTGCTTGCAAAGATCTGCCAGCCTAGTCCCAAGCAAGCTTCGCCGTCTATTTCCCCAGCCGCAAATCAGGCCGTGGTGGCGTGAAGATGAGGATGGGGATGTGGTGCAAAGCAGTGCAAAGCAGTGCGAGCAGCGCATTGCCATGTTGTGGGCTGGCTGTTGGCTGGCTGTTGGCTGTTCTGCGAGAAGCCGTCGTGTGCCGGGATTCCTGCCAAGGCGCCGAAGACCATCTGGACGACTGTATGACGAGTGGCCTCGCGAGATCTGGGCAACATGAGGCCAGGCTGTACCCGTACTCGGGACATCTGAAAACACTGCCCAGGACTATAGATGGCCACACCTGCATCTGTCATGGTGACCATCGTCACTTGGGGCTTCCCCAGAACGGGTGGCGGCCTGCCCATTGCACACTAGCCTAGCCGGCCTGGGGTGCTTGTTACACATGTGGAGCTGCCGTGAGTCCAGAAACAAACAGATCGAGGCAATGCCATTGCCAAGGGCCGTGGCGGGCGCAGCAGGATGAGCGACAGACGGACGAGAAGAGGGCGGTTTGATGGCATGGGATGGATGGCACGATACGAGTATCACGGCTAGGCCAGCGGTCGTATACTGACTGTACTGTACTGTGCCGTACGAGTACAGGAGAGTAGAGCGACGGATCGTCGCTACCGATCAACCTTAATAGCCAGCATGTCTTTGCAGGTCTGCAGCTCGTAAAAGAACTTTGGTGGCTTATGCTCGTATACGTGCTATTGATAGACGGCGGCGTTCGTTTCGGCGCGGAATGGCAAATTCATCGGATAAACCAAAATTGAGGGGCGGCGATGGTTGATGTTGGAGATGGCAAAACTAAAACTGAAACTTGACAGAGGTGTGCAGCCACTAAAGCCGCAGGTACAGGACCTTGAGGACCTGGACGGAACGATTACTGGATGCCGGGGCGGTACAGGTACAGGTACAGGCACAAGGCACAAGGTTGGCAGCCTGCAGAGTGCGGGAGGGAGGGAGGTACGGGTTCAGGCGGGAGGTCGAGGTACCGGTACCGCAACAGCAACCGCAGCAACCACAACAGCCCTCAGCCAGCCAGTATTTCAGTTGAGGCGCGGGCTGGGTTATGTTGGTTACAGGTCAATATGACGGCTACCTTCGTCATAATCTATGTGTCCTCTGCCTTAGCATGCTGAGACTACTGTATAGTACTTACAAGAATGAATGCATTTGCATGCTCTGCTGCATTAAAATCCCTCCACTGCATCTCCCATGCAGGCGGGTGCAGCGGAAAAGCACCAATGGCGGCAAAAGCAAACGTCGCATTTTTGGTGGTTCAATTCCACCTGCCAAACCGATCAATGGATATCCATGCTTGGCCACATTGGCATTTAACGGCGGTTCATTTGCTGACGGAGCCTTGGTGGTGTCAATTCGATCAATGTATGTGCTCGTACAGGACTATACGTGTACAGTACAGGTAGCCATAGCTTAGGACAGGTGTCTGTTACAGGTACTAACCAGGTCTCTCGCTCTAGATACATCGGGCTCGTATATACGATGGATCAGTGTATCTCATTCATTCATTCATTCATCAAACAACAGCATGTCATGTCATGTCACCTGGACCTGTAGCACAAGAAAAGCCCGCCATTCCTGCCACAGACATTCCCTCGTGTTCCCTTCTCCTGCCACTAACTGCTACGAGTACTTGTGCTAGGTAGTTATAATCCCCTCCCCCCGTGTTCCAGATTGAGAAACATGGACGTCCACCGGCCCCTCGTCATTCTACTTTGCTTTGGGTACGGCCCCCGTGTTTCCGGCTGCTAAATGCCCCCCCCAGGTACGGAGCACGGTACCACGCACAGGCGAGGGCATTGTACTTGTACTTGTTCACCGCACCTCTCATTACAGCTGCTTCCCGGTATATTTACATTTACCCAGCCCAGGGGTCCCTCATTTTAGCAGTTCGTGCCGAGCAGCCACCCACCATGGGATCAGGGCCGCTTATTGGGTTTTTGGGGGCATTGCAAGATGGAGGCCAGATCAAGTATACGGTAGCCAGCAGCGGAGCCTCGTGCTCAAGACCAACAGCAGCCAGTCATTCAAGCTACGGTACGAAAATATCGATACTACAGTTAGGTTAAGTACCTTGGTAGGTACAGCTAAACTTTGGTGTGCGGCTTGAGTCTGCATCCCAACAAAGTAATCCATCCAACAGCACCTAAATCGCGCCGAGGACAATCAATCACGTGGCGAGGGTCCCGTAATATCATTGTACTTGAGGTCATGGGCTCTGGCGCGCCGGCAGGCCAAGTAGTGCCCTACCACGGAGCGACAAGCGGATCCATCCATTGATGAATTTAAACGCGTCTTTGCTAGGCCGGGTAGCGCGTACTGTAAACCCGCGCTCGTCCCCAGGGTAAAGTACATGTACAAGTACACGCTCCAAGTCCAAGTCCAAGATGATCATCAATGCCTTAGCTTAGGTAAGGCAAATATAGGGATAGCGCCAAAGCTTCCATCGGATTTATGCAGTCGACCTGATTCCAGGCGGTCTGAGACTGCCATTGGATGGTGTGCTCTGTATTTTCATGCCAGCTGCTGTTGCCCCTCCAACTGGAAATGTAGAAACAGATGACGGGGGCCAAGTGTCTTGCGGAGACACCCGAGGTATCTGGTAATAGGTACCTACACTGGAGGTTGGAGTGCCGGATCTCTGCAGCAGAGCCTTGGCCACCTAGCTAAGCAAGTAGAGGTACTACTATATGGACTAAGGTACTAAGGCAGGTATTTATCTTAGTACCTACTGCACTATAATACGATCAAGACCCTGAAAAGAGGAAATGCGGCAATACGGGCTGGCGCTGTACTGTACAAGTACTCGTACAGTACAGTACGATTACGGCGTTGCGGCAGATTGCGGTGGCAGCAGCCTCCAAGGTAGCATTGACGGATGCTGTTTCTGGCAACATCGCATTTGATCCAATCTGATTCGAAGGAAGCTCCCAGGTTGAGTGATTTCGGCCTCCCCTGGATGGGACACGGAGAAGATGACCTGGAGACTTCGGAGGCATGGGGGGTCAAGGTACCTCGCATGTACCGTGTAATCAAACCCGTGCGCAAACTCTCGTACGAGCACCGTTGGAGTGGCGATCGACAGATTTGATGCTATAATAATAAACTCTCTTTGCCTGGTAGCGACGCAATACGCTCGTCTCCACGGCCACAAAATTAGCAGCATCTGCAACGGCGCCACGGTCATCCTCACAGGCGAGATTGGCGAAATTCGTTCAATTTGGGGCACCAGACACCAGCGACCTGAAGCGCGCAGCGGTACCTGGGAGGTACGAGTACAGTACCAGTACGCGACTAGCCCTCGCCAGAAAGTGGCTCTGGCATAGCCCTGGGTGGCAGGTCCCTCCAACTCGTACCGGACGATACTACAGTAGCAGTTCTCTAGAACCCCCTAAGAAGCACGGCAGCTGTCGATTCCGCGACCCAGGATAGTATGGACGGGCTGGAATCAATACCTAGTACCAAAACAGGGCTCTGACCACCTGCTGGCGTCACAGTCGACACGGGGCCCGTCATTGAACCATTGACTGAGCAGGCCCCCGCTAGCAGTACAGTACTGGGTAGGGCCAAGGTCGTGCAAGAATGGATGTACCGGTACCTGCACCTGCGCCCTGTAAAATTGATTGATCCATCGCATTGGATTGGAGTGATTGGATTGGATTGGATTGGATTGGATTGGATTGAGGCGAAGAACGAATACTCGTACATGTAATCTGCGCGAACGCTCTGCCTGAACGACAAGGCACCAAACTTTATATCCAATATCCAGCAGATGGTTGCTTATTCGCATCCAAGCCTCTGCAGTAGTCCTGCCGGTCCTATTAAAAGTTGAGCACTAAGCACAGCCTCTGGACGATGCGATCAAGTGAATTTACTCTAAATGCGCCGTGCCTTGAACGGCCTGGAATTGCTCGACCTGGTTCCTGGGAGCCGCCGCAGGTCTGAACTGAACTGGAAATTCAAGGGCCTGCCTAGCAACCCAGCGTGTCTCGACTCTTCTCCTGTCGCCAACAGCGCCGCCCGCCTCGTCCAATGACAGCCGCCGAATGCACTGGCGCACATCCACTAAGCCTTCAGTGGGTGGCCGGCCGCTGAGCGAGCTGCGAGCGCTGGAACAGAGATTGTCCAATGATCTGAGGGCAGAGGTGGCCTCGGCCGATTAAACTATATGAAATCCATCACAATCAATCCATCAATCTGAAGTCATTCATCTCATTACAGGTACCTACTGTAGGTAGTGCCATAAGTCCCAAAAATCGCACTGTCTTACCAAGCACCATCTCCCCCCCGCTATACCGCTACGGGCAGCACTCGAGTGGCAGCTGTCACATTGGGCAATACCTGTACTTCTACAGCACCTGGGCAGAGTACGGGCTGCTCGCAAAGTACTTGTACCTCCACCGCGTACCCGCTACTTTGCGCCGCGGGCTCGCAAGTACCGCTACTCCGTGCCACCAGCCAAGTGGAGGCTTTGCACCACACCTCACCTCTCTTCACTCGCTGACCTGCATTCACAAGTTCCCCATCCTGCAGCAACTGCTTGCGGACGGCTTCTCGACGTTGTTCTACTTCGTCGGCCCTCTGTTTTTTTCTCATCACCATTCTTTTCTTTTCTTCTTGTTCCTTTTCTTGCGCGCCCCTTGTTTGCCTGCCTCTGCCCTGCGAGTCGGCCCCCCAGACGCCTCGAGAGCAATTCCCTCGACACCCGTCGACGAACCCCCTTTTGTGTCTTCAATCGCTCGCCCTCCTCCAGCTCGCATCTCGATAGTGGCTCATCCAGTCCTCTTCGCGATCCCGTCTGCCTTTTCCCACGCTCGCGCCCTCTTCACCGAGTCTGGGCCCGCGTCTTTGCCGTCGCCGATTCTTCCTGCTCCCCCCATCTGTGGGCCCGCAACCATAGCATAGCATCTATCCGTCTCTTCTCTTCGCCATCGTCAAGGGTTCCCAAGCTCCTCGCGCTCTCCCGAATCTTGACTCTCCTGCTCGACCGCTCCCCTCTCGCCTTGCACAACCAATCTGCTCCTCTGATCGACCCGCTCCTTGGTGCTTGACAAGGCAGGCGGAAGCACCGCAGATCGCCTCGAATAGCCGTCGCACTGCCCACCCCCAGCGGCAGTTAACCGATCCAGTCACCGACCAAGCCAGTACGCCCATCTCGGTCAGCTGCAGACGTCGCCTCGGCGGGCTACTCGCATCTACACAGTCGGGAGTCTTCTCGTTCCATGGACGCCCGGACCCAAGCGTCCGAAACCCAGCATTCTTACCCCCCCAGCCCGTGGACGTCGACAACACCGACGACTCCAAACGGGCTGCCGGCGCACCTCCCAGACGGGTCCCAGGACTCTGCCTCTGCCGCCGCAGCCAACAACGTACCGTTTACTCCCCACCTCGGCTTTCTCCCGTTCGTCTTCCCGCAGTCTCTATATCAGGCCCAGCTTCTGCACTACAATAAGCTCATCTCCCCGGCAAGAGGAGGTGGCCTACAATCTGCGCCACTTCCTCCCATCGTGTCCGTTCCTCACGTCCAGGCCACGCCAAGGTCGCGATCTTCTAGCAAGGCATCGCTCAGGGATAGTGCCACCGCCGCAAAGGGGACCCCAGCTGGAGGCCATGGGAGCCGCGCACACCAGGGCTCAGACAAGAACCGCCCGGTTATAACGTCGAAAGAGGTTCCGCCCAAGATGCCTGCAAAGCTGGCGGCCGACCTGTCCAAGAACTTTCCTCATCGAGCGATAGCTAGGTCCTCATCGCCCCATGGACTCTCCCACTCTAGTTCCGTGCCCTCGACTCCTCATCAGCATGCCCGCCAATTCTCCTTTGAATCCCGGGAACCATCCCCCAATGCCGGCAACAACCATTCGCCGCGCTCAGCCTACTCCGAAACCAACAGCGCGCTGCCCTCGCTCAGGCCGCTACCCCCGCGATTAGGGGGCTGCAAGTACGAGACCGCCCAGGCAAACTCGAGAAGGAGGATACCATACTCGGTCGGAAACGAGCGCCTGGAAAAGTTGGATCTGCGGAATGTCAAAAGCAAGCTGTCCGAGAGTGAGGAAAAGCAGTTGGCTGCAGATATGAATGAAATCTATAACAAGCTGCTGCCTACAGAAAAGGTCGAGGAAGATAGGAGGAAGCTGGTGAATAAGCTGGAGACAATATTCAACACCGAGTGGCCAGGGCATGACATCAAGGTGCACCTGTTTGGATCGTCTGGTAATCTTCTATGTTCGGACGACTCCGACGGTATGTTTTCTTTTTTCACCCTTCTCGTTACATTGGATGTCACAATCTCTAACACATGTATGCCAGTTGACATTTGCATCACAACATCATGGCACGAGATGGAAGATGTTTGCATGATAGCCGACCTTCTCGCCCGACGTACGTTGTCCCTCCCCCCTTTTCCCCTTGGCCGATAAATGGCTTTCACTTGATGACGCTAATGCCATTCCATAGGGGGCATGGAAAAGGTTGTTTGCATCTCTGCAGCCAAGGTTCCCATTGTGAAGATTTGGGATCCTGAGCTCGGCCTTGCCTGTGATATGAACGTCAACAATACCCTGGCGCTCGAGAACACCCGCATGGTGCGCACATATGTCGAGGCTGACCCACGTGTACGAATGTTGGCGATGATCCTGAAGCACTGGACGCGGAGGAGAATTGTCAACGATGCCGGTATAGTCCCCCCCCATTGATGCGAATATTGGACGGATTGCACCGTGATATTCCTTTGATTTCCTTGTCCTAACTAGATTGCAGCCTTTGGAGGTACTCTGAGTTCCTACACTTGGATATGTCTTATAATAGCGTTTTTGCAGCTACGGAACCCTCCTGTTTTGCCAGCGCTGCATCAACTGCCACACAAGACTACCAAGCCTGATGGAACTGTCAGCGATTTTGCCGATAACCTCAAGAAAATCAAGGGATTTGGCAATAAGAACAAGTCAACTGAGGCGGAGCTTCTCTTCCAATTCTTTCGGTTCTATGCTCACGAATTCGACTACGACAAGCACGTCCTCTCCGTGCGGCAGGGCAAGCTGATAACGAAGCCAGATAAAAAATGGCATTATGCCATGAACAACCAGCTTTGCGTCGAGGAGCCGTTCAACACGAATCGCAATCTTGGCAACACGGCTGACGAATACTCGTTCCGTGGTCTCCACCTGGAGCTCCGAAGGGCATTTGATTTGATTTCTGCCGCCAAGCTCGAAGAGGCCTGTGAGCAGTACGTTTATCCAAAGGAGGAGGAGAGGGTCTGGTCTCGGCCGGCCTCGCAGCCACGACCTGTACTGCTGCGTAGCTCTTCGCAGTCCAATTCCGGACGAGGCGGCCGTGGCGGTCATCGTGGCGGGCGGCACAGTAACAATTACCATCGTAACGGAGGCTCAAATAGGAGAGCGTCGTCGACTACCCCCAACTATGACCCCAACATGTTTGCTCAGCCTGTCAACATGCCGCAAGATATGTGGTTTGCCGCCGGCAACCAGTACCCGTTTCCGTTTGCTCAGCAGGACTTGATGCAGATGGCGGCCTATCAAGATGCCATGCGCCAGCAGCTGCAGCACCTTTACGCTCAGCAGACGCCTGCATTCATGGCTCACCAAACCATGGGCCAGCAGAGGATGTCTCCCAATACCGGGTCATCTAACCAGCAGACAACCACTGATCGGTCTCGAACAAACTCGTTTGACACCGCGCCCATCAATTCCACGTTGCGACCTGAATTGTATACCCTCTACGGCATGGGCATAAATCAACAGTTCTACACACAGACGGCCACGGGCTATGGAACTTATCCCTCTTCGCCGGTGACGTCTAACGGCTTGGGGCAAGAGTTCCGCCGCCCTTTGCAGAGATCCACCGTTGCGTCGGATAATGGTATCTCGGCTTCATCTAGCTCGTTGAGGTCGCAGTCGCAGCCACCTTCGCGATCTCCATCCTCAGCACATAGCCGGGCGGCTTACACCCCTGGAACCGGCCCCTCGAGCGCGCCGGGTTACGCTCCGAGACATATGCACGGCGTGCCTATTCCCAGCTTCGTCTCCGACGACACCGATCTTGACGATCGATCCAAGGCCGCGTCTGTCTCGCCACAGTCCGATGAGGGTAGATCGAACGGGCTCCTGGGAACACGGGGCTCGAGTCTTGGCCAACCATCGCTCCCCCAAAGTCACAGCCCCACTGCAAACGGTCTTGCCGTTGGTGATGTCGTAAATCAGTCATCCAGCCCCAGGCGGCGTCGGCTGTCTACAGATCAGCTGCCCCAAACTATCCTGGACAGGAGGATGAGGAGAACATCGCGGTCACCCTCGCCGCTCGACCATACTCGAGCTATCGCAACGGGGACGATTGCTTCGTCGCCCCTTGCCTCGGCTCCGTTCCCGGGAGTTGGCCAGGCTCAGAACAAGAACTTGGCGAGACCCGTGGTCGTAAATGGGTCCGGGCTCAAGACTAGCATGATTGCCGCGTCAAACCAGGCGCAAAAAGAGTCTCTGGCACCTGAGGAAAGCGCCATGGCAAAGATTGATAACGCTCTGCACATCAATTCGACGCCGTCAACGAATGGCACTAATGCTGCGGACGCGCCGAGCAACCAGTCGATCCCATCGCTTGCGCCGGCCCCCTCTTTGCCTGCGGCTGGGACAGATCGTCCTCCTGTTATTGTCAACGGCTCCAATGCCAAGCTGGCTATTCCCTCTACTGAAGATGCGTCGTTCAGGGATCGAGTGGCAATGATGAATTCGTATCAGGCAAGCTCGTTTGGGATGTCGCAGGATATTTTGCAAGCCAACGAAATGGCACAGCTACCGCCATCGGCGAAACAACGTCTCATGTCCAGGCAGGCCCAGAATGGCGTTATTGCCCCGCTGGACCTTGCCATAGCTGACCACCGTAAGCCTTTGGGCGTTGAGATGGCCCATCTATCGCCGGTCTACGAAGCGCAGACGTCGTCTCCGACTGCCTTGCGCAAGCCAGATGTTCCCGCACCCGTCACTGGCAAGGCTGCTCGTGAAAAGGCAGATGCCAAAACAACGCGTGAGGAGACGAACAAGCCCGTGTCCAAGGCGGAAGACAAGCTTCAGCCGGCCCAGGAGGCTCCGAAGCAGTCTAAGGCGCAGAAGTCGACTGGCCAGAACCAGCGCAACAATATGCCACGGGAGAATGGCGGCCATGTGCGGAGTGCCAAGAGCGAGAGTGATAGCAGCTGGCAAAGAGCTGGTGGTAAGGGGAAGAAGAAGGGATCGAGTGGACTTGCACCAAACTCACACCCGGAGCAGTTGCCAAAGAGCGACTCGGAGCGAAAGGGAGGATGAATACACGAATATGCATCTCGATAGCGACGATGATGATGATTGTTTATTTTTATTTTTACATGTTCCACGGGGGGCTTGGGAGACTAGCATTGCAGCTGCTAGCACAAGGCAGCATGAAATTCCAAAATGATACCACAGCTACAGGAAGCTCGATAGCTCATCTCCCTCAACCATGAGATGAGGAGGATGATGATAGTGGCGATGTTGGATAGGGAATCGTCCACGGCATGCGACAATCAAAGTCGGATTCTTTTTTGTTGGGAGGGAGGGAGGGGACGCTTTGCTTGTACAATGCCATTTCCTGAGGACGATGAAGAGGAACTGCGGTACACTCAACACAACCGCAGAAAGCAAGGCTTGGACATTATTCAGGATCTGCCTATGTGAGAATTTGCATTGCGGAAAGATTGATTTGTGCTGCATGTGTGTACGTATGGCCCTGACGGATGAAACTTGTGGAAAGCGAAATCAAAGCATGAAAAAGAAAAGAAAAAGCACCCAAAAAAATATTGAGAGAAGAAGATGGAAAGACAAAAGGAAAGAAAATGCAGCTCCATGAATGATACGCTACAGCAAAGACTCGGGATGAGCTGACGGAAAGGGCACGGAGGAGGGCTAAAGGGGGGGAGGGATTGATACAATATACATGGCCGGGTGGAAAGGCGTTTGCATCAATGAAACTCATCTAAGAGGAAAGGCTGGAACTCGGTTATTTTTTTTTTTTTTTTCCTCTCCGTTTTTATTTCCTATCACTGTTTTGCAGGGAGCAACCAGCGGCATAGATGGATGTTACAAAAGCATTGAGAAAGATTATGGACAGCCAAACAAATGAAAGCGTAAAACAGATACATGGCACGCATTATTAATAAACTGTATGAAACTCGCTTGGTGGTGTTTGCTTTGGTTTGAGGGAGTGATCTACATCGGTAGGTATGTAGCCTTCGGGCTGCGGGTGAGTCCTTAGTAAGAAGTGCAGTAAGTGTTGATGTGACTTGAGGCTATATCTTGCTTGGCATGAATGCCTTAAGGAAATAATGTGTGTTGGACAGGCAATCAATGATGGAGACTTGTGTGTTGTCTGTTTCCTTGATGGCTTTGGAAGTAAAATACAAGGCTAGCTGTTGGTCTGATTGGTTGGTTGGTAGTGCATGTGATTGATTTTGCGTTGCGTTGGTGCTGGATGGATGGATGTAAGAGTCTGGACGCATTCATGGCCGGCAGTTGGTGCCGTGGATAGTAAGGCAACTAACTACATGTACCAAGGCTATCCAAGTGAATAGATGGTGATAGTGCATTTGATTGGAGGATGTGATTGCGATGATGCCTATTTCATCGTATTCCAATGCTGCTCGTATTCTTGGGACAAGGCTGGCTGGATGGATGCCTTGGAGAAGTGGGCGATGATGACATCAACGCTCCATACAACGAAGCAGATAGACGTCTATTGTGTTTCATCACATATCGACTGACTACCTCGTACTCCAGTCAGCCGTGTTTCAGAGGTATTTCCGTGCTTCTAGGCACCTATTTGTTTATCAGGTGAAGCCAATCCAATCCAATCCAGCTTGAGGGCTTCCCGTCTTGCCGAGTTGGGCAGCTCGGGGGAGCTATAATTGGCAATCCGGTTCCCGTATCCGTATCTGCAATCTGCAGGTAATACCTAGGTACGGAGTAGTAGCCTGTAAACTCTCCTTTGGATCCGTTTCGACTTGTTTATCTCTTTTTCATATATATTTCCATCTGTGTACCTACACATAGATAGAACAGGAAGCAGAGACATACATGTTCAGTGTGAACTTCCAAGCTGGTTCTGTGTGATGCTACTCGAGGCCAAGTTCCCCTCTTAATTAAGCTTGTTTGGTGGTCCCCTTTTTCTTCTTCCCGTTAGCCTCATTCCCCCCTGGTTCCTCATCCTCCCGACCTATTTTTTCTCTTTGGAATTTTTTTTTTTTTTCTTCCCTGAGTCGTGTACTCCGTACGAAAAGGAATCCGGCTGTTGGTTCGTCCGCTTTTGGCCCAGAGCACTGCTCACGTGCGACGCCTTGTTTCTGGCCCTGTTGGTTCTGACTCTGGGTCTGCGTCTGGCCCTGCAGCTTGGGTTGGGGCCTGCATTTGCTGCAAGCTGTGGTAGTATTTTCTGATTTGAAGCTGTGGTGTTGTGTTGTATTACAGTATGGTATGTGCATTATGCTGTGTTAGTTGCTGTTGCTTTCACTTTTTGCCCCTTGCCCTTGCAGGTCCACCCCTGATACATACATCCATCCACGATAGACTGCCTTACTGTGCATGAAGCAACTTGGGTTATTGGCAGCATCCATGATTCATCCCATCCGTTGGAAGACCTGGAGCAGAGCTTGAGACCTAGTGGCGCTGCTTAGTGACTGTTCTAGCACACCGTCTCGTCTCCCCCTCGCCTGGGGCTGGCTGGTCCAGTCGCTAAGAGCTTCCAAGCTTAGTGCATTACTGCAGTAATACATAGTGCGATTACAGCAGCCCCAGGGCAACAGAAGAAAACCCGACCTGGACTGACCACCAACTTGCGACATCCCGCTTCTACCCCGGATTCCCCATGTCTCCGATCTCACGACACTAAACCCGTAACCCCAAAGCGACTGGACTGGACTGGACGGCACGCAGGCGCATCTCGTCTGGGCCATTCGCGATTGTCGAGCCCTGCGTTCCGAAACGATGCTGCCGACGGATGCTGCCACCGACGCTGCCGTGGACACTGAGGCTTGACGCAGGCCACCTTGTTTGCCGTTGCGACGCGCATCATCATCGTCATCATCACCATCATCCTCCGCCTCTCTCTCTCTTACTCTCGCCTTCTCTTCCTCCTCTTCCTCCTCCTCCTCCTCCTACCTCCTCCTCTCTCCCGCCGTTCAAGGCGCAATCCATCCATCCATCCATCCAGAGCTTCACTGAACCCGCACCCGCATGAAGAGCGACATGATTCACCGGACAAACAGCGAGGGCGGCGCCTCGTCCAGCGGCTCGTCGCAGAAGATATGGCGCTTCCCCTCCGCCATCCGCAGCAAGTTTGGCAGCATCAGTGGCTCCAGCAAGGACGACAAGAACTGGACCGTATGTTGACTCTTCCGAATGTGCCAAGAGGGGATCTTGCCTCGTCTCGCCTCGTCTCGTCTCTGGCAGCTCACCTCACCCCCATTCGGCCTCTTTCTGACCCCCTCCCAACTTCTGTGCTTACTGTGCTTTTGTCTGCCTGTCTCTCTACTGCATCGCTAGATGGAGTGCTCAACCCTGCTTGCTTGCTCGCTCGTTTGCTTATGTTGACGCCAACATTTAACAATGTCAGGCTAACATGATATGTGGTACAGAACAAACAAGGCGGCTCATCCATCGACACCGAATCCCACGAGCCCTCCATCCACGAAATCTCCTCGATCCATGAAACCACCGAATCCAATTACCGCCAGCTACAAAGCCTTGTTGCGCGCATGCGAGCCGCGCCCTCCGGCCCCAATCACGTCGACGGCGCCTACAAAGAGTTTACCAAGATCAACGAGCGATGCGCTGCTCTCTGCGATGCGATCCTTCGAGAGGAGATCAAGACACCTCGCACTCTCTCCAACGCCAACGCCGCCGAAGCCATTCCATTGACTCGCCAAGATTCCTCTGCCGACACTCCTCGGAGCCCGAGCGCCCTGTTTGACCATAGGAGTTCCTTTAGTGGTCGCAGCTTAGCCGAGGTCATCACGGCCGGCGGGAGCAAGAGTCATGGCGGTGACATGTGGCTCACACCTATACGGGACTGGAAGACGTGTCTCGAAGTGCTGGTTGAGCACTTCAAGGTCAGCCTGTCCGAGACATACATTAGCTATGAGCGAGATGCCACGCCCGAGATGCTCGAGGCCCTGTTCACGAGCAAGAAATTCAGAAGAGATGCGGTCCACCGAATGCGCAATGCGAGCGTTACCAAGATTTTGTCAGCGGACCCTCAATTTGTGAGTACTCATCTCCTCAGGACACGACTAAACTTAAGGCCTAATCATCATGTACGCAGTTTCCACGATATGAAATTCGATTTAGAAACTACGAAAGAGTCAAGCTCGAACTGAGAGATGTTCGAAAGCTTCTTCAGGCGGGAGAGTCAGGCATCTCACTAGGCAGAGTCATTGAGGAATTTCCCATAGCCCCCCGCGGAGACGCTGTCCTGGAGTTTGCCAATCTGGGGCCAGACGCTACGGGCAACGAGCCAGCCTTGCGATTCCGTGTTTCTTCAGCCCTGCTGGCAGAGACGTCGCCCATCTTTGCGCGGCTGTTCTCTGGTCACGCGAGCAGCTACTACCTGCATGAGGCTGACGACATTGCCGATCAGCTCCCACCGCCTCCGGTACCGTATTTCTGTGACGACGGGTCCGAAGTCAAGTTGTATCGGATGCCGCAGCAAGAATTTAACCAAAACGGCTCGCTGGAAATCCTACTCCATGCCGCTCATATGCACAATGATAAGATTCCCAGAGACGTCAGCTTCGAGCAATTCGTTTCCATTGCCGAGTGCTCCCTGAGATACAAGAGCACGTCACCGTTGGAGATGGTTGTTGAACATAGATGGCTACCTCAATGGATGCACAAAGGAGCCGACGACATGCCAGACGGACTTCTCATCATTAGTTATGCATTTGGTCTTCGGCAGCTCTTCACTCGAATGTCCAAGAGCGCGATCCTGAACCTCGCTGATGAGAAGGATCTGCACAGTAAACCTTGGCCCAAGAAGATTAGAGACAAGATCTGGGCGGTTCGTTGCGCCAAGGTGGACCAGCTTTACGCGAGCTGCGCAAACACAATACAGGAGTATATCCGTCCATCAGCAGAGGACTCACCTTCGGAAGAAAAGCAACACATATCCCTTTCTGATCTCGATAGCCACCTCACCTCGCCAATCCAGCCTGCCATGGCGCTTACAAGCACTCCAAGATGTCCCAAGGGCAACCATTGGTGTGACGCTTCCAACCTAGGGTGGATGATGCTGGTGTACAATGAGCTTGGCTTACTACCTACCATTGTGCAGCCCTCCATCATGGCGCACCTTCCAAATGCCCGCCCTCCGTCCAAAAGCCTGGCACAGATGATGGAAACGCTTCGCTCAACACCGAGCCCCCCTGCGCCGCTTCACCCCGGCAGTGTCTGTGATCCCGTTCCCGCGTTCCGCGCAGCTATAGCAGACATTTACAACAGTGTTACCGGCTTGACTTTGTTTGACATCAGCGGTAAGAGCCATGGTTGGGCACTCTCGAAGCATAAGGTGTCAGAACCGCAAATGCTCCTGACCGCTGGCCTCAATCGGATGGCTACCCACGAGAAGATCCATAGCGTTGTCACAGAATTTCCAGAAGAGATTCGCCTGCAGATCCTTAGCGAGATGGAGGATCTAGAGGATCTGCAAGCAGCGGCCAGGATCAACCGGGGCTTTTACGAGACGTACAAGAGAAACGAGCTTCAACTTATGCGCAATATCTTACGTGCTGACCGGATGCGCTGGGGAAGCATGGGGCGGTCCTCGATGGAAGACGAGAGGGTCGAAAGCAAAGTCTTGAAGTCAGAGTCTGATATGCTCAAGGAGAGGGGCTTCGGTGATGGTGCCGATGCCATTACTTTGAGGAGCGAAGACGACGATGGGCTGTACGACTCAGACGAAGATGACGACTCCAGTGTCGATCCGCTGACTCGACATGGCTCTATATCTTCGCAGGGCGGGCGAGTTCATGCCGACGATGACGAAGATTTGGATATTTTGACTCGTGATCCGCCGCCGCCATTTCAGCCGAAAGAGTCCAACCCTCCACCACCGCTGCTTCCAGTTGTTGGTGAAGCCAGTAATGACGGTTCTGATGACGATGATACAGCCACTCCAACAACGCCTCGGCAGCGTGCCTTTGATCTCTCAGACGACTCGACTACTCCTTCTGATCAGAGCAGTCTAATTTCAGCAGAGGATATTGACGAACCGCCCATGACGGAAGAAGAAGCTCGCAGAATCCTATGGCCCGACCACTTGATCGTGAGTCCACCCCCACAGCGAGGCGTAGTCCTGCCTGGCGTAGAAGGGCTGCGAGAGAAGTTCCGGGTTGGAGACATCTCCTTTATTGAAGGCCTCGAAGACAAGACGCTGGCCAGGACAGGAACGAAGCAGCTTCGGAGCGAGCACGACGAGAGAGTGGGCTTGCTCAAGCAAGATGGGCGGCCTAGCTCCAGTTCCTCGATAGCCAAAACTGCAAACGGCATTGAGCATATCGAAAAGATTGATGGCCGAAAGGGGGGAGAGGGGGATATGGAGTCTGCCCTATCTTAGGTGTGCCTAATGAATCGCAACCCCCCCTTTAATGACAGCCTGATGTCACGACTGCTCCACCATTCCAATTCATCCTTCTGGAAGGACGAGGCGACGATGAGCGAAGAGACGTGTAATTGCAGGATTGCAGTAATGATATCGTCTCGTATATCCACACGAAGCGAGCTACATATATGTGCAACACACACGCATATACTACATACATGTGCTTAAATGTGTACATCTATCTTATATACTATACCATACTACTTACTATATCGGGTAATCAATCTTTTGGCGCAGATTGGATAGCGGGAACCTCTTGTTATACTAGGGATGACTGATGTGTTTATGGGATGAAAGGGGTGTTTTCTTGTTGGGTTTGGACGAGCGGGTGGATAATGGGCATCTTTTTTTTTTTTTTGTCCGTTACATGATTGTATATAGGTGTGTCGAATCTAATGTCGGTAGGATTCGATTTAAGTTATTTGATCCAAGGGCCAGACGTGGCCTTTTATATGACAACTCTCACTATCTACTACTACCCATATTTATTTACTGTTTCTATGTCTACTGAATCTATCTTTGTGGGGAGCTAAGCCGTTCGTAAAATAAGCTATAGTGCACAATCCAATTACATGTAGTCAGCTTCTTAAATTATTAGATGTATAATGTGGTTGACCTATGGCCTATAGTACAAATAGTGTATTGTCAAGTCATCCACAATCCCATGTTACCTTACATAAAGTGACATCCCCTGTAGTCTTGATCCATTATCGTTTCTCTCATTCGCCCTCCAAGTCTAACTCTGCTTTACCAACCTCTTTCCCGTTACAAAGTATGCGGAATACCAGATGGCCTACCTCATCGTCAAGGCGAATATTAAGAACAAGCCCTATCTGAATGTAATCCAATCCATTTTGCGTAATCCGCTTAACATTGGGGACTTCTGACCAATCTATGTCATCTAAGGTATACCGGATTTTTCCAATTTCCTCAATGCCTATATTTTCCTGGTCAGCCAATCTCCACCCTATGTGGACAGTTGGTTTCAATGATTTCATACGCTCATTTTCGATGGTTTCTGGAGCAATGTCTAAACTGCAAGAGTAAAGACGACTTCTTCCAGAGTTGTCAATTTTACCCGTGAAAGTCGTGAAAAATTCTGAATTGATTTCAGCTTTCGAATCAAGGAGGGCACCCTTTTGAAGTTAGTCTACCTGTTATCCAGCAACCGAGAGAGGGAGCGCGAGAGACGGAAGGGAGCGATGGTCGGAGTGCAAGAAGATTTCATACTTTTCCAATCTCCCAGAACATGAAGCCAGAGAGCCGATCAGTCTGATCAAATACATCCTTCCAAATATGCCTCATTTTAGGATCATACTTGCTGTGGAGGGAAGGATCGTAGACTTTAGAGAGCGAGTGACCGTAGTGCTTCCGACATTTCTTCTCCTTGACGATAGAACCTTCTAAGCCACGTAGCACCGCGCCGCAGCCAACAGCAGACCAACTATTCTCATCAGAAAACACTTTCTTCTAACGTTGGAAAGTGTAGGACACCTACGCGCCTGTGGCCGGGATGGTGAGACGGATCCCTTTGACCTTACACCAGTCGGTCAACCTCTCATTCAAATATGGCGAAGACCCAAATCCACCAACGAGGACAATAGTTTCGATTGGACGCTCGTTTATCTTCTCAACTTTATTCATCTGGTCTTCTATCAGTTTGATTATACGATCAATAACTGGATCAAAGATGCCTTTAAAGTCTTCCTGAGCCAATAGAACCGAGTGTGATTTTCTATCATAGTAACGCCCGAGTTCAGACGTCACTCCCAACCCCGGCATATAGAGCTGTATTCTGCAGGGTCGCCGAGTGGCTGGATTTTTCATTCTAAAATCTTTCTTCTTGCTTTCGAATGCGTCCATAAAGCTGCTACCTGGCCCGATTTCTTCGGGTGTGAGGCTTTTGAACGCCTCGCCAAATCTTTCCGAAAGAAGTTTTAGAAGATTGCGGTCCACATAAGTGCCGCCGCATTTGCCGGCTGAAGAGGCACATTGTTAGTAATTTTCCATTCCCGCAGATGAATAAGAGACTATTTTGGTCGTTGATCACGAAGCAGACTCACCAACACCAACAACTGTTTCTCGGAGCGTGAGTGTCGGCCGCAACTTCTCAATCTCATAAGTTGTGACGTCCTGGTCATAGTTAAAAGAGAACGAAAAATACCTAATATGGTGTGAAAATGGAGGGTACATACCACAGTACCGCCACCACAATCGCATACTAAAACACCTGTCCCGGGCTAAATATGCATTAGAGAATGGGGTCTGACTTTCATTCCTGCTTTCCTGCTTTCCTTCTTTTAATAGAGTACTTACTTTTACGAAATCTTCAAATCGGTGGATGCTGACCTTCAACGCCATATGTGCCGCCGCTTCGGGTTCTGAGATGAGCTTGATACTGTCAATTTTCCTGACGCCAAACCCTGCTTCTATGGCCGCATTTTTAGTGAGTAGTTTTGCTTTTTCGCTCCACGAGGCTGGGACCGTCAGCCAGAACTCCATTGGGAGGTTATCTAGCTGAGAGCCCGCAAACTTAGCAACACTGTCGTCAAACATCTTCCTCATTCCCATAAGGTACTCTTTAGCAACATCCTTTGCTGACATTCTTTTAGGAAGCCGCATGATCTCAGAGTTCATTTTGGAGTAAGTATCTGGGTCATCAAATTCGGAAAGCGGGGACTCGTCAAGAAGCAACTTTGTCCAGGAATACGATGTCATGCCTGCTTCAACCTCGTAGCCCCAGGCCGTTCTATCGAGATCGTCATTCTCCTCGGAGAAAGCAACTCTTGTCGGGGCTTTGACAGTATGCTCAGCGCTATGCGTGGCTGCACCGGGGTACTTAGTCCAGGTAATAATGTCCTTGAAGTCAGAGGCATTTGATAAGGCGTAAGATATCCCAGAGTATGTAGTCCCGTAGTCGATCCCGACTATGAGCTTGGTTCTTTGAGTAATGATAACCATTGAGGCCTGCCAGAGATGCAGACACGTACAATGAGTGATGTTTAGTGTGTGGCAAAGACTAATGAGATGGTCTGGAAACAATTTGAATAACGGGAAGTGTAATCACAAATGGCCTCTAGTAGGGCCAAGATAATAAAGTCGAGGGCCGAGATGAGACAGTTGAGCCAAATAGCTGTTCGGGTAGACTTCTGAGCCTGATTTCATGTTAACGAGCTTGGGTTTCAATGTATGCTACTGGGAGCTACATTGGGCCGTGATGCAGGAGCTCTATGTAACTTATCTAATAATTGGCTGAGTGGAAGTGTAGTGACCAAATACCAAAACCCACGCCCAGAACCTCCCAGGTAGACATCTAATATTCTCATGCGTAGACTGTATGTAATTAAGGTGAGTGCCTGCAATTTGCTCGCTGTTTCTATCCGTAACTGCATACATATCCACTTGGATAAAGCATATGATGGCTGCGTATGACGAAAGCCATGTTTACGTGGATTGGTGGTATTGGATCGGTGAAAAGGTAATGCTACGTGTTGCATACAACTCCTCCACATACTCATCTGGCATTGGCTGTTACGGTATTAAATATTGTTTAGACTCACGCATTGTGTCCTAAAAGTCCACTTTCTTAAATCTAGGGCTCTGACACGTATCACATGCTGGGTGATAAGGGTCAGTGTCTTTGATTGTGGCATGGTTTGGCCACATTTGCTGTATTACCACGATACTGTAACTTGAATCGGATTTTCATTGCCTGAATGGTCGCTGTATCCATAAGAGGGGGATAATTAATAATACATACTGGATACTACTGTTGGAGTTTAAATCTTTGTATATATTGGCTGTGCCCTGCTGCACCTACGACTTAAGGTCACTCGATTTGCATCCTTACGGAGAAACTTTTTGGGGGCCAGGATACGCAATTATAGGTCAATCTATATTAGGTTCGTTTTTAACCCTTTTTCAAAGAGAATTCACTGATATCGTGAAGATAATTCGACGGACGAGGAAATTTTGGGCCTTCTGACATCGAAGCAAAGCTTGGACATCATTCAGTTGAGAAATCTAGGGACATGTCTATCCAATATATACCTGTGGTAAGCAAAGAATATCACACAAAAGTTTGGCTTACGGCTTTCCATTTTTAGACTCACAACTATGTATTTATAGAGCGGAAGAGATGTCAATTCATCCAAAAGGCCAGCACATCAAATTTCTGGCGCTCTCCCTTTGAGGGACCAGTATACTTCGCCTAATGCAACCCTACTCGGAAGTGAGGTTCAAAAACGGGCTGATTACTCACAAACTAACTATACAAATGAAAGGAGCCCGCTACAGGAAAACTCTGGTGTTCTTCCACTGGAGGAACACAAGGATTATGCTGTAACAAGATCAAATTTTGGGCTAAATAAGTTCACAGATTTGTTGCTGAGTGGGAGTTGCTCCCGCCGTGATCTGGAAGATCTTCAGAGAGACAGTGAAAACAAAAGCAAGGAGCTTGAGATAATGCATCAACAAATGGAGATAATGAAGCAAAGTCAAAATCAAGAAAAGAAGAAGCATAAGCAGGAATTGGAAAATTTGAGAACAGAGTATGAGAAGAATTTGAATGAACAACACGCACACTGGAGAGACACCTCATCTCAGCTCCAAAATGCAAAAGCCGAGGTGGTTGAACTCCAAAAGCACATTCACGATAATGAAGCCATCATTACAAAAGCTCACGAGGCCATGGTGTCATCATTGTCCGAGGGTGTCTCAAGAGCACTTACAGATGATGTGATAAAAGAGGAGCTGAAGAGGTTTTATCAGAATAACCTCCTTGAATGGTGCGCTGAAATGAGTTGTTCGGACATTCCTGAGCCTGAAGAAACCAAAAGGAAACTACAGTCAGAGGGCATTATCAATAGCAGCAATGATTATCTGAACCAACCGATCAATCTGCAGTTCTCCATGCACTTACCCTATGGTAGAAGCTCGATGATTCTTCTGCAGGCCGTTCTTTCACAAACTCTTTGCGAAACCTTTCTGCAGGATGCCTATTTTTTGGCTGAAGGGGTAGATTTGCCCAAAGTACTGGGTCATGATGTTACCAATGGCCGCCGCCGATTCAGAGACCTTGAAGGCCTATTCTATAATTGTGAGTTACCTACTTGAAAGTATTCTCGGAGGATGAGAGAAAAACAGGTCCGTACTTATCCATATGCATTGCTAACGACTTTTGGCGCCCTAGTTGGCAAGGATGTTAGTATCGACTGGCGCATTCAGACAGTGAAATGTTTGGAAAAGGCCATACCTCTTGACCTACACTTTGTAGAGAATATGGCAAAGGAATTTGTGAAAAACTTCCATTTCCTGCTTAAAGAGATGAACGATCAGGCTCTCGAAGACTTGTACCAGCTTTTCATCGACTTCGGCAACATAACGCTCAAGTTATGGAAGATGCGCACGGCCATCAAGGTGCATGGTTTGTCAAGGTTCAGGGAACAAAGATTTGACCCTGATTCCCATCTCATCGAAGCTGACATAAATGCCTCGCCCGCCTCGTTGCGAGGCCTGCACGGCCGCTGTATTGGAGTCATAACTCGGCCTCTTATTATTTCGGAACCCCTCGGGCAAGATGTTGAAGGAAGTAAAGAGGTTATATGGCTCAAAGCTGCAGGTTGGGCGTTCGAACTTGAGAGCTCAATTCACCCTCCGATGCAAGATGTTATTTTTGGGGAGACGACTGTAGCAACCTAAACCGCAGCCAAAGCACAGAGTAACCACAGTTATGCAGTTGAGAAGAGGCAGTTGAGGGGAAAGGGGACATTTATTTGAGTCCGGTGTGCGTGAGATAGAACACATCTAGTCTCAATATATGGGTTTTCAACCTACTTACCAGGTAGATAGTAGTAAGTCTATATTGTATAATCTGGTAAAGAAAATTTGAATTATCAGCACCGGAATCCACTATATGGGCTTGAACTTGCAGGTTCGTTCAGCTAGAAAACAACTGGATTTCCTGATGCCGGGATGAGTCAGGGCGTAGCACTAATGAAACGCTATGATTCTCCTTTCTCATCGTCATTTCACATAATCATCCAACAACGTCAGTCGCCGAATTCATCAGCACTCACTCTTGTTGTCCTCACAAGGGGAATTCCTTGACATCTCGATATCTGTTTCGTCGCTCATTGATCTATTATGGATCAAGGAATGGGGACATAAGGATGCTCAAAAGCTATATGAGTCCAGATGTTAGCTCTAGCAGGAATAAGAAAGATGCATCGGCGGATTATGGGACACTAGGGGCATACCCATTCTTCAAGGTGCTTCCCATTTTCGTGTAGCTCAGAGAATTTATCGTCCAGGGCGTCTAAATCCAGTCAGAATACTACAATAGGAGCCATAGGACCAAAAAAATTCAGCTCTAATGCGTGGGTACCTGATGTGCGCTGGATGATTCGGTCAAGAACCTTGTTATTGTCACCACCAAGACTTTCAATAAACTTGGCGGCGGCATCGTCTTGCCCGATACGATTAACAAGGTATCGGACAACTAAGAATCCCTCAGTCAGCACTGAATATTCTGCGCGTGACGAGCCATGGTAGTGGGACAGGTGCTCAGGCTACCTCGGGACCCATATCCGCTATTCTCTAGAGCTCGTGAGCAGTCGATGATGGCTTTTTTGAACGAGTCTGGATCCGGCTCTGTTGGGCAGCCATCAGTAATAATGATAATTAGAATCGGTCTTTTCAGAGTCTCGCCCAAGGCGATTGGGTCCAAGATAAAGGGATGGAGGATCTTTCTCCGCAGTTGGGTACCAATGTTTGTCCCACCCTTTGGCTCGATGTCGAGCGCTTCATCAATCTGCTTACTACTTAAATCGTCATATGTCTCCGGCTTGTTGATAAAGCGAAGATGTACTCCTCCACCATCTGGAACTAGGCGCGTCACGACGCTCGACATGCGAGAGATCAGCTTCCTCAGCAATTGTTGCCGAGTATCCTTATTACCCATGTCTGTTTTCTTCATCGACCCGCTGTCATCTGCAATTATGCAAGTCAGCCAATAATTGATATTTTTACTCAGTGGCTAGTTTGAATACTTTACCACAATAGAGGATTGTCTGGTAGAGTGCCAGCTTTGTGAGATCATTGATCAACCTCGCTTCGTTGAGACAGTTTTCCGGGTTCGCCATTATTTGGACTGCATTCTCTGCCACTTTCTGTAGGAAAGGGTTTCCCTTGGGGAAAAATGCGCTGAGCTCAGAGTTGTCTTGCACAAACTTGATATTGTTCTTGAAATCCTCTACCGTATGGGGATTCTTGATCTCCTAGCCATATATATAAGCCTTGACGATGTCGTAATACGCCGGTTCTAGAGTCTTTTTTTTTTTTTTTTTTTTCATTAACTACATATACATACCTGTGCAAGCTTATCGCTAATCTTAGCATTGCCTATCTTGTAGGTCTTTGAAACAGCACCTTTGGCCACACCCTGGACCTCTCCGCTGTTGAGGTAGCTGAAAACGAATAGGATAAAATCGATAATGCTGCTAGTAACATTGGACCTCTGGGGTGCCTGATACCTTCCCAGCGAGAGGGCGCTTAAAGTATTATGGTCGACAGGTTTATCCTTGTCCTTGGCGATGTCCCATGCGGACTCCCCAGCCTTGTTCTTCTTGGTTGGCGATGCACCGCGGGAGACCAGCAGCTTCATGACAGGTAATCCCGCCGTTTCCTGAACAGAAATAATAAGCGGAGTGTTGCCATCATCATCTGCTGCATCGATTTCGGCCTTTGCGTCAAGCAGTGCCTCGATGATCTTGTCACAGTTGTTTTTGGCTCTGACGGCGTAGTGCAAAGGGGTTCGACCATGTCTTCCCTTCTTATTCACACTAGCTCCTTTGCGAAGCAAAAGTAGCACAGTGCTAAGTTCCCCCTTTCGAACTGCCTCTACAAGCAAAGGGAAGCCCTTCCTAGAATCCGCTTCATCAATACTGGAGACGCTAAGGAACTCATTCAACTGTGACTCTTCCAATCTCCCAGTGCGTGCGAGGTTATAGCAGTCTGACATTTTCTACTGTCTTGGATAATTCGGTTTAGCAAATGTTTAGATCATGATAAGGTGGTGATGTTTTGTGTTGAGCTTTGATGTGCCTTGACGGCATCATGGGGTGTTGAAGATTTGACGTCCTTTATAGACAACTGGATTTTATGTATCTAAAATGGCATTAATCTGAAGATTGTTACTGTTTTACCCGCTACATGAAAAATGAAAATGATAGAAAGCAATAGACATCGGAGAAGTGGTGTGAACAGTCCGATTCCGGCCATTTGCCTCGCAAAGGCCAGAGACTGGGAGAGAACGAGGCCCAAAAATACCCAACTGTCCGAGTAGCATGCATGCAGATGGGAGCCTTGCTGCATCGTAATAGATGGTTATAGATGTGGGGTTGAATTATCAATGCAGGAGAAATCTCTTCACCCACACCCCCAAGCAGGGCCATTGGGCAAGCATGCATAAGAAGCAGAGCCCAATTTACATGGTTTATCCGAGCACCTGCATGCACATTTGCGCATGAGACCCAACTCATTATCGGGTACGTGCATGCGGAATGTATTTAGGCAATTCCTACAATAGATTTGACCCAGCGGCCAATGCATTTACGTACCAACCCTTCCAAGCTGTCCGATATGGAATCTAGGGGTAATATCAACCAGCTTCCTTTGGAGCACCCTGAGTTTGGGTTGAAGTTTTTAGACATTACAGCGCTGCACAATTGCATTGCCAAGCTGACTTTCAAAAAAAAGGCAAGTGAACTTGTGAACTTACTGTGGGGGGTTCATTGAAGAACTCGTGGTGATGATTATATCAAGCAGGGGACGACACTGAAGTCGGCAACGGGTTCTTTGTCCATGTGCCAGGGGCCAAGAGAAAGTTCATTCTTACGGCCGGTCATAACTTAGTGTCGAAAACGAAACATACAGAGCTCAAGGCTCACCTTTCTAATGGTCAAGTGATAAACATATCGGAGGATGACGTTCGAGTTACCGAAGACTGGAAACAATATCCCGAGGAACGCCGTGCCGCCCAGCATGACTACGGAGTCATCCTCCTAGGAGATGAGGTTAAAATACCTGGTGATTTCGGCTTCTCTCTGCCTCTCAGCTTGGCAGACCGTCTTGATTGCGAGCTGTCAGTGAATGGCTATCGTGTTACTAGCGATCACCCCCTGACCAGTACCGGTCCTTGCGTAAACCCAATTATACATGACAATCAGCTGGAGTACATGATTGAGACAGAAGGGGGCATCAGCGGCTCACCTGTATGGGTCGGCTACAAATCACAACCAACTGTGGTTGCAATCCAGTATTATAGCTCTTCCCGTTGGATCCTGCTTCTCGCGTCTGAAGGATTAGATGTGCGAAGACTGACTCTGAACCCACAGCAACTACGGTCCGAAAATCAAGAATTCACACTATGGTAGCAAAGGCACGCGCATCAACCTGAAATGCCTTCGCAACATCTTTGACTGGACGGGCGTTGACATGACGCCAAAGCTTCTGCGTGCCATCGATCCCGAGTCCAAGTTGGTGGTGCCGTCTCTTCGATTAATATATTGGGCACAAGATAGTGCCTTTCGCGTTATTGTTGATGAGGTCGATGAACCGGCAGAGACGATGCTCATCAGCGTCTTCCCAGTCTATGCCGGGCCGACTGGTGCGAACCATATCAAGTCGGGTTATGGATTCATGCAGACGCGTCCTGACGGTTGGTTGCGTTGGCTATCCTGGAACCCGCCTCCTGCTTCTACAGTGAGTCTAGTTAATGATATTAGAAAAGCGTGGCTTGGTAGACCTGAAGGCAAGCAATGGGACAGTGGTGAACCCTTTGCTATCGTCACTCCTCTTTGGCCCACCTCAGTTTCAGAACAACGGAAAGAATACATGCTGGTCATTGACCTTGCTGAGATAATCAAGAAGGCCAAATGGCGACTCGAAGAGCCAGGCGAGATTCTTAATCTGATAGCCTACCAGCCATTCAGATCCAATCAGAAGAAAATAAAGGTGCGTACAAACGGATGTCTGCGTGTTCCAATCTAGAGGAGGCACCATGAGCTAATCGCAGAACATTTTATTTTACAGGGATCATGTTATTTCAGATGGATCCTGGAGAATTACCCAACTAAAGAATGAAGGTTGTTGCACGTAGGCTTTATAAGAATGAGTACTTTAGAGGGTTTCATAGCTTAGAGACAAAGTCTGAATACATATCTTGTCGGATGCATAATGAGATTCTATAAAAAGCATTTTCAGACATCTGTCTAAGCGATTGTCATGTCAACTCAGCAGGGCCCTAATACTGGAGGCTCTGATGCAATATCACCACCACTCACTCTACTCTCGCAAAATAGCGTCCAATCCAAGTCCAGCTACTACTAACAATTAAAGCCAAATCCACTCATGGCCCTCATCTGCACCCCGATAGGTACATTCACAGACATACTGGATGATGCATGGCCGCCAAGGGTGTAGAGCCCTGGACGAATACGCTTTCCACGTTCCGCATCACTGTCGGGGATGAATCCTACAGCGGCCCATTTACCTAAGTTGGACCTTTCGCCGGTGCTGGTTATGTGAACAAGGTCATTGGCTGCGCGAACATAGGCCTCAAAACCGTCTGCTTGATCATTAGGCAGAATTATGAAGTTATCGACCTCGCCCTCAAACAGTGAGTTGTTGAATGCAAGCTCTGGCGCCAGGGTCAACTTCCATTCTCCCCATCAGAGGTTAGCTGAGATTGGGAGCATTAACTTACTTTGACAACCGCTGTTATCGTATTTCTGAAGCAAACCGCAAATATTCCGATCATCAGAAAGGTAAAACAACCCAAAAGCGTCCGTCAGTCGCAGGGCAAACACAGGGGTGCCAGGTGCTGCTGCGGGGGCAGCCTCAGTTGTTTCTCGATGCGCCCACTTCTTCTCTCCACTATCATACATAATGCTCCCAATAGAACCTGCAGGAGTCTGGTAGAATATAAGAGTTTTAGAATCCCTTGAAAGGCTAGCAATGCGACTGTTGTTGTGGATGGCTATGGAGCCGACGCCGTCAAGAGACGCCTCCTCCCATTCTTGCTCATCGTCAACATCAGACCCGCATTCGACACAGCCAAGCGTGTTGAACTTAGTTATGTAGACAATCGTCTATTTTCGGGGTAAGAACAGAGTTAGCTTTCTTCATCGTCAAATAAGCACGCGGGCAAGGATGCTCGTACTCTATTGGAACCTCTATTTTCGATGTATACCGCAGAAGTGTTTGGCTTCACATCTTCCGCTATAAAGAGCTCGTCAATGAACTCAAGCCCCCCAAAGCTCTGCCGGACTAGGTCACCCTCATTTTCTTTAAAGACATGAAAAAAAATTCTCGTCCTTTGCTTCAAAACCTACAGCGTTAAGGTAAATAGCAAGTCTCTCGACATCTAAACTCATGATGGGAGTTGTTTCTTCCTCTTTCTTTTTTATTCGTTTTGGCGTTATGTGACTTGAATTCTGTATAAAGCCGTTATTCCTGAGTTTTGATTATTGTTGTACCTTTGGCGTCACAAGAGTGAGGCTCTGCTCGATACTAGACCCTTATATTACGCTCCCATTGCTTCGCCCTTTTCTCTTCCTCTCTTCTTTGCTCCATGCTTTCTCCCTCAATCCCCCCACTGTCCTTCCTCTCCTATCTATTTTTATTTATCTTTATATTATATTTTCTGGAATATGTAAAAATGGATTATCCATTCACCTATTGCCACGAATTTAGTTTCTACGTAATGTCTTATAGCTTGGAAATAGCGGAATGCATGCGTGCATATGCAATCATACTTCTTAATATCTCGTGTATGCTGGGTTGCGTAATACCAAAATTGAAGAAACTATGAAGATGCTTTCTTCGCCTTGAAAATTATAACAAGTTGCGAGCAGTGCGTTGCAACGTGTATTCGTGCCATTCCCTCAGTGGCTTAAATCTACATGGATGCGTGGATAATAACATTAGGTGAATAAAAGTGAAAAAGAATGCAACCACAATGCATACCTTACCAATAGATTGCAGGATAGTCGGGAAACAAAAGCTTCGGTTATGAGACCAAAGTATCCATCGTCTCACCGAACCTCGACACCATTGGATGCCTTGTAGTTGGGCGTATTTGCATGTTTTGCGGGGATACGGCTCGCTCTATTGCAGATACTTACACTTCTCTAGTGTATTTTGCCACATTTCACGCTGATGTAGGCATACGTATGGTACCAATATCTCAATATTACGTACCTAGGTAGATGAGGAAGTTTGCTCCCCTCCCGATCCGCTTGAATTGGGGAGTAGCCACATAATTGCGACGACCAATCTCATAGCCAATGTCATATACATGTACCAAAAACACGCCTACACCCTCGAAGTATCACTTGCCAACAAATTTTGCATCTAAGCTCTTCATACGTTGATGTTCCTGCATTATAAACTCCACTCACCATCGCTGGTCGCAGTTGTTGGGCGTGAAGCTACATATACTTACCTAGAGCTATAATTCCCGATGTTTGGGCAATACAAAGTAATTACGAGTCCGAGTTCGGCGGTCAAACGTGTTTCGTAAGGGTGGCGGTCATCTTGCGACGTAGCATTTACTTATTGGCGCGCTCTTCGACGGAGTAAAGATGCGGCGTGGAATTGATGCCCGAACAGCAACATCAAATAATTCGCAACACGCACCCATTATGATCTCACATCAAACACTAGAGTTTATTCGATGAGTTTATCCCTCTTCTGGGTCACTTCATGTGTTAAACCCTTTACTGGGAGGACCAAGGGTGTCAGGCTCACAGACTTTCCCTTCCTCAATGAAATATAGCTCCGACATTCTCATAGCTGATCCCACCAACTGGGATGATCTTTTGTTCTCTTCCAGATACCAAGTAGAAATCTGTGGCGCCAGGAAATCTGGGTACATGTTGGATGTCATGTGAGTTGTTTCATAGAAACCCCATGGTAGAAGCCTTTGTTCTATACCATACGGGCCCGATTATCGGTGATCACATATTGCACCATCCCGTGTATATTGTAACAAGTGCATAGAATGAAATTTGCAAAAACCTTCTTGTATATCTGCTAGTGATAACTCTCCCGGACGTAACCAATGGGCAATGATCGGAGTGGATGCGGCAGGATTTCAATACTTGTCATAAAGGTGCCAATGCGCAATTGGTACCATTATAGCTTATTCCAACAAGAAATGTTGATACAAGGAAAATTTTGCAGCTTTACTTAGAAGCTACCCCCAGTGTATCAGTTAACAAGAATAGTCGATAGGTAGGTACATACTTGTAACCATCACGACACTTTATAAGCCGTAAAATACTAACGTAATTGATCCCCAGACATGCAATGCACTGCCCTCAATGTTTTCAGATGGAGATGCTCGTTTACTGAACTCGGCAACATGGTCAACATCAGCGTCAGAAATGTGTCAAAACGGTTGGCCATGAGGTGGTCAATCGTAGGGATATTATGGCAATGCCAAGCTAGGCGCCCTGTTCGCCACGCAACTCATTGACATCCTCCATTAAGGGTGTGATGCTTGCAGCAATATGGGTGAGGAGACGATTCGCCTTATTCTCCAACTCCGGAAGCATAGACCTTCCGATGTAGAAGCTATCTGGACACCTGATGGCTATCTTTTGTAACCACAGAACGCTGTTGCAGGTATAAAATTGCGGTCCTGACTCTACTAGCATAGCTTAGAAACCTCTTGAGAATCGAAATTCTTAAATAACCTTCTTCTTTTACGCGGGTCATTTCAATATTCCAGTCAAGGTGTATACACTGCTTCATGTTGACGGTTCGTATTTAGCTGAAGCATAATGATCTATTTGGATACTCGTGCCTAATAAATTTGAAGTTATAACTGCTACATCCGTCACCATAACACTCGGCATTTCATCAAGCTTCATCAATTGCTACATTTCCATCACTTGAAGGTTATTGTTGAGACATATGTCTGTATACTTGTCTCAAAACAGTCCAATCGGGTAATGAAGTGTGTGTCACGATTCAAGGGGCCAAATTGAAAATGGGGTTTGTAGCGTGTATTATCGTATATCCAAAACGGATTGCCAATAATAGGCATCACCCGGGTATCTATCAGCCTCTCCCCATTCACATCCACCAGATCCTCCTTTTTCTCCTTTCCAATTACTTACTATAATTACTATTCTCTCTCTTTCACTTATAGGTTTATTCACGTGTATGTTCGTTTACTGGACATCAGCAGCAGCCTCAGTACCGGTGGTACCCTGCTGAGCCTTCCTGGCAGCGTTAATGGCACGCAACTTGGCAGTGCCAAAACCAGCCACGCCGTCCTCCTGGTTGTCGCCCAGCCAGGGCTTCTTGGAGTCGCCGAGGACACTGCCGGAGAGGAAGTAAATGACAAGACCGATGATGATGCAGACAAAGGCAATAGGGTACAGGTAGTGGATGACGTAGCCAAAGACGTGGATGCCGATGATGACACCCCAGAAGTTGGCCGTCAGCAGCGAGATATCGAAGAAGGCAGCACTGCCCATGCGCAGGATGAGGGGAGCCAGGGTATAGAAGATGAACAAGCAGAGGGTGTAGCCGGCGAGCCAGCCGCCGACGGAGTTGTCCCAGTGGGCATCGCGGAAAGACTGGCGATCAAAGATGGCGGCCTGGACACCATTGATGAACATGCCGAAGAATCCCATAAAGGCCAGGACGTGGTGCATGGGGCGCTTGGAGACGAGCCACTCCTCAAAGACGTTGGACACACCGTAAAGAGTGGCGCCGAGCAGACCAAAGAGATCGCCCTTGACCATGTCGACACCAGGGCCACCGTTGGAGCCTGTGATGTGGTCCGAGGCGAGCAGAATTCCCATACCACCACAGCAGATGAGGATGCCAATGACCTGGAAGAGCTTGTAGCGCACGCGCAGCAGGATGAAGGAGATGATGACAACGCAGACGATGGACCAGAAGTTGAGCAGCTGGGCAGACAGCAGGTTGGTGTAGCGGTAGGCCAGGACGGTGAAGTAGTTGCCCTCGACGTCAAGGAAAGACATGATGAAGTAGCGCCAGCCGTCCTTGAGCATGATGTCGAGCCAGACACGGGGGCCGTCACGCCACAGGGTGATGGTAGTGTAGACGAGGAACAGCAGGATGTAGTTGAAGACGGTCTGGAAGGCGGGGATGTTGGTGCCAGCGTTTGCGAGGAACGAGGTGAAGGTGTTTGTGCCGGTGATACACAGCGACAAGACCTGACCCACGGCAATAACAGCCCAGAAGTCGGCCGTAGCTAGGTAGGACCACCAGTGGACGGACTCGGCCTCGAGGATGTGGATGCCCTGGGAGACGGTGGCATCGGTGACGGCGGCGTCATTGTTGGCATTGTCGCCATGGTCGACGATTTGGCTGTTGATGTTGCCCTCGTTCTTGCCCCCCGAGCCGGAAGAAACGACAGTCGAGCTAAAGCCGAGCTTGGAGTCGGCCTCGACAGGGTTGACGGTCATATTGACTGTACCGTAAAAAACGTGCTGATCGGAATCTGATATGAGGAGAGGCTGAGAAGAGGAGGAAGCTGCTGAGGCCGAAGAAGAAGCTGAAGCTGAAGCTGTTGGCGATGCTGATAGTCGAAGGCGGGGGTTCTCGCTGGAGCGGGTCATTCAATTGCTGGCGGTGGCGTTAGACGAGCTGAAGTCTATATATCAAAGACTGGAGAAGGGCCCCAGCGGGTTGCCAATGCTCATACCTGGTGTATTGGATCGGGTGAAGCACAGGTGTTTGATATTGATGCTGAATATCTCCCGATTGGCGGAGTCTTTCTTCGTCACCTAAGATTGCAGCAAGCGCAAAGACTCCAAGTCGCTTGCCGGTAAGCCTATGATTCTGCAGGACAGCACATAAAACCCGCTCGACAGGAGCAGATTTACAATGTAGCTGTATAGAGGGGGAAGAGGATTGAGGCAGAAGAAGACAAGGAGAAGGAGAAAAAAGAAAAAGAAAAGAAAAGAGGCTAGTCGGCGGCGAGCGCGACAAGATCAATGATATGATCCATGGCGGGCAGAAAAAAAAATGATAAGCTGAAAGCAGAAGGTAGGCGGTGGCGGGTGCTAGCGGGAGGAGGGACGTACTAGGCAGTTGGCGGCGTAGAAAGCGGTTTAGCACGGGGGGGTTAGAGGGGCGGGGCTGGCCTTATGGGGGAGGAGTTTTGGTTCTTTTTTATTGAATTGATTGCTATTGTTTTTTTGTCAAGGTGAGAGGAGGAATACGAGTATCGCACAGGTTATCAGATGTGAGAAAGAGGGAGAAGTAAAGAGAAGAAGCGGGAAGCAGAGGAGAGAGCAAGCAAAGTCAGGCAGTGAGACGCCATGCAGTGGACACTTGGCCAGCGAGGCTGAAGAGCTGAACAAGAAAAAGACCACAGGACCTCGCTCTTGCAGCAGCCCCCAAAACACAAGCCGCCACTTCTGATCAGTCGCCGTGTTTCGTTGGACCTCACAGGCGAGAAACAAGCAGAAACGGCGCCAAGCAGCGGCCCGCCGTGAGAAAAACTCGTTCTAGTGGACGCTTCGCATACCCTTGCAGCGGGGTCATGCGCCATTCGGGCCGCTGTGATTGGAGAGCATTGGCGTGCTAGACGGTGCTAAAGCAAGTTTTTGGGTGATAGAGCGATGAATGGGAAAATCTTTTCTTTTTTTTTTCTTTTTTTCAAATGGTTGAGGAGGATGTGATAAGATGTGAAAGGAGAGGAGAGGGAGCTGAAGGGGGTGGCCATGTGGTGAGGTGGCAGCGAGCGTGGGGAAGAAGAGACATTGAAGAGAAGAGTGTTGAATCCATAGGAGTCTATTGCTGTCAATCTATTGTCAATCTCTTGTCAATCTATTGGGTATATCAACTCTGACAACCATCTATCAGCATTATCGTAATTCGTCATCCATCATGGCATACCGTATACTGCACTTGTACTCGTACATACTATGTACACTCCATTTTGACTTCAGCTTTGTCTAGCCGCTGCGTATAAGTTCAATGCTAGGCTCTCGCAACAAGCACCATCTCCACCGCTCTCAAGTAGCGCCGCCATTGCTTCCATCCAGCTCACCACCGTCAAGTCCCACGGCCACGTGCGTGGGGGGGCCCCAGCTTTGAAATGCGGACATCCGCTCTTTATAACTGAATGAGCAAACACAGCAAAAAAAAGAAGAAGCGAGCTTGCGCGAGCCCGAAGCCGTTCCCCAGGGCAAGCTCTCCAGGTCAGGGTTTGTCATTCATGCCGAAGCCGAGCGCCGCGCTTCTTTCTCGGGTTATTATTATGTTGTCAGCAGCTCCGGGCGCGTGTGAGGCTTCGGCGAACTCCGCGTGCTTTGTTTGTGCTCTTCTGTGACAAACTCGTCGGTGTCGCGACTTTGCCGCTTGTGTCGATCCTTGGCTTCTTGGCCTCTTGGCATTTTCCTTGGTTTCATGGGTTTGTATGGACGTATAATCGTGCATCGTATTATACCGGTACCTATACGGTTTGTGTTAGTTTTGTTTTTCTTATCAAGTCTCAAAGGCTTTTTAGCGAAACCCGAGTGAAAAACTCACATTTGATTACTTTTTTGTTTTTCATGTCGACGGTCATGCGATAGGATGATGCGGCTTGTTCGTTGCGCCGATAGTGACTAACAAATCCTTGCTGGTCTCGCAAAGAAGCCCACCCAAGAGCCGTGCGTGCGGCAGTTGGCAATAGCTCAATACGCTATTTTTGTGACTCTTCATTCACGAGCTGGGCTTAATGTCCGCCATGGCAGCGCGGATGGTTTTGGCGACGAAATTGTTAGTCGGTGTGTTTGGCGTGATTCTGTGATCAGGCATTGCCGTTGCTGCTGGCGGGAATTCTTGTCAGCTCCCTTGCATAGATAGGTAGATGGACGTTTAGACTTTTGAAATGTCTTGCGTTAGCTTACATGATGGCTTCGTGAGCTGCTGCTGCTGCTGTCCGGCTACAGGATCCGAGACCTCTGGGGGCATTTCACGGTCTGGCAAAGATGCAAACTCCAATGCAAGGAGCTCGAAGCAGTCTTGCTCCGACTTGACCTGAGTCGCAGACGACGCAAGGGTTGGCGGCACCATGACTAGATTTATATGAGCTTGTGTTAGGACAATTCTGTTCTGATCGGTTTATCAGAAGACATACCTGGAGTTGACCCTGCGGTCGAGCTCTGGTTCGCCAGCTGACTTGGATTCTGATATTGATTATGATTCTGGTACTGATATTGACTCGAACTCTGGTATTGACTCGGACCCTGATATTGATTCCGGCTGTGATACTGATTCGGGTTCTGGTATTGATCCTGGCTTCGACCTTGATTCGAAGACATTGCTGCTGATCCAAAAGCTGCAGCGTCTCTTGTATTCATCTGCCAGAAGCCGTCTCCAAGAACCGCAGCTCGAGCAATGGATGTGTAAATAGCAGTATCCATGCCTTGTTTATAAGAAATAGTATAGTATTAGCAAGCAAACCGCCCAAATGCCCGCAATCGGCACACCCGCTTTTTTTCCTCTCGGTTTAGGATTCCGCAAAAAGATGTCCAACGACAGCTATATACGTACGTCCCTGGGCTTCGGCCTGGCAATGGCATCATCGTTTCTGGATTCCTCAGAACAGTGTCTGTGTCAAACAGTAAGCTCCCACATCCCCACTTGGCCCGAGTAGCGAACTTGGCTCCGAAGCCGATCCCCTTTTTTGTTTACAGTATGATGGTATGTGTTGACAGGACACCAACTCTGAGAGAAATAACGGGTTTCTTGGCTTTTCTTCTATTTTTGCCTAGTGCCTTTCCTCAACGGCTAGGTGCCCAAGCTTCGGGGCGGCTCCGCTGTGTCTTTGTCTTATTGAAGGATCGTTGCCAAGAACTTGCGACTCAACAATAGTGCAGATACGGACCTCGTCTTACAGACTCAGAAGCGAGAGCTCTATCTGTCGAGACGCGAAATCCGATACCCGATGCAACAATAGTTGGTTGCAGAGCCCTTTTACAGTCTCAATCCTGCCGCTCGTCCGTCTCTTGCTCACGCACAGTGCCATTTTATTCTTGCTCATCGGCGAACGACTCATAGCCTCGTGTAGTCTTTCCCCAAACGAGCCAAGGGCCACTATTTGCCCGATAGACTCTGGCCGAAGGCAATGAAAAGGCCTACGAATTGGGCCTACGAATCAAGTCAATAAAAGGGCTTGCTGGATCGAGGGTGTCATGCGAGCTCGCCTGCTCGCGCCAACTAGCTACTTTCTGATCTCAGACGCCATAACCTGCCAGGCGACGTCGAGTCTTTGTCATACGGGTATTAGACTATAAAGATTGCCAAGTCTTGCGTTGCCCAGCTTGGGAGTTTGCACGAGTCAGAAGCACACTCAATTCCTGCAACGTAAGCGCCGTGCGCGGCCAACGGTTCTGGACAACCGGGATGTCACAACAGATGCAACCTCTGGGTTTTATTCTATCCTCTTTCTTGGCATTCATTCGAGGCCTTCTTTTTTAAGCCGCGTCTTCGGAGATGCAGGCCGTGACAACCAGTCATCCACCTATTTCTCCTCGGAGTTATGGGTGGCATTGCTTCTAACTTTAGGTGTTAATAGCTAGGTGGTTTATTAATACAGTGTGAAGGAGGTATGTGTAGCATTTTGATCCCGACTCCGAAGCCGCGCTCGGCCTTGCGCGACCAACACTCCGTCGTTACGTTGAAACCTGCTCAAGATTTGTGATGTCGAAAATTATTTAACATGTACGACGTCGCGCAACCCCGGCAAATGCTTCGGCATAGGTTTGCCCGAAATCTGCAGTTAAGATTACATGGGCTAGCTGCGTCTCTATAAAACTGTATAGGGCATATGCGTATCCGCTAAATAATACGAGGTCGGAGTTCTGGATGTTCTTGGCACGACTTGAACCCCAGCCAAATTTTGTTTGTTGGCATCCTTTCACAAAGTACATCTAAGCGATAGTCAGTTGACACTATTAGAGAGGTGAAAATTTTTACACATGCATATTGAAGCAAGAAGGATAATTTTAACCAAAACGATGTCTAATAATAGAAGGGGGGGAAAGCCTTCTCAAGAGAATGTAAGATACATGATGATAATGCTAATGATGAAGAATAAGAACAAGAGTGTTGAAACAAAGGAGGTCGTGCTCCGGAGGTTGTGCTCCCAAAAGCGAGCGCAAGAAGAAGAGAAACCCTAAAGCGCATTGCCTCTTTGCCAGAGAGGCAGACGCAGACGAATGTAGACGCGCCCAGCAAAGAAGAAAGGATCCCGCCAAAAACATCGCTTTTTGTACAAGAACAAAGACCGACATGAAACGAAAACAGAAAAGGAAACAGAAACAGCAACAAAGACAACCCAGAAATAACGACAGAAAGAATGAAAGAAACAGAGCCCATCAACCCAAATCAACCGTCAACAAGGGGAGGAGAAAAGAAAGCAAATGGTAAAGGCTTCAACGCTTCAACGCCTCAACTCATGCACGCACTCAATACCAAGTCGGTGGCGTCGTCCAGTGTCTCAGCATCGTCTCAATCGCCGCCCTCCATTCGTCCTCAAAGCACGTCGCCAGCTGCTGAACCATCTTCTCGCTTGGCCCCTTGCCTCCCCACATCTCCGGCTTCCGTGCCTCTGCGTCCGAGAAGATCCTCACAAGCCCGTCGTCCCGCATCCGCGTCAGGCACAGCCACGCCAGGTTCCAGCTGCGGTTGCTCTCCGGATCCGAGCGAACACGCCGGTGCGCCTCGGCAACAATGTCCGCACTCAGAGGATAGTTGCGGGTCAGGCCACGGAGCTCGGTGAGAAACTGGTTGCTCGATACGTAGTGGATCCAGGCCGAGGTCATGGGTTGCTGAAAGGCTCGTGCGTCCGCCTCCGAGTCGCATGTTGCAGCAATACGCTCGATGCGACAGAGCTCCGTCAGTGTGTTGACTCGGTGGGTATTGAGCGAATCAATGAGCTGTTGAACAGATGACTATGCCGTTGTGTTAGCGGTGCTTTGCTCCGTCAAGCTTCTACTGGCCTCGTCCTTCATATAAGCCGGCGGTGCGAGCCTATGCAAGTGGTCATGTGTAACTTTATACATGGTTGTATTTGTATACACGGACCATTATGTGCATGCATATGCTCCTTATGCAACACATCCAAAGGCAAAACAAGTACAACTTACCCTAGGCTTCTCTGGAGTCTTGGACCCCCTGGAGCTCACACTACCACCGCTTCGAGGAGTAGACATGGTTGGCTGAGTGTTTTGGTCGGCTGTTGAAACAAAGCTTGGTATAGGCGAAGAGGTGTGGCGTTTGCTGTTGGCGTCGGTGTCGGTGTTGTGCGTTGTTATTGTCTGCTGTAGTTGTTGTGGGTGGTTGTCGGGTGTTTAGTGATGCTGCGTTTCGAACTGAAGCTGCAAGATGGGAGATTTTGGTTTATATCCTTTGTTGAAGCTTGCGAAGCTCACAGGCTCCAGTTTCCTATCACGGAAGCCCTCTTGGACAACCCTTGCCACTCTCATGCCTGAAAGGAACAGGTGTGTGTGTGAAGCCTGGTGTTGCGAGTGGTTTGGAAAAGTCTGCCTGCCAACCAACATGGATGAAGCTTATTGTGTCGACAGTTGTACAGCATCGAAACGATGCAAGTGACTCAGTCCAAGAGGATGAGGCTCCTTCGTAAGGCTTTGTCAATGGGGATTGGCACGAGAGGATGCCAATATACGGCCCGGTTGTCAGCGGATGTTAACAGTTCCGTTGGGATGGGAACCGTTAAGCAACGAAAAGGCCAGGTGAGGAAACAAGGCACAAGGTCAAGTCCACAGTTCGAGGTGGCTGCATGGGATGGGGTGGGCTTCCCGTGCTGACGATGGGCCAGACTCCCCACGTCTTTGGTAGCCTGAACTTATCATTTGGAATGGGCGATGCTAGTCGGTCTGACTCTGGGCCATCTGATACCATCGCCAAACCAAGACTGGTGCCACGGCACACCCCTAGCTCTAACCTCTTGTCATCGACCCCAACTCATAGGGCTTTCTCATATTCTGCCCTGAAGGTGGAGCTGTGAGATACGAGAGCCTGCCCAGAGAAGTCTTGTCCTTTTGCGTTGCAACACTTGAGTATCGGTGCCAACGGGAGTTTACAGTAGACTGGGAGCGGAAAAAGGCCAACTAGTTTACAAAGCGTGTGCCCTCCTCCCTCAGGGCCCCGGCGGATCCACCGAGCGATCGACTGCAGAGTTGCTGCGCTAAAACCAGGATTAGAAGCATCAGCACCAGCAGTCCGGTAGTGGTGGCGGGTGTGTGAGATGGATGGCCAACGGCGAACCACGCCAAAGCATGCATTGTCGAGCTGCTTTAGGCAAACGGCACCTCCGCCGGTTCCTGGCCGGGGTGTGAGCTAAGCCGAATCGATGGGCACATCTTGCAGGTTAAGGAACATTCTGTCGCGGCGGATGCCTGGTGCAATCGCGGCGGAGACGGCGCATGTCAGCTTGAGCCGCATCATGGGTGCAAAAGTGCGAGCATGCTTGGAGCAGGCCAACGGAAGCGCGCCGCGGATGGTTTCTGCTGGGCATAAGCCTCGCCGAAATGACTAGCTAGGGCTATAAGCGCGCTAGGGCTTGTTCTCGTATTTCGACGGTTCGTGCAGTCGAGTCAAGAGTTTGCCATTGCAGTCGTCGAGTCTTCTGGCTCTGTACTATGTACAGTAATGCTCAGTAATCCAAACAATGCAAATAGCGATTCACTCACCGGCAGCGCCAACACTGCTAGACTGTCTCCGCGGAGCCCCACGCCCCCAGGCAGGATGCGGATCCTGGAAGAAGCTCCAAAGATACTCTTAGTGCCAGGGGGATGCGAATGCGAAGCCGCCAATGAGAGCCAGGATTCCCCGAAACCATTGAATATTTGTCAGGGATGCGGAAGAAGCGCAGGGACGCGCTTAGAGAGTTTGACGCAGCACCGCCACGCCGTTAACCGCGTGGTGGCTAGGGAGGGGGCTGGAGGCGCTAGCAGAGGGCTGAAGCCACCTGGAAAAGTCTCCGGCTGCCGGCTAACCTGCAGCAAACGTCTACGTCAGCACGCATCACGATGAGAGGAGAGTTGATGAGATTCTGCCTCGCCTGAGCTCATGCTCCTTTCGGATCTATCCTCTTCCGCGCGTCTATGGACCTATCAGAACAGGGCCAGCGCCAAAAGACTCCAAAAGCGGCAAATGCAGAACAATGAGATGGAAGATTCCGAGCTGAGTCATGCCTGTTTTGGCGCCGCTACGGCTAAAGAGGTTGGGTTGTGAGGCCTCGCGCTTGTTTGGCCGGCACGAAGACGCAATTCCCATTCGGCAGTCTGGGGCTCTGCCAGTTGTTTCAACGAGTACGCGTCTACACCAGCAGCTGCAACATAACCATTATTAGGGCCGGATCTCGCTGATGTTACAGATGTTGCGGTAGTTGTCAATGAATAAATATCCGCCGCACCTTGCCTTGCCCCAACTTGTGCAAGATGGCTCCTCAACGCAGCCACTCTGCGGCACGAGGCGCCCATTCCCGTGTTATTCCACTCTGCTCCGTGCCCTCCGCTCGGGCCGGATTGACGTCCAGACAAGAAGGACGATTGCCTAAATGGTAAGCTTCTCCATTCCTAGCGGTCCAAGAACCCCTTGAACGGACTATCTTCGGCGGACAATACGGAGTGCTGAGCGCACAAATCTTGACCGGACAATCTGAGCGGACAATCTCGCTTCACTCCGTGCTGTTTTGGCGAAGGCTCTCTTCTCCCTTTGCTTGGCCGTCTAACCCAAGCAGGTCAACGATTTCAGCAGCCCCTGGCCGAAATCACGGCCATGTTCATTACTAACAAGAGTATTTTTATCCCCCTTCGAGAATTAATATAGAACACTGAATCGCTGCCAGCACCAGGACCTGTTATGGAGTGCATATTAGTCAGGGAGAGCAGCAGGGGCTCAGCACTTTATATGAGCTGCCGCCCTGCCATGGCGCACAATGCCCACTCCTCATTAATGAGGACAATTTCGGTCTCTTTGCTAATAGAATGCTACAGCACTCTATCTCTGCCTGCACGACAGCCATCTGGCCCAGGTTGTTTTGTTTCGTTTCTGGTGCGACCGGCGAGACATGGATCTCACCCAGCCGTCAAAGCATGGCTCCAGCACGTTCAATCTCTCCCTAGGCGTACCAACTGACATTGTTTTTATTGGATGGTTTCACATTGGGTGGGTTTTTTAGGCGCCATGATACGAGCTTCCTCTGCTGTGCACGGCCAGATGCGTGGCGAACGAGGAGCGATGTCTGGCAACAGCAGGACATGGTTTCATAAGTTGACATAATACTACCCAGCAGCTGACGAGGCTAACAAAGGCAAGTACATAGATGATATGGCATCATAGAAGAAGACCCCGAAAGAAGGGAAAAAGAAAAAAAGGAACAAAGAGACCACAAGGGAAGAAAGAAACAAACAAACAGAGACAGGCTTCATAATTGCAGATCTCCATGCAAGGACGGCAAGATGGGCAGCCCAGTTGTCTCGGTACTTCGGCCCCCTCAGTTGTTTGCTGTGCATCCTCGTATTGTTCCTTGTTTGTGACCTTCGGCCATGGCCGTCTAGCTCCCAATTAGATCCAAGATGTGTTGTTGATGCTGCCCAATCCGGCTAGGCGTTCTGAGGCTATGCACTCCTGTTTCAACTTGGGGGAGTGCGGATCCCTCCAGGGGATGCAGGTACCATTACGGGCACCGCTACAGGTGCCTTACAGGTGCCTTACAGGTGCTGTGCCAGCCAAGGTACCGCTACCGGCACAGGCACGGTCCCTGAGCTGCACGTGATTCCAGCTGTCACTCCCCCTGCCTGTAATTTCGCCATGGCGCAACTCAAAACTGCCGTCCTCTTCTCTCATCATTTCCATTTCCTTTTGGTCTTGACATTGCAAGCCTTCTCATTCTTAGCATTGCCTCGTTTTCTTGTTGCGACGTTCATTTCTTGTCCACACAGACGTTCTTTCCTTAACACTGCCCACACGGCCAAATAGACTCATCGCTCTTTAGCTCTTCAGCTCATTCGCTCGTCGCACATCACGCTCTTTGCACTACATACATTTCAATTTCACCATGAAGCTGTCTTCGACCATCGCGACTGGTGTTGCCCTTGCGGCCGGTGTTTCTGCTGGACAGACCAACTACCTTGGCTTCAACTCTGGCGCCACCCTTCCTGACGAATCCGCCAAGTTCGAGAAGGACTTCTTGGCCGAGTTCACCACGGCCCAGAAGCTTGTTGGCGCCCCCGGCACCTTCAACGCCGTCCGACTCTACACCAACATCCAGGCCTACTCCACAAACACCCCCATCGAGGCCTTTTCCGCCGCCGTCAAGACCAAGACCTACATCCTTCTGGGTGTCTGGGCCTCCGGCACCACCAACATCAACAATGAGCTTGCTGCTCTGAACGCTGCTGTCAAGCAGTTCGGCACCCAGCTTACCGATCTCATCATCGGAATCTCCATCGGTAGCGAGGATCTGTACCGTGACTCGGCCACTGGACGAACCAACAAGGCCGGTGTCGGCAACGGCCCCCAGGAGATTCTCGGCTTCATCAACGACTACAAGAAGGCGTTTGCCAACACCCCCCTGGCCAGCGTCCCCGTTGGCCACGTCGATACCTGGGATGCTTGGGTTAACGGCACCAACAAGCCTGTTCTCGACGCTGTCGACTGGATTGGCGTTGACGAGTACCCCTTCTACGAGACTGGCAAGGGCAATGACATTAGCAATGCCGGCAAGCTCTTCAACGCTGCCTACCAGACCACCCTTGGCGCTGCCAACGGCAAGCCCGTCTGGGTGACTGAGACTGGCTGGCCTCTTACCGGCCCTGACTGGGATGAGGCCAAGCCCAGCGTCGCAAACGCCAAGTCTTACTGGCAACAAGTTGGCTGCAAGATGCTGTTCAACAAGGTGCCCACCTTCTGGTACAACCTGCGTGACTCCAACCCTGCCAACCAGGTCAAGTTCGGTATCAGCCAGAGCCTGTCGACCACTCCTTCGTTCGATCTGACCTGCCCTCCCGAGTCTGAGGAGTCCTCCACCACCGTCTCCAAGCCCAGCTCCACCGGCAAGTCTTCCTCCACGGCCACCACTCTCGTCCAGGCCACTGGATCTCCCTCCCCTTCCAAGGGCGGCGATAGCTCCTCCAACAACGCTGGAGGCTCCAAGTCCAGCAACAGCGATGCTTCAACCACCACATCAGGCGCCCCCGCCGCCACCACCACCAGTGCTGGTGCCGTGACCCGATTCTCCGGAGCTGCCATTGCTGGTGTGGCTCTGGTTGCCGGTGTCCTGGCCTTGTTCTAAGCATGAAGATGGCTTTTTGTAAATAGGGTGTCGTACTTTGTGGAGGATAGATGTTGGCTGTTTTGGGAAATAGACTAAACCAACGATAGACTGGTTTTTGAGACAATAAATGCTTGGCTATAATTTTTTTTTAAACAATTATTCAGTACATTTCTATTTTACTACGGTATCTACTTCTTATTTCTAGTGCTTCAAGGCACGTGTGAGTAAAGTGTTGAAGAACAAAAAGTGGCTTAACATTTCCCCTAATTATGCTTACCTACTTAGTAGGTACTCTATCTTTTTCTACCTTAAAATCAACGCTTTTTGTCATACATAGGTATCCATACATTCAACGCCCAATCTAGAGAGGAGTCACGCACATCCACGAAATCTCTACCAGTAGAGACTCTTACAGGTTTGCTTCTTTGTTTTCTTTTCATCATACACGTCAGTCATCATCTAGACACTGCCGGTGCGGAACAGCTCCAGGTGCTGCTTCTCAAGACTGACACCCTTCTTGAGCAGCTCAGCTCGCGTCTGGATCATCCACTCCTCGGGACCGCAGATGTAGTACTCGGCAGAGGCATCGGTCAGGGGCAGAACACCATCGGCCTCGAGGGTATCCAGGTTCATGCGGCCGGCGTAGTCGTATTGCTGGCCCTTGACGTCGGTCTCGCTGACGTTATTGAGGAAGATCTTGGTGGACAGGTTGGGGTGCTTTGCGTCGGCCTCGCGGATGTACTTGCCGTATGTCACGGCTCCAGCGTGTCGAGCAGCGTGGATCCAGGTCACGGGACGGCCAGCCTGAGATGAGTTGGCGAGGATAGTGTCAAGGATAGACAGCAGAGGTGTGACACCAACACCGGCAGAGAGCAGCACGACGGGGGCGGTGGCGGGCGTGTCAGCGGTGCTGAAGGTGAATTCGCCGTGAGGAGGGCTGAGCTGGACCTTGTCGCCGACCTTGTACTGCTCGTGCAGGCGCTGCGACACGAGACCGGCGATCTTGCCGGCGGCCAGCTCCTCAACCGTGTACGACTCGACGACCTTCTCCTTCTTGATGGTGACGCGGTACTGCTCGGTGCTCTGGTGCGGGGCCAAGCTCAAGCTGAACTGGCGGCTCTGGAACAGGCCGTTGAGCTCCGGGATGGGGATCTGCAGGCTGACATACTGGCCGGGCAGGAACTGCGGCAGCGAGCCGCCGTCGGTGGGCTGGAGGTAGAAGCTGGTGATATTTTCGGCCTCGTCCTCGCGGCGAGCGATGGTGAAGTCGCGCCAGCCCTGCCAGCCAGCCTCGGCGTAGAGAGTCTTCTCGCGCTGGACGAAGATGTCGGCTAGCAGGCCGTAGGCAATGGTCCAGGCCTCCTCGATCTCCGGGGTGAAGGCGTCGCCGAGGATCTGCTTAAAGGCGCCAATCAGGTACTTGCCGACGATGGGGTAGTGCTCGGGCTGGATGAAGAGCGACACGTGCTTCTGGGCGATCTTCTCGACGGCGCCGAGGATGACGCTCAGGTTGTCGATGTGGGTGGCGGCAGCGAGGACCGAGTTGGCCAGGGCGGCCTGTTGGGCGCCGGTTTGCTGGTTGCGCAGCGAGAAGTAGTTCTTGAGCTCCGGGTGGGCGGCGAGCATGTTGGCGTAGAAGGTGGTAGTTACGGTCTTGCCATGCTCGCGGATGATGGGGACGGTGGACTTGACGATGGCGATTTGCTCTGGGGTGAGGGCGGCCATTGTGGCGATGGTGTTGTTTGGTGTTTTGGTGGGTGATGTATTAAGTGCTGTACACGAGAGACAAGAGAGGGTTGTTGCGAATTGATATATATGTCTGTTCTTCCGCGCGTCTCACTCTTGATTTCTGATTATTATTTCCAAGGTTTTTGTTGCGGTAGTGTGTGTGCTGGTGTTGCTGATTGGCTTGTGTTGTGTGTGTTGCTGACGAATTGAGTCTTCTGGGTGGCTGTATAGTTCAATGTTCTATACCGAGTCTAGGTCTAATAGAGGTCGCTTAAATGCAAGTCTATAACAAGACGAAAAAGAGCGAACTGCTGTTGTTGCTGTTGTTATCGTTGGTGATCTGAATAATGAAGCAAAAGCGAAAACCCTCAAGGCAGCTCCAATCACTTATATACTCGTATCCATCCGAACGCCGTCGAAGCCAAAGAAGAAAAAGTTTTTCTTCTAGCCTTTTCCTTCATCCATTCTGCTTCGAACGTCTCCGCGCATCTACGCCTGCATCAACTAGGCTCAGAGCCCGCGGCATCCCAATCCTTCAGCCTCCTTGCGCTTACCCGGCCTTAGTAAGACGGCGCCCGAGCCAATGCAATCGCAGCCATTACCAGCCGGAGATCCGGAGACGCTGGATTCGCGCCGCGCCCGGCACTTTATAAGAAATCATCGGAAGACCCTTTTTTTTCCCTGCTGGACCCTGGATTTTCGCTGCGTATGACGGTTACTGCTGGCTCCACCTGCGGACAGGTGGGCTGATTTGGAAATGCGTCGACGGACCGGAGCGGCGCACATGGAAACAATCGGAATACGAGTTATGATGTCGGGCGTTTCAGGGGTCTTTTGGGGAGAAGGACCGTTTGAACCCAGCTTTGATTTTCTTTTTTACGTGGGACTCAAGGCTCAACTAACTGAAAGCTGACCTAAGGAGACATGGCGCGATCCAGTTATGGGACGGAGAGAAGAATAGACGGAAGAGTCATCGAACCCATCGTACGAGATTTTGTCAAGCGTGCTAGCGGCTATGGGGATATTGGGCTGGAGCATGTCCGCGGAGACTGCAGTTTTCGATTGTGACTTGATTTTTTTTTTTTTTGCTTTTGAAGTTGTCGCGATTTACCTTTCTGACGTGATGTGATGGATTACCGCATGTTCAGTTATAGTGATGTTTAGTTGTTGTTTGATGGTGGCTGGTGGTGCTTTTGGCATCTCTCTTCCCGCCCCCCCTCCTCACTTGCAGCTGTTCGGGTCCTTTGAAGGAGTTAGTTCAACTGCCGTCGTATACTAGGTACCTAGTAGTTGTTTCTTGTCCTCAGCCTCGACTATCGGCATGATAGACTATATGCACCTAGTACTATCATGCAGATGCTAATCCAAACATCTACAGCAATATGTAAACCCACCGTTCGACGGCTTGGTGGCCGGGCGAAAAGCTGACCCGGTATTTCATGCGTCGGCAGCTATAGAAACTTATTTAGGGCCCTTACAAGCATGTGTCAGCCTTCAAGTGGACCTCTTTGCGCCCGAGCTGAGGAGCTTTTGTGTTGTTGATGTTGTTGAATTACAATTCTGGCTTGTGATAGTATGCTGTAGGGTATGCAAGGACGGAGTAATAGTATTGAGTGGCCCCGGATTCGAGTTGGTGAGCTTACGGAGCACAAGCCGAGGTGTCCAGGCTGGTACCAATCGGCATATTGCATTTATAAAGCAAATTGAAAAAAAAGAAGGAAAAAGTTGAAGATACAATCTGGTCTATGCAGAGCATGAACCTCTTTTTTTTTTTTTGCTGACAGCATTGCTGACTCAACACAGAATAGCAGTTTAGAAGTGATCCTTCCAACGAACTTTAGTGCTAAGGAATGCATCAAGCTTACCCCAAGATAAGCCCCGATAAGCCCCGATAAAGCTCATGCTTAGTCATCGGCGGAACGGGGAAAGGTGGCCGTTGACGACATCCAGCCCACCAAAGCTGCTCCAAATGAGGCATCGAGCTATGAACACCACATAAGCTGCCAATATGCGACGCTCACTGCAATCGGCCCTGCTGCTGGGCCTGTCGTCGCTCGTGGCAGCTGTCTTCAAGGACGAGGTTGGCCAAATCGACTTCCACCACGCCCTCGTCGGCCTGCCCCAGAGCGAGACGACCTTCTTCCACCGGCCCAAGAAGGACGAGAAAGCGAGTCTTCTATACACACTCAGCGATGTCGGCGTTCTGGGCGCCGTCAACCCCAATTCCGGCGCTCTTGTCTGGCGCCAGCAGATTTTCCCCGGCATCTCCCACGGAGGCGGCCACCTGAGGGCCCCCGAGGGCGAGAACTGGGTGATTGCTGCGTACGGCCAGCAGGTCCAGTCGTGGGCTGCGCTGAGCGGGAGGAACCTGTGGCAGACCGAGTTCAATGGCCAGGTCAAGGATTTGGAGGTCATGGAGCTGACCGAGAGCGCGAGAAAGGATGTCCTCGTCTTGTTCGAGGAGGATGGCGTCACGGTTCTACGCAGGCTGCACGGCGTTTTGGGTACCGTGGTTTGGGAGTTCCGCGAGGTCTCCAAGGATATCCCTCTCCAGGTGTCCACTAGCCTCTCCAATGTCTACGTCATCAACCTTCACGGGTCTCCTTCTTCCTACAGCTTGAAGGTCACCTCCTTGGAGCCCGCCACGGGAGGACGAGTTGACCACATGATTGTTGGCACCAAGGGCGATGTCCAGGGACCGCAGGATGTCATGTTTGTTGGCGCAAACTCGGCCGCTCCAATTCTCGCATGGGCCAGCAACGATCTAGCCAAGCTCAACGTCCACATTCTGGGCACAAAATCCAAGCAAGAGTTTGCGCTCCCTGCCGATACCGTCTCCGTCAACATACATGCCCCGCACTTGACCCAGTCTCAGCCTCACTTCTTGGTTCACACCCGTACCAGCACGGGCAACAAGGGTGAGGTCTTCCACACCGACTTGAAGTCTGGCCAGATCACCAAGGCATACGAGCTCCCTCTTCTCCCTGGACTCGGCGCATTCTCCACGAGCTCAGATGGTGCTAATGTGTACTTTACTCGCGTCACTGAGGACGAGGTCCTCGTTGTGTCCTCTGACTCGCACAGCGTCCTGGCTCGTGATCCTCTCAAATCCGATGCCCGCGTTGAGGCCGTTCATGCTGTCTCTGAGGTCATCAAGAAGGCTGGCGGCAAGGAGTTCGCTATCCGATCCGCCACCGTCACCAAATCGCAGGAGTGGGTGCTGATTCGAAATGGCCAAATCGACTGGACTCGCTCCGAAGGCCTCAGCGGCGCTGTTGCTGCTGCCTGGGCCGAAATTCCAGAAGCTGAGAACCTGGCCAAGGTGCTTGCCGAGGAGGCACACACCAACCCCTGGGACGCCTACGTCCACCGCCTTACTCGCCACATCAACGACCTCCAGTATCTCCCCGACTACCTTGCTAATATCCCCAATCGAATCATCGAGAGTGTTACTGGCGGTGCTGTTGTAGTGTCCAAGACTACAGGTCTTCACCGGGACTCGTTTGGCTTCAACAAGATCATCATCCTCGCCACCCATCGTGGCCGATTCTATGCCCTAGACACTGGGAACCATGGTGAGATTGTTTGGTCCGCTGAGGTGTTCCCTCAAGCTCCCGGTTCTGCACTGGATGTGAAGGGTATCTTGGTCGACGATTCTGAAGGCACAGTCACAGTTCGTGGCGCCAACGGCGAGTACGCTGTGATCAAAGTGGCTGATGGGCACGTTGTCGAGTCTCAATACGGCGACCACCTGGCTGCCGTCTCTGCCACCGCTGTTATCGAGAGCGAGGGTAGCAAATGGCTACTTCCCCTTGGAAAGGATAGAAAACCGACTGGCGATGTCCTGAAGGACCGTACTCTTGACCAGACAATCGTCATCCGAGAGGAGGATGATTCCATCAAGGGCGTCAAGTTCGTCAACGAAGATGGTCAAATTGTCAAGAATGAGATTTGGCAGCTCCAACTGCTCCCTGGGCAGAAGATTGCGAGCATTGCCAAGCTCCCGGCTCATGACCCAATTGCCTCTATCGGCCGTGTGTTGGGAGACCGAAGCGTCAACTACAAGTACCTAAACCCCAACATCGTTGTTGTCGCTGCCATTGACAGCGCTGCGTCGACCCTTTCTGTCCATCTCCTGGACACGGTTACCGGCCAGCTGCTTGCATCACAAGTGCACGATGGCGTGGATGGTGACAAGGATATCTCATGCACCATTTCGGAGAACTGGTACAGCTGTGCCTTCTTTGGACAGTATATTCTAAACGACGGCACCGACCGAGAAATCAAGGGATATCAGATTGTCGTGTCTGATTTGTACGAGTCCCCCTCACCCAACGATCGTGGTCCCTTGGGCGATGCGGAAACATTCTCGCCACTGGATCCCGTGGACACTCCAACGGGCGTGCCTCTTCCATGGGTCGTATCCCAGACCTGGATCCTATCGGAGCCTCTGAACAACTTGAGTGTTACCCAGACGCGTCAAGGTATTAGCAGCCGACAGCTATTGGCTTATCTGCCCGAGTCTCACGCTATCCTGGGCATCACTCGTCATGGAATTGATCCTCGCCGACCTGTTGGTAGAGACCCGTCTGCGGCCGAGATTGAAGCCGAAGGCCTCGCCAAGTACTCGCCTGCCATTTTCATTGATGGGCGGAATCTGCTTACCCACGAGCGGGACATTGTTGGTGTTAGGGGCATTGTGACCACGCCGGCCGTGGTGGAGAGCACAACCTTGTTGGTGGCATATGGTATTGATATCTTCGGAACCCAGAATTCGCCAAGCGGAATGTTTGATATTCTGGACAAGGGATTCAACAAGATCACTTTGCTTGCCACGGTATTGGCGCTCACGTGGGGAGTCGTGCTGCTGGCACCCATGGTAGGTTTACCCGCTTCCTGCAGCCATGAAGACTTGAAAATAATAACTGACTTGTTATGCAGGTTCGGAGGAAGCAAATTAATCGGAAATGGGAAGCGTTTTTGTAAAACAGAACAAACGACGATGCGATTAGAGGAGATAAATCACGGATACTACACGCTGGATTTATAGTTAGGCGGCGCGCACGCATTTGCCTTGGGAGCCTGCGCTTTAATGTATATGAACAATGAAAGAAATGGAACGCATTTTTGGATGAAACTTTTGAATGAAGCTCTATTAGTTGTTTTGATCTATTCATTGCTTACTTTACTAATGTCATTTCCCAGCCTAAGCCTCGGGCCAGTTACCAGTAAAGACGATACAGCTTCCGTTGGCACTCTGGCCGATGCCATCCTCGGTCAGAAATGCCACGTATCTCGCTACGTGATCGACGGGTACGTTGTTCATCTTGGGATGTACCTCTTTGACGGCCTTGAAGCCCTCAACGTTCATGCCCTTGGCGAACGCATCGCTGATGTTGGTTTCAGTCATGCCGCCCGGCTGTAGCGCAACAGAGTAGATGCCCTTGGGGCCGTAGAAGCCCGCCGTGTGCTTGGTCAACGCAACGAGTCCGTGCTTGGATGCCGTGTAGGCTACTCCAGCAGTGAGACCCGAGAAGGAGGCCGTGGAGCCGATATTGATGATGAGGCTGCCTGGCTTGCCGGCTTCTACACTGGCTTGAAGGTGCGGCAGAGCGTATTTTGTGACGAGAAATGCTCCAGTAAGGTTGACGGCCAGGATGCTATCCCACATCTTCTTGTCGCAGTCGCCGATGGGATCGAATTTGTCCATGATGCCAGCGTTGTTGATGACGATGTCGAGGTGGCCGAAGTACGCCACGGTCTTTTCGATCAGGGCCTTGACGGACTCCTCGTCGGCGACGTTGGCCTCGAGGGCGACGAATCGTTCGATAGGGATCTTGGGTAAGAGCTCATCTTTGATAGTCTCGAGGCGAGAGGGGTTGATGTCGCAGACGGCGACGCTGGCGCCGCGGGAGAGGAGGGTTTCGGCGATGGTTCGGCCAAGACCGGCCGCGCCGCCGGTGACGAGGATGACTTTGGATTCGAGAGACATGGTTATTGTTGCGATGAAAGTGAGTTGAGATGACAGAGGATAGAGGGCAAATGAGAGGATTGAGGGGATATATATGGTGTGTATCAACAGTTACACAAGTTTAATGCTGGCAAACCTCCCCTTCTTATACACAGCCCAATCGGCATACTCCAACTGCTCATTTCCCGCCCAGCCCAGTTTCTGCCTGCCAGCCTCGTCCGAAGAGGATCAAACACGCAAATCCGGTTCCCGCCCTGTCTTGTTCCTCCCGCCGCCCATGTGAGGCCTCGCCTCGCCTCGCCTTACCAGCCGCCCGCAAAAGCAAATACGCGTATCCGTTGGTTCAAGCCAAGCGTGACGAAGCCACCCCCAATATTGGCTTCAGCCGCAGGTGATTGCCTGGCTGCGGGCGATGCCAGCTGAGAACCAGGGTTCATTTCATTCTCTAGCTATGTTTGGGAGTATTTTTGAGTGTTACAGCTGACCTTTTTATCCAGTCATAGGCATATTTGCTCTTGGGTCTTTCCACTCATCCTCATCCATCGCAGCTGGAGTTGAGACATTGTTACTGTGTGGGTTTTGAGCTCTTTTTGGCACGCTTCAAGCGGCCGCCTTTGCGGGAAAATTACCGAATTGGGCACTCCGCACATGGAGGAACCGTCACTCCCAGTTGGAGATGCGAATACGATTCACAGTAACGACTTGAGACTACCAGTGTCTCCTCAGTCGTATACGAAATACGTGTATAGGATATCGAAATATGGAGTGATTTATGGGGAACGGAACCATAATACGCGTATTTACTAGGTACTCCACAGAGCTGCTCGAGGTCGACCCTTGACTTTCGAGATTCAAGATCCTGGTAGACGAGACGATCAGGCGGTAAGTGCAACATGCACGGCCGGAAATTACAGGGACTTGAATCGAAAGTGGAAGAAAGGCCACAATTTAATATGAACCTCTGATAGGTAGCTGCGTGTTGTGGACTGGCCATCCTGGTAAGAAGTTGAGGAGATGCTACATGAAGAATTGCTTTGCAGAGAATAAAGAGACGAAATTTTAGAACTGGAGTACATTTCATCAAGTACTTTACTTAAAGAAGTTGCTTTTCCTCGACCACTACACCCCATTCGTGGTGCTCGTTTCCATACATGATGTCTGCCAACCAACTCTTGATCAAAGCGGCATACCCATCCTTGGCTATGGTGATCTCCAAATCCCGATCTTGGTAGTTAATCGCTGATACAGGCGCAACAAAGTAAGCCGTACCAGCGGCAAACGCCTCGATTACACGGCCGTGATCTACAGCATCGGCAACTTCATCCATTGTAAACTTGCGTTCCACAATCTCCAAGGCCTCCAAGTGGCCTTGACCACTTGCAAGTCGCTCCCTTACCAACTGGAGGATACTCCTCCGAGTTACGCCGTCGAGGATCATTTTGACATCCAAAGGAGCAGTGACGAGTTGAGATTTCCCGTCTGCAGTCCTCCATACTATGAAGAAGTTGCTTGCTCCAGCTTCAGTCACCTCGCGTTCTTCGCCAAAGAGCCACAGGACTTGGTCATAACTACGACCACGAGCTTTGCAATTGGCCAACAGAGATGGACCATAGTTGGCGCCCACTTTGGCATATCCGAATCCGCCGGGCCAGGCCCTGACCATGTCCTTCTGAGACGCCATCAATCTCAATTCCAAAGGGGAATTCGGGGGTGGCATGAAGCAAGCAATGACGAAGAGAGTGCACTCTTTTGGTGTCTGAAATGCTAATGATGCAGAAGAGCCGATCATCGTTGGACGCTGTTAAGGTTAGTCTGTGATTCAATATACGTATAATAGAGAGGCTTACTAGATAAAGGGAAGAGCCCTTCTCAGGCAACCACTTCGGACCATCCGTAGCAATAAAAGTCATGATGAGCTTCTCCAACTCTTCGGGATCAAATGCAGGGAGAGAGATGCGAGTTGCCGAAGCAAGCATCCGTTTGCAGTTTGCGTCAGGTCTGAACAGCCGCAGCATGCCGTCGTATCCTCGGTACATCTTCATTCCCTCCAAACACTCGGTGGCATAATGGAAGACGCTGGCCGTAGGTGGTAAAGAGAAATTCGTGTATGGCTTCAGCTCTGGATCTTCCCAACCATAATCGGCGCGCCAGATGGCGGTGATCATATGATCTGTGCATTGGGCATGTGTAGCAATGACTGGATCGCCTGGTTTTGGGACTGCCATTGGAGTTGTTGTTTTGGTAAATTTCAGCTTGGAAGCGTCCAGCGGACGTAGAGAAGGTTTGGAACTTTGCATGGCCATGGTGATGGTTGGAAGGTTGTGGCTATGATGTGGGATATGAGAATCGTTATGCACGGACAATGGATTCGATGAGAACCATTATGTAGGCTAGGCACATGTATTTAATTGAGTTGTAAGAGAGGATATTGAACAGCACCTGGGCAAATATCTTCTATTCCAAACAAGAACGGCCATTGATAGCAGCGAGAGTGAATGTGTGCATCCATCACTACTCAAGCTTGCGATATTGAAACTATTCGCATCTCCAATAGTCCGGATAGGCTGCTGCATTCTTTGCCGGTTGGACGCCACCTGGGTGACTTTCATTCATGTTGCCAACTTGGGCATATATTAGCGGTCATAGGTAAAATTACTGGCATTGTAGCCCCTTGCAAACTTACATGCACCTAGACTAGAGTTCTAGCTCTTACAGAGTACATGCATTGAACCGAATACTTGTATCGTGTTTCGAGAGGGGTTCAGCGCTTGGAAGGCGGATAACCTTATTTCAGCAGGGGTCTTGTCACGGACTACCTTAATCTGGTAATCGAGAACGACAGCTGAATGCCCTGCTTCGGCTATCAAAACACAATCACTAATCACCATTGAGTGGATGCCTCATTCATTCTATGCGGTTGTGATGCTGATAGACTACTAGAGATGTCGTGGACTGGAAGCGCAATGCCCATCCAGTTCCATGACATGAACGCATCTCAACCTCCAAACACAAAGCTATTGCCACAGGATTATTTTACATACTCCCTAAGCATCTACTGAGAGGTGGAACAAACTAGCGGTAACATCCAAGATGCGACATGGTCTTCTGTCGCCCATCTCAATGGCTTTGCTTAGCCAAATAATGATTCTGCCTGCGACGGCCGTGGCAATGGCCAAGCAGATGATGCCCACATCTACCAACATCGACCTGACTTTGACGCCGCTGTTTGACGGAGATCAGGGCAGCGCTTCGGCCATCAATGTAAATCAAGTTATATGGGGACGAGCGTTCCGACAGGGACAAGATGTGTTCGCGCTGCCCATCAACACTGTCAACATCGACATGGGATACGTCTCAGACGCGGGCGTTTTGTTTTCTGATGCCGAGGGGGAGCTACAGGCAACGGAGCGCATCGGGACGTCTGGCCCATCCACGGCCCGGGTCTGGAAAGCTGGCCGCCCGACTGTTGGAAATGTCAGTATTGTCTATACAGCCCTTCCGCGGCTCATCTCGAGAGGGACGAAAAACGGCCCCGCCCTCGACTTCCGGCTGGATCAGGGCGGGCTGGTCGGCTCGGGCATGGCATTCTTGGGAGCGCCTCCGTACGAGCCGGAAGCGCCGGTCCACACGACTCTCCAGTGGGATCTGTCAAGGAGTCCTGAGGGAACGTTGGCCGCATGGTCAATGGGAGACGGCGAGGGCCCCTTCGAAATAGCCACCGAGAGTCTTCTTGGTATTGCTTCTGGCGTGCAGGAAGCGTACTTTGCCGTCGGCCCTTTGAATCGACTGACCTCTCCTGACGACTACATGTATACAGACGAGGCCGACGTCTTCAACATGTACTGGTTTGGCACTCCAACCTTTGACCCCTTGCCGCTGGGGGTGCGCCTTAAGAAGCTGTTCCGAGAAATGTCTATTTTCTTCCAGGACAAGGGGAACAGCTATCGTATCTTCCTGCGGCACAACCCGTTCCGGGGCTCTCTGACGGGGACTGCGCTCCGTCGATCCTTTATGTACGGCTACGATGACTCTGAATGGGACTGTCCTCCGACTTTGCAGGACCGCGAGGCGGTGCTGGCGCATGAGATGGTCCACAACTGGGTCTTACTCACCCAGGACGGCGTGGCCGATAATTGGTACCATGAAGGGCTTGCCGAGTATTATCAAGTTCTCCTCCGCTTCCGCTTCGGCAATCTGTCGGCACGGGAGTACTTGGAGCAGGTCAACGAGAAGCTGGTTGCCTATTATACGAGCCCGTTGGTCACCTGGCCTCTGGAGCGAGTGCAGAAGGTGACTTGGAATATGACGGATGCACAGCGCGTGCCGTACTTGCGAGGGTTTACCTTTGCGCTTCATGTCAATGACCTCCTTCGTAGTGCTGGACATTCTATCGACGACCTGGTCCGGACCCTTGCGGACAAAATGCAAGTTGGAGAGAGTGTTGGGGTGGAAGACTACCTGAAACTTCTCTCGCAGTTGCTTGGCGACGATAAATCCAGAGCGGATACGCTCGTGATGGAAATGAAAGAGGGCAAGTTGCTGACTCCAGGAGCTCACAGCCTGGAACAACTTCCCTTCCAGGCCCGACTTGTCCGGCACGAACTGGAAAAGTTTGAGCTTGGCTTCGACGAGAGCTCGTTGCTCCAAGGCCCACACATTGTGAAGGGGCTGATTCAGGGCTCCCGAGCACAACTGGCCGGGCTGCAGAACGGAGACCGTATTCAGCTGGAGTGTGGATCGACGCATTTGACAGTGCGAGCCGAGATAAGTGCGACATTGAAGCTCAAGGTCTTCCGAGACGGAAGCGCGCCGTTTGTCGTCGAGTTTTGGCCTCGGTCACAGGACAAGGTCGAGGCATACCAGTATGAAGTGGTTGAGAATGAGGAGTTATGAGGAATTCTGGTAGTAGAGTTGGAATAAGAAATATATATGCATGCATGGCAGTATAAATGTCAGAGCGCCTAAATGTTGATACATACATATAGATGTCAGAGCCCCGGATTTTATATCTAAGATATATGTATGTTGGAAGTTAACACCTAAATCATGTCCCTGAAAATCATTGTGCGCATTACATAGTACACGTATCATCGTTTCCACACACTTATCATGAATCTTATATACATGTACTCTTAAACTCAAATTCGCCAATAGAGAATTATCCTTACCTTCCGATGACACGTCTCTTGGCATCTTCCTCTGTAATATCTATTCTGCATGCGGAGTGCAAGAAAGGAGACGGACTATGGAGCTTCTGAGGCCCGATTTGGGCTCCGCGGCTGGCTCCTTGCGCTTCTGATCACCGACAGACTCCATCTCACTCATGATACTGACGGATGAACGACCTAGGTCCAAGACAGAATGCTTGGCTTCGAGCTTCGACAAGGCCTCCCTAATGCGTGTTATGGCCAATGCCACTGCTTCAGTGTTCCCAGCGGCATAAACAAACCTGAAGCAGCCAGGCACAGGAGATAACGATAGCTGAGACTCGATGTCAGCTGTGGCGAGGAAGACCTTAGCTGGGAAAAATTTGACTCACCTGGCCCATGTTAAGGTGGACGCCGGCTTGAAAGGCAAGATAGCGGTACAGTTGGACTTCTTGGCTCTTAACATCCGGAGCTTCAAAGTACTTGAGCCACTTTGTCAGCTCAATAAAGACAAACATGCCGCAATTAGCGGGCCGGAACGGGATGCCGTGCTTGTGGAAGAGCTCGCTCGCCGCAATATAGCTTGTCCGCAAACGACTTTGGTAGAGAGCAAGATATTTGTCTACGGCCTCTGTGTCTGACAGGAAATGAGTAAAAAAGGCGGTTGAGAAGGAGCTGACCCAAGTAAACAGGGCCAAACGGCGGCATGTTTTCCAGAGCAGCTTGTTGCGCGTCACCAAGAAGCCCAGGCGGATACCCCCAGCTGCAAAATCCTTGCTGGCACCGTACAGGCAGTGGATGTTCTCCTTGAAGATGCTATCATGGGGACTATCTTGGATGCTTAGCACGGACGAAAACATATCCAGCCCAGGCTCCAGGGGCTCAAAGCTCGACATGGCATAGATTTCGTCGGCTAGCAGATGCATCTTGTGTCGGCCGCAGAAACGAGCCATCTCGAGCAGCGACGCCTTTGAGTAACTGCGTCCCGTAGGATTGCAAGGGTTGCATATGATGAGAGCACGCACGCCCACCCCACGACGGTATGAGGCGATGTATGCCTGTTCCAGTTTCTCAACCACCTTGGCCGCATACATGGAGCTGTATTGATCAGGGATGCTTTCTGTTGACACGGGAATCATTTGGACCCCGGTGCGAGCGCAGAGGTCATGGGGAACCATGAGATAAGTCGGAGTAAGGACCATGACGGCCTCCCCTGGCTCACAAAAGTTGAACGCCATCATGTCGATGAGCGAGGTGACACCGTTGGTCGTGAGAATGTCTCCTGCTTGGATAGCTGTGGCCGGCGCAAAGCGGCGGTTGATGAACTGAGCGACGACCACCGAGAGATCTGCAGGTAAGCCATCAGCGAACTCTCTTCAACCTCCTGTGTGCTTCCTCTCCTTACCATTGGGACCATTCACTGGCCCGTATAGGAGAGCTGGGGAGAGTCGATTAGCATCTGCGCATGTATATTTCTGTCCAAGTTGCGGGCTGGCTAACCATTTTCGACACCATAGTCTTGGACAAACTTGCCCATGCGCTCCCTCATCAAGTCATTGACGAGCATATTAGTGGCACCAGATAGGTTGATAAGACCACCGGGGCATGTCTCCGGGTCGTAGGAGGGAAGCTTCGCGATCTCGTCTCCCAAGTCAACGGTTGACTCCAACTCGAGGTTGGCTAGCGCCCTGTTGGATGGCTTGATAGCGTTTGCCATTGCAGAACCTTGATAAGTGCTGTAATGGAGAAATCATGTAGCTATGCAACCGTACCATGTTGGGGACGGGCGTCTTATCTGGATATCAGCAATCGTTGGTCAAGGGTGCGTAGACAGAGTCCCACCTGTTCCCCACGTCTCTCTTCCCCACGTTTTTCGTCGTTCCCGACAACCTCTTTTGTCCTAGTCCCTAGCTAACTAGTGTTTGGAGCTCTTCAACAGCAAACTCAACCAATTAGGTCGGGTACCAACTCCGTGGGGATAGGAGAGACCCTAGTTTGTCTGTCGAACACCGTATCGTGTTTGCGATAAGTGAGAGCTCACACGACTAGCCGTATCTCTGGTGCAAGAACTAGATTCACCACGGAAGCTCGTTGTGATTACCCTTTGCTACACTCCCGACGGGCTTGTCCTGAATTATATATCCTTGGTGAAATCCAGCATGGCCCACAACAAGAGTCTCCAGATCTCCATCATCGTGCGCTCCTTGAACGGCTACGGCAGTTTCAAGTTTTGAATCTCTGTCGATTCTTCTGGAGTCTTTATTACTTGATTTGTTTAAGCGTCTTGTTACGGGTCATGGAAGTCAAGCGTGTTGTCAGTGAGCAAGCAGCCGAAGTCATAGTCAGTTACCCCTTGGCATCACCTGGTTGCTGCCGTTGCAATTGATCCTTTATATTCTCAACTTTTCTAACCGAAACTTTGGAGCTAGCAGGACACAGTTGAAGACTCCGTCCGAAGCCAATCCGAGGTTCAATACAAGAAGTATGGAATCTCTCAGGATGACATTGACAAAGCCGCCGAGGAAGCCCGTTCGCTCACGCTCGAGAATGCGCGAGCAATCCTTACTGACTATCTAATCGAACATGGGTGAGAATAGCTGAATACTACCCAGTAGGACGCGGCATACTGACTTCTCTCTCCACTAGAGACGACATGCTCATCCAACAGTCATTCACTGACAGTGTTAAAGAACTGGTTGAGCGTCTCAGCGTATACGAGGATAAGATGGATCCAGCTGTAGAAGTGGAAGCCCGGCTAGTCGCTGCCGTCTTCCATGGCAACTCGGTCTACCGCGAGATCCGCGCGACTTTCTCCAACGTCGACGACCCTGACACGCCTTGCGGGACCGTCCGCGCCTGGGTCATCGGCTTGGTCTGGGCTGCCGGATTGGCTGGCCTCAACCAGTTTTTTGCGCCGCGGAACCCGACACTGACTGTCTCCGTCTACATTGCGCAGTTGTTCTGCTTCCCCATGGGACGTTTCTGTGCCGCTACTCTGCCGACTACTGTCTTCCTGCGAGGCACTCGTTTCGAATTCAGCCTCAATCCGGGACCGTTTTCCATCAAGGAGCACATGCTTATTGTAAGGAATTCAAGCAGCCAGCTACCCTCCTCCTTGCTTTCTTTCTGGGTAGATTCCGACCCGGCTGACTAGATATCAGACTATAATGGCCAACGCAAGCAGTGGCAGTACGTTTTCTTTTATTCTCTCAATGTGTTTAGATCAATGATTATGGGCTTACCAACTTTCCCCAGGCGTAAATTTTATTACACCATTATTCTTTGATCAGTATTTGCCCATGTTTCTGGGGCAGAGCTGGGGAGGGACCTGGGTAGGCATCCCCCATTTCCATTCATGTCATGTAAGGTATATACAAGTACTCTGCTCACACCGCACGGTAAGCCCTATCAAATCTGTGCCATGCTGGCTCTCCAGATCACCGGGTTTGGGCTGGCTGGCATGATCCGCCGCTTCCTCATCTATCCTCCCCAGATGATCTGGTACTTTACTCTCAGCCAGGCAGCGCTCAACAATGCGCTGCACAACCAAAGCGACTCACGCGTGCACGGGTGGAAAATCTCCCGCTTCAACTTCTTCTTTATCGCGTGTGGGCTCATGTTCCTGTACTACTGGCTGCCGGGCACCATCATGCCCGTCCTGACCTTTTTCAACTGGACGACATGGATCGCGCCCGCCAGTACGACGCTGTCCATCCTGACGGGCAGCTACTACTTCAATCTGGGTCTCAATCCGCTGCTCACCACCTTTGACTGGAACTGGTTCAGTAGCGTTGTTGACCCCATCATCTACCCCTTCTTCATCGTCGTCCAGATCGTCGTGTCGACACTGGCGTGGGCGGTTTTGGTCGTCATCCCCGTCTTCTTTACAAACACATGGTACACAGCCTACCTGCCCATCAACTCGTGGTACGCATACGACAACACTGGCAACCAGTACCAATTTGCGCGAGTCGTAGGCCCTGGCAGCACCTTGAACGAGACCGCGTACCAGGAATACTCGCCCCTTTTTTTGCCCGCAACCTTTGTGTTGCGCTATGCTGTCTTGTTGGCTGTACGTTGCTCTTGCTCCCTCCTCCTTTGCCTAATAAGAATTGTGCACTTCTGGCTGACAATTTCTGTTGCCGTCGCTTGAAAAAGTCCATCCCAGCCATCTGTACTTTCACTTGGCTCTGGTACGGAAAGACTTTTGGGCGAGTCATCAAGCTGGCTTTCCGCCGCCTGGCAGTCCATCACGCCTTTAATGATGCCCACTCTAGGCTTATGTCGCAGTATCGCGAGGTCCCCGAGGTATTTATCACCGGGTTGAATTTCACTAAAGGTAGACAAACTGCTAATCTGATAACAATCTCCTCATTCAGACGTGGTATCTGGCTGTGGGTGCCGTTGGGGCAGCGTTTGGCTTTGCTTGTATCTGCGGCTGGCCTACTGGAGCGCCTGGTTGTAAGTAGCAAAACCCCTTTATATCTGGCGACTGATTCAATAGCTGACTACTTGTCTTATTAGGGACTGTTCCTGTCACCATTCTCATGTCCGTCATTTTTGTCATCCCCGTCGGTACCGTTTATGCCATCAGCGGCTACCAAACAACCCTGGAGCTTCTCTTTGACATTGTAAGTGCGTCCCTTGTAGCAATCAAAGTAGTAACCCTAACATGGTGGCGTAGATTGCTGGCTACGTTGTGCACAATCGGCCCGTCGCCTTTCTGCTATTCCGCTCCTACGGCCTGGGCATCATCGAGCAGGCCATGGCCTTTGCCAAGGACATGAAACTGGCGCACTATGTAAAGATCCCTCCCCGCCAGATGTTCGCCGCGCAGATCGTCTCAACTGTGGTGTCAACCTTTGTGGTCCTGGCCGTTGTCAACTTCCAGCTCGGTGTCAAGGGCATGTGCAACCCCCAAGTCAATGTGCACTGGGTCTGCGGTACAGCTCAGACGGGATTTTCATCATCTCTAACCTGGGGCCTGCTGGGTCCGAGTAGAATGTTTACGGTATGTTTCTTGCACGATTTGTCTAGTGCTCTACATGCAGCAACTCTTATTTCCTTGCTTCCACGTATGCTGGCTAGAAATCTAGTGGACAACTAATAGTGACTTTGTCTAGCACGTCGACTCGATATACTGGAAGATCATGTTCGGGCTCTTGGCCGGCTTCCTTTGGCCCATTCTGTGGTATCTCGCCAAGCGAGCTTGGCCGAATACCATTTTACGCTATGCTCACCCCGTCGTCATGCGTAAGCAACTATCCTCCTTCTTTGTGTCCTTGCGGATTCTCCTGACTTATGATGTTATACAACAAAACAGTGCTGGGTGGTGTGGTGTGGGCACCTTTGAATCTGTCCATGTTTTGGGGCACACTCCTCTTCTCATACATCTTTGGCATTTTCATCAAGGGCCGCTGGCCCGCTTGGTGGGACAAGTACGCCTTGGTGCTGTCAAGCGCATTGACAGCCGGCATTGTCTTGTCGGCACTGGTGCAGTTCTTCGCTATTGCTAACGCTGGGGTTTCGGTAAGTCCGTTTCTCTCCCTCCTCCCCGTCTCCCTGTTTATGTGTGTGCGTATGTCCTCGTTATCTCTTCATCCGTCTCTATCCCTAACAGCAAACTGACGCGTTGTTGACAGTTCCCTGCCTGGTGGGGTACAACCTACCACACCAAGACTTGTGATTTCCATGACTGTAGGCACATGAAGCTTGCTAAGGGAGAGACTTTTGGTCCAACCGAATGGCATTAAGACTTGAAGTTTCTGTGGATCAAAGCTCGGAATATCTGCAGCCTAAGTGATGGGATGAAGAAGCTTTGCTACAGTGGAAGAGGGCTCAGAGGCTCCATGACATGTACTGCTAATAACTAAACTGTGTTCTGTAAGCAGCACAGAGAGATGTAGTAACGAACTCCTGCTATATCTTGATCTCCATAGCAATATAAATCCATTAATAATTGAAAACAGTTACATGTAGGTCAGTAAGGTGAGATTCCAAGGAATCAACCTCTAGTTCTAGGTTAATATTTGTGCATCGACTGGCTCATAGTAGTAGGGTATTGTGGTATTGTCGTCACGGAGCCAGTACAGTGGTAAAACAGATTCCAATCCAGTTACTCTGTTAATATTTGGACATGTAACTATCTAAAAGGTTGTGTTGAGGTAAATCTACATAATAAGTTGTATGATTTACTATCAGCATTAAGTCAAGAGCATGCCTAAAACATTACAATTATGGTTCACTGCGGTTGCAAGGCCGGAAAATCCATCAATTACAACATTCTCAAACGAATCATCTCATTATCTTCAACCTCAATCCTTAATTTCATCGTGGTATTATTACAATGTGTGCTTCTCTTCTATTGCCAGCCTCGTCTCTCGCTCTTATATACCATGCTAACTACTTTCCACCACTTTCACACTACGGAGCTCGCTCTCTAGCTCGCTCTCTAGCCCAGCAGCAACGGCCATGCTTCGAAAGATACCACCCTTTTGAAAGAGTTGCTTGGGAGAACCAATCTCTGCGACCGCACCGCCGTCCATGACAATGATGCGGCCGTTGTCGATCTGGCAAAAGAGTCAGTATTTAAAAAGAGTGCTGCTTTAGACTAGGTATTCTTGCTTACTGCACTTCGGAGATGATGAGAGATGACGATGACGGTCTTGTCCCGGAGCTGTGTTTGCAAGGCTTCATGGAGGAGTTGTTGGTTGGCTTCGTCCATGGCCGAGGTAACTGGGGAAACATAACAACCGAAGTTATTAGCTTTCAAACCCACAACGCATAAAGGAGTTTGTCTGGTTTAAAAAAACAAAACTCACCCTCATCTAATATCACAATGTTGGACCCTATAAGGAGACACCTGGCGACCGCCAGAAGCTGCAGCTGACCGGCCGAAAGATTAGACCTATTAATATAGTATTCCTTTGTTAATTTCTTTTTCTTCTTATCTCTTCCGCTACCAAGCATATCTGGTAATTCTTACCCTCCTTGCAGCACCGGATAATCGAGTGCGGCTTGTGGCGTTTTGAAACCCCTTGCAAAGAGACTATCACCAAGGACACGCAGTAGATCTGACTCGTCATGCACGCCATTGGGGTCGAGGTTGGTGCGTACCGTGCCGGCAAATGCGCCGCAGTTTTGAGGAATAATGGACACGCGTGATCGTAGCACATCAAGGTCAACCTGCGTGATATCGGTGCCGTCGATCTCGATGCGGCCACGGATAGGCTGGAGCACGCGCAGCATCGCCAGCGCCAACGACGACTTTCCGGCGCCAGTACGGCCCACGATGGCGGTCGACTGGCCTGGAGCGAATTCGAGGTTGATGTCGCGAAGTACAGGGTTATTATCATTGTTGTTATCACGATAGTTGTAGCTGTAGCCGGCGCTGAAGTTGCGAAAAGCCACAGTGCCACGCGAAGGCCAGGAAGCAGCCACGATTTGACTTCGGGCCAGAGCTTCTCCATCGCTTTGGGGGGGTTTCTCTGTCTCTGTGTCTACCAAAGAAAAGATACGCTGTGCAGAAACCATGTCACATTCCACTTGGGTGCGGAGAAGAACTGTCTGAGTGAAGGAAGTGGCTAGCTGAAGCATGTAAGACATGACGAAACCAGCGGCGCTTGTGTCCACGCGGCCTGCAAGCAGAAATGCCGCGGCGAGACCTTGTAATAACCTAGAAACCGATAATGTGAGTTTTAAAGAGACACAATTTATTAATTTGGATTGATCTAAATTGAAGAAGGGGTATACTTACGAGCAAATAAGAGACAGCCGAAAGATCAGCCACAGTTCAACGGAGACGAACGCCATGTGCGCAGTCAAGTTGCGCCGAAGATTTGTAAAATTTCTAGTCTGGAAGTAGGGCTGGCGACCAAAAATGCGAATGATGTCGGATCCTGCCAACGTTTCTTGCAGGTTGGTGATCAGGGGGCTCCGTGAGCTGGTTTCGAGCCTCCTTGTCTGGACCAAGACGCCGAGACAACGGCACTGTAACCACCATCCCAAGCCCCCAAGTGCCACGATCGCCACGGCTGATGACGGAACAAAGGCTAGGAGAGTGCCGAGGGAGGCAATGGCACGTAGTAACGAGTTCAAGAAGCCAAATATGGAAGCGAAAAGCGGGCCATCGTGTCGCGCGAGATCATTGGCGAAGCGGTTCATGATCTCGCCCGTCGGTGTACGCTGGAGGAAGGATAATGGAGCTTGCAGAACGCCTGCGACCAGCATGCCATGGATCCTGTTCGATGTTGGCTTTAGGCAGAGGTACCAACCCAGGAGCAGGGAGATACAACACATGAGCGTCTGCACAACGCCCGCGGCGGCGTAAACCTCCAAGGCCCGCATGACTAGGCCGTTGCCGAGCCTATCGGCAAATATCTTTAGCATGTAAGTCGACATGATGTTGGAGGCAAAGGCGAGGCCGGTGAAGAATGCCATCAGACTCCAGCGCCAGACATGGGCAATTCCCAGCCATCTTCGGTACTCTGAAAAGGATATCCGGCCTGAAGACAAACTTAAGGAAGACTCGTCGTTGTTGTCTGCAGCCAAATTCTCCAGGTTTTGGTTTTCTTCACCTGAGTCACTCTGATCATTCGCTTCCTCGTCAGGATTGGCCACCGTGATAGAGAGATCCGGATTGTCGATGATATGTACCTGATCTGGTACCCCCAACAGCTGTGGGCTACTGGTCTTGATATCCCTCAGCCGACCGTCTGTAATCTGTAGCACTTGGTCGGCATACGAACAAACTGCAGCAGAGTTTGTGATGACCAACCTGGTCTTGTCCTTGAGAATTCCGCGGGGGCCAATAACATTGTCGACCAAATGGCGGTGCACCTGGCTGTCAACGGCGGCCAGGGGGTCATCGAGCACATAGACATCTGCCCTCGCGTATACAGCTCGTGCCAAGGCGATGCGGCTCTTCTGGCCACCCGACAACCCGCTGCCGTGACTCCTGATCTGCGTGTCGTCTCCATTGGGCATCTGCTCAAGATCGCGGTCCAGCGCACAGGCTTTGACCACGGCGTTGTAGAAAGCTGGCTCCAAGTCACGCCCGAACAAGATATTTTCCCGAATGCTGCCCGTGGTGGGCCAGGGGTCCTGCGGTGTGTAGGCAATGGTGCCTCTTGTAGCCACAAGACCACCAAGGGGTTTCAGGGAGCCCAACGCGAGTTTGGCTATGGTAGATTTGCCCCCAGCCATGGGGCCAACCAAAGCTACCAGCTGCTTCTCACCGACAAGGAAGCTGATCTTGAGGAGGGTTGGTGCATCTGTGGTCTCTCTCCAACGGAAGCTGACCTTGTTAAAGTAAATAGACACGCCGTCTGGGAGCGCCGAGTCTCCCCTAGGGCTGGGCACCTCCTCTGCTCCCAGCTCTGCACAAAAGGCCCTCACGCGGGCGTACGATGCAGCACAGGCGGCCCAAGACGACACAGCAATAGGCAGAAGAGCCAAGGGGTAGACGAGAAGGGAGCAAAACACCAGTGAAGGGAAGATGTGCTCGCTACGGAGGGGGTTCCCAGCCACGACTGCCGCCATGAAGGCCACGACGGAGATCAAGGTGGGTGCCCCCCGCATGAGCATGTTGAGCAGCGTAGAGACCCAGACAATAGATTCGGAGACAGCGAGCTCGGCGCGGCGGGCAGCATCCAACCGCTTCTCCATGAGTGATTCTTGCGCCCACAGCTTGATCAGGTTGGCGTTGGAGAGGGCCTCCGAGGTCAATGACATGCGGGCGTCTCGGCGGCCCATGGCTGCGATCTGGTACCCTTCGATGAAGTGTTTACAACAGTAGTAGAGCGGCGTTACAGCCACCTATTTCATTGTTAGAGAGAGAACAGACTACAAATTGCATTTCATTGCGAAGGCACGAGTAGAAAGAGAAGAAGGAGACTAAACTAACCACTGATAAGGCGGAGGCGAGCGTGCTCTGCCACCCGAGAATCAGTCCGAGGCTGACCATGGCCAGGATTAACTGCAACGGCGCCGACCATATGGCATGCGCAAAGGTTGCGAAATCTTGGATTCGCACAACATCAACTTCGACTAGGTTGACTATCGACGCCGAGGAAGGACTCTGGTTGGGTGAGGTTAATATTTTATCGTAAATACACGATACTAGGCCGGCCCGGAGTTCAAGACCAGCAGTCTTGACGTAGTACGAGGCTTGGGCCACGGCGAAGGCGTTGGCCGAGCTTAGGAGGAATATACCCACCACGCTGGGGACGTCGCGTTCGATAAGAAATCTTCGCAGTACCCAAGGCGCGGCAAACTTGCAGACGATATCGAAAAGCTCGTACACAAAGCTTATAACGAGTTCGGGGGAGCATGCGGTCAGGATCAGACGCCAGTAGCTCGGAAGCAACAATCGTGTCTGCAACTCCGTATCCGGGCCTTTTATAGCTGCAGAGACGCGGTCCGGCTCGGCACGCCGGGGAAGGCAGGGCAAATGCTGTTCCGCTGGGATTTTTATATAGTCGTTGACATGAGAGAAGGCGAATTGTGTGAGCACTCCAGACAACTGGCCATGGTCGAGGGCGAGGTCGGCGAGCACGCAAAGGAGATAGCCGCACGCAGACGCAGCCGTCGAAAAATCAAGACGCGCAGAGAGACCGGCGTTGGTGGTGATGGCTGCGAACATGACAAAACCAAAGAGCAGCCGAGGGAATCGAGGGCAGCAGGACAGTACGAGCAAACACGACGCCAAACTGGCAGATATGGCCAAAGCCGGCGCCAGAACACTGACCAAGGCATGGTACCAAGCTGGGTCGACCGGCGAATTGGATCTCTTCAGGATGCGATGGACCTGGCTAGTTACGACAAGCCCCTGGGCTACCTGTATAAAGAATGAGAAAAGAGACACAGTCGTCAGTGCGAGTTTGGCACATGGTTTGAGGAGCAAGGAAGACAAACAAAGAAACTTGCATTAGCGACGTTCAACGTAGACGAAGGTTTGTCTTTGCTAATAAACCGAGTTCGATTGTAGACTTGTATGCAGAGAAGGGGTAATACAATGAGCGACGCGGTAGCTTGCACCACCCTTGGCAGTGTTGATTGAGGGAGTCAGCCAGGGTTGACATCTTCCAAAAATAAAAGCACAAGATAAAAAGAGACGCATATTCACCAAAGAACTTGTTGAAGCACATTATTGCTTAATGGAAAGAGCTGCGGTAGGCTAAAACGCTCTATGTCTCGGTATTCTGGGATAGAGGAGGCGAGCTCCACGACGGGAAACATGACTTTCCAAGGACAACACACAGCCACAGCGACTGGGCTACGAGGTGGACGAGAAGGGACCTGAACTTGGTGCCTGTAAGAAGTACCACGATATTAAGTAGAGCATAGAAGAGTATGGCTTTGTTTCTTGATAATAGAATATAGGTGCGCTCTCCTAAATCATTCAGGGGTGGAGACTAAATTTGGGAAGACTCTTCTAGTGACATGAACACATACCTGTCCTTGTGTTTCTACCTGTCCATAGTTTGCGCATGGGATCTTTGGCATCGACAAACTACCTATTATGCTGCCTCATTTTCAACGCTTATTACAGCCATGGGGTTGAAATCGAGCCACAGATACGGAATCACTAGAGTCGAGCTTATCGTTAACGAGACGCCAGGCTGTAAGCTCTATCTAGCCTTTGCAAACTTTCCTAATCTGGTAATCGAGAACGACGACTGATGGTCACTAAATCGCGGTGGGGTAGCGGAGGTTAATTGCAGGTGCGGGGGGAGAAGCAACTTGAGAACGAATATCAACATCTGCAAGGGCTCGGTAAACACAACCCGATAAAGCAGTAAACGACTTCAAAAGATGTTGCAAGATTCGCAAACTTGCTTGGATTACAGCGAGTCCTCCGCATTTGCAACACCTTGATTATGGCATCATCAAGTACGGGTAGCCGGCCCAAAAGGACGATTACACGCACACGGACCGGATGTTGGACATGCCGCAACCGCCGCACCAAGGTGAGGGAGAAGTTGAGAAGTTACATGGATTCAAGTGGGTTCCGCTGACATTGTTGCAGTGCGATGAGGAGAAGCCAGCCTGTCGCAACTGCACCCGCGTGGGCCTGCATTGTGCGGGCTACGCGGTTCGTCTGGTCTTCCGCAACGACACGCAGATGGTGAGCCGGAGGGCCGAGACCAGGACCGTTCGTCGCCAGCTTGAGGCATCCCGCTCGCCCATGTGTGAGAGCGAGCTGGCAGCAGAGGCAGAGACTGAGACGTCGAGCAGCAGCACGGCCGAGCCACAGCCGAGGCGGGCCATCAACAACGTCGATGCTCCGTCCCTGTTGCCGGCCCTCCCTGGAACTCCCATTTCGCCGGCTTGTGAGGCCGAGAGGCCGTACGGAGATTTCACCACGCCAACCCGACATGGTGCCTCGCCGGATGACCAAGGGCCGACCAGGACCGATCCAGGGGTTGAACTCATGCCTGACAGCCCGGCATGGTTTGCCCAGCCGCCCATGTCCTTCAGCCCAATCGAGCCACTCATCGATGATAGCGACCTGGATATTGACGTGCCTACCAACCGCTTCCCTCCCCAGCTGGCGCCCGTGTTCCGCGACATCTGGGAGGGTGTGGGCTTCGGCCATGCGGCGCTCAAGTACGCTTTGCTAGCACTGTCACCGCCACAGGACCCGCGCGGTAGGGCAGAGATGCACAAGCGGCGGCAGCTCGAGCTGTACAGCCTGGCGCTGCAGGCAACGGCTCAAGGCTTGCCGTGTGCCATGAGCGCGGCGCAGGCGGCGGTGCTGCTGGCAGTGCTGGCGCTGTTCCTGCAGATCGAGATCCGCATCGGCTCCTTCATTGGCGGTTACACACACGCCAAGCAGGCCGACCGCCTCGTTGTCGAGCACATGAGCGGCCTGGCTTTGTGGCCGCTGGGCCGCCGGCTGCTGTGCGAATGGGCCGCCATCAAGAGCTGGTACTCGCTGCAATGCGGCTCCTGGACCGAGGCGGCCTGTCTGGTGCCTCGGGAGGTGCGCCAGCCTCTGCTGCGTATCATCGGTTCTGACGGCGACGCTCACCAGAGCCTTCTCCCCTTGCTGTGCGAGGCCCATATGGTCTTTGTCCGCATCCTCCTGGCTCGCCTGGTCGGCCCCGGCCCCGCCTATCCGGCCTTTGCCGACTGGTGCCGGCAGCTTGAGCGCCTTCGGCCGGGCACGGCTCCCCGCCATAGTCTATACGGCACCGAACCCGGTTCCGGATCAGAAGACGGCTCTCTGGCCCGCCTGGCCGAGCTGCAGGATGAGCTGGACCACTGGCATGACCGCCTGGCTCTGGACGATCTGCCCGTGTACGGCACGACGGCGCGCAGCAAGACCCGCCGCAGTGTCGAGCCGTTGCGCTTCCGCTCGTATAGCGCTGCAGCCAACTACCTGCGTTATGCCGTGGCGCAGCTGCTGTGCTCGCGAAGCAACCTCGATGCCTGCACAGGCGGCTGCCTCGCTCGAGGGAATATGAGGCGCCCATATGGTGACAGCATCCATGTTCCCTCTGACCCAAGTCCTGGCCCTGGCTTTGATATATATCAGCAGTCTGACCCTGATCCCTGGGTTACGCTGGTCTTCCAAATCATTGCCGGCATGGATCCACAAGACTGCTTCGACGAAGACACCAGCTGCATTGGCCCTGTGTGGGTTGTTGGTCGTCTCCTTCTGCTGTGTAGCCGCGATGCCGACCTGCTCGACGCTGTGGCGCGCCTGGTGCCGCGTCTCGAGGGCATCGGCGCCCGTCTGGGCTCCATTTACCCTCCCTGGCTGCTGAAGCGCTTAGTCGCCTGCGTCCAGGCCGAGCGAGAGCGCAACCACGTCGTGCTCTACATCCACCCCGAGTTTGGTCCTGCTGAGGAGTGGGTGACGTTCTACACTGCACCGGTTGCCTTCAGGGCATTGCTTGTCGGCCGTCTGATTGATACGGGAGCGGCATTTTACGAAATTGTGAATATTATGTAAACCATATGTATAAGACTACCTGTAGGCTTTGATTTCTCGATGGAAGTACCTGAACCCCTTTTATCTTTAACCGGGGGAAGAAGACAAAGAGGTATGGAGATTGCCCTTGTCCCTTGTAGATGGTGGTGATCTAAGAAGTGGGAGGCTCATTTTATTTGCAGAATTACTATGATGGTTTACTTTATTATTAAACCTATCTTAATAAAGAGATGACGTTATGGCCTCCTAGGGGCATAATGTGTCCTTTGAATGAATTCAGTACCATTGGATAGCTATACATTGCCTCCTTTCATGGAGGCATTCTGAACCTTGTCAGCAATCTGACTCGACTGCGGGTGACAAACTCAAGCATACATAAAAACATTTTAAATACACTTTTCGAAGCCATAGAGCCAAGATTGTCGCCAGCAAATCACCAAGTTCAATAGAGGGCTGTCGTTCCTAGTTACCGTTTTTGGTTTGGCGCCATGCGTCGGCGGATGTTGACCTCCCCCCTTTTATGTAGATCTGTCGTACCAAATGGCAAATCCGCTGCTATTATTAATTCTTAAATACCGAGTAAAGCCTCAATAGATGAGTCTGTGCAAATCATATCATTTGGATGGGGATGGGGCAATCCTGACATAATCACCAGCGCCATGCTTCTCCAGTATTCTAATTACTTCTTGGTTCTCCCCGTTGTCTCCGGCATGATTCTGCCGTATGAGCAGGGGCCGCTCACTATTCTCAAAGAGAGTTCAACCTCCTTGAACAATACAGATATTCCCATCGTTTGGCAAGATGAGCGGACGTGTAATGCAGACACGCGACAGTTTACAGGCAAAGTGCCCCTGTCCGCAGGAAAGACCTTGTTCTTCTGTAAGTCGAGCAATCCCTGACAAAAGAAAAAAGGAAGAGAAGAGAACAAAGACGCCAACACACTATATGGTCGTTTCTTACAAACATTGACGCTGACTTGTTCAACCAGGGTTCACAGAGAGTAGGGAGAGTGCTACGGAAAGACCAACCATCTTATGGTTAAATGGGTATGTATACCATTATCTACAATAAAAAGACATCTACAGGAAAGCCTCAACTAACAGTGTCCAGAGGTCCCGGTGCAAGTTCCTTGCCTGGTCTCTTTGGGGAGATTGGTCCTTGCCAGCTCACATCTGTGACGAACACGACGGTGAACCCCTACAGCTGGGCTAACTTTGCCAACCTCTTATTTCTTGAGTAAGCCAATTTCTACACACATTTTTGATTGCCCTTGTTGATCTAACACTGGGCTCACCATGTTGACTTGTCCAGCCAACCTGCCGGAGTTGGATTTTCTACTCCTGCCGACGATGGCTCTTATCCGGTCACGCTGGCGGAGGCCAGTGACGATTTCACGGCTTTCCTGACGCGTTTCGTGAACCAGTATCCGCAGTACTTCCAGCACGGCTTTTACATAGCCGGCGAATCGTTTGGCGGTCGCTACGTGCCGCGGTTCACGGCGGACCTCGTGCGCCGCCAGCTCTCTGGAGCCCCTGATGCTTTGCCGGTGCAAGTCCGCGGCATCGTGCTGGCTAACGCGCTGGTCGACGGAACGTACTCTCTGCTCAGCCATTACGAGCTGTTCTGCACTGATGGACCCACGGCCGATTTGCTGCGCTTCAACGCTACGGTTTGTGATGCCATTGCTGCCGCCATGCCCGAGGCCGAGCGTCTCCAGCGCGTGTGTCAGGCCACCTACGACCCGATCCTGTGTCAAGCAGCCAACGAATTCGGCCATAATAACCTGTACAAGTACTTTCAGGAACAAGTGGACGCACTGAAGCACAGTCCCTATGACCGTAAGACGCTTGGATAGCTCTTCTTCATTCTCTTTTCTCTTTCTCCCTACTAACTTGTCCTTAGTTCGGCTCGGTTGCGATGCCCCTCCAATCTGTATCCCCGTTGATGAGTACTCCGTTGGTAATTACCTTAACAATCCCGAGATTCAAGCCCTGCTCGGCATTGGCAAATACCAAGAATATGTCTCCATCAACTTTAATCTCAACTTCAATTGGTCAACCCGACCTGAAATTATGTTGCCCACTACTCGTGAGGTCTCGTATCTCGTCGACGTTGCTAAGGTCCGTTTTCTGGTATTGAACGGAAACTACGATGTCATCTTGTAAGGAAAACCTATCAACTCTTTAGCCGTCTTTCCTCTCCAGGATATGAAGATCATTACTAACTCCGTGTTTCACTGTCTGCTCTGCAGAAATACACCAGGTGCTTTTCGCGAATGGACCGACCTCCCGTGGCATGGAAATGTCCAGTTCCGCATGAATCCCAAGCGGGACTGGTACTTTGAGGATAGCACGGGAGCGCGACACAAAGGTGGCCAACTGAAGGGCCGAGGTCTGCAGGTGCAAGTTGCCGGTGTGGACAATGCTGGCCACATGAGCCCGGGCGACCAGAAAGAGGCCGTGTCGTTTCTGGTGCGCGAATGGATCCAGCAGTCTTAATGTATAAAGCTTTGCCTTTTAGGACGAGTCGTAGGCGGCATTTGACATAAAAGAATTGTGGCAGCCTGCGTGATGGACATGGGTCTACTGCTATCATTGCCCACGGTTCTCTGTTCTCTATCTTCGAATGTGCTGGCTATTATTGGGTTGCAGCGAGCTGCTGGCTTATCTTCAGTTGTTGAGTCTTTAAATTACAAATTGCTTTAATCTTTAACCTTTGTAGAGTGATTTATTTTAAAAATTACACTAGTCATGATCATGGTATACCGTAGAGCCACCATGTCGCGAAATGAAGAGAAACAAGCTGGTGAACCAACAGTCATCTTCGACCCGACAAGGTCTTGAAATGGGGTCACTCATAGTTGATATTCACTCTCGGCAGCCTATTTCAGAGAACCATATGTGTGTGCGTGTACAATATTACCAAGTGGTTGGTAAGTAATAATTATGTAGTCAGTCTGCTATATATTCACCCTGTGTTGTCCTTCCAGGCTACTCTTTTCATGCCGTCTTGCCTTTAAAGAGTTTACCCCCTTTCCAAATGTGCGTGATGTTCTCCTTCACCGTCAGAACCTCAATGTCCTCCAGAGGGCTGCTCGCAACTGCTATTAGATCGGCATCGTAGCCCTCCTTGATCTGTCCGCTGAGCGGCGCCATGCCACCAAGTGTCTCGGGGCCATTTGCCGTACCTGCTTCGATCGCTTGCAGCGGAGTCATGCCCATTTTTACAGCCCAGTAGAGTTCTCTAGCGTTGTTGCCGTGGGCTTGGGGTTTCTTGCGGTCACTGCTCATGGTGTCGGTTCCGAGGGCAATTCTCACTCCTTTTTGGATGGCCAGCTTGTACGACTCCCTCGCCGTGCCAATCAATTTCAAAGCCTTCTTTTTGGATGGCGGTGGCAGTTCATCCGGGTGAGCAGCGATGGTCTCTATAATGTGGCGAGTCGGTACAAGAATGGCTTTCTGCTTGATCATTTCGTCCGCAACCTCTTCATCCAGATAAAACCCGTGTTCGATTGTTTTGACGCCAGCACGAAGACTAGCCATGATACCGGCTTTCCCAATGGCATGGGCCGCCACCACGCGACGAGAAAGCCCCGCTTCTTCTACGATAGCCCTCAGCTCAGCATCGGAGAACTCTCTGTCCTCTGGATCATCGTTCAGACTTAATACCCCACCGCTAGAACAGACCTTGATCACTCGAGCTCCTCGACGTATCAGTGTCCTAACCTCCTTCCGACACTCGTCCGGCCCATCCACGATAGAACACGGGCCGCCACAGCGAGCATATCGCAGTATCGTCTCGATAGGGATATTGTGAGAGTCAGCGTGACCACCGGTTACTGACATGGCCGCGATGGAGGAGTAGATGTTAGGTCCGACGAGGGCGCCGCTCTCGATGCCCGGCCGGAGGTCGCCACCGTAACCCTGTAGTTCCCGGACGGAGGTGAAACCAGCCATCAACGTGGCTTCCAGGTCAGCCACCGTGATGGCACCAGCCAATGCGTTGTATCCGGGAAGATATTTAGCCAAGCCAGCAGAAACGCTGGTGCCCATGTCCATTGCAAAATAGTGGACATGACAGTCCCAGAGACCGGGCATCAGGACGGGAACATGGAATGGTGTGATGGAGCGGTACTCGGCAGGAATTTCGTCAGGGCGGCCAACGAACTTGATCTTGGATTCGGCGATGACCACGGTTCCTGGCCTGAGAGGCTCGCCGCGACCTGGTATGAGAAGGTCTGATTGAACAACAGTTATTACATCTGGCGCCGTGACGAGCGTTGCGTCGTCCAGCTGGCCCTTAGTAGCCATGATTTTAGCAACGAATATCCTGGATAAATTACTTCGAGGAGGAGTTGCTAATGAGACTCTAAAGTGGTGGCGGTTGTTCCAGTTCCTTGCTCCAGAAGATCCAAGTCATCACTATGCCAGCGCAAGAGCTTGTGCTCTATGATTTTATATGTATCCGAAGTGATAAGACAATTGGCCAATATACCTCACTAAGGTCTAAATTCTATTGTACTTGGTCGCATTACAGTCTGGCATAAATGCTGAGCCGATGATTTCTTCAGCGTAGCAAGGCAAAACACATACAGTTTTCTGGCTTCCTCTGCTTGTCGCTAATAATTTCCAAAAACGGACAGGCTCAATCTGCCATTCTGTTGTTTCGCATCAGCTATCTTAATGCGGTAAGGACGATTAGATGGACAATTGAGTGAGGGCTGTGCTGGAATAGTATAGCATCTACTCATACGGAGCACACACTTCTCCATATGATCCTTATCCAGCTTACCCCAGTCGCCAAATATAATGGCTTCAGAGCAGTTCAAAGTCGACGTATGACTACCTAAGTAGATTCAAAGTTGTATCATTCGTGTGGCAATCTATCATGCTGCATCGCATTATCATATCCCAAGTCATTAAACAAACTCCTTCCAAAAACAGGCCTATGCAAAACTGACAACTGGACAAAACCGTCTATTCGCACTCATCCTTCCAGTTGTCGCCAATCCATTCGGCCAATTTGGTCGTCAATGTCCCCTCCATATACAGCTCCACATCTTTGGTGCTGTAATCGCCGCCGCTAAACTTGAGAGCGGGGATGATCCATGGCAGCAGAAAGTCGACAAAGACAAGGTCCACCGTCTCGGGCTTTCCCTCGGCCGGGAAGCCAATTTCGGCCTGGACGCAATTGGGCACGGCGTAGAAGTCAATGGGCTTGTGGACGGTGTCATCTCCGTCCTTGCTGATGTCGTCCTTGGTCGTGTAGCCGCCAAAGAGCGTGTCGTCGTCCCCAGAGGCATCGACCCCACGGAGCTCGAGGCGAGCCTCTGCTTCATCTTCCTCTCGGCCGTCTTGTTCAACAACTTCAGTCTCATCAGGAATAATGACGTTGGGTCGTGGATACATTAACTGAGGAATGGTCAACCGCCTGGTATCTGGAAGTCCAGCAACAAAGATCCTCGTCTGGCTGTTGAGAATCCCAAGGACCTTGGCAGCAATATCATACGGCACATCGGGCACGTAGCGGAAGCCACTTGTAAAAGGGCTCACCGTAAAGGTGTCATCCCGTGTAAATGGTCCCTTGAAAATGTCGAAGCGGATGCCACCCGTATTGACCAAGGCCAGCCGGGGTTTATCCTTTCGGTCCTGGCTGACGACCACGTCGGGCAATACTTCCTCCTCGAGCCAAGTGTAGATGCTGTCTTTGCCGGGGTACTGGGTCCTGGTCATCCACAAGTCGCGGGGCGCACAGCCGTAGCGATGTCCAAGATTCAGAGCCTTGCGGGCATGCTCAATCATCTTGCTGGTTTTTTTACCCTCGGTGGTGGGGAAGGTTGTCTCGTCTAAGCCGGTGTGATAGTACATTCCGTACAGATTGTTGTCGATATACTTGCGAGTGAAGGTGGGACTCTTTTGGACCTCGACTTCTTCGTTGTCTTCGTTGTCGCCATCTTTGGGGTGCTTCTTGACGATGCCGTCGATGGACATCCAGCCAATGGTCTCGAGGTAGCGGCCGGAGGCGATGGCTAGCGACTTGGAGTCATAGCTCACGGCGTCTCTTATGTGTAGGTGGCCGCCAAAGAAAGCAATTGGCGTGTCCCAATCTTCCTTGCGGATAGCCTTGAAGATGGCTTTGAACTCTTCCATGCGCACACCGACATGGCCAATGACGATAAAGAGGTCGGGCTTTTCCTTGATGGCCTCTTGGAACCACTCCTCCTTGATGGTATCGGCCACGGGCTGAACGACGCTGTTGTTGGCATTGCCGGTAAAATCGAAGAGGAAGCCAAAGGACACAATGTTGAGGCCTAGGTTCTTGGTCTTGAACTTGCGGTATCGCTGGGCCTGGGGCACGCGCTTGCCAGTCTTGGGATCAATGTAGTCGAGATTAGACGCAATGTAATTCTCTTTAAAGTTCGGAACCGTGGTATTGTGTTCCATGTCGACCGAGTAAGCCTGGTACAGCTCATGGTTGCCGGTGCAGATGATGTCAATCTTCTGCTGGGCGTATATCTCGTATTGGTATAGGCCCTTTGGGACGGAGCTGTCGTAGATGCCGCTACCCTCGATTCGGTCGCCGGTATCGATGAGGAGGAGATCGGCGCCTTTGTCGTCGGCCAGCTTGCGCATGTGCTGGGAAAAGGAGATGTAGTCGCCCCAATCGGCGGAGAAGGAGGGCCTAGATGGAAGAAGACATGTGAGCACGAGTCCTTTGTTGTTGTTGCTGCCGCTTCATCACCTCCGCACCTTTTCGAGTCTACGGCGGGCTGGGTCAAAGAGACAAAGATTGAATTGACAAACTTACTCGAGGAAATGCCCGCTGAGCCAGGCGTGCGTGTCTGTCGTATGCAGAAAGTTGATCTGGCCCCAAGTCAGGTCTCGCATAGGCGCTGCCACCGGCTTGACGGCGCCGGGCTGCGCGGCTTCAACCGCGGCGGCGGCGATGAGGCCGCCGAGAAGCAGAGATTCGAGCATGATGGAGAGAAAAGATGGTTATGATTCCATGGAGAAGAGAGCGATAACGACGATGCTGATGATGGATATGGTGATGGACAGGAGGATGGAGATGTAGCTTGGAGAGCTGAAGCTGGCAGCCGAGTGCCTGGTTAAAGCCATCAAGGTCCAGGTGACATCAGCGGGGGGCTAGTCGCTGTTAAGTCACTACCTAGTAATACCAGGCACTAAAGGCGTCATCTGATAATGCCTGGAGTATCTGCTGCGATGGCAGGAAAAAAGGTGAAAAAGATGCTGAATGGGAATATTAAGTAGAGAAGATGGACAAAAAATATTATTTACAAAGAAAACAATGTACAGGCAGCAAACGTTTGTTGTCGCTCTTCCGGAGGCGTGCGAGTACTCGTAGATGCCCAGTGACATGCATCATTCAATGGCTGACTCATCGCACGTGCTCCCGCGGGATAACATCTCCCAGTAATTCACATTCAGACATCGCCATCGCCAACTTCAACTTCATTGCACTACCTAAACAATTGATAGCCTTGAGGTACCTATCAACGATACGAATGTACACCTAGGAAAGACGGATCCGGATCCTTATCCTCTACAACCCAATTAAGACACAAGTAATGCAGCCACTTCCACCGCTCGTCACTCGCCTCCTAAGAAGCATTTGGTTTGGACGTCAACACCAAGTCGTCAACATCATAGACGCCGATGAACTTGAAAAATGACAATACCTGCGGCGCCGTCCCGCATCCATCCCCCATTGGTGCCGTCGCGTTGAAGTCCACCAGCGGAATCAGCCTGTCAGAGACCTTGGCCGAAACGGTGTAGGTTGTGTTGAACGCGAGGTTCCGTCCAATCACCTGGAACATGTCCAGTCCAATCTCTGGCCGCACCGTGACGAGGCATGAGGGCGGCAGCTTTCCAGAAGAATGAGGCTGGGATTCGGTCAGGATCTTATTCAGCGCAGGCTTGTTGAAAAGGCCTTGCTTGCCCAGGTTCTGCGTGCCGTTACTGGCTGCCGACACGGCGCCTGACACGTAGATGATGGACTGGCCTTCCTGGGCGACGTTTATGGTCTTTTCGATCTTGGGGGGGTTGACGGTCAAGTTGATAAAGTCGACCGTGTCCGAGTGCTCGTTGACGACGTACAAGTAGGTGTTGTCCGCGCTGGGCCACAGACCGTGAGGTTCGACGCCGCTGGCAGGGATGGCGCCCAAGTAGACGGGCATCTGGTTGGCGTGCGGCTGTGAATACATTCTCGTCTCGTTGAGCGACGCCACGGTTATGAACCCGTGCATGGTGCCGTTGAGGACCGCAAAGTTGGCGTGGTTGGTCTCGGCCCCCGTCTCCAGGACGCCGATGACTTTGCGATGGACGAGATCGATGATGGACACTTTACCCACCATCTTATGCGCTGCCCAAAGCCGCTGCCCGTCTGGCGAGATCATCATGTCGGACGAAAAGACGTCGCCCAGGCCGGTGATGTTGGCAATGACCCGGCGCTTGGCCACATCAATGACAGACAGTGACGGGGACCGCACGTGGTTTGCATATGCTGTCTTGCCATCCGGGCTGAAGACAACCTTGCTTGGGCCGCCGTAGGATTCCACATAGCCCACTACGCCGCCCTTGAGTCCGTCGACGATGTCAATGCGGTCGACTCCCCGTGTGCCAACCCAGACGTGTCGGTTATCGCTCTCGAAAAAGGCCTCGTGGGAGCTGCGGTCCACAAACGTCTGCGAGGCAATTGAGTTGTCCTCGGTCCGGAAAACCGTCACGGTGTTGCTTGTGATGGCCAGTGAGACGATGAGCTTGCCGTTAGGAGAGAAGCCGAGCCCGTGCGAGTTGACGGCCTTGATGTATTGCGGGTTCAGGTCGTTGGTTAGACGGCTGTCGCCTAGGCTGATGGTGCCCAGCACCTCGCCCGTGGTCGGCTTGATAACAGTGATGGTGTTGGACGACTGATCGCCTGTGTAGAGGCGGTCCGAGTCGGAGATGGGCGCGCCTTTGCCGGCGAGGGCGGGAGCTTGATCCCATGCTGAAGCAAGTCTGGCTCCGAAGCCCAAGGCTAGCAGCGTGAGCGTTCTAGGGGCCAGCATTTTGATGTTGTTTCTTTGTCCTCAGTTTTGATGCGGCCGTGGTATTGGTGTCGTCTGGAAGTTGGTTACCTGGCCTTGTGTACAAGAATGAAGAGAAAAGCCACAGACGTAAGAACTGTTATACTTATACGCTGTGGATCGTGTACATGCCACATCTTGGTTACCGTATGGATACTCAGGGATATCGACATTCATCGCCGCAGCGTCGCTGCATCTTTCATCACAAACTTGCTCACCTCCATAATTTGGTATACTTGCAAGGATGGCAAGGATGCGAAACAGCATAAGATGTTGTACAACATATTCGTCCAATCAAAAGACACCATGTTGAATGTTGTTACCAATCTTCACACGCTTGCCTATTAACATCCGAGATCTGAGTAGCATTCCTGTCTTTTAACTCGGCTTGTCGGTCTTCTTGACATACCTTTTTGCCCAGGTTGGCCAGACAGGAGAAACTTGGCATAGTCTTGGCACTCGACCAACTCTGACATTATCAATTGTTATGAATTTGTCAAAATTATCCACAAATCAGCTCCCACAAACTCTTTCATTCTCCATCTTCTATCCTCTGTTCTCTCTCCTATATGCGCAAACTCTTGCCCCGTCGGACCATCAGCATAACGTCCAAACGTCAACATCCACTTCCATCACATCACCCTTACCGCTGGCCCTAAAATCTTACATCACTCAAGAGGCGAATAAGCTCAAGGGGTTCGCTGGGAAAATTTCCCACCATGGCTTAGAGCCGTTGGACAAATGTTTGCTGTTGGATCTGCGAGTAGGTATGTGTTCTGAACGTTGTACCTGGTTGCCGATGACCCGAGCAGGGCAGCGAATCAGGTCTCGATGTCAGATGTTTACAGTTGCTGGCATCTTCAGGCCCCGGCAGTTGATTGGTACGGAGTGGATTCTGGACTCCGTTGCATTGGATTAGAAAACTTGCAGCTCCGGCTGTCAACGCGCTCCGGCTGTCGGTGTTGGCTTCGAGCCCCGCTTGTCAAACAATATAAGTCAAGGTAATCCGACATTCGATCCGATGACAGGAATGGTATTTCTACAGAGTTATGCTCTCAAAAACACGCCCTTACCGGCTGACATTAAATTTCGTCTGACAATATCGTGCACCTGCTTGGCTAAATACATTACGTCTCCATCTACTCGTCGTCATCGATATCAACCACCGTCTCTTTCCACTTCCGAGCCGGAACTTTACGCTTGAACAGGATATCAATCTCACGGTATGACCGATGCTTCATTTCAGGCAGGAAGAAGTATGCCAGGACATAGCAGACAAATCCTGTAGCAGCCCAGACGTAACCACATCTGCCAGCGAGGTTTCCACCCTGCAACACATTCGGGTTAGCAATTGAGCGGAGAGAAGTAAAAGACAAGTCTCACCTCGGGGTTGAGCATCCAGCTGGCCAAGAAGATGCAAGGAAATTCAACGATGTAGTAGGCAGCGCGGCCCACTCCAGTAGTCAGGGGCCTAAGACGGATGGCCGATGTCTCACCAATAATGACCCAGGAGGCCGGGGCGGGTCCCAAGGTAAAGAGCACGGAGATGATGAGGCCCAAAGAGGCTTGGGCCAGATTGCTTGCATTACTCCTTCCGACAGATCCTGCGATACCGAGGGCGATGAGGAAGATGACATTGATAGCCGAACCCCAGAGATAGATAGTTCGTCGGCCAAGGTACGTGGTGAGAATCCAAGAAAGCATAACAAAGATCATCTGGAGGGCCGAGGTGATAAGACCCATGGCGAAGGCAGTTTTATTGCTCATGCCGGCCTCTGTGCGTGGGTTAGCATAAATGAGACATTGATAATACGAGTAATGGTGCCAACTCACGCTCAAAAAAGTAAACGGCCTGGTTGGCGATGAGGTTACCAGTAAGGTTCTGGGCCGCGTAGACACCGCACACAATAAGAGTTCGGTAAAGGTCAGTGCCCTTGAACAGCTCAACGTAGCTGGGCGCCTTAGCGGTGGCCTCAAGCTCGACGACACGGCGCATCATGGCGACGGTCTCACCAGCGTTAAGCCTAGACTTCCGTCCGAGACGTCCAACGGCGTGCTCTGCCTCTTGCAGACGTCCCTTTCGAACTAGCCACCAGGGTGACTCGGGAGCTAGGAAGATTAGGACGGCGAGAGGGGTGGGGAACATCCATTGAAGGGCAATGGGCATCCTGTACTTCGCGTTAGCCGTTCTGCATGTTTGTGAACAGGATCTCTAGCATTTGCACATACTTGTAGGAAATAGGGCTGTCAAGGCCCTGGTAGCTGTAAGTGACAGCACCCACAATAATACTACCAATGGCCCAGAACATCTGCAGCATCTGGGTGCAAGGGGCTCGCAGCGGGATAGGCACAATCTCACTGCAGTATGCCGGCGCATTAGCAATGAAGATGCCCCATGGGATACCCTCGAGAATTTGGGCCGCGAAGATGACGGGCATTGATTCGGCGTAGTAAAAGGCGAAGATGAAGACGTTCAAGAGCATCAGGCCAGTCAGGGTTGCGTAGCGGTATCCCAACCAGCTGGTAAGGGAGCCAGCAAGGCAGACGCCAACAAGCGCACCGAGCTGTCCAGACACTGAAAGTGCGGACTGCCACTTGGTGACGATAACATTGTTGAGCGGGTTGTCGTCGACAGGTTGGCCGTACTTTGCCCTGAAGGCACCTAGGGCGAGGAAGTTGTTGCAGAGGAAGACATCGTACGACTCCATGATCTGAAGACGGCGCTGTTAGTATATGTGGCTGCGAGTCTTTTGCCCGCCCGAAGGGAGATGCTCAGAACTAAACGAGGGGGAAGAACCGAGTGAGACAATTGAAGACAGTAAGCAACTTACAATGGTAAAGGACATGACGAATGCCCAAAAGGAAGCCATGGGGTACTCTCTAACGGCCTGGAGCACCGTCATATTATGTTCCGCATTCTCTGCTTCAATGGCATCCGCCTTGTAATCGGCAACCTTTGCCTTCTCGTCGAGTTTATGGTCCAGCTTCTCGTCCGCGTCAACGGCATTGTCTACCCGCACCTCCTTCTCAGCCTCTGGAGCGGCCTCTTGCGCCTTGGATTCCGCCATCTTGGGTTCGACGGGGTCACTCATACTGGGATGGGTGTTGGCGAATGTTATGTCCCCGATGAATAACGCGTAATAAAGAGAAGCTGTCCTGTCGGTGAGAAGAAGAAGAGGACAGGACAAGGATGGAGAAACAGAACAAGAAGAAACGACGCTCCCAGCTTTTATACCATCGTGCTATTCTCGTAATTCTGGAGGTGATCGGCTAAGGGGGGAAGACGGGCCGAGTACATTACATGCGGGTTAGGTTACACCGAGCTTTCGTCTCTCAGTCTAAAATGGCCCGACAATGAGGAATATGGGGAAATCGGGCACTTTGTAGCAGTGGTATGGAGGCAAACACATGGCCTGCTGTTTCCCGACCCAATAAGCGTCAATGGCTGCGACTCAACAACTGCAGTAGTTAATCAGCCTAGGTCAGCGTCTCTTGCGCCCCAATGAAGAGCCGGGCTGAAATGGTCGACGTACACACCCCTGGATGAAAGCTCGCTTGACTTAGAAGCGCGCCAATGCCGAGCCAAGCTGCGCTACCCCAGACCCACGAAGGATCAGGTTCGACGAGAAGAGATCTTGGGGCTAACCCCGCATTGTGCTAACGTCTCTCTCAACTGCGGAGGAATACCCGCTAGTTTACCCCAACTCGGTGAATTTGTACGAGTACGGTTCGATATTCACATGAGAATCAGATTGAACCAGCCCGATATACAGTACAGCTTGAGTGTAGACGGAGTTAGGAACGGTCAAGCTCGCCGTCCATGAAAATGGCGCATAGCCTCCATGCCCAACAGGTTTTGTTGTTTGGGTAGCTGAAAAGTTTGTTCCCATACTTCCAGTATGAAGTGGTTTGGTGGCTCCGAGTCTCTTCGTCGCCTTTCTGACTCGTATCCGAATGGTTTACTAACACAGCAGACGTGGAGCAGCGTATGTGAGGTCACCATTCTTGCGGGTTATCCTCTGGTTCGCTAATTCAGGTTGTTACAGTCAGCCCATCGGCTTTACTTATGGTATTTTATAGTCTATAAATAAAAGAAGCCGTGCTGCTACCTTGTGTGCCACGTGTACTATATGTGCTGATACGTCTTAGATAGCGCAGCAGTTGCAACCCAAGGTATGGATGGCTGACTTGTACCAGGATCTTCCGCCTGCTCTGAAGGGTTACATAGGAGAATTTAGCCATGGAGACCTTGATATACCGGAACATACTAACTGGGATAGCGGGTAAAACACTGGTTTGAAGGGCCCAGAGTTAAGGCAGGGGGTATCAGGCGATCGGTATGAAATACTACGTGTTGATAAGGTGGTACCCCTCATATTTGGGGTATTCTGCGGTAGCTGTACCATTTTTGATAGTGAACCGGCTAAGAATGAGAAGTAGAGGTGCTTAGAACGAAACGGATGGATATATGTACAGTAATAGGTACTTGAGGGTAAGCAACGTGTGAGAAAATGGGTGCTACATGAGAATGAAGAAGGTCCAATTTCGTCTGTCTGGTACCCCACTCACTGGCTGGCGGTAAGATTTCCACATACATATTACACACTTTCGAGTGTCAAGAAAGTTCATGTCGTAACGGACGGAGTAGTGGCGATGTCTTCTCTAGCTAGCTCGAAGAATAGGTACGACTTAGTTCTGCTGGATATTGGTATACTCATTGTGGATGGTTTTAAACTAAAGGAAACAAAAAATCGGGAGATAGCAGGCTTTGCATACCCATCATAGCTATGGCGGCTTATGCATTGTGAAGAGGCATAGCCTGCCTACGGAGGAGCATAAACGACGTTTCATGGCCATTAGCTAAGTGTAACTTGATGAAGCAGCCACTTGCATACCTAGCTAGACCCAAGTCGCTGCAATTCTATATCAAGTTAGCTGTCGAGTACCGAGCGGGCACTCGCATTCCACACTAAGAACGCGTAATGGATCGAGATTATTGCTTTTTCACACTCTATCTAATACAGTGGTTGTGTGACACCTTTGGGCGGGATATGAACAGATAATGACTACTTTTCATTTATGAAAACCGCCTTACGCAACCCGAAACGCAAATTCTCGAAATAAACATACTACGCATCATTATAAACCTAGACTGCAAATATAGATCCCTACGCCACTCTTAACGGCCTTCTAAATTCTTGTATGTTCGCTGGGCTAACTGGGTACTAGCCACAAGAAGGATCAGCGAGAGCAACATTGCCAAGAAATAATAAAAATCACTACTTCACAAGAAAAAAATAATAATAGAAGAAGTTAGGACGGAGTAGAAAACAATAAATGCGTTGTATCGCTTTGTCATGTCGTGGGATGGGCTTTGATGCTGGTGATATAGTTATGCTGGGTGCGATGTTATGTGTTCGTGAGATACAATTGTATCTTGAACGCTAATACTAAGTAGCAGATTTTCAGGTTATAGTACATGTGGCAAAATATACTGATCAACCAGTTTGACGTTTCAGATGCTTGTACGGAGTAGGAGTACACACTTCTGCAACAGAGTGGATGAAAACACCGCCGGTCTCCTACTATAAGTTGCATGCAATTGGCAGCGGTGAAATTTACTCCGCCTCCATGCGCTGGCACCCCATGAAAAGGACTAAGCGTTCTGTCACCGGTTGATAATTTCTAGCTAGAAGAAGAAAACCAAGCTTTCCAGCTGTGTTTTATGCTCGCAGGGGATTCTGGTAAGCCGGCGACTTCTTAGCTAAGTGCGTAAATCTACTGCATCTGTCAATCTTTTCCAGACACTTGTTAGTCTTTTACGTATATGTATTTAATTGGGGAGCTATCCACAATTGGAACGAAGGATCCGAGCACGCCAGCATTTAACAGCCAGTCAACGTTAACCTTCCGTGTTCGGTAGTATGCTCTAGGATTCATCAGGGGCAACATCAGGATGCTAACATCGCCAAGGCACTGGAGTTGGGAAACAGAGTCTGCGCTTATATCTTTGGAAATAAATCTAGAGCGCCAGTACAATGGAGCAGTCTCAGAATTTGTCGCCATGGCAGCTGATCTGGCGCTGAAGATTCCTGATTCTATGTCCTACAAACGGCGGTGACTCTCGGAGTAGCTGTTGCGACCGTAGGAATGGTGTTCTACAACTCTCTCAAACTGCCATCGCCTTTGTCCCTGAAAAAAGAATCCAGCTATTTTCTGATATACGAAGCCAGTACGGCAATGGGAATCATGGCCATCCGGATGGCGCTGATGTAAGTGTCCTCCTATTGTGCTTTGCGGCGACGCTCTAACACCAATTCCAGGTCTGGGTTCTCGCCCATAGCCTTATGTTCTCCTCGGAACCACGATCCAGTCAAGTCACTCGGAGCCGTCGCTACGTTTGACTACCATTCGCCCTCGTGCGGCAGCGAAATTCGCGACTTCACAAATAACACGCTAGTATACGCTCTTGATTGCATCGCCGACACAGGGTCAATGACCATCTGCTACCAAGCGATCAGAGACGCAGGCGGGCACTATCTGAGCTTGGAACCTTTCCCCACTCGCTGCCACACGCGGAAGAGCATCAAGCGAAACTGGATAAACACGTTGACGATGTTTAACCAAGCAGTTAAATGGCAAATCGGATATCGTAAGGACGCGAAGCCCAGGGATCGTGCGTTTGGGAATGAATGGTTTAGAACCTCACAGAATCTACTAGACAATGATCATATCAAGCCTCATCCTTTCAGGGAGATAACAGGCGGGCTGGACCCCATTGTCGATGGAATAACACAAGTGCGAAAGTCGGAAGTGTCAGCGATGAAGCTGGTTTACACAATTTGACTCTAAGCCGTGTATCTCTGGTTTTGTCCTTGAGCCATACCCTGTAAATTGATCATTTTAGACACTTGCCACTAAATACCACCCACTGGGGGTTATCGTATGAACACAGGTATTGCAGAGGCATATGGAATTGTCGCGAAAGCTACAGGGCATAAATAATATCATGCGCCGCAGGCCTGTTGTAGGGTAGATTATGGGAAGCTTGTAGCATTGTAGGCAACAATTCTCTCGGATTATTACGATTATGTAGAGCTTTCCATAAAATGTTAAACAATATGGTTCTAACATAGCTGGACGCAGTTGCCTAAGTTTTCCTTACGTTTACTCTGATAGTCTCATTGCTTGTTTTGTGAATCGTCGTGACGATGTCTACAGCCTGTATAGCCACCTACCCTTCCAACTGATCAAGTCACAAAGCGTGATCAAGAGGTGTCCTTAGGGGAGGTCAGTTAGTCGAAGTAATATAAACCGAGCCCAGCCGACATCTGATCCGGTGATGACGATAAAGCTTGCACAGGTGTATGCTTCGGAAATCACATGAAATCAGAAAAATTGGCTCTGTTCAACAAGGATCATGTCTGAAAGGAGCTGTTCTCTACACTCACCGTTCAGTTACTTCTAGTGAATAGTTGATTTCCCATCCATCTCTTCTTAAGTGAAAGTGGTTCTTCGCAACAGTGTATTATAGCGATTTATCCTCTGTCTCGCTGGTATCTACCAATAACTTCTTCCAATATTATATATCCAAATCAGCGCTTAGTCTCGTTGTTGTTCAATATCAACATGCTCGTCTTCGCCATTCCCTTCATCCTCCTCGTCCTCCCCATTATACCAGTCATCACTCTCGAGCCCATCACCTCGAATAAACATAGACCCAATACAGCCTAAAAGAGCCAGGCCGCCAAACAAACTCCACGCAAGAACCTCGCCCTTGGGTTGAATTCCCATGGATAGCGTAAACAGACTACCCGAAGCAAAAGGACCAATGCTGCGGCCCAGGGCGGAGAGCGTCTGGGCTACTCCGTTCAGGGTTCCCAGACTAGCGTGGGAGGGCGCCGAGTTGGTTATCTAGATGAAATGTGTTAGATTTGAAGTAGAAGAAGATCTAATTGTGTAATTATGACTCGACTTACTAGAAGCATTACGCACGACAGTCCACCCACGGCACAGATGGTCTTCAAAATTAATACAACACCAAGCTCAATATACAACCACATAGTTCCGGTTCCCAGACCGAACAGGGGCTTGTCATCAGCATAACCAACCCAGGGCATGGCGATCATGCTGATGGCTAGACCAAACAGGGCGAAGCGGTATGTCCCCAAGTTTCCAAATCGGCTCTTGAGCGACTGGAAGAGAAATGCTTGAAAGAGAATGGTAATCAGCCCTGCGAAACTCAAGCTGACGCCAATCTTGCCGGGATTGAGATCACGGCCCGCTGGAGACGGCGAGGCTGCGAAAATAGGGTACAAGCTGTTAAAGCTAATATTGGCCAACTGGAATATTAGATACGTAACCAAGAGAGTCATTGTAGTGCGATTAAGAAGCTCGCGCCAGGGCTTGGGCTCTTTATGATTGTTGCCGCCCGCTGGTTTTGATATCTCAAGTGCCTCGTCGTCATCCGGGCTGCCGTCATTATCATCAGAGGCTGCTTCGTCAGAACTTGGAGACAACAAGGGCTGTGTTTGAGAGGCCGCTTGGGGACGAGGCCATCTGGTGCTCCACGATTCTCGTCGTGGAGTTCGGCTAAAGATGTTTGAAATGCGAGCGGAGAGCCGGGTAGCCCATGTTGGCTTCCATGGATCATCATCGACATCTTCCAGCGTTTCCTCAAACCAGATGCCCACCACAATAACAGCCAACGCAAGAACAGCGGCGCTGAGGACGTTGGGCCCGAGGTAGGGGAATTCTTTGCCCATGCGTCCGACTAGAATTCCTCCCAGCGCAGGGCCCGTAAGTCCTCCAAGAGAATAAATAACGGGAAGATATGTAAATGCTTTGCTCTGGTTGGATCGATCCGTCACTTCGCCCAGAACAGTCGGTACACAGGCCGCATTGCCATTCAGCAGACCCATGGCGGCATGAACCAAGATGATCTGCCAATACTGCTTGCAAAAGCCAAAGGCGCAAAAGCAGCACATGAGTGAAAAGGTCCCGGCAAGCAACACTGGCTTTCGGCCGACGACGTCGGACATGTATCCCCAGAGGAAGTTGGTGGAGAGCTGCGCCAGGGCAAAGGCGCTGGCCAGCAGCCCAACATACATGCCGCTTTCTTCCTCGGGTATGCCTGGCATGGACGCCACCATCTCGGGCAAATATGGTCCTATTGAGTTGAGCGCTGTCTGCTCGGCCAGCGAGAGAAAGGCCAGGAGCAGCAGCTGGCGCACGGGCAGAGGCGTCTCATCGTGATCGCGGGAGGACGAGGTGGACGAAGAGTCGGATTCGATGGCCGAGGTGAAGCGATCGCTGGAAGCGTCAGAGGACGAGGCCGGAGGTTTAGGAGGAGGCGTCGGGAATGTTTGGTATCGCGGAATCGAGGGGCGTCTCAGGGATGCGATATTGGGAATGGGGGCGCCGGCGTGGAACGAGCCGGACGATCTGGACGACCTTGACCGAGTCGTGATGCCCGGCCCGGGTCGAGTGTTTGCAGGGCGCGTCATGATGCCGCCGGCGGACAAGCTTGGAGCGCCTTTTCTATCTTGTTTCGTCGTTGTTACTGCCAAATATCAAATATGAGACCACAGCAGACTTCTATCAGATCAGCTCGTCTTTTGCGCGCTCTTGTACTCTTGTACTCCGACAGTCGACGGTTGGTTGCTTGGGACGGTTCAGACGGCGGGCGTGTGAGCCAGAACCTGCGCAACAATCTGCCGCCACAGGATCATGCTGCAGCAGAGTCTTCAGCACGATGCGAGTGGGTTGAGGCAGATTGCGGCGCTGTGGAGGAAGATCCGGAAGATGCAAAAGTGGAAGACGTCAGGATTGGGATGTGGAAAGCTTTTTGAGGTGGGGACCTCGAAAGGTGGTGAGATAAAGGGCGATAACGGTGCTTGCTCCGTATATACATGTAATAATACCTGGGTTCCGTATACGAGATTTGGGGGGTTTGATATTGAATGGATGGCTATCAATCCGCCCATGTCGTTTACATTCCGCTGATGGCTACATAGTATCTTGATCAACTGAGACAACATGCTTGCTTCGAGAATCAATCCTTGAATTCTTCTGCACACGCACCAAGCTCGAGTGCTTCGCCTTTGGTGAGCGGCACGGACCGAATATTAGCGGGTCTGCAGCTGCTTTGAGGAACCGTGTAAGACGGAGTCTCGAGCTGGCACTGTGAGTGGCTGGAGCCCAAATAGCCGGCAAAGCAGGTGATTGATTGTTGAAGTTGAACTGAGCAGCGATGCAAGGGCGGCAGATTTGTTGAGAGCATGTCTTGGACACTATATTCAAGGGAGTTTGACATGTTACATGAGCTCTCTATCGCGAGAATTGCGTGATGAGTGGAGAGGGTACCCTGTGTTTTGATGCTGGTACCTTGAAGCTGTTTAAGACAATGCATCATCAGAGACATAGCAGATAAAAGACGGCGACCCAGTAGTTTATTTCCTTTCCGATTACCGACATGTTTTCCATGTCTATGGCTCTGAAATGCTTGACGGCTTAATACTGCTAGAGGTGGCTTGATGTTTCATCCATCCGTGTACTCCACTCTACTGGCTAGTTAGGAGATACTACCGAGGCGTAGGAATAGATATCCGCAGTCAGAATCCTATCACGATCACACAGATTGAATATTCTGGGGATATACTGATACAAAGACTTTTGAAAGACTGGGAAATGTGGATAGGTGATAATGTTCGCACCCACCTGTGCCAAAATAGATGGTCTCTCATAAATACGTCATGAGCAGTACTACAGCGCCCACTGCAGGGATCTTTGATGGACTTGCAACAAAACAGTCATCAAATGCTTACTACTAGGCATGGAGTTATATATATAGTTAAAATCTCCAAGAGAATATATCAAGAAATGGCATATCATAAGATGATGTACACATTACATCATAGGTACCTAGGTACCTAGTTGCTTGGCTCTTACACAATGTAGTAATGTAGAGCAGCTTCCATAGGTAAATGCTCAAAGGAAATCCTTAAAACAAGAACATCGTACATCAGTTAAAGATTAGGAACAATGCATATATTTCAATTGACTATTCGTTAATGCATCGGTACATATCATAATAGCAATCCCCAGTAAAACGGCACATATCACATGTCAGTCCCCGTCTTACTCGTCATCTACCACCACTCCATATCAGCGCATCCCCAATCGCAGCCATTCCCATCACCATCAACACAAACTCAAAGACATCAAGCATCCCCCGATTCCTACATCATGCCTTTCCTCCTCCCTCATTCATCCCGCCCTCTCATCATCACATCATCCCATATCAAGCCGCCACTATCCGCCCACGCCCTCTCGACATCCTCCCCGCGCCCTCCAAGCACACATCACATCCACTATCCCCAGAATATGCCCGAGTCAGCATAAATCTCCCCAAAAAGATATGACAGACCCGCCTCGGGGAGACTTCCAAGCTTTCTAGAATAGCGAGCCGTGCCAATCACGGGGCGGGACTGCGATTTAGCATGAGGTTGCATTTTGGTGGCTGGCTTTTGTGTTGCTACTCCGCATCCGCTACTGTATGTGTTTCTGATTAGCGCGAGATAGATACAAGAGATATCTATGGATGCTGATGAGCTTCATTATCCGAGATCGGTGATTGGAAAAGGGGATAGCCGAGGATATGGGATTACAATTGGCAAGTCTCAATGGTATATATCGAGCATCAGACTTCCATCGAATACAATATCATCCTCATAAACCTCCACACTTATACCAAACATTCTTGATATCCAAACCCAGCTATTATCCAGAATCACCCCAATGGCGAACCTCACTCTCCCAGAACCATTCGCCAGCATCCCCCGTGAATCCTTCCTCTTCGGGCCCTCCCCCATCCAGCATCTCCCTCGCATATCCGCTGCTCTTGGCGGCAAAGTCAATGTCTACGCCAAACGTGATGACTGCAACTCAGGTCTTGCCTACGGAGGCAACAAAGTCCGCAAGCTAGAGTAAACCATCTCTCTTTCCCGGTCATTCTAGTAGCCATTCTCTCCCTTATTCATACTAACAATACTTATAGATATCTCGCCGCCGAGGCTCTCTCCCAAGGATGCGACACCCTCGTCTCCATCGGCGGCGTCCAGTCAAACCACACCCGCGCCGTCACCGCTGTTGCTGCAAAACTTGGCCTCGCCGCCGCCACCGTCCAAGAGCACTGGGTAGACTGGCAGGACCCGGGTTACGAGAAAGTCGGCAACATCCAGCTGTCACGCCTCATGGGTGGCGACGTGAGATTGGACCCTTCACTGTTTGGCATTGAGCACAAGCCCACGCTGGCGAATCTCAAGGCGGAGCTGGAGAGCGCGGGGAAGAAGCCATATTATATCCCTGCGGGAGCGTCAGACCATCCGCTCGGGGGGCTGGGATTTGCGCGCTGGGCACTCGAGGTGGAGGCGCAGGAGAAGGAGATGGGCGTGTTTTTCGATACGATTGTTGTTTGTGCCGTGACGGGGTCGACTATGGCAGGCATTGTGGCTGGTTTCAAGCTCGCACAGATAAAGCTAAGTTCGCCCAAGCGCAAAATCATTGGCATCGATGCCTCGGGGAAGCCCAAAGAGACGTTTGACCAAGTGCTGCGCATTGCCAAATTCACAGCTGCCAAGATTGGTCTCTCGGAAGAGGATGTGACCGAGGCGGATATCGTGTTGGACGAGAGGTTCAATGCCAAGATCTATGGCATTCCGGACGAGACGACGATTGAGGCAATCAAGTTTGGCGCGAGCACCGAGGCCTTCATCACAGATCCAGTATATGAAGGCAAGAGTCTGGCAGGCATGATGGGGCTGATCAGGAATGGAGAGATTGCCAGTGGGAATGTTTTGTACGCTCATCTTGGAGGACAGATGGCGTTGAACGCATATTCGTCCATTTAACAGAGCCTGATAAGCGTAATCTCTTTCGTATTTTAGTTTTCTTTAGTTATGCAAAGAATCAAATATCCATGCAGCTTTTAAGCCATCTATGCTGCTTCATCTAGTGAGCATATCAACCGCATCGCCGTATTTTTAATGCCGTACCATAAAATCACCATGTACCTGTAACTCTCAAATCTCTCGAGCTATCTCCAACGGAAAATGTAAACTCTCCGTCTGGAATAACCCAGTTCTGCCTTTCTACATCCCAGTAGCTCAAGTCTCTCCTTGTCACCACAAACTCGACCGCCTTCGTTTCTCCCTTCTCGATGAAAACTTTGTCAAACCCACGCAGGACCCTGACGGGGAAGTCAACCGTATCCGACTCGGGATATGAGAGGTATAGTTGGGGCACAGCTTTGCCGCCAAGCTTGCCCGTGTTGGTCAATTCGACGGATACAGTTACGTGGGATTCCCATAGCGACGGGTTGCCGCCTTCACCGCCACCTGCACCGGACGGTGGCTGCTGCACATCGTAGCCGTCGGGATAAGGATACTTGCCTTTTTTGATGTCGTCAACCGATTCGATATATGGATATATGTACTTGTTGAGCTTGCGAATACCCGATGGGAACAATGCCTCTTCAGCTTTCGGGATGGCGGTATCGAATTTCGGGGGCTCAACCTCCGGAACTGCCGGTCGCTCATCCGGCAGAGGCGATCTCGGCTTGGTCTCCGTAATCTTGAGATTTTTGTAGTCAAAGGTTGTGTATGAGAGCCCGAATCCGAACTCGTACCGGGGCTCGATATTGTACTTGTCAAAGTGTCTATAGTCAATGTAGAGGCCCTCGTTGAAATCCTGCTGCGGGACGACCCCGTTCGGCAGGTACATGACTTGGCCGCCTTGTCCGTAGTCACCGAGAGACTTGCCAATGGTGTATGGCAGCTTGCCACTTGGGTTCTCCTCTCCAAAGATGATGCTCGCGATGGCATTTCCGCTTTCCTGCCCAGGCAAATTGGCAGCAATGAGAGCTTTAATGGTGGGGATATCAATCCATGGGTCCACGGTCACGGGCCCGACAGAGTGAATAATGACAATTGTCGTGCCTGACCCGCCACCGCAGTTGGTTGCGACGTCGGTAACAAGTGTTTCACCACCCTTTTGTACCTTGAGATCGTTGCGGTCAGCATGGACCTTGTCCCATGTCCGATATCCTTCCCCAGAGTCCGAGTTGATGAAGACCAAGCATATATCCTGATTCTGGACAACATCCTTTGCCGGCTTGTCATTCTTCAGGTGCTCAGTGATTTTGACCTTTTCCTTGTTAAACTTTTTTCGGAGTGCTTCGATTGGAGATAGCAAGTATGGAAACACGACTGCGCCGCTTCCCCAACCAGAACCTAGAGTACCATCATTGCACGCCTGGTCCTCACAATAATTGGGCCCCTTGCCAGGACCGGCATCTTCTCCAAAGATGCCTATTCTTACTTGGCCATCTCTCTTGGTTGGGGCTGATTCACCACCATTAAGACGACCATCAAGAGTGAGGGGAAGAGCCCCTTCGTTCTTGAGCAAAACAGTCCCCTCCGCGGCGACCTGACGAGCCAGTATCGAGTGATTACCTTGCACGTTGACAAACTTGTTAACCTCAACCTTGTCCTGGGGTGATGAACTAGCCGGTGCAGTGACACCCATTTTGTCATTTGTCCATGAAGAAAAGTTGGGCCCTTTCCTATCAAAGAGCTTCTTGTCGTCTTGACCAAGTTGATACCACGAGGCCACGATGCGAACAACCATGTCGTTGAGTCTTTCAAGCGGCAACGAGCCGTTCAAGACAGCGCGGGAGAGGTTGGGGCCCCAGAGAGAGTTGCCATCCTGCCAACGCAGGCCATCTCCTGGCATGCTCATATCGAGGCCAGCCAGGGCACTGCCAACGCCGGATCGCTGCGCCAGCCAGTCTGACATGACGAAACCCTGGAATCCCAATTCGTCCTTTAGAATACCGTTGAGCAGTTTGGAATTTCCACAAGCATAAGAATTGTTGACCATGTTGTAGGAACACATAACGCTGGCAACACCAGCCTTGACGGCATCGCCAAACGGCCAGGCATAAATCTCGTGCATAGTTCGGTCATCAATGTTGGATGAGAGGGCGTTTGGCAGCACCCATTCCCACGCCTGGCGGAAATGCTCCTGCTCGTTGGCGATGAAGTGCTTGATGGTAGCCATAACGCCCTGGTCCTGAATGCCCTTGATGGTCTCAAAGCCCGCGACACCAGCGAGATATGGATCTGCTCCGAAGCCCTCCCAGTTGCGCCCTCCGGCAGGCATCCTGCCCAAGGGGCCAACAACAGGTCCCAGGAGGACGTTGATGCCCTTACCACGAGCCTCGAGTGCGTGTGCTTTGCCTCGCTCATACATGAGCTCCCTATTCCACGTCGCCCCGACAGTCACACCCGCCGGGAAGGCCGTGATATTATCCGAAAAGCGAATCCCCAGCGGTCCATCTTGGAGGGCCAACGCAGGGAATCCCACGTGCAGCGCCGGTGCCGTATTGCCAACGGCAAGCCCCATGCTCCATCCCGTTCCTGTCGTAATGTTAACTTTCTCCGCAAGTGTCATCTTGTTCACCATTTCCGCAGCCTTTTTGTAGCTGTCGGCCCATTGACGCACGGAGCCGCCCCTTGGAGTGGGATACCACGGCGGGGATTTTCCATCGAGCGGCCTAAGCTTGAGCTTTTTGTATCCGAAAGCGCCGGCAGCAGCAAGCAGCATGATGATGATGGCAACGACGGCAAGGACCGCGATGCAGCACCGGCTCTTGCGCATGCGTCGAGGCAGCATCCATGATAGGCGACCGGGAATGCGCTGCTTGGAGCCGTTCAATCGCGTCGAGTCTCTCGTGGACGAAGCGAGGACCTCGCCATCCTTGGTCAGTTCGTCCAGGTCGAGATCATCGTCAGATTCGGTTGAGGTGCGTCGAGAGAACTCATGCTCTCGCAAGAGACCCTCTTTGGCGGGATCTCGGACGGGCGCCATTAGAGAAGAAGAAGCAGATGGGTTAACGCGACTGCGAGAATGGCCATTGATCTAATATGGAGAGGATCAATTTGTTTGGAGATGCTTTGGAGAGGTGAGAAATGGGCATCAGATTAAGGTCAATGCCTGATGGTAAGGCGGCGTTGCGTCACAGTGTCCACTGATCTGCTACAGCCGATGCGATAAGGCACTGGACCTAAGCGAGAGCTCGTGTTTGCTCAATTGGGCATTAACTGGTAATTGAATTCACCACCATCATCTCAGTACAAATCCTCGTGAGTAAAACAAATTAGATATAAGCTTGTGTCGAAATAAAAATCTCATATAAATTACAGTAGTAATACAATTTTTCTTCATGTGAATTCCAAACGCAGCGCAATAAACAGCCAAGCTCCGCTCATCATACACCGGACGTAGTGCTCCATGCTAACTCTTAACTTACAACCAACCACCAAAGGACGGGAGTATTGCTCGTAGTAATCATAATAACTCTTACAAGCCGTGACCTGTAATCACCATTTAGTCGGCAAATGTAACACAACACAAAGACGGGATAATGATCAAGACTCACGTCCAAGCCCTTGTCCTCTCTTGGACACCTCGCGTGCCTGCTCTTGCTTAATCTTGGCCCTTCTCGCCTCCTCCTTGGCCTCCTCCTCTAGCCTCCAGACATGATCCTTTGCAGCCCTCACTCGCATCCTCGCCTCTCCCAAAGCCCGATCAGCTTCAACCTCGGCCGCTTCGGCATGCATCACATGCTCCCTGGCCTGCAAGATGCTCGGATCCAGCGCCATGCCGCCGCCGTCACGGTGGAACAGGCTTCGACGGCCCCTGCTGCCGGCTGAGCTGTCGGTGCTGTGCCGGAAGAGGCCGCCGCCCGAGTTGCTCCCGGCTTTGTAGCCCGGACCGCCGCCGTTGGAGCTGGCTACGGAGCTGGTGCGATGAGATGAGGTGGGAGATACATCCCTGTTGCGGTGGAAAAGGCTGTGCTTCCTTGAGGGCGGCTCGGCCACGGGCTCCGGCTGGTAGACGGGCTCTGGCTCTGGCTCACTGCGGCTGAAGAAGGGCATTTTCGATTGTGGTATGTACTAATAATGTGTTGTAGATCTTTGGAGTAAGTGGTGTTTAAGAGGTGGCAAATAATGCGATATCAGCGTTGTGTAAGTGTAAGACAAGAATGTGTAATAATCAACTCAGAATGAAAAAAATGAAATGAGTTGTGCCTTGAACGTCTTATTTATTTTTTCTTGGCCCACCTCCTTCGCCTTTTTCCTGTCCACGCCGATGATGATGATGCTGTACTCGTCCACCACCCTTGGGGCAAACCTGTTTGATCCCTTGAGCGATGATCGCACGATCGCCGCTGTGACGTCAAATCTTGGTGTAGCTAGCCGCAACAAACAAATGCTCGCCATGAACGAGAACCAATCAGGCACTGAGCATGATGATACAGGTGCAGAGGTGATGAAAGAAGCAATTTATGAAGATGGCAGCTACGTGACTTGCCTGCTTTGGCGGCACCAGCCCTGGACGAGATGTCATCATGCCTTATGCGCGAAAGCAGACGACCAAGCTTGCTGATTACGATCGATGTGTACAGCTCTAGATGGCATCGAGATGCTGCTAATAATAGAATAGCAACACGTTGTCCCAAGACTCGTCACTTGGTGCATTGTACTTGATTCACGTTATCAGCCAGAACAGCTCGACAACTAGCCCGTTGAGCCAGACGTCATACATCAGTTAAGACAAACGAAACGTTAGCATTCGATCGATCCTGGTCTAAGACACAAGCAAAGCCCCCTCTTTAGTGTATAGAGCTGTAAAAGAGAACAACAGAAAAAACAAAAAAGAAAAGAGAAACTGTGACGACAAATCTAGCCTGCGTCGGAAATACGCTACATGAGCGCTGTGTATCGAACATTTCCCCTCCAATCTCAGCTCCTTCACTCCATTCCAGAAAATTACAACAAAAATAGAAACCGCATATCGGTCATGCCGCAGTCGAATATGTACGGTGAAGGTCCATGGTAGATTGATGTAGCTTGGGGGAAACAAACAAGCAAGCAAATAAAAGCGGACAGAAGAAAAATCAAAAGGACAAAAAAACGAATGCGTCGTTGCTTGGAAATTGCCTCTTGCCTTGAACAGCTTTGTGCAGCTGGTCGGCAAGGCACATCGGGGGGGTATCAAGAAGAGAACCCCGACATGAACGGGGGTAGAAGCTACATCATCTTTACATGATTGTGCACTTGTTGTCTTCCCTCTCCTTCTTGACGCTCAGCGCTACACGGGCGGCCTCTGTGAAAGCCTCGTTGACGCCGCGGTTCTTCATGGCTGAGCACTCGAGGTATCGGGATGCACCTATTCGCTTGGCGACTTCGAGGCCCTCGTCGTAGGAAATGGTGGGGGGCTTCTCGCGCGGTGCGTTGGCATCGGCTGCTGCGCCTTCTTCGGGCTCGTCCTCCTCCTGCTGGCGCAGATCGCACTTGAGGGCGACCAGAACCAGCTTGACGCCAGGGCAGTTGTCGGCAATCTCCCCGACCCACTTGGATTCGACGTTTTCTAGCGAGTCTTTGCTATCGACCGAGTAGCAGAGCACGATCAAATCGGTGTCATCTGTACGCATGCAACGTCAGCGTACGCAACGGGAGGAATGTGGGGGTGGCCTTGTAATACCGTAAGAGAGGGATCGTAGCCGGTCGAATTCCTCCTGGCCGGCCGTATCCCAGAGTGAGAGCTCGATGTGTACATTGTCAACGAAGATGTCTGCGCCAAAATGGTCATTAGTGTTGTGTTCCTGTTGCCACGGCTGAAAAAGAGTGGTGGCAGCGTACCGTGAACGTAGTTTTCGAAGACAGTCGGTTCGTAGACGGTCGGAAAGTAACTATTGAGAGAAGAAAAAAAATGTTAGAGCCTGACAAGCATTCGGCCGATGGCAGGGTAGATGTGGATGTGGGTGAGGAGGTCAAGGGCAGATTGCGGAGGTGGAGGCAAAGGCAAAAGCGTGAGCGACGAACCCTCTTGTGAAGACGTTGAGCAGCGACGTCTTTCCGCTGGCACCATCGCCCCTATAAATTCGCAAACAAATCTGTTAGTTGTTGGTTTCGCTAGCCAAGATGGTTCGAAGTCGTCGACGCACAGAAGCACCAGCTTGCGCTGCACCGTTTTGGAACCGCCGCAGAGAGGCATTGTGAGGGATGATGGAGATGGGGAATCGGTCGAGGGTGGACGCTGGATCGGTCGATTGCGCGGCAACAGCGAAGGTCCCTTTTGTTGAACTCGAGTATCGCGTAGAGTCGGGGTGACGCGTCGAGGGAGTGGCGCTGCCTTTGGGTATCGACGGCTGACGCTGGAGGAGAGGCTTTGAAGGGCGGAATCAGGAGCAGGAGCAGGAAGCAGGAGGAGCAGCAGAACGAGAGAGGCGAGGCACAAAGTCCAAAGTCATGCAAGCAAGCAGCTTCCGGATTATTGGGTGCAAATGAGAGCGGCGTGGGACCTGAGTGGGTAAAATCCACCAGATTGATCTGTTTATAGCAGCCCATTTTTGCGAGAAGGGCAGTAAAATAACGGGCGGCTATGCCTTGGGCGGGCTTAGCGGCGTATTGGGGGGGGGGTTTTTTCGGGCTGCTATTTAATTTCTCGACGCTGCGAGTGACCTTGGCTTACAGTGCAGACAAGTACCGACACATCAATGATACTGGTATTACAATACGATACGACCACGTCCAAGTACGAGGTAGGCAGCAGAGCAGAGGAATACTAATCCGCGCACTTGGGAGAGCCGGAGAATCAAGGTAGAATAGGTATTTGGTTGCATTTATTGTTAGGTTTGCATTTTGCATCTCGACTCAGCCAAAAAACTCAACTTCCATACTAACATACTGTAGTCAGGAACAACTGCTGGATTCCATACTACCCTCCCTAAACCTCTTAGCTGGCGGCTATACACTTTGACACTGTCCGCGTAACGGAGGGGCAGCCACTCACGATCAACCTCAAACCCGCACTGCCACAAATAAGGTTCAATAGACCACTGGCCGGCATAAGCGCCGAGGCAGCAGCGGCGCAAAAGGGCACTGCGTCTGCGTCGTTTGCAAAAAGTGGTACCTCGAAATACCGTGTGAAGATGGCGGGCGTCGTACGGTGTCGCGTACATGAGATGAGTTCTTGGCCCTTAATCAAAATGAGCTGGCATGGATTGGCGCTTAGTCATGAATTCAAGGTTAAGTTACTCTCACAGCTGAAAAGTGCAGTACAAGCATTAATGTACCTTAACCCAGCACTTTACCTTTATGCTTACCATCTGTGGCGCTGTCATTTAATTTGGTTTACTTGTATTTTTTTCTTTTCTTTTCTTTTTTTTCCACCTTTCAAGGACTCTTAAATAACATCACAGTAGATTGTCTTGAAAGACCAACAATCCATTGAAGAGCCTTGGCAACGCACGTGCCCCCGGACCATTCTTAGTCAGCCCAGTCATGCGCTAGGCTCACTCCAGAGCTGTTTAATTCCATTATTTCAGGGCCACTCCTCACACACTTGGCCGTCTCCTCGTGCTTCATGTTGCTCCGCAGGGACCATTAGGGGGTCTGCTTCACCTGCTTTACCTGCTTCACCTGCTTTACCCCCTTCTCTGGGTCCTTGCCTTGTGTAACTGTAACTCGATCAATGTCATCACGTACGATCATGATGGGCATTGACATTTCGACACTCCCCTGCATTCGTCTTCTCAAACGGACGTGGCAGGACGCACAGCACAGACCTGCTGGTGTCAAAGCATTGATGGAAATCGTCTGGAAGCATGTCACTGCATCATTACTGCCAGATCCATACGGCATTGGAATTTGATGGATATACAGAATAGAAAACTCGAATGTAACCGAGGTCAGCGGCTGAACAAGCACAGATATAATGAAGCACCAGACCGTGAAGTGGCCCCTTGTTTGGGCATGCATATGCTTTATTAGCGACTCCCATATTTCGCTTACTCTTAGCGATATCAAAACCTCATCGCTAAAACGCAGGGACGTGATGATCTAAGGCGCTTGCGCACTGGCCTTTGCTTTGCAGTGTCACTCAAAATTCAGCCTCTATACCACTACTCTAACCGCTATCCTATTCAATTTCATTGTCAGTGCAGGGTAGCAGTGCACCTAATCATCAGGAGGTTGAACCTCATGCAAACTAGCAAAACACCATTTACTGCTAAATAAAATAATTTTAAGGACGAATGAATAAATCCATTAAGTAGGTGGGTTAGTAAGTAAATGAGATTGAATGGCAGAACGTGGTTTTTTGGGCATGTACTCACTCGTATGCGACACAATGGTCTGTTGACATTTGATGCCTCAAAAACTCTGATTAGTAACTGTATAAACGCCAAGTGGTCAAAGAAAAGGGCATGTGCATGCATGTATTATTAAGCCTGTATATTCCCCAATGAAGTTAACTTGCCATTTGCCTCTTTCATGAATAGGAGTAATCTTCACTATTATGTTTTGCAGACTTCAAATAATGGATTAATATTGCCAGGAGTCACAGCACAAAGACTTCGCTGCTAGGTACCTAGACCGTAAAGACTGTATTTAACTCTGACCTTTCCTTCATCGAGGAAGAAAACACTTCCTTTTTTACTTACGTATGTTCACGCCACAGCTTGTTAGTTCAAACTGTGTTGCGTTTTCGCTGCTAAAGAGCTCCTTTGTCTCTGACAAATGTCCCTCACTTCCAACTTCTCCAATCGCATCTTATCTGCCTTTTGCGCTTTGACCCCTCTGACGTGTCGATTTGGATTCAACATACCAATCCTCCTCCATCCTAACATACACGTAAAGCTTGCCCATGTCCACCGGCTTTTCCCAACGTTAAAATGATCGATCCCGATGACAGGTTCTTCGCTACCAGCGGTGCCATCTATCCTGGAGGCCCAAGCACCTGGCATATCATCGACTGGGAACAACGACGACTCGTTTCAGTCACCATGGATGAGGAACTTGAGTCGGAGGATCCGGCATTCGAACAGCTCTACAAACACATCGACAACCTCGCGCCTAACGTTTATGCAATTCACATCTCTCCCGACGGCAGCTTAATTTCAACATCCACAGACCCAAAGGATGATGAGACGCGGTGTGTTTACTATCCACCACTCAGCACGATTCAACGCCCAGAGCATGTTAAGATTCTCTTACGATCAAAACTGGAAGAGCTCGGCAGGCTGGGTTCAAATGTTGACCTTGTCGCTTGTCCTCAGTCCTCTGATCCTTCTAAGAGGGTGAGCAATCCAAACCATTCTCTTTCTCCCCTGGAATCTAACCCAAATCTAGCTTATTTTCAAATACTACTTTCTCTTTCAGCATTTGTCTTTTGCATGGCATGAGATGAATTTATGGATACGTCTGCCCAAACACCCAAATATCGTTCCTTTTGACAGCATAGTCATCGATGAGCTCGAAGGACGATTCGTCGGTTTTACGACCATTTACATCCCAGGTGGCACACTGGAAGAGAACAAAGCCCGCCCATTCAAGTTAAAATGGCTTCACCAGCTTATCAATGTCATTGACGAGCTAAATCTTAACCTGGGAATTGCTCATCAGGATATCGCGCCGCGGAACCTCCTTATAGACGAAGCGACTGATTCTCTGATGCTTTTTGACTTTAATTTTTCAGCGCGTATTGGAATGCCTGGTTACTCGGAGGCTCGGAATGACATTAAGGGAACTTTATTCACAATGTACGAGATAATCACTCGCAACGATGATCTGAGAGCTATTAGACATGAAGATCAAGACGTCTCGGTCATTGAGCGCGAAGATTGGGCGAAACATCCAGATGTTCTACTAGACCACCCAGTCTCGGAATTCCGCCGGGTACTCAAGGAATGGTGCGAGAAGCGGCGAGCTGGGAAACAAATCACCACCTACAAGGATGCCACCAATTTCCTGGACTGGCCACCCGTTCCCGATCCACCACTTTCTGAAATCGAAACACACTATGTAAGAAAGACTGTAAAAGAAGCCAAAATGTTGTATGATTGGAAAAGAACCGAATTAAAGGAACAAGGCAAGACAATCTTGAACTGGCAGCGCCCTCCTCAAAGGTCAAATCTAGGAGATCCGACTGGGATTGAGTGAAGGTCGGAGTCTCGTTGATAGTGCATATAAGATCCATGATAAAGAGTGCAATAAACATTCATCCTCTTCCCCGCGCATAGTTGCCTGGCGGGGCTCCATCTCCTCGCCTTCACGCCTGGAAAGATATTACTTAAAAAGGAAATTATAGATTAAGTTGTAGGCGTGTCTGCTTCAGGCTAGCATTGTGTCTGGGGAAATAGACTTGTGTTTCCTCTGCATGGCACATATGCCGTGGCCGATATAGAAGGTGTTCTGGGGAGATGTCCTCAGAAATCCCACCAATGATCAATTTAACCGTTACGGCAAATGGAGCAGCCGCATCGATCTGTCAGGAGGTCCGGCTCTATCACATTGCGGGGAAAAAGCTTGACAGAACCTGGAGTGCATACTTGGATGGCTAAATTTGTTAGTCGGCTCTTGGTATTGAACTACGTTACTTGGCCCCTGCTTGTGGAAAGGATTGCCATTGATATTGGTGCAATAAAGCGATGAGGAGTTGCGCCCTTTGCTGTTTGCTTGATGAAGCAGGAGGCGTTTCGGGTTGACGAATGCGGAATATCGCCTCGAACCATTAGGAATAAAAGCAATTGGTGGAAAAAAAACGAAAGCTTGGACTTGAAGGATGCGCTTCTAAACTGATAGCAAAATAGGAGCATCTTGGCAGAAGTATGTAAAACACGGAGTCGAGATAGCTTCGTGATGAAGTATATAAGAGGGACGATAGGACTTGAAGGATAGGTATAGGCTGCCTCAACAAAACAAGATTAGCAAAAGTCTTACCATAAAAAAAACACACTTAACAGGACAATACTGAAAAAAGCCATCTACAATGGCTCCCAAGTCCATCATCAGTCTCCTTGCTCTCCTCCCTGCCACGGCTGTCTTAGCCTTGAACCCCAGCTGTGCTCCTGGAGGCAACTTCAACCTCAGCGTCTGGAGCCTTCAGCTCCCGACTGGTAGCGGTGATAGCGTTGACACCATCAAGAGCAAAGACCTCCAAGGTTGCAGTGGCTATACCGGTCCCACATTCTTCACGGACAAGTCCAATGGCGAGCTCATTCTGACGGCACCGGGCAACCCAGATATCACTGGCTGTTCTCACACCTCTGGTAGCGAGCATTGCCGGACTGAGTTGCGTGAAGTCGACCCCAAGAGTGGGAAAAACACGGATTGGCCTCCTACTGGCACCAACACGCTTACCGTGCAAATGAAGGTCGTCAAGGCAGACGATGGCTCTCACGGCACTGCCATCGGCCAGGTCTTTGCGGCCGCAGCCAGCAAGCCGCTCGCGGAGATGTACTACAGCACCAAAGGTGACATTGTCGTTGGTGTCAAGGAGAGTCCGGATGACAATCAGATCGTCACTAAGCTCGGTAACGTGCCTGTGGGAACGTACTTCACTTATGTGATGTCGTATTCCGACGACGTTCTGAGCATCTCCATCAACGGAAAGAAGACGACGCTTAGCACCTATGATTGGGATTCCCCCAACTGCTACTTCAAGAGTGGCAATTACAACCAGGGCAAGACTGCCGTTACTTCTGAGGTGCACATCCGGTCCATTGACGTAGTGCACTCTTAAAAAGGCAGGGAGACACGGCAAGGAAAAATTCGGAATGGGATGCAGGAGAGCTGCATGGAGTGAGAGCTAGGAGATTAGTGATACTGAGGTGGCGGAGGATTCAATGTAACATTGGCTCATGTAGCTGTCGTATATATATACGGTCATGGAGTTCATGATTATGCCAAGATTACTAGTATCCTCGGATCGATCCGTTGAAGCAGGGAGACTTCCTTGCAACAGTTGTGACCCAAATTGTAGGCTGCTGAGCAGTACCATGTCAGTAGGACTAATGCAAACTATTGACCACTCATCTCTTGCCAAGCTAGCTGTATCATATTAGATCGCATTCCATCTTGGAAGGAGTGTCGCCTGAGGAAGGATGGGGTGGTATCGGGTTTCTATAACCGATTGCTCATAGATTGCTCATACCACTTTGGGTCGTGCAAAACAATGCACTGCTTCTTAAAATGGCTTCGTTCAAGATAACGGCACTTGTTCTGGGAAATGAAGGTGATCAGCAATGAAGCTACTGGTGGATTTACCGCTTTCGCTGCCGTCCCAACTCTCGACACCTTCCTCGTCACTTGACCTCGGGATGTGTAATTGGTGGATATTAAATTTCCATTAGAATAGGATCGGTGCATCCTCCAATCGAAACTATTATCTAATTTAACTGTTGTGTTCCTGTAAATGCAATAGCGTTGGTAATTGCTCTTCCTTGTCTTCTTCTCACCAAATGTACCGTAGATCTGGAGAGCGCCAACATTTGCTGACTTCTATGCACCCAGAATGCAGTTCAAGTTGGGGGTTCTGAAGAAAGCGGCGGCTAAATGGACTAGCAGAATCTGGAGAACAGTACTATCTGCCCTTATGCAGTTAACGTTGCTCTATATGGGGGAGAGCTAAACGAAGCTTGAGTCTCAATATTTGCCGAGGGAGTCGGCTTTTGCCTCCACGATACGTTTGCCATGTATAATCGCGGAGCGAGTCAACTTGTCCATTACTAGAATACACTGTACGGGCACGTTCCGTCCCTAATTAGGTACCTAGCTTGCTGGCGATTCTATTGAGTGGGGGGTTGATAATCTGCTGTGCAAGATGGAGCTTCCGATATTTGCCTGAGCTCGTATCCTGTTGCCTCTTTCCATCTCTGGATAGTCTATATGCAGTGCTGTCCCTTTTGGCGCACCTTTGCAATCCTTCTTGCTCAAATGGTCCTAAAAACGGCTGATATCTAGAGCCACATCCCGGTGATAGAACGGCCACATGTAAAGGTATAAATGTTTGTATGAAGCATATAAATAGAGTAAACAGACTATTTATTGTCAACGTGGCGTGCATTGATGTCGTTGCATGAGCATTAACACGACTGAGAATGATACATAGTGCACGCTTTCCACCGGCTACTGTGCCGAGTTACAGGCCGGGGCCACATGTCAAAATCCCTGCGCCATCGCAATAACCAACTCAACAAAGTCAAGATGATAAGTCTAAATGCTTGTTTGGTTAGGTATTTATGCATAGCGTCATTGGTGGAATCGCCGAGGCAGACTACGTACTTGTACGAAGTACGAGATACTGTAGTTGGAGTAACTCGGTGTAGGCCGTGTTTGTGTGGGCTCCCCTAGGCATTTGCTAGACTGCATCTAGCAAAGACAAATTCCTGCAGCTCAGCTTCTCCACACAATCTGATACTGCCTTGAAATGAGAGGGTTGGTTTAGGACCGCGGGCTAGTTTTGATTGGGCCTCTAGGGGAGCAGATCTGCGCCGCCCTGCGAACAATCGTGCCGTACATCAGATGGACCGGGCACGGCTGGGACGGAAAACGTGCTCCAAAACTTGGCGATTTGGGCATTGATTCGCATCCCTCCTTTTGAACGTAACGTTGGGAAACAAAGGCTGGCATTTCTTTTGCTAAACTTTTTGCGATTCTAGTGTCCCCTGCATCTTGAGAGTCAGAGGGTCAGACTAGCTTAGACAACTGCCGTGAACACTGGTTGGTGGATCGGAAGAAGCAGAAACAATCCTTCTTCTTTTGACCTTCCTTTGGTAGACGCCCAGTTTGAGTTACCTGTACAGCTGCCTTGTGTAGGCTAGAATTGATGCTTATTCATCGCGTTTAAGATTATCTGCCCACAAGTTGCGATTCATGACTAACCCATAAGCTGATTATCTCATACGATTCGCAAGCCTCTCGACAAGCTTCTAACGCGAAACATCACAAGTATGTCAATCCTCTTACCGCAAGGTCTAACCTCGATTGACGAAAGAGGCAGCTAGATAGATGTACTCCGTACAGTAAGCCTTTTATTAACGTTACAACTAACATGGGGTCAGGCACATGGAAAGGCATTGCAGAGACTCAAGCTGGCGACTAGCCGCCCAAGCCGAAGTTATGGATGGTTTAGCGCAGGGGCGAAGAGGAGCTGGGTAGCATGCAAAGTGCTTTGAAGTGCAACGGGAATGGGTTCGGAGGATTCCCTTGAACGGGGGCTGGGCTCCTCGTTTACGGAATATCGCAGGGTCAATGGCTCTAAAACAACTCCCACGCGGGTTCCGAAGTACTTCAAGTACAAACAAACAAGTAATGCTTCCATACGAGTATACGCCGGTGTTTATATAAAGTGTCTGGGTTTCCCCCCGTTGAAATCAAGAGAAGTTCATCACCATCAGTCTTCAGCCTTAGCAGCCTACGACAACCACCCGATCAAAATGCGCAGCTTCGACGCTCTCCTCCTCGCTGCCCTTGCGGCCTCGCCCGCTCTGGCTCGCCAGATTCCCGACAATGTCAAGAGCCTGTACAACTCGATCCGCGCTCAGGGCTCGTGCAAGAACATCCTCAAGGGTGGCTTCTACTCCCAGGAGGGTGACTCCAAGAGTAAGTCATTGAGGAACAACGACAAACGTGAAAGTTGTTTCGCTCTAGTCACTAACATGGGACTCAGACTTCGCCTACTGCGGTGACCACTTGAGCGACTACCGCATCATGTACCTCCAGGGCACTGGCGGCAACTTGGTCAACATGGATATTGACTGCGATGGTGCTCTCGGCACTGGTGATGGCAGTTGCGACAGCTCTGAAGATACTCAGGGCGAGACTAGCTTCAAGGATACCGTCGCCGGCTACAAGAAGGGCATCAAGGACCTCAACGCCTACGTTCACTCTTTTGTCGTTCTCGGTAACGAGGGCAAAAAGAGCGGCTACGTCACCTTCGACCCCACGTCTGTTCAGGTTGAGCCCTTGTCCATTGTCGCTGTTGTTTGCGGCAACCAGATGGTGAGCATTTCACTTGAGTATATCCCATATACATAACACACCAAGACTAACACTGCTATCAGTTCTACGGCGTCTGGGGTGACACCAACGGTGATGACGGCCCTCCCCTGGTTGGTGAGGTCTCCGACGCTCTTGGCCGCGCCTGCTACGGCAACGCTGTCAACGGCAACGCCGCCCATGATGCGAACGACGTTCTGTATATTGCCTTCACTGGTGGCGATGCCGTTCCCGGTGCCAACGGCGCCAACTGGGCTGCCAGCTCCTTCTCTGCCTTCGAGTCCTCCCTGGGTACTCTGGGTGACAAGCTCGTTGCCCGAATTGGCAGCTCTGGCGGCACTCCTCCCGCGTCCTCCACCACCGCAAAGCCCCCTGCCTCCACCACTAAGCCTCCAACTCAGCCTACCTGCTCCTGGACCGGCCACTGTGCCGGTGCCTCTTGCGGTAGCGACGACGACTGCTCTGATGACTTGACTTGCAACAACGGCAAGTGTGGCAACAGTGGGTCTACTTCTCCTCCTCCTCCTCCTCCTCCTAGCTGTTCTTGGGCCGGCCACTGCGCTGGTGCCTCTTGCAGTAGCGATGATGATTGTTCTGATGACTTGGCTTGCATTTCCAAGGTGTGCGCCGTTGACCCGAACAATTGATTCCGCGGCACTGGTATGGAGATTAAGAGGTGGTGTCTGTGGAGCTGGTGTTTTAGCATCTTCTGCATCTAATGGGTTGAAACTGGCTCTTACTTGATGACGACACTACCTGTTACGGGGTACGATGCATTTGTTCAAAGTACAAATGGTTTTTATATATTTTGTATATAGGCGGTTCCTTTTGCCGTCAATTGTACATAACTTTATGACAGCGTTGCGGAATAGCGTGGTTTTAAATGAAATAACTGTTGAAGAGCACTCCTCGTCTTCCTGCTGTGATTCTCGCTCGACTTTTTCTTCGTTTAAGCTTCAAAATACCTATTATTGGCTGCATGTTAGTGAGAGGGTTCCACATCTTATGTTACTGGAGTAGTGTGCCCCATAAGTAAATCGGATTCGATGTTAATACAAGTAGTCTACGGAGTTAGTATTGGGGGACTTCGGAAACATGTAATAAAGCGGCAACGCCGTAGTAGTTTCAGTTCGGCTTAAAATAACAACTATTGGTTGTTGTGAGGCATTAACCCCCTTGCAAAACCAAACAATGCCCACATTATTGAGACCGAACAATGGGTCGGATCACGTTCCGTAAATGTATCTTCAGACCGGCCCTACCGCCAAAATCGGCGGGTATTTCCAGGTCATGGCTATTACAGATGTGACCAAATTAACAAGTTTCATTCACCATCGCGCACAGTGCACCGTCACCTGATTCAACATGGAATAAAGGGGCATATAAGCATTTTGGCAGAGCAAAATCGTGCATTTCATATATACATTGCGAGTCATATATACATCCACATCTAGCGCATCGAAATCATCGCCGACAACAATATGTACAACCGGCGGCGACTAATCATATCAACAGCCCGATGCGCAGGCGTAAATAGAATGTGGTTGTGTCTGCAAGTCTCATGTTAGTCAAAGAGCAACAACAACAGTAACTAGCCAGAGAAGGTTGTCACATACCATCAAAAAACGTTTATATACAAGAAGGAAGCTCCTCACATCGCAGGAGTTTAGGCTCGCTTATGCGGAGGCGGGCTTCTTTGCAACGGGGATATCATTGGAGTACTTGAGGTTGCGGAGGTCCTTGACGGGAACATCGGCAGCGGCTCGCTTGACGGCGGCGCGGTCACCCTTTGCGATAGAGACGGGGACCGAGTTGGCATACTTCAGGTCGGTCAGGTCCTTCCACTCGGTACCAGTGCGCTTGAAGCTGGGGGCAGCGAGGGCGAGGCCGGAGAGGGCGACGGCGATGAAGGCGGCGGTCTTCATGATGGCTTCAAGGTGAAGAGTTGAAGTTGAAAATGTTTGGTATAGGGTTTGGTGTATAGAAGATCAGTCCAAGTCGTGTGCAATGCAAAATCCGGGGCAAATCCAGAGCGAGTCTGGGGAGCGAAGCTTTCCCTCCTATATATCCCAAGTTGCCTCCGAGCCAAGCATTCCGTCAGAGCACCTCATTCGACAGCTCATACCCCAGGTTTATCTCCTGCTCCAAGCAGGTTCGCGCGGGATGCATATAATATGCATTTTGACCGAAAGATGTGCCGACATGCCTCCCAATCAGGCAGGTGGATATTGTATTGTGTGGTCAGGCGCTAAAGCCTAATTTGCCCTGTTCTGGAAGCTTGCCGATGCTATTATACTGCTTGGAGGATGATATGAGCAAAAAGAAGACGAGAGTGAGGCAAATGAAGAGGTTGAGGCTCATGTGAGCTCTAATGAACAGTTATGGCGAGCTGATCGGCGGCATCAGAAGGGCGGCCGCGATCACGGAGCGTTTGTGGTGCTTTGGTGATCCGTGAAGCCGCGGGCGATCGACGACTCATGTACCCATGCGCATGAACCTCTAAGAACCTAGTTACATCACTTAATGTAAGGCACCTAACGCTTTGAGAGGTATAGCACTTGGCAGTACGGAGCATTTCGTAGGGTTGATCGGTTCCTTGGCTGCTCATGTGCCTGGGCCGTGCTTTTTAGTGGTGGGCGGTCCTATCCCCTGGATGATCGATCCACATCCTGCCAGTTCAAGCAACTACCGTATATGGAAATCACCAAATAGCCACGAAGCAAACAAGGCCGAGAGCAGAGGCCCGCTTTCATTGCTAAGCCAGATCAGAGAGAAAATACAACGATTGAAGGGTGTGTCTTACATATTTCATGCGGGGATTGTGAGAGGCTTATCAGGTATGACCGAGATATCAGAGAGGCAGGTAGAATGGCGCAATAGACGCATGCTCACTATGACTATTTGCTCTTGAACTACTAATTACTTGGCAATACGCACTGATACTTGCTATTCATTAGTCTTAACATATATTCCTAGGGCTCGGCAGCTCCCTTTCTTGATGACGCTGCAGAAGAAGCTGCATGCCTGAATGAAAGAGGCAGTGGTACATGCAACTGGAGAATGCTGGAGAATCAACGTTATCCCATATCACAAAACAAGTGATACTAGTATTCCATGTAGGATCGCAACTACCAATAAGGTTAAACTGAGGAGAACGCCTTGGCATTCCTATCCTTCCGCACAACAATGCTGAAAGCCACCGCTCATTCGCCAAGAATTTTATACACCATCTTCTCCCCGCTGATTGGCCGCATATAGTCCTCATTACGGCTTGTATCTGATCTCTTTGACACCATGCCACTACCCAAGAGCTCAAAACCATCCGGCACGATCCTCTCCAGTCCTCCCGGCATAAGTCGTAAAGGATTAGGCTCCAGCTTCACCTTGCCATCCGCCGCCGCCGTGCTCAGGAAGTTGAAGAACTTTGTGGCAAACACGCGGGCATCGGGATTAGCGGCAATAATCGCACCTTTCATACGTATTAGCGATATGAAGTTATGATATCATGTAAGCAGGAACACTGAATATCCTTTCGACGTACCGTTATAACCAATCTCATGACCCAATCCTTCCCACACGGCGCCGTAGATGGGCTTCACGCGCAACTCTGAGGGATCATATTGCCCGCCCTTGGGTCCACGAAATACGGCCATTTTTGCATTGTCATTCAAGGTGTTGTTAACACTGTACACGCTCTCTCCCTCAGAAATGCTGTCCACAGCCCGGTCGATACCTTTGCCCTCTGTGGCCTCTTTCACTTTTTCAACCCAGTTGGGGTCGCGGTAGTCAACCAGCACGTCGTAATTATACGGGGCTTTGCGAAGGAAATCATGCTTGGAAGCACTCGCTGCGCCTATGAGACGGATTTTGCGACCAGAAGCGCGAGCTGAAAGCTGGACTAGCTGGGCTGCGTATAGGCCAAGAGAGGTGGAGGCGCTGTAGATGAGTACATTGGTAACATCATTCGCGGTGCCCACAGAGGAATTGACTTGACCATCAAATGGACAGGGGAGGCCGAGACGACTAAAGACTCCTTGAGCGGCTGTCAATCCACACATGCTAACGGCCGAAGCAGCCTCGAGCGACATGCTATCCGGCACCGACCACAACAGGTCATATGGGGCAGTGATGTACTCGGCAAACGCTCCTGGACGATCATTTGTAGAGCAAGCTTTAAGCAAAAGACTGTTAGCTTACATGTACTTGTCTCATTTTACCATTCGAAATAGCATGTATTGCGTAATATGAGTACACTTACCGCCCTGATGGAATCCTGCTACACGGGTGCCGATTTTGGTACGGAGATCGGACAAGGATTCAAGATTAGGCCCAACAGAAGTAATGATACCGGCAAAATCTGTTCCAATGATGCGTTGATCTTGTTCCGCAATGGGGTGCACGGCGTAGATGGCGTCTACCGGGTTGAGAGCCACGGCATGAACACGAATCAGGACTTCGCCGTCACGGGGTTGGGGAATGGGAAGCTCTTGAACAGAGACGTCTTTAGTTGCGGGTGTGAGAACGAGGGCCTTCATGTTGATGACTAGTTTCTGGCAATAAGTTAGGTTCAAAGAACAAACAAACAATGTCTAGCAGTGAATCTTACATGGAAGACTTCGAAAAAGCTGCTGCGGGGTGATGGTCGAATAGTATGTAGATCAGACGGGATGTTGCTAAAGCACTGAAGGATCACACGGAGAGTTTTACCACAAAAGGAAATGCTTGATCTCTTCCTCTAGAGTCGGAGCTCAAATACCAATTGGTGATCCTACCTATTTAATAGGATTCGCTCGAAAGCGCCATTTGTAAGCCTCAGTGCTAGCACAACCTCTAAACTGTGACTACGACAATACCAAATGCAGACTCAATATGCAGATTTTTTTGCTGGCAAATCATGAAAACACGATAAAACAAGTTGATGCAAAATGCCTCAAGTGTAAGCGCTATATGAATTGCTTGATAATTCGAAATTGATTGCATTTCTAATGAAGCGTGCCATTTGATCAAAATCTGAGCATTATGACATAGCCCTGTCGTTTTAGACTCTGAATAGTGAGGATGGCGCAGGACGGCGTAGGGCGAGTATCGCCGAGGCTATCTGTGCAATATCCGGATTCGGATTCGATCGAAAAGCCTCTGCGCGTCAAGCAGTGGTTACAGGTCTTCCTCTTAAGGCTATCCTTTCGAGTCCTGCACAACGCTCTTGATTAGGCTAGCATTATTTGATGGCTGTCCTTAACCGAGGAGTTGAAGTACAGTAGGGCTGATAGCTTAGAGAGTGGAATCTACGCTATTTAGAAGGCGAAGGATCATGTTTAACGTCACGCGTCATTCAGTTTTTTCATTATATGAAATAGGAATCTCTCTCTGCTAACTCTTAAAGACACATGCTCTCGGACTCAGCTTGTCCTTAACCTCAACTTAGTTGAGCTATAATGAGTTGGTAGTATTGGAATAAGCATTGAACATCATATACAAAGTCTCTCTATGCATGCGTTCAATAATACTGTACCAACAAGGGTGGGTGCCCACCTGACTGGCCGTATTCTGGTAGCTCCTCTCGCCTATGTCAACCTCCACCTTACTCCGCCAACTACTCCCAGTTATCTCCGATACGTGACTTGCTGGAGATTTCTCTCCTGCTACTATGACCGATGATTAGAACTCTCACCCTTTAGGCGAATAAAAAGCTTATTATACACTTGCGCCACAGTAAGCACGATATGCTACACATAGGAGCCAAGGGAGCCTTGAGTACATCAAGCTAGGCAGAGGTTATTGCCAATAGATCTTGCTTCGCTCTTATGTAAGCACGAGTTCGTTGCTACTGTAGCAGTTTTTTCGTACGTATCTCTCGTCCGCGTAATACTCCGGACTCCGGGACTCCGTATCCTGGTCAGACTCTCCAGCTCGAACATTAAACTCTTGCTCATTCACAAGTACCTAAGTAATATCTCGCAATAATTTCCCGTCTGGGATCACAACAACTCTGGTTGAAGTCATACATCCGCTTTGACGGCTAGTTCATTGAAACTAGCCACCCTGACTCAGTTATCGGTTCAGCCATTTCAAGAATGGTTCGCTCAGTGAGCCGTAGCAAGGGCTGTGCTCGCTGTTTGCAACGCAAAGTCAAGGTGGAACCACCCTACTGCATCAAGACTTTTGCTTGTGCAATTAATTGGCTAACACTTGATGCTATCTAAAGTGTGATGAGAAACTACCTCAGTGCTCTCAGTGCCAACGTATGCGACGACCCTGCCCAGGGCCGTTGACAGGCACAATCTTTGTCCATGCGGTGGCAACAGATCGCGGCCCAAAGGCCGAAAAGGCAAAGAAGATACAGATTGCAACTACGCATCAAGAGTTTCCGATAGTTGCTGCAACTGTGAGACAATTTCAGCATGCACGAATGCCATTGGCCGAATTCCCCAATATATATCAGCCGTCAGTTGCTCCTGCGTTTGACCAGCTATTTTTGTCGACCTTTATCGACTCGTTTGCGAAGCCTAGTGCTGGCTCTGATCCTCATCAGTCATGGATGAAACACCTCCATGAGTTTCTGGTCACCGGCGATGCTCCAATCAAACACTCAATACGAGCCGCGGCTACCGCTTACCATGGTAGAGTTGCTCAAAATGCAGCTGCTCAACGCGCAGCCGAGCATTGCTACATTGCCGCTCTGCGAACCCAACGCGCCAGAATAACCCCTTACTTGAATTGTTCTGCTTCCCATTACGTTCCTGATGATCAAGAAATATTTACGTCAATGATGCTGCTGTACTTTGAACTCATCTGTCCATCCTCGACTGCTAGCTGGCTTAAACACCTACACGGAGTCACCAGCTTGCTACAGTTAAGAGGCGCAGAAAGTTGCCAGGTTGGCGGAATGCACCTTCTGTTTCGCTCTTTAAGATTTCTCGAGGTAACTTTTTTTTTTTTTTTTTTGGCATTTATCTTCCTGGAGTGGCAAACTAACCCGGCAATTTGCACTGCTCTGTCATATAGGCGTACTCGTCATTTCGAAAACGAAGACCGTCAGTATTCGCATCCGAAGCATGGCGCACGATCCCTTTCGCAATATCGGGGAAAAGTGATACGGATAGACTCGTCGATATTCTTTTGTTGGCTCCAAACCTTTTTAACGACATGGGATTCGATGACAACCACTTCCTTGATACAAGCTCTGCCGTTTCCATCGAAGGTCTTTCTGCTGAGCTGAGTGTATATAAGGAGCGATATATAAATAGCATTCTCCTTGCTCACGAAGCAAATCGCAATATGGACGAAAGCCCCGACGATGACGAGGCTGATGATTGCAATGAGTGCACCGCATGGATCGACGGGGGAGGTGACTTTTGTACGGCGATGCCAGAGTCATTATTCTATTCTGCCAGGATTCTTGTTGACCATGTTACCTTCAGAGGGAACATGAAATCTTGCGAAGAGCATCGCATTGCTGAACAGTTGATTTATGCCTCTCTACTGTTTAGAATTGCGGAGGTGTCGCAAGTTGAAGGTAAAACACAGCTGAATGCTGGATCCTGTGTACAGCTAGCGTTCTGCCTCGAGGTTGTTGGATCCTTTAGTCTTTCATCCACATGCAGAGAGCAAGCACGACTACACTTGCAGAAACTAGGATGGGAAAATGTGAATGTATTAGGTTGATATTTCTCCAGGGAACTAGCCAGCTTATATATTTAATGAATCATGAAATAAATAACTCAACATAATCATCTATTAGTATTATCTAATAATAGAACTACAGGTTCATCCGTATGTAGTTAGTAAGATAGATGGATGGAAACAAATTGGCTCATTAAAGCCAGAAGTCGCTCGCGGCCATTACAAATATGCCCAAACACCTATAGCTCCTTCGTCACGTCTTGTTATTTGTCAGCTGGGTTGTATCTTTTCATTGCCTCACTGATGGCTGTGAGCTGTTGCGAGATCGAGTTCCCCATGATAGCTGGCACATGATCATTCATGGTATCGGCATAATGAGGTCGCCGACGGGTAGATTCGTTCACGGGTAAATTGAGTGCATTCAGTAGCCTGGGGGTTGGACCTCAACCTGTAGGTTACATCTTTACAATTCGCTTCTTCGAGGGCCATCGCCGTTTTTTGCCTTGATGACATAGCTGATGAGCTCATCTGACACAGATCAAATATTACCTTAATGCAGTGGTGAGAAAATTATCTCTTGATTATAAATAGCTGATAGAGATGTATTATGGCGTTATTAATCGTATTTTATGGGCACCAAAAGTTGACCACCATTAATGTGGTCTTGAAGGATACGATCGAGCTCAAATTCTACCTGTAATGATCGTTGCCGCCATTCGAGGCAGATTGCTCGACTTTGAAGCCAGTCAGGTGTGAATAGTTCCATTTCCAAACCTTGTTGGTGATAGACATGAGTATCCTGCTCGATCTGGTTATCTGCAGGTCGATGTGATATGTGCGTATGACCAAGAAGGTAGTACATTAAGTCACCATTGCTCATCAATAGCCCGTCTATTCCGGCTGGCTTAGCGTAATACGCAATAAAGTGACTTCCGATGGCGTCCGGAATCAGTACTGAGATGGTACGTAATGCAGGGCTTGGGTACCGTTCCAGCGATGCTTGTCGCAAGAGGCTGTTGTTGACCTCAAAGGAATGCCATGTTTCGAGGCTGGCAGCGTAGACGAGGCCATCATATAGGCCTTGCCGTCCAACATGTTTCATCAGCTGTGCGATCCAAAGAAGCCACGAGGGCTGAGGACTACATTGTCCCACTACGTAAAGCATAGGCAGAGCAACGTTTTCAACATCTTCACATGATAAAGCAGCTGGATTCTGTGAGCTGCTGCTATTCGGCAAGTTTGCTTTAAAGGCCCCTTCTGTCGCTGCAAACTGCATTGTTTCGTAAAAATGCAGATATGCTAAATGTTTGTGTGCCTCTGAGTTTTGCCCATTTTCGAGTATTGATAATAGCCAAAAGGTTCGCCCCAAAAGAAAGCTGCAGAGAGTTGCGGAAGCATCGTATGGTGTTGCTGTCTCGTGGAGAAGAGGCGGGATTGTAAAGGTTTGAAGGTTTGCTTCATCTGGATCGGCTGTGTCTGAAGCCAAAGGTAGCAAAATTGTTTTGTTGGAGTTTCTCCATGCTCGTAATTTTTGCTGCAGCCAGTGGATTTTGGTAAGTGCCATTGACTTCGAATATCGCGGTACCAAACTCCAAATAAGATCCTCCAAGCCCGACTCAGACAAGAGATTAAGAAGGGTTTGTCTTAAAAATGAGGGCGTTGTACAGGCTTCATTACATGTGAATGCCTGTCGTGTTGAAGGAATCTTGTTTTGAAGAGGTAGTGCCATGAATCGCATCCAGCTCAGACCTTGAAGAGCTGTGTCGAGGCAGTCTACAGTAGGGACACTAGCTGTTTGTGGATTCGATACGCTACCTTTATAGATGTCGAAATAATGGTTTGCTGAACCTATATGACCGCATGCTGCTGTTATGTTACCTGCAAAACACTTATACCAAACTCTGTTAGGTATTGGATCATCTGAGTGAGCTTGGGTGGAATCGGGGTTCGCACCTCGAAATAGGCCATTAGTATCAGCGTCGAAATAAGAATATCCTGAATTTTCTTTGCCTCCTCAAAATTGCGGCTCAACTCTTGAAGAGCTAACGTGTATGATTGAATGGCAATCACTTTTGTGTCCAGCCCACGATCCTGGTCGTTCTCTCCCGGCATCGACATCATCAACAAAGCGCGATGCATGCTTCCAAGTGAAGAAAACATCATGTAGAGGTACTCGATACCCCATGCTTCTTCGCATAGGCGATCTCTCCAGAACCACATATGATCTGCTGGAAACAGGACTGGCAATGTGCGGAAGAGAAACTGGTGATAGGCCAATACCTCTCGAGCCCCTGAGAGTGGTCGTTGAGATGGACGCGGATTGCTGGGCAAACCCACAAGCGGTAGGCCATCGTTGCGAAAAAGATGATGTGGATAATTGAGTGCCTCTCCAAGTGACGCCGACGAAGATGCGAAATCTGGAGAGAGAGATTGTGTGTTGCTCAGAGCTGAAGACGCTCCATGACGGTTACCGCGCCGCTGAGATTCGCGTACTTGAACTTGCTTTTTGGGAAGATAGCCCGCACATTCGATATTCCCAGTTTCACAACGCTCACATTCGGGTTTTCGCTCGTCACACTTGACATGTCGTGCCCTGCAAGTAAGGCAGCCTGTACGTCTCCTACGTTTCTCTGTCATCTTCACAATGCTCGCTCTTCAAACAAGTATAGGTGGGACAGCGCTCATTGTTGTACTATCGAGTTAATCGATTGAAGCGAGATAGCCGATAACTAACTCAGGTTATTAAGCAGGTTTCAATATTCGACCGAATTTGACCGAACTAGTGTTAGGACGCCACCGCTCTGACTGCCGGCAGCCACAACTAGGCGCGACGTGGAGCCGAGAGAATTGCCCTAGCAGTTTACGGTATTTGCACACGATGGTGCTTATTGGCTCTCCGCGGAGATGTAAAACCATGCCTCAAGAGGGAATGTGTTCCGGTTCCATTAATCAGCTAAAGACTATACGATGGATGAATAATGTTCGAGATGACGATGGAAACTCCATGATGAACAGCAATACAGAAGAAGATGAAGTTTGGCTGATGCAAGGTAGTTGGCAAAAGCCTATAAAGGACAAGATGTCGGTGCCATCGGTTTGGAGATTGCCTCAGACAGCAAGCAACAGCAAGCACCAGCATTAACATTCAAGCAATATTCGCATAACTACATCTCTTCAAAAAGTCATAACAAACACTTTGTCTTACAAAAAACTCAAATCACAATGGCTTCCCGATCCAACAACTCTGTGGTCATCATCGGTTCCGGCCCTGGAATTGGTTCCCACACTGCTGCGATCTTCGCTTCCAAAAGATTCAACAAAGTGGCTCTTGTGGCTAGAAACCCAGTCCAATTGGAGAAGGATGCTGCTTTCGTAAACAGCGCTGCTCCAGGACAGGTCGAGGTCAAGACTTATCCCACCGACATCACCGATAGCAAGAGGCTTGAGACTACTCTTGCGCAGATCACCAATGATCTTGGAACCCCAGAATTCGTCTTGTTCAACGCTGCTATCATTGCCCTGACTCCCCTGCTGGAATTTGACGATGAGAGCATCCTTCAGGACTTTAAGATCTCCACTATTGCCCTTCACAACACCGCCAAGTGGGCAATTCCTCAGCTCTCCGCTCTGGCTAAGCAGGACTCCACTGCTAAGCCCACTCTGATGGTCACCAACTCTCACCTTCCTGAGACTCCTCTTGAGGACCTCTTCTCCCTCTCTCTTACGAAGGCTTCTCAGAAAAACCTTACTGTGTCACTTCGCCAGAAGTTTGCCGATTCGGGCATCCACATTTGCTTGCTGGCGGTTGCTGGTAATGTTGCAGACGAGAACCCCAATCTCAACAACAAGAACGTCTCAAGCAAGGCATGGGATTTGTATAGCCAGGAGAAGAGCGCTTGGACCGAGGAGATCCGAATTAACCCATAAATGAGCGGAAATGACCAGCAATTAGTTAGTTGAGCGAAAAGTCGCTATATAGACATTGGTACTTAGACATTGTTAGAGATATACTGTTAGAGATGAACAAACAAAATTACTAATACCTTAACCGAGTCGTAAAAGTGCATTTGCTTGTATTTTTTTCTTTCTTTTTCTTTTGTGTGTATAAGTACATTGCGTGCCATATATTGTCAGTTTCACAGCTCGTATTAATGAATTTAGCAGATAATTGTTATTTACTCGCGTCACCATTGTTGAGTAACATACCAGAGTATCTCAGGTACCAAAATATACAACTTGACAGAATTATTCTCCCAAATTTTACCTAAGGAGGTGGGATTAAATCAAGGCCTTTGACCGTCAAATGAAACGAGTCATTCCGCGAATAGGATCCAGCAACATCCAAATCCAGTCGACCTTTCTCACATTCTTCAAAGTCCAGCTCCTGGATGAGCAGCTCTCCATCTTTGTCCCAGCTCGGCCCAGCGAGAACCTTGCCAAAGGGCGAAATAATACACGAACCTCCGCCGCTGATGAACTTTCCCTCCCGCTTTACCTCGCTGATCCACTCCGGCAGCTGATCATCGCGGACAGCTTGGTTGGAGCTGACGACGAAAGTCCGTCCCTCGAATCCGATTGTCTGCATCAGAGGAAGCCATGTTGGCCTCCCGTCCGCAGTCGGGGCGAGATATAGGTTCACATTCTGCTGATACAACGCCTGGCGCAAGAGGGGCATGTAGTTCTCCCAGCAGATGGCAGCGGCGAGGCAGATCTTGACTCCTTTAATAGTTGTGCTCACGGCTTTAAGAGACCGAGGTTGGCCCTGGCCCCAAACAAGTCTCTCACTTCCCGTAGGAAGAACTTTGCGTCGTTTTCCAACGATTCCTTTGGCCGGATCGACATATACCACGGAGCAGTATAGCGTACCTCCAGATCGCTCCAATACGCCGGTGACGACATAGACTCCAGTCTCGTGGGCAATTCTTTCTAGCTCCTCTCGTATACCGTCTCCACGCACTCCGTTCTCGTTGGTAGGTAGTCGGCGACTGACCCAATCCTCGTCACCACCTTCGGGGGTATCTCCGAGATCAATGGCCCCCTGAAAATACGACAGGTATTGGTGATAGCCATCTGGAGTACGCTCGCCAATCTTAGCACCAAATGTTGCCGATCGGGGATATCCGCCCAAATAAACCTCTGGGAAAAGAATGAGGTCAACGCTTTCGGCGGCAGCCTCTTTGACCTTTGTCTCAAGTTGTTTGAGAGTGTTGGCTGTTGTGTCAAGGGTTCGGCTCTGCGCTGCAGCAATCTTGAGAAATTTTGGCATGCTTGGTTATTTACTTCTCTTTGTATAGTGTTGGCAATGTTCTGAATAATATAGGACTGATAATGTTTGAAGGTTTGATGAAACCTTATCGAACAATGTATTAAGGATGGAGCCGTAACTGTGTAAGATCCCTAAATAAGATTCGTGGCAGCTTTCAGTCTTTTATTCAAACTCCATATTAACAAATATCACCATTCCCCGCAATATCACTAGATGCATCTCCTCCAACCATAGGTGATGATCCTGGGGTAAATCTCCAGTTGCTTCCTCTACATCCGCCGGCCGTTGCCTGCGAGAAAGACGAGATAAGCGAGACAGACGGGGATTTTGTATTGGCTGTGCCCCTCACTCTCCCTACTTTGTCTTGCCCCTCCATCCATTAGGCAATTTTGAGCGTAATCATAGCCTCAATCAGCCTGCAGATTATTTCCTAATAGTGCGATGTATTGTTATATATAACAATTAATATTTAGTGATCCTCTTTTAAGGTCAATTCAATTCAACTATGTTCCTGACATAGTAAGCAGTTCAGCTGGTCCGTAACATCGTGATACCAATCAGCAGCCTTTTACATCGTTGAATGAAATGGTCCCGATACGCCAGAAACTGAAGATTGCTACCGCGCAAGTTCATATCATTGGCAATCCTGAAAGAGCTCTTCAAATACTGGAAACAAAAGTACGGAAACTTAGTTCCGAACATGTCGACCTTGTTCTTTTCCCAGAAGTCTTCATTGGTGGATTTCCGCGACTCTCTACTTTTGGTAACTCTGCAGTTGGAGCATTTGGTGAGGAAAAAGACTACGGCCCATACATGAACCACTGGCAAGCATCAGTCGATTTTGGAGATACACCAATGGGGTATGGCCAAAAATGGGTAAATCGAGAACTACCTTTACCGGCTAATCGTTCTTATAGAGGAGACGGTACAAGGGAGCGATTGGAAAAGATATCAGCAACTACTGGCGTCTTCATAATAGTTGGTGTTCTTGAAAGATGTGGTGGAACTTTATACAGCTCTATCGTGTACATTTGCCCCAGGTTAGGCATTATTGGGAAGAGGCGCAAGGTGATGCCAACAGGCTTAGAAAGAGTTGCGTGGGGTCAAGGAAGCCCATCAACATTGGAAGCCGTGTCAACGACTATCAGAGGAGTAAAATTGAGGATGTCAGGTAAGTCATCAATACTTCCCCATGAGGGCAAAAGTGTGCTGAAAAAATGTGTAAAGCTGCCATTTGTTGGGAGAATTGGATGCCGCTTTTACGACAAAGCATCTACGAGCAGAATATCAATCTGTTTCTCGGCCCCACTGCTCATGCCACTGAGATTTGGGTTCCGTTAATGCAGACAATCGGCGTTGAAAGCAGGGCTTTTGTATTATCAGCCACGCCATGTATTAGAGCAAATGATCTTCCGGGATGGATAACTGAAGCAGCTGAGCGAGGAGATCAAATAGTGAGTCGTGGAGGGTCTGTTATTGTCTCTCCAAAGGGTAACCTCTTAGGAGGCCCAGGCTGGGATCGGGATGATCAAATTTTCATCGCGGAGGTTGATTTTGATGATTGTAAACTGTCAGGAGATGACTGGGTAGTTGCGTCTCGTGCGAGACAAGATGCATTTGAGTTCACTGTTGATGGGCTAGATATGAAGAAGGCCCAGAAATAAGTGGTGGGGGAAGATATTTCCCTTTCAGGAAATAAACCCCTACATGGACGCTTTTGCTGCGTAGCTAACGGTGGAGAGTCTTCCAGTTTCATCCCCACATTGTAGCGAACATCTTCGCAACGACGAGAGTAATGTCTTAAAGAGGCTGGATTGTTGTGAGAAGATGGAGGTTGATTCATGGTATAATAATTACTGTCTATATGGAGATGAAGATAGCTCCCCTTTGAGTTCGTCTAGTGAGAGCTATCCTCTGAGCTGCGCGCCCACAGAATGACCCCAGTCTAGGTCTTACCGCCGCGGAGATCTCTTATTTGGACCGTTCTACAATATTATTTCAACACACATAAAGGTGCGCTTAGAAAGCACTGTTGCTTATCAAGCAGATAATGGCTTAACAATCAGCAGAGAAGCTATACAAAACACGAAATATAGTGTTGAGAGCTGGGGTCGTGTGGTTGAATTTTTACGCGTTGGTACGGGTAAGCGGCTCAATGGCAGACCAGCAGAGAGAGCTGCGATGTGATTCAGGCGTATCAAATATGCCCCGGATACTCTTTCGTACTAGCACAAGTTGAGATTGGGGCCATTCATAGACATCTAGTTACATTAATACATTATTTATTGGTTTAGCTAGGGGGGAATGGGTGAGCACTCGACTTTTTGAGGCGTGAAGCCCCAGCCGGACACTCCGACTTCACAAACCGTTGTACTTATCCCACTCATACTGCAGACAGATTGCAGTTTTGTCTTCAATAGTGATTTATAATTGAGTCGCGATTGGCTGCTAGTTCGCTCCATGCAGCGCCATTTGAAGTAGCAAATAGTTCCTTCATGTGTGCCTCATTACTGTGACGTCAGCCTTTGAGTCCGAATGTTTAAAGTCGGGCAATATGGGCAGCTCTAAATTTCAACATTCTAACGTACATGTAATTTCTATGCATTCAACCATCAACTAAGCTTGACCTTAACATACTATATAAGTTCGCAAATGTCTCCCCCGCTAGCCGCCTTCTTCGTACACATCTCATCTAGACGCCGCCTTTATCATGTCGAAAACACTGCCGAAAGGGCTCTATACCCCCCTCCCCGTCTTTTTTAACGCCGAAGATGAAATAGGTATACTAGCATTTACAATCAATACAAGAGTTGTGACCGCGGCATCGCTAACGTGGGCATAGATTATGAGGCATTTGCGAATCATGCGAAATGTAGGCTCGCCCCTTCGAGTAGATGGAATGGTATGGGGAGGAAGGTATCAACTGATCTCTAACATTTGATATAGATGTTACTGCGCCAGGAATTTTACCTGTTGTTTCGGCTAGCATGGGAGAGGCAGTACACTTGGTCCGTTGCATTCCAATTTTTGCAGCCGCCCAATCCCCGACTAACACGGGATTCTCAGACGCCGCAAGAGCGTATCAAGTTAATACAGACACTCCGAAGTGCCCTCAACTCAATTGATCTTCAAAACACTCCAATTGTCGTTGGAGTCGGTGGAAACAGCACTCGCGAGACAATTCAGCTGGCTCGTGATGCTGCCGCAGCAGGTGCGGACTTTGCTCTTGTTATCGCTCCGGGATATTGGGCCGGTTACCTTAAAGGAAACCCAGCAGCAACTAAAAGTTTTTTTGTCGATGTTGCTGCTGGATCCCCGATTCCAGTGTATGAATTTCTCTACCCGGCTCCAAGATTTGTTGGCTAATCACGCTTCGTGATGTAGAGTTATCTACAATTTCCCTCCCGTGGCCGCAGGAATTGATTTGGAAAGTGATGACGTGGCTGAAATTGCACGGCTTGCACCAAACATCTGCGGTATCATGCTATCGTAAGCTTTTTCCTGAATCTACAGAGAGGGTTGTTTTTAACACGACGACAGGTGTGGCAATGTTGGTAAGCTGGCAAGAGTTGCAGCCTTGCTCGATGGCACTTCTTTTACAACATTGGCTGGCCTAATCGATTTCCTCCTCCCCTCTGTGGTCGTCGGCTCCGCTGGTGCTATTAGCCCGCTGCCCAATATTGCACCGGTTGGTAAAATGTTCGTTGAATACCTGACCAAAGCTGATGTTTATGTATAGAAATTCTCAATGAAATTGTGGGAATTAACGCAGAGTCTTCAAAGCAAGGCAGATCTCGAGGCAGCACAAAAGGTTCAGGGCATTGCTTCTCTAGCAGAGTCTGCTTTATTGAAGAGCGGAGTATGTTACTTGTCAAAGATTTTTTTTCCATGGGCAGAATTCTAACATTTGATAGGTTCCTGGCTTGAAAGGCTTGCTGAGCAAGCAGTTTGGATATCCCGCGACACCAAGATTGCCGCTACTGGCCCAGAGCGATGTGGCTACATTGTCCCAAAATAAATACATAAGCAATGTTTTAGCATTAGAGAAGACGTCATAGTGAATTGTATAGCCTTGTTCACATGCTACGATGAGATTCCTATATTATGGTATATCCGCTTGCGGCACACCTGTATTTAATATGGGCATTTAAGCCTTCGGAAGATTCTCTTTGATGTACTCTGCAATGTTAGGACGTTGCTCGAATGTCTCTCGAAACTTGGAGATTGTATCCGGAAGCTTTGCCTGCGCAAATATGGTCAATGACATCGTACATAGTGACATGGTAAGCAACTGTACTCACTGGCAGAGTTCCCGTCCTCAGATCGTTGTCGATAGACTGATAAACGGCAAAATCAGCATATGTGATTTTGTCGCCTAACAGGTAAGGACCCTCCATCTCAGCGTAGTACTGGGCCAATACGCCGTAATACTTTGGTACAATATCATCTTTATACTCTTTTGTTGAATTTCCAAGGTTTGCCACCCATTTGAACTTGTCCGCATTAGCATTTGACAATAATGTGGCTATGAAAATGCTGTCACTCACCCTCCAATCGATATAAATATCTGATACCGCATCTACAATATATTTCTCCCAGCTTGTTTCTCCATCATAGCGGCCAAGGTCCCTGGCGAGATAGCGCAACGTCGGAATATGCTTCGAAGAGCATCAGTTAGTCTAATAAATAATACTCAAAGCCTAGATTACTTTACCTGATTCAAGACCACATTCTTGTACTCCAACGAAGGCACTTTTCCAGTCTTTGTAAGCCCCTTTCGTGTCAGGTCTTGGCTAGTGCTGGGCCAAGTATTGTCGTATGCGTATCGCAAATCCTTATATTCAACTCCTGCGTCTTTTAGAAAAAGACTTGACCAAGTAAAGAGAATGATTAGTGATAGTACTAGAATATACGCGTGTAGATCGCACTGCCTGCATTAGCCAGATGCGACCAAGATGCTACTTACTTCACAACTTCACCACGACCCATTCGGCCGATATCCAGATAATGAAGGATAGAGGTGGAAGATTGGGCTGCCATTGCGAAATCTGAAAACAAGTTCATATGAATTCTTTCAAGAACCCTTTTTCTTTTTCTTTTCTTTTTTGGTGACACAGCTCTGTGATCCCGATGCCGAGTGTCGAATCACACGCATCTTAGACGGGTTCTTTTCACTTCTAATGTGCGCCAAGTCCAAGGGCGTCAATGACAGGCATTGAAGCCAGCAATGGCGTATTACAAATACAGACACTTAATCCTGATTAAAAATACAGGCGCTAATGCGTCTTAAAACTGAGGATTCAATTTCGCGCACATGGAATCATTTTTGAGGTGGATCAAGACGAGCTAAACGATATAAGCGAAGGAAACGGGCTTGAGCGACGGTGTATGGTGACTCTTAATGATGATCACACAGTATGCATCATTGCTGAGATATTATATACGTGGCATGATGAAAGTCATGGAATATTACGGGGAATTATAGGTCTGAGTGCCGAAATTTAGTTTGTTATAATCCGTTGTCTCAGTTGTGCTTTGAAGCCCTTAGACACAGGATTAGAAGAATCGCCCAACTTTCAAACTTTGCTGGTATGCATCAGGAGTCCAAACCATTCTTTTCAGAATAATGCTGTACCAGAAATCAAGTATCAAAATGTCAACGTCTACAGATACCCCCTTAACGTTGTTCTGGTCTCCTGGAGCTTGCTCTTTTGTACCTCACGTTGCATTATGCGAAACCGGGCTCAAATTCGATCTAGTTCTTGCTAAAGTCGGACACAGGACAAAAGAATTTGAAGCCATCAACCCAAAGCGCCGTGTACCAGTCCTGGTTATGAATAATGAGATCATTACAGAGATGGCAGCCGTCCTCACTGCCATCGCAACTGCTGCACCAGAAGCACACATCTTTGGCCAAACTCCCCTTGAGAAAATTCATGTATATGAATGGCTCAACTATCTGTCAACTACAGCACATGGACAAATTATTGCAGAAATCTGGAGAACCGAGAGGTTCACGAATAACAAGGAGATATATCCTCAGCTTCGAGCAAAGGGCTATTAGACTATGCGAGAAATCTTTGCTCATATCGAAACCAAATTCAAAGCTGCCAAAACTACAGAGTTTGCTGTTGGAAGTTCTGATACTGCTGCTGACGAATTTCTGGCCGTATTATACCTTTGGGCGGGCCGATTTACTGAGGTCACTATTGACATTGATAACGACTATCCCGTGTACACAGCTTATGTCAAGAAGATATTTGAAACGAGCGCCTTTGTGGAAGCAAGATTCATCAGATGTAAAGTTTATGCTCTATACTAGGCCTCAATGACATGCGTAAACTTGGCAATAGTACAAAGCCTTGAGAGAGATGCCGTGACCAAACTATAGCCTCTGATAGCCAATAAGTCATTCAAATGAAATAGGAGAGAGAGTCTGCTGTGAAGATATAGCTTATATAATCACAGCCATCTCTCTATACAATTAACTTTTTTTCTTTTTTTTTTTTTTTTAAAAAAAAAAGCGCCAAGTAGTAGAATCCGTGCAAATGAGAATGCACATGATCAGAACGAATGTTGTCGAAAATACTGTGCTCTCTCGCGTACTTCGCGTATGTGATGCTGAAGGCGCCACGGTGTCAAGACATCCCCTTGGTATGCGAGTGTGGAGGCATTTGTGGAATTCTCATTCTCCTTGGAAGAGAAATAGACGATATTAATAATGCCATACGAGCATATAGTCGAATCCCTCATTGGTCAAAGGATCTGCCCATACCCGAAGTTGCATCAACGTGCCAAGTTCTACAGCCACTGATGTATCGGTTAAGAGCTATATCCACCTTCTAGTTGGCTTATAGCTTGCTTTGGCATCGCTTCTATTTCCTAGCTTCATCTTCAATTTCTCCTGTTCCCTCCCATGATACAGAGCTCAACCCTCTCTCCTGTAGTATCAACAAGAGTTTTGCCCAATACAGTTTGCCCAGCATACCCACTCTCCATGACCGAAACAGCGAACTGAGTAGAACACGAGCTATTTGAGCTTCACTAGCGAAAGGACTCGGATAATTATAACCCGCGATGTGATGATTCTGTTCTTACTACGGCGAGAAATCACCATAGTGTCCAGAGGAGCAATATCGGGAAACGGCCAGAATGCTTTAGAAGTACATTCCAAGAAATTTGTTTCATTTCTATGGCCACTCTAGCTATGGCAACCAACAGCCTTGTAACTGGGGCGGTGATTGTTGTTACGGCATCAATCGCAAGAGATTTGCACATGACACAGGCTCAAATCAGTTGGATCAGTGTTGCCACCATGTGAGACAATCATCTATTTACTAGACTAGAATTAGCTTGATGATGAACATTACTCTCAGTCTTTCTGCGGGCGCTCTTCAACTACCTTTAGGTCAACTGACTGATCTTCTTGGGCGCAAGTCTTTCTTCATAGCGGGAATGGTTGGCGTTAGTGTCAGCAGCCTTATACTCGGTTTTTCTCAGAACCCGTTCCGGATGAATATTCTTTGTGGTTTCCTTGGGCTCTTTTCAGCCGTCATCGTCCCTCCAGCGATTGGAATACTTGGCGCTGCGTATTCGGAGCCGTCGAAGCGCAAGAACTGGGCATTTGCTTGCTTCAGCGCGGGAAATCCTGTGGGATTCGGGCTTGGGAGCATAATTATGGAAATATCAGCCAAAATATTTGATTGGCGTGCAGGTTTCTTCTTCTTCACTATTCTTTGGGGATTGTTGACTATTGTGTCCGTTTGGGTCGTGCCTGACATTGAAGCTTTTAAACCGGGACCATTTTGAGAAAGACTAACCGCAGCGCTGAAGAAACTTGACATTATCGGAATAGCTCTGACTATTGTTGGCGTTGGGCTTTTCACAACTGCTTTGACGTACGCTAGATAAGAAATCATCCGTCCCGAAGATTTACTGACAAGTTATATAGACTTGGTCCGGTGGATGGCTGGAAATCTCCTCATGTCATTGCAATGCTAATCGTTGGCTTCTCCCTTCTCGCGGGGTTTGTCATTTGGGAAAAGAATTGCTCGTAAGAGCGCCCCTTTATCCAATCTTTTGATTGCCACATGTCTGATTTAGTTCCGTATCCATCTTTGGAGTCATGTCGATGCTTTCATCCAACTTTTGGCTTGCTCTGTTTTTACAAGAAGTCCATCACCGATCTGCTTTGACTGTTGCAGTAAGCTTTCTGCCACAAGTCATTTCTGCTCTCATATCCAACGTGGTGGCAGCAAATATCCTTCATCGAGTCAATAATAGTCTCATCATGGCCTTTGGTGCTGCCATGTACCTCGTCGCAAATCTACTGCTTGCTGTACAAAGCCTCAATCGACCTGTTGGGCCATTATTTTCCCGTCATTATTGACAAATGTAATGGGTCTTGATTTGCAGTTCAACGTCACCAACGTGAGTTGTTGCAAATTATGGATCGAATTTATGCCTAACTGCTAAAATAGATGTACGTCATGCAATAGTTACCATCTCACCAGCAATCATTAGCAGGTGGTATCTTTATGTTTATTCGTCTGGGGACGACAATTATTTTCGGAATGTCTACAGCAGTATACGGTTCTGTCAAGGATACAACGCAAGGACCGGATGATGCCTTTAAACCTTACAGGAGCGCCTTTTACGTTTCGCTTGGATTTGCCGCTTTGGCTTGTTTATTTGTCCCTTTTCTGCGCATAGGTACACAGGGAAATTCGCCAAAAGAAGAATAGTATTGAGATCCAGATGCGGTTTGGTATTGACGCAGCTTAGGAAGTTGCTCTTATTGGATAAATAGTATTAAGCATAAACTCATGCAGGGACTTACCCGGCTGACGCACACATTTGCGATTTCATTTTTTTTTTTAAAAAGCAACTCCTCGCCACTTTGGCGGCTGTGCTATTCTTTATGGACAAGGTATTGGTAAAGCAGGACTCATGTTCATCTAAAGAAAGCAGATGCATGTCTCCTTCAAAACTCCCAAGTAGAAGTGTCAAGTTGGCTATCTAACAAACACACTTGTATCACCGTTGTCACTCAGCGTACAGCAAGGGGAAAACATCTCAAAGCTCATTTAGTATCTTAGCCTTGGTGTAGCTTCATTAGCTTCGGCATTCGGCCTTCCCGATGGTGGAAGTAAGAGTTACCAATGAGTAGGTGGAATTGTATCAAAGCATCAGCCAATGATGTCAACGATAATCGGCGTGCTCTTGTATAGCGGCGTACACAGCGGCGAATGCGGCATTGGGTTCGATAGCTGGTGTGGGGAAATGAGGAATCTTCCCAACTAGTTCAACTCTGTCCGCATGGCCGCCCGATTACTTAGAATGAGATTAACCGGGATGAATCCCGCCTGTTCATATAGCGCTTATATGGCACTGTGTTGCTCTGTAAGCACATGAAAAGACGTCATATTGCGAGACCATATTGGCATTGGCGTGTGTACTCAAAGCTTTATGAAGAGCTGTTTTCGCAACTATGCTGCGTCTTGGGTCTCTAGCTGAGTACATTGGTGCATTACCCAGTCATCAATAACAACTATTTGCAAATTGCATTCTGGAGAGACTTCAAGATTTAATCTTTAACCCGACCGATTGATGTGAAAATCGCCTCTCTTAATCGTAGCTATCGCACAACCACCGCAATCATGGCAGTGGCGATTTCGGGCTTGCAGGGATGGCATCCGGGCGAAGTTGCTATGCAGACGAAACTGGGCTTCGCCGAAGCAATGAGTTCCACATGGCAAAAGATTGAAGACAGAATGCGCGAACAACATCGCATTTTCCACACATCGAATTTACCATTTATTCCAATCACAACTCTCGACGATGAAGGACGCCCGTGGGCTTCCATCGTTGCTGGTGCTGACGGAGAAATTGGATTCGTGGAGGGTCCTGATCTGAAAACACTCGTCGTAAACGCCAGACTCTGGCCAGGAGAGCCGCTGCTAGACACCCTCAATAAATGGATCGACGGAAACGGCCAGAATTCAACAACTCCAGAGAGATACTTGACGGCGGGGATAGGAATTGAATTTCCAACACGAAGGCGCAACAAGTTTGCCGGATACATACAGGATGTGAAGCGGACAACGAACATGGACTTTAGACTAAACTTGCAGGTCAAACAAACTACTGGGTAAGCTTCAATGCCTCATCCGATCATAAACCTTGAGTATTCATCTGGAACTTGCTCTAATCTGGGATTTTACGTGGCCATTATAGAAACTGTCCTAAGTACATCAATATCCGCAAGCTTGTTGGCCACACAAATACCAAGCCAGTTATTGCATATGAAAAGCGACACCTGGCACAGTTTGAAAGACTCCCGAAGGAAGTCATCGATTTTATTACCAGCGCCGATACAGTATTTATCGGGTCGGTTTACAGATCTGAGCCAGCAACGGCAGCGAAATTTCCTTCCCATACCGGAATGAATGCGCGTGGTGGACTACCCGGATTTATACGCGTTAGTCCATCAGATGGACGATCGATAATTTTGCCTGACTACTCAGGAAACAGATTCATGTCGAGCCTGGGAAATGTAGAGTCGAGCGGACAGGTGGGGCTTACTATTGTCTCGTTCACAACAGGCGACGTGCTCTACCTTACCGGACGAGCAGACAATCTTGTCGGACCGGCTGCACTTGAGGTGATGGTTAAGCACGCAAGCATTACTGTGATGAAAACAACGGGATTCATTTTTGTTCGGGATGCTCTCCCAGTACGACAACAATTCGGCACTGAGGTTGAGCGCAGTCCATACAGTCCGAAAGTCAAATATCTGGTAGAGGAGCCAGAAGGCCAAGCAAGTGCGGTTGGAGCGCACAAAGCTAGACTAACAAGCGCAACACAGTTATCACACGACCTTGCTGTATTCAGATTCAAAGTTACCTCAAAAGCTGGGGTCGAGCCGATTAAAATTCGACCTGGACAAGCAGTAGCTCTGGATTTCATGGACTGGATCGGACCACCGGCATATCAGCACATGGCCAACTCTGCTCCTGGATCTGTCAACGATGATCGGATACGAACTTGGACGGTCTCAAGTGCTCATGAGGATCGTGACGTAACATGGTTCGATATGACGATGCGCGAGATGAAGGGAGGGGCTGTGACGGGAGCATTATTCGATGTCTTGAGAAGGCACCCCTTGAATCAATGGGAAAGACCAATAACGATTAATGAAGACGTCATCGCAGAAGTTGTTGGCGTGACTGGAGATTTTTTCCTGGGGCCAGATAACGTCAACATGCTTTGGGTTGCCGGCGGTATTGGAATCACGCCCTTCCTCTCGATGTTCAGCGCATTATCAGAACGCAAGGTAAAAGCCAATGGCGATGTTGTACTCGCGCTATCAACACGAGAACCCGAAATGATGCTACGACTTATCCAATCTTCCCTTCGTCATGCTGCTTCGAAAGTTAGAGTACGGATCGATCTCTTTACAAGCCATGAATATGTCGACATGGAGGGTATTGACCGGAAGAGTGTGCAAATTATATTACACAAGGGCAGAGTTGGGCCAGATTATTGGCCCACTGTGGCAAGTGGTAGAGATGTTTTAATATGTGGCCCAGGTGGATTCGGTGATGCGGCAATGGATGGTCTGAGAGCAGCGGGGGTTCCCGATGAAAACATGTTACGGGAAGGATTTTATTGAGATGAATAACGACTACATGATGAGGGATGCTCGGTGTTGACGGCGTTAAATTGCTTTATGGTTATTAAAATGAGTACAAGTGTAGCATTTAATAACAGAATGATTCAATTACACCACTGTAGTGTGGCACATATTCACGGCCCCAGAGAGATTGGTGCGTCCTCTCTCATGTCGTATGACTGACTGCCTTGGATTGCATCACCCATTTTCACTTCATGCCCATTTATACGCATCTTCGCCAAATTCTATGAAAATATGGAATAGATAGTGGATACTTTTGATGTTCCGGAAGCATTTAAGGAGACGTATTGAGATGTCCTTTCGAAATCGTCCAACGAGGTAAGCGCTATAACCGAGATACGCGATCTCAAATCTTGTTGTCATGCTCCTTCCATACATCGCTCCTAATTTCCTCTTTCAATAGCCAAATGGCAAGCAGATTCTCCGCTTAAATAGCTAAGCATATTTAACGACAGCTTTGATAATATTTGAACTTGCACATCTCTTATTCTCATAACTGCCACATGCTTCAAACCAACCATAACACTCTGGTTGTCCTCACAACTTTTGTCTGTAGATGATTACGTGAGACTAAAATGTATGGCAGTTCAACAAACCCCTCTAGCATTCATATATACTTCCCTAGATTACTGACAGCTAAAGCTTCAGAATGCCTACCGCTTCAAACCCCACGTTGAAACTATGGTACTCCCCAGGGGCTTGCTCCTTTGCCGCACAAGTAGCTCTGCTTGAGGCTGGACTTCAACCCGAACTCATCTCTGTCCAAATTGGGAGCGTGACTGAAGAGTTTGCTCACATGAACCCGAAACGAAGAGTTCCCGTATTGGCAGTTGGAGACCAAGTCATTACTGAAATGCCAGCTATTCTTACGTCCATCTCAGCGTTGAGCCCTGACCGGAAGTTGATGGGACAAAATACGATTGAGGCTTTGCGCGCATACGAGTGGCTAAACTATCTTTCTGGTACTCTTCATGGGCAAGGTTATGGAGGACTATGGAGGCCTGAGAGGTTTGTAAACGATACATCGATGTATCTGGCGGTTCAAGAAAGGGCGAGACAAACGATCAAGGATTGCTATGCCTTCATCGATAGCAAGCTGAGAAAAGCCAACACTTCATACTAAGTGGGAGATTCCTTCACGGGCGTAGATGCATTTCTTTTAGTATTCTATCTCTGGGGAATAAGGATCAAGATCGACATGGATGCCGGATACCCATCATACACGGCATTAGCACATAGGCATTTAGAGAGGAATCAGTTATTGCAGCACGTCAAGTTCATGTACGTATGCTGGGGGAATTTTTTGGATAGAATGACCGGATTCATATGGTTCTTCCATCTAATGTTCGAATAGAGGATAAATTTTGAACACGCCAAATTATAAATTCCACCTATATAAAGGCTTGAGGTGGGTAGGTCTTGTTACTACCAAAATATATCTCTATTGACCGCCGTTTTGCAAGGATCAGATTGATGAGAAAGTACTAATAGTTAGGTTTTTCGATGTTTTGATATTGAAGTAACTCATCTGTTTCTCTTTTTAAGTGGGATTGGTATACAATGGTATCCTAAAACCGTCCTTAATAATTGCCTTTAACAGCTATTTATTGTGATTATTTATAAGAGCCTAGCACAGTGTGCAACATTATGGCTTTTCTCTAAATGATGATCTTGGATATTCGTGAATTGAAAACAATCCAAGTATATCATCTAGTGTGTTATAAAGGAAAACCTCCACGGAGGTGGAGAATAGCACAAATATTGTCGATTACTTAAAACATGTCTTAAATGCTTGGTGTGCGCCTGTTGACTACTTTTGGGACGACATCTTCAGGATTTTACTTAAAGAAAATACGTTGGTAATCCCATATAGAGCAGTCACACAGTCATGAAAGAATCTATAGTCTGCAATGCAACAGATATAATCAGCATGCGATAGATGAGATAACATTTTGAGACTCTCTAAATTGTCAGGCTACTGATTCGTCCCACCAAATACAAAGTTAGCTAATGGATACATGCGAATGCCACTATATAAGGAAAATGACAATTATGATCCGAGTATGTCCAAATTAACCTTGATCGTGTAGAATATAAATTGTGTAAAATTGAAAGCGAACTTCTACGGACCGCAGGTTATTGAGAACATATATATATACCGCGATGTTAAGCTACCAACTATATAGTGTGGTACTGAGGATGCCCTTCAAATCCTCTAGTATAATGAAGATTTTTTTTTTTTTTTTTTTTTTTTTTGTGGTTTCTGGCTTGTAACTCCAAGTAATCCTTAGATGTATCGAACCTAAGCAGTCGATAATGGATAGGATGAGATCAGTAAACTCAAGTGGAAAAATTTGTCTAGATCACAGTTGATCACTAAGTTGCTCATCAAGACCAAGCCTGGCTAACGTGATACAGGAAATGCCCCATATGAAAATATTCGCCGCTAATAACCGATTATTGAACTGACGCTGGTAGCGTCGTTCTCAGTTTATGCATCTCGGTAACATTCCCAGAAGTAGTTATCAGGTAAGACCCGAAGAATTGATTCTGCGCTGTATAGTGCTTATCCAAGATTGTATTGGTGACAACCATTTGGCTCAAACTCAAACTCAGGTGCGGCTATATATTATTGGATTACACACAAACGCGAGTTTCTCCAAAGGCCAGAGCTGAAACATTGCGTGGCATGACCTGCGTGGCTTGGAGGGGAGGGTGTTTGCATGGTGGCGAGGCGGTGCAAATGGCTAGTAAGTCGAAGCGTCTAGGCTCTCCCCGCATTATAAGCGTAAATTGAACTGTCAGTTGTCGTGTGGGAAAATAATGCGTGAACTTGGACCAAGAATGGGGATATTGTTGGGGTTACATCATTCAGCATCAGAAATCGTTAGACCCATTATCGACGGGGTTTAAATCCTGTATAAATAAAGCTTGTTCCCAACTCCCTTCAATTGATGCCAACTTATATTTCAGATTCTTCCAATAAGCCAAAACAGCCTTTCCCTCAGCTCATATAACACGAACCACCTCTGACAACCAAGATGTCTTCAGGCAGCTGCTGGTGTGGTAACATCAAATACGAGTTCGACGGGGACTCTAAGCACGTTGTAGGATCTCACCTTTCTTGATTGAAGCCACAAACGAGCATGCGTACTGAACATGAAACAGATATTGTGTCACTGCCTAACCTGCCAAAAGATATCCGGCGCGACTAATACGGCGAACATTCCCGTCGCGCGAGACAAATTGACGGTCACTTCTGGGTCTCCCAAATCTCATACCGAAAAACACGAAGATGGGTTCAACCTGACCAAATTCTTCTGTGGAGACTGCGGTACCACTCTCTACAAGCAAGCTGATGCTGATATGTTTGCGACTGTCTCTTTGGTCCAAGCGGGAACTTTGGATGGTCCTGCCAAGGACAAGATCAGCCAACCTTCAGCGGAGTTAAACGTAAAAGTGAGGCAACCTTGGCTGGCGGAAGTTGGTGCCGCTGCTCAAAAGCAAGGATTTGTATAAATTAATTATTTGAATATGTTGTAAGGATGGGATAGTACTACGGAGCCGGTTTATCTTGTATTCAGAATGCTATTATGGATAAAAGCATGTATAGTTCAAAGCATGACATTGTATGTCCAAATTGACCTACGCAATCGGTAATCGAGATTTGGCTACATAAGCTCATGTGTTTCGGAAAGCTAACCCCTCTAGGTTTCGTTTCATTCAGTTCACATGAGTAAGACGATAATGGGGTCAGCGCTTTTCACACCTCATACACCCCCACCCATACAAACTTATTGTATATTTGTAGAGCTTCTCAGTACTCAGTAACCAAAGAAATTGATAGAAAGAGGCCGTGAAGAGTAGAACAGTTGAGCCTCCTAAGCTAAAACAAGAATACAAAACTGAAGTTCAAGCAAACTGTCTAAAAAAAACTCTTCGTATTTGTCGTATCAGTAATCCTAATAAGCACATGTAGGCTCAGCGCTAGCGGGGTAGAACCAAGAGTTGCAAAGAGTCATAGACATTAAGCCGGGTTCCATAGAGAACAATTCGGATATCGGAAATAAGGTCAATTCTGTCACTGTGTACGGGGTACGTATCTTTACCTGGGCCAGCCTCCCCAGATGTTTCTAACCTTTTCCTCAGCAACTCCCCTTGCTAGATGACCCCTCATCCAGCGCATACATTCCAACATGTCCACTCACTCAGTCCAGCCGTCTGGGCCATTTGGATCCTTGGATGAGTATCTCAAAGCTCGAGAGTCGCTTGTGAAGGCTGAAAAGGCTCATGGATATGAAAGTCTGATCCAAAGGACGACTCTGGAGACGTCGGCTGAAGAGATTATTCAGCGCCTTAAGGACTGGGAAGACAAAAATGTCTACGGCATTAAGAGTGACGGCTCCGGACACGAAGCTGGCCATCGTTTTTTTCATGGCTTAGATCTTGTCCCAGAGAGCAAACTATTCGATGTTGCTACCAAAGCTCCTAAGGGCTGTCTTTTACATTGCCACTATGACTGTCTGCTGCCTCCCGATACTGTCCTCAGCGATGCTAGGAATCAGCCGAATCTCTATATCAAATCAGATGTTCCCTTAATTTCGGAAGGACTCTTCTCTTATGCCTTGCCCCAATTCGACGTGTTTAGCCAAGATATACAGCTGACCGAATCCACCAACTTGTTCAGCAAGACTTATGTTGCTGGATCTTGGATGCGATATTGCGACTTTTTGAGCATGTTCCCGGGCGGGGCAGAGAAAGCTGAATCATGGCTATACAAGCGGATGGTCTTGCAACCAGATGACGCCTATCATCCTAAGCAGACAGTGAACGGGTGAGCCTCACGCTAGAAAGAGAACAGAACGACCAGAAATGCTGAGATTACTAGTATTTGGCAGCAATTTATTCGGGCAGTTACAGTCATCCGATCAATGCTGGGCTATGAGACCGCTTACAGAGAGCAATTCCGAAGAGTGCTATGGAAGTTTGCTCAAGATGGTATTATGTACGCCGAGATTCGAGTGGCCCTCAATTATGGGTTTGCCATTAAGTCTGACGATGGTACCCGAGAACTGAAGCAGAAGGAAGCTTTGGGGATTTTCCAGCGGGTGTTGGCAGAAGAAGTCCCAAAAATACACGCTGCGGGGCATGTATTCTACGGCGTCAAGGTTATTTATGCATGCATGCGATCTTCGTCTAGAGAAGCTATGCTGTGGTGTATGGATAACTGTATCGAAATGAAGCAACTGTTCCCCGACCTCATTTGCGGTGAGATTTCTTCTCTTTCCACTGGCTCTACACTGGAAGGCTAACTCATCTTCTAGCATTTGATATGCAAGGACAAGAAGACTCTGGACACCCGCTTTCTTACTGGGTTTCTGATCTTATCGCAATGCGTGCTAAAATTACAGCATTGAATCTCGATCTTCCATTCATATTCCATGCCGGTGAGACGCTTGATCATGGAGGAGAAACTGATTCCAACTTGTATGATGCCATTCTTTTAGATACCAAGCGTATCGGGCACGGCTTCAGCATCACCAAGCACCCGCTTCTAATGCAAATTTGCAAAGAAAGACAGATTGCAATTGAAACATGCCCTATATCCAACGAAGTATTGGGATTAGTCCCGACAACGAAGTCCCACCACTTGCCCGTACTTCTGGCGAATTGCGTCCCTTGCACTGTCAACAGCGATGATCCTGGATCTTGGAAGTGAGTACCCCATTCGCATTTCAATGGTGCAGTAGTACTGATATATGCAGAGCGAGCATGCTGTCTCACGATTTCCACCAAGCGATGATGGGGAGTGAAAACATGTCGCTCCTGGGTTGGCGGACCATTGCCGAATGGAGTATTACCTATAGTTGCGTAGATGCAGCGACAAAGGAGAAAATGCTCGGCGAATACAGCAAAATATGGACTGAATTCTGTCAATGGATTGTTGACGTATACGGAGAAGCCTAGATTTGGGATGGATGGGCAAACATAAACAGACGGCATTAATTGGTGCAAGGAGTTTCAACATTGCGGCAACACTCATTCTCAACAGGGTGTTCAGTAGCATAGGGGTCGGATGATTACTTTCTTGGGATTTCAACATTTTTTTTAGATTTATTTCCATGGGAGCCACCACTCAACATTTGGTAGCAAGATACCCAAAGAATTACATTTTGGATTGACTTCTAGAATCAGTGGCCATAACATTTCGAACAATATTTTTTTTCTAAAAAAAGTAATCCATTTTTATAATCATATCACATCCTACCCATGGTCCACCTATTTGGCAACCCGTATTTTAATCTATACAATGCGATGCTCAACCAAGCTATCCACTGTATCAAGAATGGTATCCTGCGCCGCTCTCGGTGTCCAACCGAGTACTTTCTTCGGCTTCTCATTGTTAAGCGACCTGATGACATCAAGAAATGGCACCGCCTGACGGGCAGTAGGACTGAATATAGCGGCAAGTCGAACAATCCATGTAGGCATTTCCCCCGTTGGAACTTTCCTTGCCTTTTCAGGACGGCCCTGGGAAATAATTCGAGCGACATCAAACAGTGCCAAAGGTTTCCCGTCGCTACTAGCAATGAATCGTCCACCTTTGGCTGCAGGGTCGAGCATAGCCCGAATATGCAGATCGGCCAAGTCACGGACGTCCACAATATTGAAATAGGTCCGAGGGCATTTCGGTATGCTTCCATCCATCAGCTTCACGACAAGATCAATCGACGACGACATATCATTGCTCAGCACAGGGCCGAATATGCCAACTGGATTGACAACGCTGAGCTCTAGACCCCCTCCTTCGGCTTCTATGAAGTCCCAGGCAGCTTTTTCTGCCAGAGTCTTGCTTTTATGATATGCTGGTAAGCCATCCAAGACGGACCAGTCATTTTCAGTATATGGGCCTTGCCGATCCTTATCTCCGTATCCTATTGTGGCGAAGGAGGACGTAAATACCACTCTTTTAACGCGTGCGTCTCGAGCTGCCTTTAAGACACGGAGAGTTCCCTCTCTTGCCGGTATAATTAACTCATTTTCGTCTTTTGGTGTATGTCCAGGAAATGGTGATGCAACATGGTGGACATAGGAGCACCCTTGAACAGCTTCTTCCCAGCCTTTATCATGAGTCAAGTCTGCAGCATGAAACGACAGGCGGTCCATGTGCACCGCACCAGCATTTTGCAAAGTTGATCTGACTTGCTGCTCTTTGGATAAGCTTCGAAGTGTCGTTCGGATGGTGTATCCATCTTGCAGCAGCTTCAAGATTAGATGGGATGCGACGTAGCCTGAGCCACCAGTGACAAGAACGGTGGACATTATGGTGTAGAGGACGTGGGTTTTTTTCTCTCTCAAAGATACTGTCAAATTGTCTGCACTCGATGAATGATTACACCTTTTACATCGTGTAAATTGGCTCCTTATTTATACTGATTGATCCATCTCCTAATTGCTACCATTTCTGCGGAATTCGCTCTCGTCCGTTGGAATGTAAAACTTGTCTGAATCCCGTCTTAAGTTGTAGATCCATCGTGTTGAGCGTAACCATAAAAGGCTAGCTTTGAAGTCAGCAGAAATTTCCTGTTAAGCATCAATCATATATGCCATTCTATTCTTCAGGACTCGATAGGCTTCTTAAGTCCAGAGCCGTATGCGGTCTCAATCTTGTCAGCGTAGCTAAAGAGGTTAGCTTTCCGAATGAGATAGTACCCACCTGTCGTGGGACCTAAGATTTGATTGAGTAGTACTCGCACTTCGTCTGAAGCTCAAAAGGGCTAGCTTTCCGACTAAGCCGCTATGATAAGGGTGAATGAAGTCTCGCTTCAATATGAATGAACGCATATATACGAAGAACAAGCGAGACGATGGCATGGAGGTCACCTGTAATTACGATATTTCCTTTCCCATTAGTGAAAATGAAATCAAGGAAACATAGGACAAAATGCAATTGGCGGGTATAATTTTCCCCTCTTCCACCTCTTCCCGCTCCTTGTATAAATAATCTACCGTCCTTTTCGTTTTGCATTTTTATATACATTTCCATGCATGTGCCTCATACATCATAAATATTTCTGAAAGCACAAAACAACCACATAATTTCATTTCCATAAAAACTTCCGTTTAGTAAGAGCAGATGTCGATATTGGCAGGCGAGTCAGCCTTGCCCCAGACCCAGTTGGGGTTCAAGACTGACACGGGACGCAGGTTGTTCGCAGCCCAGAATTGGTAGTCGGAGTTACGGTAGTCATCAGCCGAGAGAGGAGGGCAAGTGTTCTTGAAAGCTGCGGTGTACCAGTCCTGGTGAACCGAGTGGTGGAATTTGCCAAAGTAGAACTTGCCGTGGTCAAGGTTCTTCTGAGCAAACGCCTGCCAGTCGTCATCGCTATAACACAAAGTTAGCAGCATTTTCGCCAGCGTGCGGTCTTTAGATCGATAACTTACCCCTGGAAAGTATCATTGACATCGGACCAGCTGATGTGGACGTGGTTACCATCTATAACATGGTTAGCATTGGCGTAAATGCGAATAGAGGTAGATTTCAATGGGACTGACCTTGCTCCATAATGACTGATTCACGAGTATAGGTGTTTCCTCCATCCGGGCTGGTGAATCTCACGACGATACCTTCCCAGTCGCTCTTGTGGCCAGTGTCCTTCTTGAAGTACACATAATAAATGATACGGTATGAAGCATCAGAGCCAGAGGAATCTCCATTGCAGAAAGTCGATGCCCAGTACGTCGGGATCGTAAAAAATGGCTCCCCCGAAACGTTTCCATAAAATGTATTGGCTCCCTGCCAGGTTGGCTGAGTAGGGCAGCCGTTTGCGAGCGCGTTGATGTTGCAGTTGTCTGCATCCACGCCGTTGGTCTGGTTGCCTTCGCCATCCTCAGCAGCTGAGGGCATGCATGTGCCTGAAGCCATGTACCACATAGGAGCGGCGGCCATAGCTGCGGCTAGACCTCCATTCTGGGTGAAGTCGCTCACGGCAATAGGGGTGTTGGCCAGAGCAGCCTTGGCGGCGAGCAGCAGAAGAGGAACAATCTTGGTGAAACCCATGATGACGGTAGATGATCTAAGCAAGGCTGTGATGAGAAATGAATAAGATGCCAAGAAATTGACGCATCTTGGCGATACCGATGATGCTTTATATCTCCTCGCTACACGACAGCAGCGAGGACTATTGCCCCTCACCGACGGGAATCAACACCATCCTCCCCTACCACAAGCTCGAATAGGAAGGACAGTTGCCCGGCATGTCGATCCGTATTAACCAAGTCGTTTTTTTCACCTTCTCTTTTAGTTTTGCCTATGCGTTTTTTGGGCAAACATGTTCCATGTCGTGCTTGAACGGCTTGTCCCTGTACATCGCCGAATTTTCCACGGATGCTTCCGAATCAATGTCCAAAAGCACGATGGTCAAGACTTGCCAGAAACGGAAACTCTTCCCTTGTTTGGCCATCATCCGATGTCGCCGGAAAAAAAAGTTATGAAGAAATCGCAAAGAACAAGAGGCACGTTGGTTTTGGACTTGATGCTATTGGGGAATCATCTTCACTTGAAAATACAAATCACCCTGCATAAGCTAGTGAATTTGACGCATCCGATAGTTCTCATTTCATATAGCAAGTGTCCATGATTGTGATGGACTTTTTACGCTTTTTTGACATCTTTGATATGGGGCTCAATTGATCCTCGCTTCGCGCGCTAGGGCTTACTCTGGGTGATTGATCTAGTGGGCCGTTATAGATGAAGTCAATGCTCTGATCTCTAGCACGTGTGATTGACAATGTTGTGAATGGCAAGCTGGTTCTCGTGTTTTAGCGTAAACAACATGCCGACCTTTCCGTGAGTGATATGTAGATGAAGATGAACGGAGAGGGAAGCCAGTTTTGTAGTAGCAACTACAACTTACTGCGCACCTCCACCTATCCGTCACCGAGACTGCGGGGATCTGTGAACTGGTTGACGGGCTTGGTCCTGAAGGCTGGAGAAGAGCTATGCTTAAAAGCACATGAATGCCGATGTTTGACTGCTAGCGCGGCAGCTAACAAAAAGCCAAGAGGGAACCCTTGTGAAAATGAGTGTTAATGGTATATCCGAAGGGAGCACATACGTCACTTGACAGTCTGATCCGCCGTTTTAAAGCACATGTTTCTGGTAAGCAATTAGATGGTTACACTCCAATTCTAGGAGTGGGACAGGCTGAAGACAACAATTGAATGGAAATTCTTGTTCCGGTGACAAGACGATGATAGTAAAAGGGAATAAGAACGGAGCTGTGAGGCGTAAAGGGAAAGTAGTAATAGCACGCGTCTCGCAATGGAAAATACGAGTCATGATTAGCATAATATTTATGAAGTTGCGCCGGGTTTGTGAAGCTCCCATATGTTCCTGCATTAGCAAACGTCACATCTACAGATGTACCAAACAAGTTTACGGGTCCCATTTCTCTATACGGAGTAGAAAGGATGAGAAGACTGGCAACTCTGAGTGGTGGATTAATATTCAGTCAAGCCATGATAACGCGCAATTGTCACGCTATCCCAAGACTTCAGTGGATATTGCCGATTGATATTGCCAATTTCATGCCCACTAATCGTCCACGTGACAATGAATCCGACGGCAAAATCTCTAATGTGATTACTTAATCTCCTGTGACGGCTCCGTTGTCGCACTAATTTCAGTGATGCCTCACAAATCTCGTAGAGCGTATGTAATCACTCACTCACAGCCAGACCTGAAGTTTCAGCCGCCATATCCCAGGTCTGGATATGAGCTTCTTCGGGGCCCCATCTCAGCTCGGCGGACAATGGTTCTCTGTCGGCCTGGCCTCGTCGTTTCCCGACTCGGGGCTCGATGATGACAACTTGGCAAAATACAGATCGTGTAGTGCAGAGCTTAGGCCGGGATGCAAAGTTTTTCAGGTGCCGAGAGAAGACAGCTCGCAAAGGGCAGAAGTTGCTATTGGAGAGGATGGGATGTTGGAACTTTCTGATATGAAAGGTTTAAAAGACCAAGTTCTTGTATTCAAGTACAAAGGGAAATTTCACGCTGTTGATCATGTAAGTCCAAGCGCAAATGTGATGGCCACGCCTGAGGAGACGCCCATAATGACTGTTGATAAAGAAATGCCCTCATTCGTCCTACCCCCTCTCTCAAGCCACCCCATTTGACATCGAGGATTTCGGCGTTGTGCTAAGTGCCGGATTGGCCTGTCCAAAGCATGACTGGTCGTTTGATCTTTTTACCGGAACAGGGGACCGTGGAAATTATCAACTTGGAATTTGGGAAACTCAATTACGCGAAGTAGAGGGCTCGGAAACGCCGGCAGATAAAGTCTCAGATTCCACGGAACAGGAAGTATGGGTTCGGAGAAGGCAGCGCATCGGATAGATATGATATGCCGTTAGACATGCGCCGATAGACAAATTGACATATCGCAAACATATTTTGGCCAGTATCGATCGTGTTGGATACCTTGAAAATATATCTAAATTGTCAGAACTACTGTAAGTCAGATATCGAGTATGCGTAAATGGCAGAATATCTTGCTCGTATCATTGAATATTGGCTAGCCCAACGCACCCTTTATGCTTTTTTATCAATATAACTGTTGGAACCATTCAACACAATTGTTGGCTGGCTTTTAGGTTACTGAGGCAATGTATCTTGTATATAACTGTAACACAGCACACATACCTTTACATAAAGTGATGCACGTAAGCGCTGAATGTTATTAGTAGTCACGATAATTAACGAGTAGATCTATAAAGGTCTTGGTGTGCATATGTACGTAGCGTTGCGGCTTTATTGACCCCCCCACCCCTCTCTCCTACTCTCACATAACGCGATTGAAACACTTTACTACTAGATGCGGTTCTAAAACTTGTAGAACTTGAGAAGGGAGCCCATCTCTTCATTATAGGAATGTAACATTGATACGACTCGTATCAGGTTCAACATCTCTCTGCTCTCATATAGTTTGCCAGATATAACCAGTCGGAAGAATTTAGCCATCTCTCAACGATACTTCCGATCTCTTTGCCAAATTTACATTGCCATGGAATAATCGGGCGGAGATAATAGAAACATGGTGCATCTAGCTCCGCCCCGTCTAAGGCTGCCTAACGCCCTATCTCCGCTGGAATCCGAGACATATATATACGCACCTACAGGTTGAGATAATCTAATTGAAGAACATTATTCCATTAGAAAGGCGTTCTATAGCACATCTCTTTGCTGAGATACATCCCGAGGTTACAAAATGGCGAATGTCCTAGTAACAGGAGGTGGTCGAGGGTTCGGGCTTGCACTTGTTAGTCTGCTAGCAGCTCTACCAGAGTCAACCATCTCCAAGATTATCGTTACCACAAGAGGAAATCCATCAGAAAACTTGCGCAAGATTATGGAGGTCGCTGGCAAACGAATCATCCACATTGAGTGCGAAGTTGTCAATGCTGCAAGCGTCAAGCGTGCCGCAGCTGAGATCGAGGAGAAACTTGGAGGCCAGGGTCTTGACATGTTGATTAATAACATTGGTGTGAGTTATGTACTTCTATAGGGCGCACTTAGTCTCATCTAGACTGACATATCGACACCTTAGAAAATGGGAGTTAATCCACAGGGCATTCGTACAATGGATGCCGATGAATTGATCCAGGAATTCAATGTCAACGTTGCTGCCGCACATAGAGTTACTGCTGCACTTATTCCTCTATTACAGTTAGGAAAACTGAAGAAGATTATCATGGTGTAAGAAAATATGCTTAGAGTGCACTCCCCTCTTCCTTAGCTGACAGTATAAAAGATCATCATCTGCTGGCTCTATTGCATGGGCAGACCGGTATACGTTCTCGCCTGCATACGCTTATAAAATTACTAAAGCTGCAATGAACATGTTGGCAGTTCAGTACGCTATCGAATATGAGAAGGATGGATTTACCATTTTGACAATATCCCCTGGCGTAAGCAGTTTCTAAGCGCTCCCATTCTCCCTCACGTTCTAAGCTTCAGATGCAGTGGTTAAAAACCGATATGGGATCCGAAAAAGCCGACCTTGACGTTGACACGGGAGCAAAGGCAGTGTGGGATCTTGCGAATAAAGCCGATGTGAGTTACAATGGAAAATTTTACAACATACACGTTCCAGGTTGGGAGCACAACCCAGGAGTAAATCAGTACAACGGCCTTGAGATCCCGTGGTAGAAGAAGCGCAGAATATTACAAGGTCGCCTAACGCGAGGTTTTGTTGCATATATTGTAAATTTTACAATGCATATTCATCGAACCTATAGCAAGCAACACACTTTTAAATTTATATATATGAATTGATGTTCTGCTTTTCATTTGATATTTCACCCCAAACCAAATACTGCCAGAACGTTATGCTTTGAAATAGTAATATTTTGTGCTGCCTAAAGCAATGATATGCCCATGTCCGACGAGTGTGTAATACGCATCTCTCTGCAACCTCCCTTTAAAAAAAGAGAGACATACCTCCATCAACCACAATATGAGCTCCGTTGATGAAGCTAGATAGCCTGCTGGCAAGAAAAATGACAGTATTGGCTACCTCTTCCGGAATGCCTGTTCGTCCGAGCGAAATGTCATCAAGTAAAGATTTATAAAAAGGATAGTTATCTCTTTTCACAATTTGATACTGGCTCAGCTGAACCGTGCCATCTGGAAGCGTGATGTTTGGGGTTTCAATACATCCTGGTACAATAGAGTTGATACGAATGCCGAGAGCACCAAGCTTGCGGGCATAATCTTTAGCCAGTACCGCTTGGGCCCTCTTAAATGTCGAATATGGGGAACCAGCAATGGGGTGTCGTGCTTCAAAACCTGCCATAGAGCTAATAACCACTAGGGATGCATTCTCCGAAGCTTTCACCCTCGCTTCAAGAAAAGGCGTCGATGCGTCAATCAAGGTCACTAGGCCCAAGATGTCTGCACGGAAACTATTCTCCCACCCTTCAACGGTTGCTTCCCAAATCATAGGTGATGCTGTATTTTAAAGGGGTAAATTAGAGTTGTGTTCAGGCACAAATTGTATATAGAATATTGGAATATTGTATTCATGTTAACTTACCATTGGCAATGACCGAATCGATTCGACCAAAATCTTCAGCCGCTTGGTTTACCCAAGATTTAATCTCATCGGGTTTTCCAATATCAACAGCTGTACCGACGGCACAAGCGCCATTCGTAGCGCCCTTGAAGAGTGAGAATTCATCTCCTCGAATTGTGCGAGCGCAAAAAGAGACATTAGCTCCTTCAGCCAAAAAAGCTTCCACAATATATCTTCCGATTCCTTTTGATCCGCCTAAATTAGGTTGTTAGTACTCCGTATAGCTGTAGACCTTGCATCAGGGGGTTATTACCTGTGACTAGGACGTGCTTGTTGGCAAAATCGCTGGAGAAAGAAGGCATCCTGCTAATTAATAATATGTGTATCAGATCTCACTGAGTGTAAATTTGCGCACCTAGGGTTAGATGTCTTATTGAGTCAAAGAAAGTCCTCCGTGTGAGATGAATCCTTTATATACACTTTGTGATCAGCAGACCCCATATTCAGCGCTTTGTACAATTCATAAGCATTTCTCGCGATTTTCTGTCACATTTCTGATGTTTCAACCTATCACCGCCTCTCTCAACAACAGCGACATTATTCAATCACGCTTTAACAGAATTTTTTTGTCTGCTCATGGCGAGAACAGGGTAGAGGTATTATGTGGGGGCGGCGTTTAGAGATTAATCACATAATAAGCTCCGAGGGGGGCCTTTCTTCCACACAGAGACATTTTCACCCATAAAGTACGCCACCGGAAAGATCTGAGCTCCGTTGAGTTGGACCAAGAATTCTATCTTCGGTCTTTCCTAGAATAGGCTCCTATATCATACGACCATTATTAACATTCTAGCCCACTTCACGGACAAACGATGGGCGGTGGAGTGTGGAGTGCAGGCATCATGGATTGAAAATCAGCTAAGCCTAGATTGGGGACCGCGCGGACACATTCTTTGGTGAGGCTGACGCTATCCTTTCGCTCGTGTAATGTTGCTTCTTCTCATGTTGTCGTCTCCTTAAAAGAGAGGCGCTAACTGCTATTAACTACTGCAAAGACCTACCGCCCAACACCATCACCGTACATATTATCGTTTGTTGAATTTCTCCGATGAGCCGCTCATCTGCCGAAACGTGTTGGACGTGTCGGGTTCGCAAGAAGAGATGCGACCGCCAGCGGCCCACCTGCACTGCCTGTCGTTCACTTGACATTACATGCTACAATGGCAACAACCGGCCAAGCTGGGCTGATAATGATTTTGAACGACACGAATTTGCGAATCAAATCAAAGCCCAAGTCAAAGAAAAAGCGGAATGTCGTCGTGAAAAGAGTTATGTGAAAGTGCTGCCACTCGGGAGAGCAAGAAAACCAAAGACTGGCCCGGCTGCGACTGGTCAGCCTTCCAAAAGGAATCAACTGGGGCAAAACACTCAAGCCCAGGAGGGAAATCTTACGGAGCCATCTAGCTATGGATCTTCCGGCAATAGCTTATCGCCGGCTGAAAGAAACCTGCCTGATATTCTTTCCGCCAATCCTGTCCTACTCGGAATCAGCGACGACATCGACATCGATCTTGAGATAACGTTTTTAGATTACGCTTTTCCCTTTCTGTTCCCATTCTACCGCCCCTCCATTTTTTCAGGAGGACGCGGCTGGCTGTTGGCAGTACTGAGAAAGAGCATGCCACTCTTCCATACCGCTATGGGCTTCAGCACATACTTTTTTATATTAGTCATGACGGATGTCGCAAATGGAGAGCACGAAGTTTGTAAAGGAATCATCGAGAGGAAGCTCGTATCTCATGTGGATACCGCAATTAAGGCCATGAGAAAAGGAGTAGAAGATCTGGGAGCTAGTCAAGTTCCCGCTACAGCTAAAGAAAAGGCGCATCTCTTACAAGGTGTCATACAGCTTCTGGTGTTTGAGACAAATATTTCAGCAACTAATGAATGGGGCATTCATCTTAACGCTGCAGTATCTTTGTTTAAAGAGATATTTGAACAAAGCAATACTCAAGATGCCAAAATGGATTTCGACTCGGTATTATCTTTGATGCACAAAGCAGGATGGGAGTCTGGGATTACAACCCACAGAATTTTTAACCCAGTTCAAGGGGCTTTTATATTCCACGTCGCTGTCATCTTGTTTGCAGATATCATCTCTGCAACTATCCTTGGAGATGCTCCGATGTTACGGGAATATCATCCAGTTCTGATTAATAACGGAAGTAAACCGGCGAATCCACGTCAACTGTTTCTAAATTTGGAAGATTTTATCGGCTGTCAAAGCTGGGTTCTTCTCTTAATTGCCGATATTGCTTCTTTAGTGGCAGGCAAAAAGCAGGGGCGAGTATCCCGCGATGACCTGCTCACTGAAGGCAATAGGATTGCTGAAGAGCTCCAGCATGGTATAGCTAAGCTCAATGATAGCCTGGGACAGCCTATTGCTACGCCAGCTTCCTTCCAGGCTTATTCTAATCCTGACGCTCTAACACAAACAATTGATGCCACCTCGTATAACTTGATATGGGCACACGCAACCGTCCTTTATCTGTTTGTTACCACTTCTGGGTGGCAAGAACAACACGAGATTGTTCAATCAAATGTTTCATCAGCTATCCAACTTTTCGAAAAGATTTCATCACCAGCAGTTTTGCGTAGCCTCGCTTGGCCATTTTGTGTGGTTGGCTGCCTTGCAACTGCAGATCAAGAAGAAACGTTTAGACTGGTTGCTTCCAGAATGGGTTCATTGTCAGCATTTGGCACGCTATTCGAAGCACTGAGAATCATGGAGCATGTATGGGACACTCGTGGAGAGAGAGATGTGGAAAACTGGGACTTCACTTATTGCTTCCGTATACTAGGCTCGAGACCACTACTTATCTAATAATATGACTTTTGCGGCTTCTTCCCGGATTTCAATGACCCTTCCAAGCTCCAACGATTTCGGCCAACTTGGTAGTCTTAATTTCGGGGAACTTGACGTTCAGACTCTTCTCTTCTGGCACGTTCAGGCGCCCGTCAAGTACCCAGGAACCGAATAGTGAAAATAGACCCTGGAGCGCCGGCTTCGGAAAGTAAGGATACATTCCAGGGTGAGAAGGCAGTTCTGTAATCTCTCCTTTGGCAAGTTTCTCAGGAGGATCGTATGTAACGGTAAACTTAGTGCCTTGAATTTAATTAGCATTTTCTCGACGATGAATGAGATCGGTGAAATAGAGTAACATACCTTGAGCTTCTTCAGCAAGCGCAAGAAGCCTGTTGAACGTTGTCTTCTCTCCGTAACAGTAAGTCGTCTCCTCCCATTTGGGCAAACCCAGAGCTGCAACAACAAATTTGGCCACGTCATAGGTGTACGTAAAAGAAAGGACCTCATTTCCTGTGCCAGGGATACCAGCAGTCTTGTTCGGCGGGTCTACTGCAAAGAATAATGGCTTCAGATTAGTTTTAACATGTGGGTAGCCGTAGTAGTCCATAAAGTAGCCATTAGCAACGCGGGTCCATTCCAAGTTGGTCTTGCGAAGCTCAATTACGGTGTTTTCTCGGATCTGATACATGGGAGACCTATATGCAAGAGGAAAATTAGCATATACATCTGAATCGAAAGCAATAAAAGGCGAGATGGGACCTACACTTCAGTGTGAGGGGTACCCCATTCACTGGTGATGAAGCGTTTAACTGTGCCAGATTTGCTGGCTGCCTTCACCAAGTCAACTTGGGAAACCGAAGAAACTTGGTCGATCACGCTGATAGTAGAGATGACAATTTCAACGTTGTTGCTAGCCAGCTTTTGCGCAGTTTCGTCCACATTGCTATAGTCCACTGCAATGACGGGCGCTTCCTCATCATTCACTTCGGGAACCTTTATGGTCGCTTTAGCTTTTATGACAGCTTCAGTCGTAGTCTTCAAGGCATAGCTTACCTTACGAGCCAAGACAATGACATCGTACAGAGGTGCCTTCTTCAACTCCTCCACGAGCGTGCGGCCAAAGCTACCAGTTCCACCGGCGACTGCGATAACCTTCGACATGATTGCGAACGTTGGTATTGTTAGTATTGTTAGAGTTGTTGCTTGTGAGGATGTTAGATCTGCCTTTATAGCGATATTTGACTTGGTGATGGTTCAAAATTTATGGAAATCTAATGATTTATATAACATCAAAGATACAACGACTCTCAATACATCCCCCCGGCATCATGTCGCATCATGTTGATTTCTAAGCTCTCTAATCATTTATTTGATTGCTGTTTTATTTGTCGCCTTCAGGCAAATGTTGCGTCGAAGTTGGTTGCGACAGCTTCACCGCGCGGCGTCCAAAAGAGGTAAAAGAGGTCTTGGGATTCTGGGACCACGTCGTCATTTATTCCGCTGGCTTTCCCAAAAGAAACAAAATGGCTTTGTGGAGTTACTGTTCATCCCTTTCCGTGCGTGTACTCGTACTATTGCGGCTCATTGAATACGTAAGCTGGGCTGTAAATGCTGTGGATTGCGTTCATCCCACATTCCTCCCGAGCTGAATGTCTCCGGCTGATTCAGCAACGCGCCATCAATTTCTTCGCAATATCATTGTAGATGTGCATGCGCAAGCTGAAGAATGGATCCCTACTTTTGCAGAAATACTTTCATCTGGATTCGGTATGCCAATGCAAAGATGAACAAACTGAGGTCTTTCAAGGTGTTGTTGGTCAGCCGCGCCAAGCTGCCAATGTGTTAAGCCTCGCCCACAACCCAGCGAGATGGCATCCTTTAGAGATAGTGTATACTGTTCCTATTGACTTTCTTCTCATCGGCATTTTGTGATCTATTTTACGGACAATGTTAGGTTCTATTTCAGTCATGACTAATCCCTTACCCACCTTCTGTGTCACATATATGACTCTCCGCTCCTCTTCTCGTCCCTCTCTCTCCTCTTCGTCTATCGAAGTTCTGTATCATCACTCTTTTTGTCAGGACCTATCAGTAGCCAGTCGTAATGGCAAACTTCACCATCAAAATCATCTCAGACAACGTCTGTCCTTTCTGTTATCTAGGGAAAGCCCGCCTAGATCGAGCTATTTCTGCATTCCGCAATGCCACTCCAAAGGGCGAAACCGACAACTTTACAATCTCCTGGCATGCGTTCTATCTCGATCCTTACGCATCTTTCGAATCGGAACCTGTGCGACAGCACGTGGCACGGAAATTTGGAAGCCTCAGTCGGGTCGACGCAATCCATGAACGGCTAGCGCAGACAGGCGCTGAAGAGGGCTTGAATTTTACTTTCAAAGGGTTAGTGGGCAATACCAGAGACTCTCATCGACTTGTACAACTCGGCAGATCCAAGGGCAATGCTACGGAGAACAAAGTCGTCAGTGAGATTATGAAGATGTTTTTCGAAGAGGGTGGCGATATCACCAGCATTGACGATCTCGTCAAAGCAGCAGAGAGGGGAGGGCTGGATTCAACCGAGGCGAAGGAATGGCTCCTCAGCGATAATGGAAAGAGAGAGGTAGAGCAAGAGGTGAACGAGGCAGTGAAATTGGGTGTCACATCAGTGCCGACATTCATAATCAACGAGAAATACCGGGTGCAGGGAGCACAAAGCGTGGCCGAATTCATCAAGCAATTCACTCGAGCCAAAGCTGCAGAACAAGGCCAAGGAGAATAAAACTTTGAGTGGAAGAGAGAAGAATCTACAGGCTTTCGCGACTGTTGGTAACGCTACCATATGCTCGTCTTTTAACAGTTTACCCTAATAAATACCCCATTATGGATTTTCTCTTGATGCTCGTCCCAAAAACCTCCAATGATTGGAGCAACAACACGGACTGGACCCGTGGGAAATCTAACCGCCATCGTCTTCTCAGATTTTATCTCCGAGTATGGTGGCCTCCGGATTTCTGCGTAGCAATCCCCGAGTTTTTCGGCTCAAGGGCCCACTATCCGCTCGTGTCCGCTCGTGTCCGCTCCCGTCCGCTCTCGGTCGGGTAGACTAGACAAATAAATCATGGCAAATATCCACGGATTGCTTCATCAAGAGAAACCTCTCTCCAAATGTGGAGGAACTAACATGTAACAGCGCCATGAATTGAGTCATACCGAAGCCAAAGGTTCGAGATTGTCGGGTGATGAGGAGATGGAGGCTGTATGAAGTGTCTTGAGCATTCAGGTATAAAGAGACGACAATGTCCTTGTGAGATGGCAGTTTAATCTCCTACCCTCCTCATCAAATCGACTTTAAAAAGAGAAACCATATCTATAATCAGTTTACCGACATTCTTCATAGTGAAAATGGCACCTCAAACTTGGCTCATTACTGGCGCTTCATCTGGCCTTGGCCTACATCTCGCCATCATCGCCGCAAAGCAGGGCAACAAGGTTGTTGCCACGACACGCTCTCTGGAGCGAGGCCAAAACATCCAAGAGGAAAACATCAAGGTCGCTCGTCTTGATCAGAATGAGCCACTGGACAAGATAAAGGCCGATGTTGATGCCATCGTCAACGCTCACGGCCCCATTGACATTGTCGTCAACTGCGCAGCTTATGTACACACCGGTATCCTCGAGGACCTCACGCCGGAAGACACATACCAGCAATTCCAGACCAACGTGTTTGGTGCTCTCAACGTCTACCGCGCCATTCTTCCTCACCTAAGAAGCAAGAGATCTGGAACCCTGGTGACCATCGGATCAATGGCTGCATGGTTTGCTCACCCGGCGGCTAGCATATACAACGCTTCCAAGGCAGCTCTACGATTACTCAGTTTTGGTCTGGCTAGTGAAGTTAAGCCTCTAGGCATCAAACATCTACTCGTGGAGCCTGGCCGCTTCAGAACGGAATTGCTCAAGCAAGATGGAAACTTCAGAACATCAAATGGAAGCGACGGCATAGCAGATTACAGAGAAATCAGTGAAGCGGTCAAGCAGGGCATTGCTCGCGAAAGCGACAAGCAACCTGGTGATCCTATCAAGGGAGCTCAGGTCATTTACGATGTAGTGACGTCCAGCGGTGTGGCCAAAGACAAGGAAATGCCTACATTCCTGCCCTTGGGACGTGATGCCATCGAGGAAATCACTACATCAGCACAGTCAGCAATTGATGTCTGTCAGGAGTGGAAGGAAATTGCCAGCTCAACAGATTATTAAAATGATGTATGAGATATTGTCAAATAGAGAGTGTGTAAATAGATTACAAATGTTATGGCAGCAGTCCATTGTGTCTATCCAGAATCTCGTATCCCAAATTTAAAGGCGGCGACAATAATATATACTAAAGCAATATAGCGATAGAAGCAGATGCTTAAGATCCAAAGCATCTAGGTAAAAAGGATATTCTCTATATTGAGTTATGACACCTAACTTGAATTCAGCGGACATGTGGTCGCTTGTGCGTTAGATAGCGTCTCCCTTTATTTTCTCTATTATGGAATAAATAGACGCCAAAGGCTGTGGCACAGCCTTTTATTGAACCAGCTGTTGCAGTTTTATTGAAACTGAAATGAGAAGTCATAAGAGAAGAAAGTAGCAATAGTAGCTAATACTTGAAGGGCCAGATACCTATCTAGGCAGTAGTCGCTGAAATACGTGATGGCCAACTCTGTGTGCTGGCTCGCTGTCACATTCTTCATTTACTAAAGGCCAAGATATCTCAGCCTACTATCAGTATTAACGACTTCCCTCCATTAAGAAGAGCGATTGTCTCTTTCCGCAAGCTCGAGTACTCTTTTTGCCATCTGAACCCGTAATTTTGTTTGACGCTCACGTAACTGCTTGGTGAACCCGTCGCCTAACTCCTCTACGCATCCAACCCGTCGAACTACAATCTCCCCACCTTGCATCGGAATCTTCTTAGCCCAGTCCAGAGCCTCTTCTGCATCCTTGGTTTCGACAATCCACCAGCCGCAAATATGAGTTTCCGTACTGACATTAAAAGGTCCCGGAATTACTTCCGGCGGGCTGTCTGTGGCGTACTTCAAGCGATAACTGTCGACAGAGGTTGGTCGGAGGCCTTGAGCATCGAGCAAGATGCCAGCCTCATTTAGTTCCTCATTATATTTGCACATCGACTCGAAGACCTCTGGGGGAATTTCTGCTGGTGGAGCTTCAGCCATGACATTGGCTTTCATTAGAAAAATAAATGAAGGCATTGTGATGTATGAGAATTAAGCCTGTACTCGAAATGGGCTCCTTATTTGGAAGTTGTTCGTGTCTTGACAGTTGAAGAAAAGATGAATACAGCCAGACTATATATGCATTATATCATGATTTATCATGGGGCCGAAGATTCGTATCCGTTAAATAGCATGCAGGCAGCAACCCCTCATGTCAAGGCAAGTTGCGCGAGAGGCGTTTATTTAGAGTGGAAATGACGACAAGCGGATGTATTTGTTTCATTCTAAGTTTCTGTGCATGAATTAACTCGTTTTTAAGCATACAGCTAGCTTGAACGTTAAAAATTGATTGGTCGACCAAATTGGAGAAGATGCTCTCCAAAAGTCACCGCATTACGGTCAACGCATGACACATCCATCAAATCACGAGGGTTATGGTACAGAAATAAAACCTCTTGTCTCTATTCAAACAGGCCTTGTTATATCCAGGCAAAAAGTATGCAACGCTGTTTTCTCTAGAATCACAAGTTCCAACCCACTCCCAACTAAACACCCTTTCTCCACAAACCGTGCATATTTCACAAAGTATTCAAATTGTTTGTTTTAGCAGACACATGCTTTATCCAGACGGTACTCAAAGGCGAAATCAAAGTCAGACGAATCATCAACGATAGTAATCTTCTTAGTTCCTATTCCAATAACGTTAGTGCTGCTGTATCCATGTCGCCAAGTCATGTGCACTTACCTCTCGGAATCTTGAATGATCCCCAGAACCCATCGTTCGCAATACTTCGTAGAGCTCCGGCTGCACCAGATCCCACATCGACCATATGGATGTTGGCTCTCTTGTATTTTTCTTCGCCTAAAGTGAGCCTGCCATGTGTAGTGCCAAGTTTCACGCCGTCGATGAAAACGGTGTATTGTTCGGAAGTTGTCTCAGTATCAGCGATAGTAAGCACCAGGTCGGTATCGTACTGGCCCACATGAATCTCTCCTTCTTGGCCTAATCGTTTATTTGAAACACCTCTAGTCCAAGGTAAGACTTCTCTTCCTAGACATGGGTTATATGCAGAGCACGATCCGTAAAAGTGAATCATGGCACCTGTTTCAGACTTGTACCAAACGTCATCGGCGTGGGTTCCTTGTGGCACAGGTCAGCAGATCAGTGTATCGATCCCTTTCGGGTAACTGAAGACAATAACTCACCAGCCGGAATTAAAAAGTCCAGACCGGAGCCATGCGGCTGAATTTGCTTGCCGTTGATATAAAGCGTCAACTGTCCTCCACCAAGCTTTGTCACCCACATATCGAAGGGATAGATGTAATGAGAGAGCTGCTGGTTTGGATTAGGTAGAATCATTCTGTCGTGGCCTGTTGATGATAACTTTTTGGGGATATTATTATTTTCGAGAGCAAGCCATTTGCAGGGCGAGCTATCGAAGGAACAATTCCACCATTCTCTGGTAGGGCTTGGGGGCGGTGACTGGCGCTTCTTAGGCACTTCTTTCTTATCTTGATGAATTTTTTCAAAAAGATTGATTCCAGTCTCTAGAGAGTTCATCTGGTACCGAATGAATGAATCCAAATGCATCTCATCATAGGGAAAACATTCTGCAAAAGCTCGGCGGAGAAGCGTCTCCAATTCAGCAGATTTTGCCGCCTTTGTACAAGTAAGGGGTTTGCACAATCCAGTGGGCTGAGGACCTGTAAAAGTATTATAAGGTTTACTCAACACCGTCATGAGTTGTTTACTCACACTTGGGTTGAGGCTTCACACAGCGTCCATCTTTCACCTCGAGGCCTTTTGAACAACAGACCCATTCCCCCGTATCGTGATCTTGGTGAATGGTGCTCAAGTCTTCGCTAGGGCCGCAGATGTCGGAGACTTGGACGCACTTCCAGGCTCCTCTCACTTGCTGGGCAACTTGACCTATGCATCTGTTAATATAGGTGTGACTTTCTCAACACACTTGGTGCACCTTTCTGATGGCAGTATTCGGCCTAGATTTGAAGATTATCAGAATCAAAATATTTCGAATAGATTCCAAATAGTATTTGTAACTCACTATTCCTGCAGGAGGCGTGATTTTGGCCGACATTGCCGCGTGAAATAGGGCAATGGCCCCAAGGATTAGCGAAACTCTCATGACTTATTATTTTTTATTCAACCAAATTGAAGTGAAGTTCTTAGGAGAGAAACTGATTTGGATCAAAATATTTCGTACAGGCTAGATATTTCTTAATATACATTCACCAAGAGCCTCAATGCAAGGGTGAGGCAAAGCCGCTGCCACCTCTCCATAGAGAGGCTCATTACAGGCAATATCCGAGAGTCTCGAGAGATCCGGTGTCGCTGGATGTGCCTCAATACAGCCTTCATCTTTGATGTGAAGCCTTTTCAGCCCAACTCTCCATATTAATTGCAACATCGTGAACCCGATAAGCCTCTGGTCGAATGGTGGAGTGCTCCATTTCCATGTGTCCAGCTGTTGACCGTCTTTCGTCCCAATAGAAGGGATGAAGTACATTGAAGTAGCCTTCTCAGCCTAGGCCACAAAGCCACCGACCTTGAGTCCATGGAGGGTGGGACTGGGCTGGGGGCCGCCGAATCATCACCGAAGAATACGTAAAGTGCCACAAATTGCTTGCCACGTCAAGAGATTCAGCTCACTGCAGAGCCTCAACGAGGCCACAAATGTCTCACTTGACCACGTCGGGCATTCAGCGGCCAGTTTGTTTTGTCTCGGGAGCTGTATATATGTCTCGGAAGAAGTGTATGCATATTTTAGGCAGCGATGACATTTTATAATGGTAATTATGCCATGCAACAAGGGTATGAGATGATAAGCACCTTGATGTCTATTATTCAGCAAAGCCTGTTTCATTAATCATGCTATCAATCCAGAACTGTCATTGAGACAGTCAACGAATATGCAGCCCTTGATACAACTAGACGGCATTATTTAAGTTGAATGTAAATGCAGGAAGGTGTCATCTTCAATCTAGTTATCAATTTCCATAGAATCGGCTATCTTTTATTTGTTTTCAGTTTATTTCATAATCTATCTCTAATCTTACTGGATATCCGTAGTCTGCATTCAACACAGCGAGAAGAAAAAGAAGGCCTCCGTTTCCCTAATCATCTTCCCAAGTTCCGTTAGTCTTAGCCTCCTCGCAAACATCCTTTGCATAGACCTGCGAGGCCGGAATATTAATAATCACTTCTCTTTCTCCTCGGCGTGGGTCCCTTAAAAAAGTGAAGGAGAAGCCTTGGTACCAAATCACCGTTGGCGTCGCATTTTGGAGAGTTACTCCTATTCTCACTGGCTATATTAGTCCGATGATATGGAGCTAAGTAACAAAATGTAGCGAGTTATAGCAGCTCCACGATGTGGCTGACGCAATGCTTTAGCTACAATTATGTAGATCAACTATATTCACCAGGAAGAATAGTACTGTTGCTTAAATTATCTAGTAAAAGCTTTCGTCAAGGGCGTGAGGCCTCCTCCGCCAGTCGTCGGTACTCGTGGTCGATAGGCAAATTGTTTTGACACGACCAACTAGTCAAAATTAGTGATACTCGTTTTCTAGATTATCTTATCTTACTTAGCACTCACATCTTGCATTTATTATCGTCTCCGCCAGATGCAAAGAGATAAGGGTCGACCGGGCTCCATGTGGCATGGTTTGTCCGAGAAGGACAGTGGCCCTGTTCGAGCCCTGCAAGAGTTCCCGAATTCAGGTCCCAGACGCTTATGTAACCATCTGTTTTATATTGTGAGCCCTCTTCTGCAGCGGTAAAGGATGTAAAATGACTCCTACCTTCTTCGGGCCTTAAGACAAAGGCGTCATTGATACCCCCTACAGATCCTTGCAATACATAGTGGCTTTTTCTTATCCCAATGCGTTGTTGAACAATTTCGCCACTGGGGAGTAGGCGGATGTCAAATCCCCCATCTGTGTATCCCACAACAATGAGGCTGAGGCCGTCGCTAATAGAAACCCAAGTTGGCCGCCCCCTGAGAGGAATGTCAGCAAATGGTTTCTCAGCCGCAACCTGAAATATCAACATATTTTCCGTGTCTGTTATCGCCACAAGCCATTTTCTGTCCTTCGAAATAGCACTATATTGGAATCGTAGACTTTGATCTTCAACCCAAGAGCGATGACGACCTTCGGATATCTCCATGCTCACCACTCCAAATGTTTTGCTCAAGGAAATTAGTATGACAGATCTCCCGTCAAGTGACCAATGACATCCAACTCCTACTTCATGATACAGTGGCAAAATCTTGATCAATTCCCCAGTCTACTCAATCTGTCAGCTGGATCAGATCAATCGGCTGCATTGCAGTAGGTAAGCTCGCCTTGGAATTCCATAGCCTCGGCTTACCATCAAAGCTGAGGGTCACAATCATTGAATCATCTGGACTCCAAGCAGCATTAGTAACAGGCTTGTCGTGGTCCAATGTTTTTTGTAATTCGATTTTTTGAAGGTCAAAGATTAGCGCTTTGCTTGAAGAAAGGCAAAGAGCTAGCTGTGAACCGTCCCCTGAAAAGACACATGCCCATACTTCCCCATCAGTCGCTATTTCTTTAACCATGGTGAATGAAATCTGACGCATTTCCGAGGTTTGGCAAGAAACTTCTGCCATTTTTGATTCAGATGCTAGAACCGCGTATAATCCCAAATGGGTGCTCCATTCGAGATTCGTGCGGCCGTAAAGATCCACGTGCTTGAGATCAAAGTTGCCATTCTCAAGTATAAGCTTAATAATAGTTGTATTTTTGCCCAATAGAGCACAGGTTAGAAGATCCCACCCATGAGATTCTTGGATATTTGTCTCAACGCCATCTTGCACAAACAAATACCTAAAAAAATCCTCATCGCCGCGTATCGCCGCCAAGAGCAGTGGTGTTTTCCTATCGTTATCTTGAGCGTTTAATTTAACCCTAGATTCTGATTGGAGTGTTTTCCACATAGCAGTACGTTTTTCGAGATTGTTCCGGGATGACGGTGGCCTTTGAGGGTAACCTTTTCGATCAGATGTCTTGCTAACCATTTGGTCCATGACAGTCTGTACGATGTCCTTCACGTTGGAGGACGGAGGCTTTTTACCCAAAACATCTCTTGTTGTGTATTTTTTGACTTGGGTGCTCATTTCTGGGTTGAATTCCAGAGGCGCTCCTAGTAAAACATCATATCCGACAATTACGTTGCAGTCGAGAAGCAGATCTAGGAGTTTACAGTCTGCAAAGATAACTGATTCGTATAATTGAGCTGACATCCGCAAACTCTGAGCACCGAAATCGTTAAAACGGCGAATGAATTGCGAAACATCCTCTGAAATAAGATGTGAGTTAAGGAATGTACGTTCAAGAGCAACCGAAATAGCATACCCATACTCTTGAAGGTAAGGGGCAATAAATGAAGCAAGTAGAAGCTCGCCATGATCGTCATTGGCGAGGCACACCTCATGCTCTTGAGCATGATCCCACACTGAAAAGCAAGCATAGAGTAGAAGTGGATATTTTCCTAGTTTCTGATTTTTTCTTATAGCGTTGTCGTAGGCGCTCATGTACGCAAAACTACACCTTAAAATGAACCAATGGCAGTCTCTCGGTATTAATCTGAACGACGAGGGTGAAACTTGAGTTGATTGCAAATATTCTTTCACTGAGAAATGAGAGAATGAAACTATGTCGTATTCGAACCGAGAATCCTTGCCAATTGGTTCAGTGCTTGTGACAAGTCCGGAAAGAATGTTCAAGACATCCGAAGCCGAGCTAAAGCGATTCTGATACACGCAAGAGACTTTGAACTCACTAGAAGAAGGCAGAATATTTGCTTCATCACTTTCTTCTACATCAAAAACTGCAAGCTCGGCAATTTCTGCAAGATTCAGTGGCCGTGTTGCACATGCCAGCCACCTCAGAACTGCCATGGCTTCGAGCCGGTAATTGTCCCGATCAATGCGCTGAAGAATACGTCTATATGTTTCGCCTAAATCACGAGGAAGTCGTTTCAACGCTCGGTTGACATCGATCTCTCGTGTTTTCCCCCTCAATTCCTGTATTTGAAGATCTGCCCAGCGGAAGACGCCGTCAGCATTCCGGACAAGATGTTGTATGACCCTTTCCTTAAGGGGAGCAGACCAAGCCGCAAATGAATCTTGTTCTGTCACCAAAGCTTGTAAGTGATTGTGTGTGTCCGAGTCAACATATGTAGCTAGGAGAGCCACCGAATTCGTGGGAATAGAGAGTTGTGATATTTTCATCTCAATGTCGACCTCTAGGCGACTGGTGATGAAAATATGCAGTTTTGTTTCAACCTTTTCAAGCAAGCTGGCCAAGAAAGTAATAATCTCCTCTCGGATCAACAGTGAGTCGCATTCATCCAAGGCATCGATTACAAGAAACGTTTCCTCCGATAGACCGATGACATTTATTAATAACGCGTCAAGCTCTTCCATTGGTGGGGTCTTAGAAGGGAAATGAGCGTCGTAGAGATCTCTGAAGGCTCGTGGGATGAAGAATACATCAGCATTCTCAGGATGAGGAAGAGAAAGCCTCTTCAAAATTTGTACTAAAAGAGTGCATTTCAGGTTGCGAAGACTCTGAGAGTCCTTATTCTGAAACGAAAAGTAATAATATGCGAGATGCCAAGCATTAGAGTCCTCGAGGAGCTCAATAACTTTAGACGTCATAATTGTCTTTCCCGACCCGGCTGCACCCGCTGTTAGCCATCCTTGAAATGTATATGTATCCATATCAATAAGTGAAATAGTCTTACGTTTTCCATGTAACCAAAGTAAAGACTTTTCTTTCATCCATGCTTCCATATATTTATGCACAAACCAGTTGCCTGTGCTAGCACTGGATTTTCTGGCGCCTCGGGATTCTGAGTAAAAGCGTTGCTGATCTATGTATGGGAGCCATCCTAAGAGACGATCTCTCGTCTCTTTCGTGTGATGATCTAAGATAAACCAATATCAATAGTGTAGGAGAGTAATGAGATTGTTAAACTTGCCTTCAATAATGGCTGTTGGCAAAAAATAATGTTAGAAGAAGTCTCAATAAAATAAATGAGCTATGAAATAGGAAACACAACTAACCTTGGTCGCTAATTGCGCGCCGAAGGCGCTTAAATGCATTATCCTGTCCTTCACCATATATAAGCGGTATGTAAACACTGAAGATACCCAGAAGAGAGTAAGCCTTGTCTTCAGGGTATGTCGTAAAACGGCCATCTGACCACGACATTCGCTTATCAATACTAATCTCAGATAATTCCCGTCCTCGAAGCACATCGAGTGGAATTTGTGTAATTTCATGAATTTCTTTTTCCAGGGACTCTTTGCTACCCAGGCGCGCGTATTCCGACGAAAAGAATTCCACTTTCGCCGGGGCCAATAGTTCTTGTAACGTCCAACCTCGGGTGAACCACCGACTTTTGCGAAAGAAAGACTCCCAACTCAATGAAGATGAGGAGTCATGCTGGCTATCATCTTTTTGTACCGTTACATCAGACAGATATGCGTAACATTTAGCAGCGTTCTTGTACAAGCGAAACATGGAGTTGATCTCCCTTTGAAGCTCTGTACTATTCGACTTGTCAATACAGCAGGTATCTATCCAGAAGTAAGATAATCCATCTGAGGCAGCTTGTATGGCGCAAAATTGTATTTTGCAATACCCCAGCTTATCTGAGCCTTTGCCAGCAGCGATATTGCTAAAGGTGACTTCGTCATCTTTGTCACCCCAGGTATGAGAGAGAATCGCATATGGCGGAGGTTCGTTGATGAAATCTTTGGTGCACACCAGGCGATTACCGCTGAAGCTGAGAAGACGCATAGTTCTAAATCGTATATTCTTTAGACTTGGTTATTGACGTTGTATGTACTGAGTTTCGCTTAATATTGAGTTATTTATATGCACGTGAGACATGACTTCTCCAAAGTTATCTGCATGTACCAACGACTTATCAGGCTACAATGAAGAGTAAGGCAGACTTGTGTTTATTCATGCATGGCGGCCAATCAAAATCTAAACCGTTGCCAAATCACAAGAGCCGTTTCTCCGCTCCGTTTTCATCCAAGCTATGTACCTACTTGTACTTTGCTTTCTTGATGGAGAATTACTGTGTTAAAGACATTTAAAATGACTTCAAAAATGGAATTATCCCTTCCAAATGCTCGCCCATACGAATTTGCCTTTCCTCTTGCTACCACAGCATTCATCGTAATTGATATGCAACGGGATTTTCTAGATCCAGATGGCTTCGGATCCATTGCATGTGGAAACCCCGCCATCTTCTCGGCTGTCCGCAAAATCGTGCCAAATGTCCAGAGAGCTTTAGAAGCGGCACGTTCCATGGGCTTGCATGTCATTTATACCCGGGAAGGCCATCTCTCGAATCTCTCAGATTTACCTGCTACGAAAAGATTTAGGCAGGTAAATGCGCCAAATGGCAACCAATTGATAGGCATCGGCGATGAGGGTCCAATGGGGAAACTGTTGGTGAGAGGCGAGAGGGGTCACGATATTATTGACGAGCTGAAGCCGTATCCTGGGGAGCCAATTATTGACAAGCCAGGAAAAGGAAGCTTTTGGGGTACCGGATTTCATAGGCTGTTGCTTGCGAGAGGGATCACTCATCTGATACTCACTGGCGTGACCACGGAGTATGTCTCTAGGGAAAGCAGTGCACTTTGGCTATGCAATCGACTAACAGCGATTTTAGATGTTGCGTGACGAGTACGTTGCGAGAATGCAACGATAGAGGCTACGAATGTTGTGTTCTTTCGGACTGTACCGAGGGGTTTGATCCAGCGATGGTGGCGACATCATTGGACATTGTATGCTGTCAAGATGGCCTCTTCGGATACGTCGGCCATAGCGGAGAGTTCATTTCACAGACGAATGAAGCACACTCTCTCAAGCCAGCTCTCACTGTAGATCTTGATGCTACAGCACTTCCCTCTATCAATGAGCTCAGAGGTCTATACAGAAATGGTCTGCTTAATCCAGAAGCAGTCATACAATCTGTGCTTGAGCGCATAGCCAAATGCGAGAGCATCAACCCATCTGTGTGGATCTCAAAAGAATCTCCAGTGGATATACTAGCAGCCGTCAGAACATTATCTGCGACCTACGCCGGCAAAGAGCTTCCTCCTCTCTTTGGCATCCCATTCGCCGTAAAAGATAATATCGATATCAAAGGTGTTGTTACTACAGTTGCATGCGACAGCTTCGCCTATACTGCCACTGCTACAGCTCCAGCGATTCAGCATTTACTTGATGCTGGGGCAATATATATAGGAAAACTAAATCTCGACCAGCTTGCCACTGGTTTAACAGGTTGCCGATCGCCTTATGGCATTCCTCATAGCTACTATAGCAAAAGGCACATCTCCGGCGGCTCATCTTCTGGGTCCTCCATTGCCGTCGCTGCCGGTCTTGTTTCTTTTGCCATTGGAACCGACACAGCCGGAAGCGTTCGTGCTCCAGCGGCCTTCTCCGGCGTCGTCGGCTTCAAACCCACAAAGGGTACCATTTCCGCAAGAGGTGCGGTACCTGCCTGTCAGAGCCTTGATACCCTTGGTATCTTAGCACCTTCTTTGTCAGACGCGAGACAAGTCTGGTATGTGATGGATCAGCATGACCATTTAGATCCATATGCCAAACCACCATCAAGCCTGCCCACTTGGATAGTGGATTATCGAGGATTCAGAGAGGGAGGGTTCACCTTTGGCATACCTCCAGATTCTTTGCTACAAATGTGCTCTGCAAAATACCAAGAGCTGTTCAAAGTAGCTGTTGGTAAATTGCAATCGTGCGGAGGAACTCTGATTGACATTGACTACGCGCCATTTGCCAAGGCTGGCGATCTGATTTACAATGCATCCCTTGTCCATGAACGTCTTGCTTCAATCGGCTACGAATTTATTGTAGAGAATATTGACACGTTTCATCCCACCACTAAATCCATCTTTCAGGGTGTTTTATCATCTAACTTAAAGGCCTGGGAAGTGTTTCGAGATCAAGCCACACAAATGCAATGCATCGCCGAGGCGCGCCGAACGTTCAACAAACTTGAAGAGGGTATCGATGTTCTCGTTGTGCCGAGCATGCCTTGGCATCCTACTATACAAGAAATATTGGATGATCCACTGGCTCTGAACTCGAAACTTGGGCTATTCACACATCCTGCAAATGTTGTTGATCTCTGCGGCGTCAGCGTTAACGCCGGATGGATAGATGAGGAAGGAATACGGCTACCGTTTGGTATCACGTTTCTTGGTGACAGTGGATATGATGGGAAGGTTCTAGATATCGCAGCTATTTTTGAAAATCTTATCAAATAGTATAAAGGAATATTTACCCGTCGTGGTGATATTTTGCGACAATCTCAATACGTGTATTCCATGATTCGGACTTGTCAACAGGCTTGATGCCGACGCAAGAGCCGTTCCCCACTAACAAACATCCGGAGTCCACTGCCGATGCGGGGATGCCGCCAGATAGAGGAATTGAATCCTTGTTCAACTTTAGAAATTTATCTCATGATTAAAATAAATATAGTTTTGACTGTTCACTTTGATCTATTCCTCGGAGCAAGAATTGATCAATATCAGCATTAAGCGTTGGACGTTCAGCCGAATTCACTTATTAATTGCTTGCCTGGCAGTAACAAGTCGCAACATCTTGAACATGGCAACATCAATACCGACTACTCAATCCGCAGCCATCATCGAAAATGCTGGACCAAATGGAATAGTTCGAATTGATAATTCATATCCGGTTGAGGCTCCGGGGAGGAATGAAGTTCTTGTCAAGTTGGCATTCAGCGGCATCTGGTAAATATTTTAACCGTGCTTTTCGTAGGTAGCGCCTATTACTGGGTTATACTAATATCTGTCAGCGGATCAGAAGTTCGAGCCATGCTTGGCTGGGGGAAATACAAGCCCGTCGTAGGCCACGAAGGAGTCGGCATAGTTGTCAAAACAGGCGAGAATGTCACAGAGTCGATACTCGGCCAAAGAGTGGGCGTCAAATGGCTTCACAGCGCATGCAGCCTATGCTCAGAGTGCAAAAGCGGATCTTCAAATCACTGTATAAAGCCTGTCTTTACTGGTCTTCACGTTCAAGGAACCCTGCAGCAATATGTCATCGCTGATTCACGATACTTGACAAGGATCCCTGATGGCTTACCTGGAGAAGCGGCATCTCCCCTGCTATGTGCAGGATTGACCATGGCGGGCGGGATTGCAAAACTCGACAAGAGTATACCCAGTGATGGCTGGGTCGTGGTTTCAGGCTCCGGTGGTGGCTTGGGACACATAGGAGTCCAAATAGCCAGCAGATTGAGAGGGTTCAAGGTTATCGCAGTCGATTCCGGGGCATCCAAACGCGAACTCAGTCTACAATGCGGTGCTCAAGTCTTCATCGACTTTGCCACAGAGAATGTCGAAGATAGGGTGAAGGAGATAGCTGGAGAAGGCGCTCATGCGTGTCTTATTGTATCTGGATCCGAAGCCGCGTTTGAGCTTGCCCCAAAGTTGGTTCGAAACACAGGATTGTTGGTTGTCATTGGGTTACCCGCTGCCACCTTCAATTTCCCCTTGGCCGCCAGCTTATATGCAGCAAAAGGTATGGTGACACTTGTTCGAAACGGTAACCTCGCTAATTGTGTTCCCTTGATAGCGCTCACTGTCACCGGTGTCATGGTAGGAAATGAACAACAGATGGAGGAACTTCTTCAACATACAGTCGCAGGCGTCATCAATCCCGTTGTTCAGGTCGAGGAATTTTCACAAGTCCCGCATATTTTCGAGAAGCTCAAAAACAATGAAGTAACAGGGCGGATAGTGGTGAGGATCCCCGAGTAAGATGAAATAGAGTTATTACATGTAGTCTTGCACGCACATATTTGGATCAAACACCTGGTTCATAAAGGCGATGCAGATAATTATTTATTTACGACTGTATTACAAGATATCTCTTTGTGTCTCATGAATACCTGTAGAATAAACTTCAAATTTTACTTTCCGATATCATAACATCAGCATCTCCACCAAAAATTCCACCTTGCCCGCAGATCGCCATTCCATGTCCCAGCAGAGTCTCTCACGTGATGCCGTCTTGCTCTGACGTCTGTGGTCGCAAAGCTTCAAAGTTTACACAAACCAAGAACACTTTATGGTGACACGTATTCGTATTCAAAGATATCCAATTGTTCAAATTACCGCAATTGTGGTGCAAAATGCCGTTTCCAATCATGACCGCGACGCTGCAGGCGGCAGCCCTATCAACAGCCTCCAATTTCTGTGCCCAATTCATTGAGGCATACTGGAACAAAGTGAGACTCCTTAACTACCTACGGAATGCACTATGATCCCAATGCCTCTGTTTTACATTATCGATACATGTATTTAATACTCACCGTCTCGGTGGCAGCGCATCTTCCATCTGGACCTCATCCAGCTCTTCCGATTTATCGTATATACACTCATCACCGCTCCGCCAAACTACCTATGGCAACAATTTCTCGAAAGGTCCCTACCGGCGCGTCCTTCTATCCAACAGTCACATGATTATGGAGATAAGGATATTGAACTCAGAGAGATGGAAGAAGCAGCTACCGGGCCTTCTATTGGCGGGGGATCGCAGTCGCAACCTGCGAGAACGGCTCAGTCCAAGTTCAGTATCCGAAATACTCTGGCCAAGTGGTTCATCGATTGCATCACTGCTGGAGCCATTATGAATACTGTTGCATTCTTGGTCATCATGGGTTTGTTAAAAGGCCAACCAATGGCTCAGATATCTTCCAACATTAAATCGGTGGGTTATCGACCAACGCTTCCTTCCTCCTCCTAAAGAGATAATAGCGGCAACTAATTTTGGCATTCTAGGAAACAATTCCTATCATCATAGCAGGATATAAAATTTGGCCAATTGCCTCGATTGTTAGCTTCAGCTTTGTCCCAGTTCACCGCCGTATTGTGTTTCTGAGTTTCATTGGCCTTCTGTGGGGCATTTACATGAGTTTGGTCGCGGCAAGAGTTTAGCCCACTACTTGGTTCAAAGCCTTTTTTTACTGTTACATTATGTCAACATTGATTCTACATCGGACATTGGTAGCCTGGGTGTTGTATAAACAAGCGCTCCACATATGTGAAGCATTCATATTTATGTATATGCCTTCGTAAGGCGTAGAAAGCTATGTACACCGAAAAGATGCCTTTTTTTGCAAAACAAATGGCTTGTCCACATCATCGTTCATCATCATTCGTTTAGCACTTCTGGGGCTTCCAGTTGGGGATAATGTAGCCACCGTTGGGGTCGTTAATGTCGAAGGTGTCCTCGCCCCTCCATGCGTGGAGGAACCAGCCAACGTTCTGAGCCTTGAAGTAAGCGCAGTTGTTGTCAAAGGTCTTCCAGTAGTTGGTGTACTGAGTGCGGCCGAGATCAGTGTGTCCGGGGTAGTGGGAGGTAGGTCCCCAAGCCCACTGAGTCTCAGTGATGAAAGTAGGCAGGCCAACGTTGGTCTTGACCCAGCTGATCTGAGACTGGATGTAGCTCCAGGCCTGGGACTCGGCCTGGTTGAAGTGGTAGAAGGGCATGGGGTGGATGTGAGCAACATCGGAGTTGGCCTTGACACCGGCACCGATGGAGCCGAGGCCCTTACCGCCGCTGCCGCTCATGGTACCGGGCCGGTCCCAATCCTCGCTGATGCCGACCAAAATTCCCTTCTTGTTAAGGGTTGCGCGGAACTTGCCAAGGTCGTTGACGAAGTTGCCCTGGTCCATACCATCACCAACAGGCTCAGAGCCGAACTCAGCCCAGTGAACGACGTAGGGGGCAATGGCCGAAACCGAGGGGTCGTTGATGGCATTGTAGATGGCCTGTTGGGACTGCTGCCAAACGGTCTGAATGGTTTTGTTAGAACATTGTTGCTACTGAGACAGATATCAAGAAAGACAAGGTATACTTACGCCACCACCAAAGTTGGTCCAGACCTGGACAATCAGGCCCATGTTGTTGTTATAAGCGGCCTTGATAGCGTTGATGAAGACGCTAGACTGAGTGCACACAGGGTAGTACATGCGCACAATGCTGGCACCGAAATCCTTCTTCATCTGGGCAAAGTCCTTGTTCATCTGGGCATAGCCGTTGGATGAGTCGGCGCAGTTGCCATCTTCCAGAGGGTAGGAGAAACCCATGAAGCCATAGTAGTCCGACTGAGGGCACCACCACTGGTCGAGGGGAGTGCTGGGAGCAACAAAGTTACCAGGCAGAGTGGCGTTGCCGAGAGGGAAACAGTTGCCAGCAGCGGCGGCAGTGGGAGCCGCAAGAGCGGGAACAGCTGCCAGAGCGGCGAGCGAGAGCAGCGAGGAGAGCATGGCTGCGGATCTGTCTCTTTAGAAGGCTTGATCCGGGATGAGAGGAGGTGATGGTTGAGAGATGATATCGGCCGAGAAGAAAGTAGATGCCAAGCCGGGCTATTAATACTTGTTTAGATCTCCTGAGGCTGATTATACAAACAAGCTCGAGACAGCTCCTGGTCTGCCTTATCCAGGCGAAGATACTGCCCAACGGCAAGGCGGGAGGCCAAGACGGGAGGCCCTACTAGCATCAAGGGGGGTATTTCCGGCCCCTCGTTATTCATGCTCGTCACTACCAGTACAGCTTCATCCATGCAGAGTAAGGAGCAGCCTCTCCAAGGGACCCCAAAAGAGCAGTTGAATTAATCATGATCATGCCCTCCCCACAAATGCAACAAACCAGCCAGCTCATCCCCTGCTCTCCGAAGCCTGACAGATGCTCATATGGACGGACAAATATAGCCCGCCAGAAACCGAAAGACGAGGCCATTCGCTCTTTTGCCCAGCTGGGCAGAAAAAGGCCCGACTGAAGCTGTCGAACTGCCTCCACCGGCAATTACGGCAGTGTAGCGGCATGACAATCATCAAATCGGTAAACGTTCCATTGAGCTTAATCGCCATGCTCATTGCCTTATCCGGTTGTAGCAAGTGAAATGAACGGGGTAGCATGTTCAAGATCCAGCTTCCCAGATGAGAATCGAGGAGGCTGTTAAGCTCAGGCTAGCAGGGGGGTGTGACACGCGCTACCTCGGACATACCCAGTCGTGAATCGCGCTTCTGCCATATTCTTCGTATTTTACGTTTGCCTCCTGTGCCAATTGAGTTGGTCATGCGTTTCTAAATTCCCAAGAAGGGCTTCCGGCCGATTGAATTCGGCCGTTCCGCACGATAAATGCACCAATTGAGGTTGATGAGCAGCGACGCTAGAAGATAGCTTCCAGCGGAGGAGCAGAGGTTAGAATAAGCCAAGAAGAGCTTATACATGCTTAACCCACGAGTTCTCAGCTCTGACCAGGCCAAGCCTATCCTCGGCAACTCTCCTAGCCCCCCCCCCCAGTTGCCGATCTTGCTGGGCTAGAACCCTTCATGAGCTTGGCACGAGGCCTGTCTAGCCCATGCTTCTGCGCGATGACGGAGCAAAAATGTGCTAGGATCTAAGTTTAAGGTTACTCCGCGTTTTGCTAGCACATAGAACGAGAGAAATACGAGTGTAACCTAAGCATGTTGCATGTTGAGTACAAGTCCTTTCCAGGCCCACGCTTACTCAGGCCCGTCGATTCAAAGGGGAAACAAAAAGGCTCGACAATTATGCTGTATATAGCAGCTCCTTCTAGAAGGAACTCATTTAAGCGTCATAATGCGGCCAATCACTTCTTTACTGGCTCTAGTCCGGCGAAACACACCGCAGCTTCTGCGCCCATCTAAGTATTTGTTTCGAAGATCCATCTTGACCATAAGCACACTGCACCGAGTACAGCTGGCCTGCTAAAACCAACACGACTATGAATGATGAAATACAGCATGGGACTCAAAGGGGTAGTGACATCATGTAAATTCCACAGCATCGACTGAGGCGGAGAGAGTTACCAAGCCATCAGTGGCGAATATACGACCCCCCTGATGAGAGGGAGCCAGATCAAAATTCCACTATTACCACCGAATGGCCATTCTGAGTTAGCTTATTTTGTCCCCTTTGTCCATATTGGATCATGGTATATCACTGCTAGTTTGCAAAAAGTGGCGCGGGAAGCAATATCATCCACCACCCCGGGACTCAATACAACACCACCGCTAACAAACGGGAGGAAGCAACTGCTTGCAAGCAGCTACATGGACTAGATGGAATAGAGTGTTGTTTCTGAGGAGAGATAGATTACAGAGCTCAAATCAAAGCATTTATGAGCTGTTTTGTGGCAAAGATATGCTAGCAGAGGGACATGACAACCTTGGCAGGCCAAGTCTCCAACTGGATACAGCACGATCCCTGTAAACTGCAAACCAGATTCCCTTTATAATTCTAGCAGCAGCTTGCGGTCAAGTGACGGTGGATAGCATGTCCATCAAAGGATTGCTGACTACATACAGGTATCGTATGTCAGCCATCACCCCTACCACTATCCCATTGAGGTCAAGTCATCGGTTGTCGATTACCATCAGCTGCTTCATATTTTTCTCGTCCATCCGCCTATTAACACATGCATTTTAAGGTAGTCAAAGTCCGAGTTAGTCCAAGGCGCTAATTGTCATATCATGACTTTGTGAAGTATACTATGATATTGCGCAGCCAGTTTCAGTAATTAACAATCTAAACTGCAGGCTTCCTTACATATCCAAATCACGCCATCATAAGAAACAGCGATAGAACAAACAACCCATCGCACAGCAACTCACAATTCCCCAAACGTAGCACCAAGTAGTGCCGTTGTAGCGATTCAGGCCATATCAGCTCACGCATTAGTAACTGCATTTATGTCAGAATCTCTAGCGTCATCCCAATTGGTCTCAGCTGCCATTAAAGGCAATTGCAGGGTTGGTTTCCTATCTCGTATGTTAGTGAGGATATTCATCTTGTTTCTGGGGCCCTGTTCTTTCAAGCATATGGCCGCTGTCACCGCAGCGGGTGTGTTGGTGTGTGATATCTGTCTGACTTTTCTCTCTATGAAATAATAATCACTTTTTTTAATACCCTTGATAGTCCTCGGTATATTTGCTGCCTCTTAGTTTGATATTTATTCTACAGGCCGCATCATTATAAAAGGGAAGGGCTATCCAGCACCCCAGCGGCTAAGAGGAGTTCCGAATAGAGTAACAACGTATAATAAAGATATCTTATTAGCGTTACTTAAATAGAAATTACACACTTCCTGGAGTATCTGCTACTATCGCTAGTTTCTGCTACTATCGCTACTATCTGCTACTATCTATATATTCCTCTAGTATCTGCCATAATTACTATCCAGGCTGCTTTAAATTTAAGAATGGGATGCTGAATAGCGAACTTAGGGTGCTGAATAGTCACTCCCCAAAATGCTGTTGCCAGCGAGTAATCGTAACTGGGCAGAGCGGACAGACGACTTAAGCGTCTTTGAGCAGTAGGTGGCGTTGGGAGGCTGGCAGCAAAACGCTTTTGGGTGCGGGCTTGTCTACGGGGGCCTCTCGCTTTGCTGGCATGACCTGGTCTTCTTTTTCGTCTTTGGCGACCGGGAATCTATACCAGAGAGCATCGTTGGCAGACTTTATACCCTTCTCCAGCCACTGACTTGAATTAGTTTATGCATAATATCAGAAGAATGGTGGACAACCTACTACGCTTTGGCCAATTCCAGCAGCTTGTTTTGTGCCCGGAGACCGCCTTGGGGTTACATGCCTTCAATGTTCTCATCTTTCTTATTGGTTTTGACGCGGAGTTGGAAGCTAAGTCCCTCTTTAGCAGACCAGGTGCTGGCCTCCTTCAATTCCACCTCGATTTTATTGCACCGCCGCTTAGTGCATTCGCAGGCGCTGGCGTACATCTCTATAAGCCGTACGCAGTCGACAATTTCGCTGAGTGCAGAAGGAGAAGACATGATGTCGAACAAACGAAATGATAAAGTCGCCTCGTGAGAGAACGACTTTATACCAGCCACCTAAAGGGAAATGTCGCCTCGTGAGAGATTGAACGAAATCGCCACTGGATATATTGTCACCTCTAATGAATACGAACGAAATGGCAACAGAAAGATGTCGTCTCTAACGACTATCGTACTTCAGAGGCCAAGAGCGGAGAGCGTTGGTAGCTGTCAGCAATTGACACCGATACGACGGATACTATGGGCAGGACGGAAGACGCAATTCATGAGCGCTTTTCGTGGTATGTAGACATCCGTATAGCCGCTGGGGATAATACTTGGATATTATAATAGCACCAATTGTCGAAATGCGAGATGATTTTCCGTTAATTATGTGGGAGCCATTCTGCCAGATTCGCTACCAATACCGGCAGAATGGTGCCATCATGTTGATTGATCCCCAGTCCAAATTTTGATTCTGTGACAATAGTGCGGTTTAGCCCTTGTACAAACCCCAACGGACAGACTTTCATATCTTCTCTGTTGATACCTTGCATATGTATTGTATGTATATAACCAAAAGAACTAATGAACAAAAATATAACAGCTATTGTAATTGGTGCGCTCTACTCGATACTAGTAAGTCTGCTGTCTATGGAATTGAATACTTGAAGGCGCCCGTATGACAAAAGCCCACAGCCTTCCCGTGTCTCACATATTTCCCAAGGAGAATCCTTCGCCTACCTATTTATAGCTATGCAAATCAGCCTCAAGGCTCAATTGTTTGCAGCTTGCGTAACTGCCCAGTTCACCGTATACTGCGCAAACACTTCTAGCACTCGCCGACTTTGCTATCCCCAGTTGCGCGGGCATCTCCCAGCAATCAATTCCACGTAGTTTTTCTAGCCCTCATCATCAGAAACATCATGCGTCTCATTGATACCAGCACGCTAGAGCTCATTTGGTTCCCTAAAGCTCCTCCTCCATATGCTATCCTCTCCCACACTTGGGGCCTCGATGAGGTGACGTTTGCAGATTTCACCAATGTGCCCAAGAGAGAGTCAAAAGCAGGCTTCAGTAAAATTAAACAGACCTGCAAACAAGCACTCAAGGACGGCCTCAGTTACGCGTGGGTAGATACATGCTGTATCAACAAGGAAAGCAGCTCCGAGCTGAGCGAGGCGATCAATTCCATGTTTAGATGGTATCGCGATGCGGCTATATGTTACGCATATCTTGAAGACGTCCCTGAGGAGACAAACTCATCGATAACAAACTCCTCGTTGATTAACCACTGCAGATGGTTCACTCGGGGCTGGACATTGCAGGAATTGCTTGCGCCCTGGGACATTGTGTTTTTCGCGGCCAACTGGGCCACGATCGGTAGAAAGACGGGGCTCGGTGCAACTATCGAACAAATAACTGGGATTCCTCGCGCAATTCTCACTGGAGACTCACGGTTAGACCAGGTTAGTGTTGCGAGCCGTATGAACTGGGCTGCAAAGAGACAGACGACCCGTGAAGAAGACATCGCATACTGTCTGATGGGAGTATTCGATGTCAATATGCCGATGATGTATGGGGAGGGAAAGAAGGCGTTTATTCGACTCCAGGAGGAAATTCTGAGGCAAACCGAGGACGATTCCTTGTTTGCCTGGCGAGCTAGTGAGGAGTCAGCATCCGAGGCGCCATATCGCGGCTTATTCGCTTCATCGCCAAAGGAATTTGAGAGCGATGTGACTACCACGCCTTTCTTTACTAGCAAAGCGAGCGCGTCAACGATACTCGGTAATGGGCGAATATCTCTTAGCTGCGCTCTATACCAGGACGGCTTCCTCGGCCTCAAATGTTTTCGGGGCACTGAAATCTCTTCCGTTGTGTGTATCAAAGTCATCAACGCAGGAAGCAACCACTTTTTACGATCTAACCCTTCAGAGCTGATTTTGAAACCCCACCAATATCCTGTTGCTTTTCAGACTGCGGTATTTGACAAGTTTATTGAGACGAGAAAACCGAGCTCACTTGATGATATCTATCAGCGCGATGGAGTTCATCTTGCCCAGCTGCCAGAAGAAGTAAGATTAGTGGCAGTTTATCCCCAGAGATACAAAGAATGCGAGAAAACAATGGAGCTACCGGTAGTGCACCTTATCGGAAACAAACTGGCCTTTCATTTAGCAATTGATAGGGAAGCATCCGGTGCCAACCTGTTTCAAGAATTTGGTTTAGCTGATGAACGTGTGACAAACAAGGATATGGACATCCTCCTTGTTCTTTGGGTTGAGCAAAAACCGGGCACAAGATCGTATACATATTACATCGATCTAACTACAACTAAGGCTGAGGATGCCGAATCAACGTTTATCGCTGCTGAAAAGCCTCCAAAGGCCATCAGCCGAAAAGAGATTGCCATCGGGTGGTCTACTCTTCGTGTTACAGGAGGTCGAACGACATCGGATGGGCATCAAATCTTCAGTCTTCAGTCAACTATCTCTATAAATGCAGATATTAAAAGCGAAGCAGAAGCTACCAAAGCGAAAAAGCAAATGGTAGCGAAATATTTCGCTGGAAGAGAATATGTTCGCCAGAGGGAGCAGCAACACCAGACGCTTATTTTGCTCAAGATATCTCTACTTGTGTGTATGGTTGGCTTGACTCTTACTGCTTTAGGGATTCAAGGATAAAGTCAAAGGTGCGAAAGGGGCTTAGACATTTAAAACAGAACAAGGTCAGTCCATTTCAGACAAGCTATAAGATGATATATATATACACGTGTTCTCTCAGAAACACTCATGCTCATAATCCAAATAATCCAACATCGACCGATTTTTCTCATACATGTCTCATTTTAACGTTATTTTCCACCCTTTAGCTGCTCTCAGCCTGCTTCAGGAGACCCTCAAGGTTGATGCTCTTGGGGCGCTCGATGGGGAGACCCAGGGCGCGGTCCCAGATGAGCTGAGCAAGAGGACCCAGACCACGCGAAACACCGAAGGTGGCGGTGTAGTACAGAGTCTCGTGGAAGCCGTAGTGGTGGAACAGGACGCCGGAGCTGCTGTCGACGTTGGGGTAGGGGTTCTTGGTCTTGCCGTGCTTCTTGAGGACCTCAGGAGCGATGCGGCTGTTCTTCTCAACCAGCTGGAAGACGGGGTCCTTGGCAATGGTGGGGCGGGAAGCAGCGTAGTCCATGAGAGCCTCGAATCGGGGGTCAGGCTTGCGCAGGACGGCGTGGCCGTAACCAGGCACGACACGGCCAGAGTTGAGGGTAGACCAGAGGTAGTCGTGGACATCCTGCTCAGTGTAGTTGGCGGGAATGGCCTCCTTCATCTGGAGGATCCAGCGAAGAACCTCCTGGGCGGCAAGACTAGAGCAAGCGGCGTTAGTGTAAATTCGAATGTATAAGAGGACCAACAGAACTTACCCGTGAAGAGGACCGGCCAGACCCTGGAGACCAGCGCTGTAAGAAAGGAAGGGGTCGCTGAGGGCACTGCCGACCAGGTGAGTGGCGTGGGCAGACACATTGCCACCCTCGTGGTCACCGTGGAGAGCAAGGTAGAGTCGGAGGAGATCCTGGAAGTCCTCGTTCTCCTTGCCACCCTTGCCGAGCATGGCAGCAAAGTTGTAAGACCAATCCTGCTCAAGGTCGACCTCGGCAGGGAGGGCACCGCCGCCCCTGTAGGCGTTCTGGTAGATCTTGGCGGCAATGGTGGGCAGCTTGGCGAGCAGAGAAATGCAGTCGTCAAAGGTAGGCTCCCAGTAGTCGGCCTTGTTGAGACCCTTCTCGTAGGCCTTGGCGAACTTGGACTCGTAGTTGAGAGCCGAGACGGCAATGGCAAACTGGGTCATGGGGTGCAGATCCTTGGGGAAATCGTCGAGCATCTTGTTGACGAAGGCGGGGATCTGGGCCTTGGAGGCGAGCTCACGGGAGAACTCGCGGACCTGGTTGACGGAGGGAACCTGGCCAGTCAGGAGCAGCCAGAACATAGACTCGGGGAGCATCTCAGTTCCGGTCTTGCCCTTGGGGAGCTCCTTTTGGCAGTCCTTGATGGTGCGGCCGTGGAAGCGGATGCCCTCGTTGGCGTCGAGGACGGAGCCCTCCCAGACCATGGCCTTGAGGCCACGCATGCCGCCGAGGGTGTTCTCGACCTTGACCTCGCCAATGACTTTGCTGCCATGGGCCTTGACCTTCTTGAGCAGCTCGCGCTTGGCGGGGATGACCTCCTTGAGGGTCGTCTTGAGATCGGGCTCAGCGGTAGAGTAGCATCGTGCGGCGTTGGCAAGGAGAGCAGCACGGGTGTAGGGCTGTGTGTATCAAAGTAAGTGTCAATTGAGCTGCAGAGAAGAGATTTACAGCAATCGACGACGAATTCACTGACCTTGAAGGAGCGCAGGGCTCGAGCCGACGTGGTGAGGTTGAGAGCCATGGTGATGATGACGAGCCGAGCTGCTGATGGCGGGGCAGAAAGCAGTTGGGTTAGCTACAGGTACATGTATGTAAGGTACCTCTATCTAGGTAGGTAGGTAGCATAGCACATGCTATCGCCGATTAGATAGAGAGGTAGATAGGTAGACTTACAGTGGACGATTGGTTTCCTTCCGTGCACGCAACGATGATAAGGGGAAGAGAAGAAGAAGAAGAAAAGGAGAGAGAAAAAAAGGAACAAAAGATATCTCGGGCCACAACAAAAGTCCTCAACATCTCATCCTCTGCAGCCGGCCAAAGGCACCAAACAGCAGCCAAGCCCGAGACAGTCCAGCACGGCAGCCCGCCTTCCGTCACCGCCCTCAAACAGCCGAAGAAAGCCGCCCGGTCGGTCCGTCGGTAGCCCCGCGCCGCGTGATTGGCCAATCTGTGTCAGCCGCGCCTGTATCGGCCCTCTTTTGGTTGAGCCGAGCATCAAGCTGCTTGGAAATGAGGAAAATGGATGCGGAAAAGATATCCAAAAGTAGCCACGGGCGAGTGGCTGGGGATATAAAGCACAAAATCGAACGATACAATACGACGCTTCCTTGCCTCGGTAAACTCGAGATACACACCAGAATCTCTCCGGTTTTGATAGTGATAGTGACAGCATCCACAAGATGATGCGAATAGCTTCACGAGCTCCCCAGCGGGCGTGCTCTCTGGCCTCTTCCACTGCGTCGGCCGCGCTTCGTCGATCCATCCCGCGCTCTGTTGCCATCCGCGCCATTGCAACAACCGCTCGCATGGCTGCTCCCGCTCAGTCCAGCGCGCATGTCGTGCCGGCTGACGCATACCAGCTGCTTCCCGAGTCGCAAAAGGCCGGCCAAGCTGAGGATGCCCTCTACGAGGCCCAGGTCAAGGAGATTGAGGAGTGGTGGGCATCGCCTCGCTATGCCGGCATTCGACGACCGTACAGCGCCGCAGATGTCGCATCCAAGCGCGGCAGCCAGTTCATCAAGTATCCCAGCTCAGTCATGGCCACCAAGCTGTTTAACCTGATCCGCGAGCGCGAAGCCAAGGGCGAACCTATTCACACAAGTAAGTCGGCTCTGGACTGATATGCGCCATCGTGATAGCAAAGACAAACCGCTAATATCTGGCTTCAACCAGTGGGCGCCATCGATCCCGTTCAAATGACCCAGCAAGCTCCCCACCAGGAAGTCCTCTACATCTCCGGCTGGGCATGCTCCTCCGTCCTGACGAGCACCAACGAAGTCTCTCCCGACTTTGGCGACTACCCCTACAACACCGTCCCCAACCAGGTCCAGCGCCTCGCCAAGGCCCAGTCCATGCACGACCGCAAGCAGTGGGACACCCGCCGCAAGATGACCGCCGAGGAGCGGGCCAAGACCCCTTATACCGACTACCTCCGCCCCATCATCGCCGACGGTGACACCGGCCACGGTGGTCTCTCTGCCGTGCTCAAGCTGGCCAAGCTGTTTGCCGAGAACGGCGCGGCTGCGGTGCACTTTGAGGACCAGCTTCACGGCGGCAAGAAGTGCGGCCACTTGGCAGGCAAGGTCCTGGTGCCCACAGGCGAACACATCAACCGTCTCAACGCCGCTCGATTCCAGTGGGACGTCATGGGCTCTGAGAACTTGGTCATTGCCCGTACCGACTCAGAGTCCGGTCGTCTCATCTCGTCCGCCATTGATGTCCGTGATCACGAGTTCATCCTCGGAATTGCTGACCCCGCCATCGAGCCCCTCGCCGAGACACTCCAGGCAATGGAGGCCAAGGGAGCTACGGGCGCTGAGATTGATGCCTTTGAGGCCAAGTGGGTGAAGAGCAGCAGGCTAGTAACTTTCGACGAGGCTGCTGTTGAGCACATGCAGAAGGAGGGCGTCGCCCAGGCCAAGATCGACGAGTATCTTTCTGCCACAGCCTCAGACCGCGACATGGGCATCTCTCGCCGCCGCGCCCTCGCCTCCCAGTACACCAAGACTCCCGTCTACTTCAACTGGGATGTCCCTCGCACTCGTGAAGGCTACTACCACTTCCGAGCCGGCATGGAGGCTGCCACCAAGCGTGCCCTGGAGTTTGCCCCCTACGCCGATCTCCTCTGGGTTGAGACTGGCGACCCCAACGTCGAAGTCGCCGCCAAGCTGGGCCGCACCGTGCGTGCCGCCAACCCCGGCAAGTCCCTCGTCTACAACCTGTCCCCCTCGTTCAACTGGATGGCCCACGGCTTCACCGACGAGAAGCTCAAGTCGTTTATCTGGGACATTGCCAAGGAGGGATTCACACTGCAGCTCATCTCGCTGGCCGGCCTCCACTCGACGGCCACCATCACCAACGAGCTGGCCAAGAAGTTCAAGACGGACGGCATGAAGGCGTACGTGGAGATTGTGCAGAGGCGAGAGAAGGAGCTGGGCTGCGATGTGTTGACGCACCAGAAGTGGAGCGGGGCGAGCTACATTGATGGCATCTTGGGTGCTATCCAGAGCGGCAGCTCCAGCAGCAAGAGCATGGGAGAGGGTAACACGGAGGGACAATTCGACTAAGGAAAACGGAATAAGGAAATAAAAATGGCAAAAAACTGGAATAAAACAAATGAAATGAAACAGCAGCGAATGCACATGTAGATATATGGGAGGCATTTGGACGGAGTTGGGTACATACAAAGTATTTTTCTTGTTATATATACACTTTAAAAACACATGCATCTGATTCAGCGTGGTGCTTGTCACAAAATTTCATCAATTGCTTTCTTTTAATCTTTTTTTTTTCCACTGGCTATTCTATTCATACAAATTCATCCATTACTCCAAGGAAGACTTCAGGGCGTTGTTGGTGGGTGCAGGCGCCGCAGGACCCTCAGGAGTGACATACGCCTTGGTCATACCACCGTCGACGACAAAGTCGCTGCCGTTGACAAAGCTGGCCTCGTCACTGGCCAAAAACACGACGGCGTGAGCCTGCTCCACGGCCTCACCGAAGCGACCTGTGGGGAAGTGCACCTCGCGGCGCTGGCGCTTGGCCTTGTCGTCGCCCAGCCAGTCCTGCAGCAGCGGGGTGTTGAGGGGTGCGGGACACAGGCTGTTGAAGCGGAAGCCCTCGCGGGCGTGGACCATGGCGAGCTCGCGGGTGAGTGCGAGAACGGCGCCCTTGGAGGCCGTGTAGGCCAGCTGGGGGGTGGCGGCGCCGACGAGGGCGACGACGGAGGCGGTGTTGATGATGGAGCCCTTTGTCTTCTTGTTGCGGCGCAGGGCCAGGACGGCGTGCTTGCAGCCGAACCAGACGCCCTTGACGTTGATGTTGTGGGTGAGGTCCCAGATGTCCTCGGGGGTGTTGATGGCGTCGTCATCGCGGGCGTGCATGATGCCGGCGTTGTTGAAGATGACGTCGAGGCCGCCCCAGGCGTCGAGGGACTCGACCATGGCCTGGACGTCAGCCTCCTTGGAGACGTCGCATTTCTGCAGAGTGAGATGAGCTTGCTGTGTTTTTCATCTTTCATCTTTGTAGAAGGTAGTGAATGAAGAATGAACATACCCGAGTCTCCAGACGAGAAGCAGCGGGGACGAGCTCCTTGACCTTGGCCACGGCCTTTTCCAGCGCGGGCTCGGAGATGTCGGCCAAAAGGACATTGGCACCCTCCTTGGCAAAGAGGATAGCCGTCTCAAGTCCAATGCCTCTGTTTTTTGGCAAATGATTGTTAGCAGATGTTGGGCTCACTGCGGTTGGTTTCATGGATAATGAGGGGGGGAAGAGTAGTAGGTAGGACAGGAGTGTGGATATATGTCTGTATAGATATTCAACTCACCCCGCGGCACCAGTGATGATGGCATTCTTGCCAGCTAGACGTCCGACCATGATGCTGATGATGATGATTGCGTATTTGGCAAGAGTTGAGTTGAATGAAAGAAGAGGCGGTGGTGAATGAGGTCGAGGTTGGGTTTTATGCTTGGGCAACAAGACTCAGACGCAAGGGAAGGAGATGGAGGGGCAGTTTGACGCATTCCGTAATCTGTACTCTGTACCCTGTACTCAGTACTCGGTACTCACTGGTACCTGAGCCGATTACCATGGCGGGGCAGCTCGTGATGAGCAGAGACTCCATCCAGCGGGTTGGTCTAGGCGTCAATCCCAGTTCCACCACAGGTACAAGTACTGGCCATCAGGAAGACGCCCTCTAATGGCACGGGGCCATTTGCCAGAAAATTACCTAAAACAAGAGATAGCTGGCGCTATCTGCCGTGCTAGAGGCTCCTTGGCTCCTAGTTCGTCCGCCGACTGGCCCATGTGAGAGGCACGAGACGGGCTGCTTAGTGGCTCAGCGTAGGAATTGACATGCGCGGATCCATCAGATTTGAGGGGGGGAGGACCCTAGATTTGGGGGGGTTGATGCTCCGACAGCGGTCAGTGGCCGAGGTACATGCAAGTACCATTTACTGGCAGCTGTGTGAGGCCGTGATAGAAATGTCACAGCAGTCTGTCTGTCAGTCGTACAGCGATGACATCAAACTTGCACCTCATGTTTCGTCCGCTGATCCACGTGTTTGTGATGCAGTACAGAGAGCACCTAGTCTAAATTCACATGGATGTCTCATATCTACATCTACTGTTAAACAATCCTTCCAATGCTAAACAACCTACTGATAGATAACATGAACCCAGCACATGTCCATCACATCCACCTCACCAAAAACCCCAACTGATAACGATAGCCGTCTGCCCCTCATTGGCTCCCCCCTGGTTAGTGGTCAGTGCATCAGCCCTGAGCCGCGGCCCCCGCAGCGTCAACATGCCATCCATCCATATTCTATGAAGCAATTGATTCCACTGGCATCCCCTCCATCTCCAGGCCATGCATCGCCAATCTCCAACTCGGCCTCTGTCCTACGTAATCTGCTCGTGACGTGCGTCTTCTAGAACAAGCGCCGGTTGCTTTTGGTTTAGATTGCCATTTCAGATTATTCCTTTCTAGGTATTTAATCTGCGGGGTGCCTCGTCCTCACTCGCTTCGGTCGTCTTCAGCTTCTCATGATAACGGCGCGGCCATGACTCGCTGAGCTGCTTGCACTTGCACTTGAACTTGCGCTTCTCACCTATATCGGCCCCTCCAGCCTATCTCGACGAACAGCTACACTCTTACAACAACAACCACCTCAACAACATTCGTTACCTCAAGATACCCTTCTATACCTACATAGCTGCCTGCCTACTTATCAACACCAAAAGACTCCTCCCACCATGGCTACCAAACCCATCACCGCCGCCTCCCTCGAGGCCCTGCTCGAGCACGACACAAAGGTCAAGCTCGCCGGCCTCGACGTCGACGGAATCCTCCGCGGCAAGCTCGTTTCCAAGAAAAAGTTCCTCTCCATTGCCACTGCTGGCTTCGGCTTCTGCTCCGTCATCTTCGGCTGGGACATGCATGACCAGACCTACTTGCGCGAGCTCAAAATATCAAACGCCCAGAACGGATACCGCGATCTGCTCGCCATCCCCGATCTCAACAGCTTCCGCAGGATACCCTGGGAGAACAACATCCCCTTCTTCCTCATTACTTTCCACGACCCGGACACAAAGCTGCCCATTTGCGCATGTCCGCGTGGGCTATTAAAGACACAGCTGGACCGCTTGCGCAGCAAAGGCTATGGCGCCATGGCTGGTGGTGAGTTTGGTTCCTTTCACTCTCTCCATAATAGAAGAGAAATCCAATGCTGACAACCTTTTTTGTTTCCTCTAGCTGAATACGAATTCTACACTTTCCAGACCCCCGACGACTCTTCATCTCCCGCCAGCTTCCTGCAGAACAACCCACCACACCAGCTCCCGTCGCTTACCGAGGGCATGTTTGGATACTCCCTCACAAGGCCCGTCCACAACAAGGAGTACTACTACGAGATTTTCGATACCTGCACCGCGTTTTCCTGCGATGTCGAGGGTTGGCACACCGAGTCCGGCCCAGGAGTGTTTGAGGCCGCCCTTGAGTTTGGCGAAGTGGCCGAGATGGCTGATCGCGCCAGCTTGTTCAAGTATGTCGTCAAGAGCGTTGGCGCCAAGCATCGAATTACTCCATGCTTCATGGCCAAGCCGAAACAGGGGCTTCCTGGAAACAGTGGCCACATGCACGTATCCATCGTCGATGCGAACGGCAAAAACCTGCTGGCAAGAGAGGCAGTGGACGAAAATGCGCCGTGGAAGGATATCGCAGGACTCTCAGACCTAGGACGTCATTTCCTGGCCGGTGTCTTGGAGGGTCTGCCTGACATCATGCCTCTGCTTGCGCCCACCATCAACTCGTATAAGCGTCTAGTCGAGAACTTTTGGGCTCCAGTGACCGTCTCGTGGGGACTCGAGCACCGTGCCGCTTCTATCCGCCTCATTGCGCCGCCCACTTCCAAGGCTTCGGCCACACGGTTCGAGATCCGCGTGCCCGGCGCCGATTCCAATCCCCACTTTGTCCTCGCCGCCGTCCTGGGCTGCGGCTGGCGCGGAGTCGAGAAGAAGCTCGAGATTCCGTGTCCACCACTGGCCATGGGCGAGAACGTCGGCGGTGCTTCTGACAAGGGGGCGCGGCTGGCCAAGAGCCTGCGGGAGGCTACAGAGAGATTCATGGCCAAGGACAGCATCGCGAGAGAGGTGCTTGGTGATGATTTTGTGGACCACTTTGGTGGCACCCGAGAGAATGAGATTAGACTGTTTGACGAAGCCGTAACAGACTGGTAAGGCTCAAGCACTCCAGAACGAGATATCGCACCTCTTTACTAACTAATCGGGTCTAGGGAGATGAAGCGGTATATCGAGGCAGTGTAAGACGCAGACGGAAAGGCGCAAGAGGCGGTTTGGATCTGAATCGTTGCGTAAATGCTTATGCTTATGATTATGAACATTGTAAGAGCCGTAGAATACCAGCGACAAAGACTGTTTTGGCTAGACTTTTTTTTCTTTTCTTGGGTATCGGTAGTTGAATAGCAGTGTGGCGGCGTGTCATTTCTGCGTTCTTTGTCGTCGTCGTCTTCTCTTTTTCTTCTTTTCTGCTTTCTTCTTCTTCTTGTTGTTGGTGATCGCTGGAGAAAGGAAAGGGGGGGTATATCGTCAAAGGTGCTTGTTTATTTGCAGGGGCCGTTTATTGTGTCTTTTCCGCACTCTTCGCTTTGGTGCCTTTGCCGTCGGGTTTTCTGCCCGATATAAATTGTCTGTCATGAAATGTCAGCATAGGTACATACATACATACAGGAAGACGGCTGCACGACACATACAATTTGATGCAAGTCTTGAGGAGAGGGTCTTTGTACTCAGCCAAGACCCTGCCCAGCAACTCGCGCGTCCTTTCTTCCTCCCAACCAGCGAGCCCAAACATTCTCAGCGTCCAATGATTACAGCCTAAGAAATGGGAAACATGGGTCAGCATTAAAGACTCATTACCCCGGAAACCAACAAACAGAATCCCAAAAAACTCACCCGTCTCGAGTATCTTGTGCACAAGCTCGCCCTTCTTCTTCACCACGGGATCTCGCGCCCAGTTTCGCACAGGCAACCAGTCGGACCGCTCACGCACGACCTCGGCGCCCAGATCGCGCAGCCAGGGCCTTATCTTTGGCGTGGGATCAAAGTCGAGGCCCTGGGCGGCCGCAATCTCGGCGAAAATGGCGGCGTACTCGAGCGTCACCGCGCCAACCGCCGCCCGCGGCCGCTGCTGTTGGTCCGTCCCGGCGTCGGTGTCGTCCGGCGAATCGGCCATCGGGTCCGGGTCGAAGCCGAAAACGTGCGGCGTGATCTCTGCAAACTCGAGCTGCCCGCCGGGCTTGAGGTGGTCAAACGCCTGGACGATGAGGCGGCGCCAGTCGCGGATGCCGCCGCCCACCAGGTTGCGCAGGTGGATGAAGTCGTAGAGGCGCGGCGGCCAGTCCTCGGCGGCGTCGGCAATCTCAAACGTCAGGTTGGGCGGCACCTCCTTGGGCAGATTGGCGCTGCTCAGCTCGATGCCCAGCACGTCGACCAGCGGGTTGTTCTGCGCCATCTCCATGGCCCAGTGGCCGCCGCCGCAGCCGACGTCGAGGATGTGGAAGCGCGGGCTGTCTGGCGACAAGTGCTCCAGCGGCAGCTTGGTGAAGGTCAGGGCGCCGCCGAGGCACAGCGTGAGGAGCTCATGCTGGTAGGCCTGGCGCTGGTTTTCGCAGCTGTCGTTGGGCGTTACCATGCGGCCCGACCCGTGGTAGACGTGGCCGAACTGGTGGATTGGCGGCAGGGCGTCTTCCGAGGCCGATGAGTAGTTGGAGTTGGAGTCGCTGGCCGTTGCGTCGTCTTCGTCGTCGTCTTCAGCTGCTTCTCCGTCTCCGTCTTCGGCTTCCTCGTCTTCGTCTTCGTCACGTTCGTGCTCTTCTATTTCTTCTTCCTCTTCTTCTTCCCCTGTCTCTCCATTGTCGACAGCGGCATCATGGCCATTATGTCTTTCGTCTTTTTCATGGTCGCCGTCTTGAATAAAGGATTCGCCAGCAGGCGGCATGCTTTCCACCGCCATTATCAACTAGTCGCTGAACTGATATCGCCAATTTACAGGTGCTCTCGGCAGGACTCGAAGTTCAATTGCTTCCCTTACACGGTGTTTCCAGTCCTTTTCCAGAGACTTAACCCCTGGCCACTGTCCCTAATGGGTTTTGCCCTGCCGTGCTTTGTTCCCCTTTGGTTGTTAATGCCTTCCTCAATGCAGAATACACTGAGCGCTGTGCTGCAATTAGAGTCGTATTGATGTGGACCGCTGCGGCGTCGCTTCCACCCACCCTAATTTAGACAGAACCTGGAGCCGCAACCAGTCTATTATTTGTCATTTGTTCTTTTATCCTTCTCTCGGGGGTTTTATTTTCCCCTTCTTTCGTTCCTGCAGATCGATTTTCTGTGACTGCTAGATGCCAGAAAGCGCAGCTCGTCTTCCGCCTTCTGAGGGAAATGAAGAGAGAAAAAGGCCCCCACGTGGCAACAGCTAACTCTGAACTGAAGAATCCGTCAGGTGATGTGATTTGATGTGAAGCGAGTTGGAGAAGAGCCAAGGCAATCCCTGTATTCTGAACTTGTACAACCTGGGCTGCTGGAGGCGAGCCAATCCGGAACTCCCGACGAGATGAAGTCAGGCGGCACTCTCTTCTTGTTGGTTCTCTTTTCTTTTTTTTCAATGCATTGATTGAGGTTATTAAACGAAATGCCAGCCACTAATTTCCAATAGGTGCTGCGTGACGGCAGGCGGGCTAAGAATAGAAGCGAGGTTTGATTAGCAAGCTGAGGAAATGGCAGAGAAGAGCGTAGGATTGGTCTCGAAGGTTAAATAGAAGGAACTCGACGTGGCCAATCGCTGTCGATGCCAAGAGGGGGGGTAGACGGCTATCGTTGTGCTAAATGTGATGAACCGATACATACGAACCGGGGAAGCGGGAACAAGAGATGATGGAGGAAGAGGGAGAAGACGGGCTGGGCTGATAAAGTACGAGTGAAATGCCAATGAAGCCGTATCAGCCAATGGCGTCCGAGGACAATAGGAGAGGGGGGGAATCACCGTTGGAAAGAAAGAAGAGAGAGGAAAAAGTAAGACGTTGGAATAAAACCAAATCCTCCAATCAATAAAACACCCAATACAAGCAAGGCCCAATCCCAACTCCCCAATCCCAACTCCCCAATTCCGAGCTCATAATCCAGCCGACAGGGGGGGAGAAAAAAAAGGCCCGTCACAGGTCACCTATCAGCATCAGGATGATAAGATGCAATGCAGGCAAAACTGGCCAACTAATACTGTATAAGTAGTGTAGCAGCCCAACAGTCCAGAAGACGGGCCGCGCATGCAGATTGACAGTTCTGTCTCTTTTACTAGATACTTTTGTCAAGATGACAAATTATACGCTGGCATTGTTAATACTCGTATAAGCGCCAACTTCTCACAACGAGATGATCAACCAACTCAATTCACACACAACAGGCGAGTCAATGTTCCTCCTCCTCTCATCATCATCATCATCATCATCATCATCATCATCATCATCATCATCATCATCATCATCATCATCATCATCATCATCATCATCATCATCATCATCATCCCAAACGATATCCGACAAGATTCGCCGCATCTTACCCAAAATCGCCTCCCCCCGATGGCCCAGCAGATCCCCCCTGTCTCTGCCACATGTCTGGCCACGACTCCATCGCGCTGCATCGCCCGTCACATTTGATTTGATCCATCTGAATCCTTCCCGCGCCCCGGTCACGAATCTGTCACGACACCTGTCGCATCGCATGGGCGGGCATGGATGGCTAGTGAGTGGATCTACCATATTATATGCCGACAAAAAAAAAAAAGACGGAGTTGAGGATTGAAAACAAAAAGACATTGGAATAGAAAATGAAACTGAAATTCATCCCTCGTCCCACAGCCCAAAAGGCCAAGCGCCCTGCTAATGCATTCAAATATCGGATATATCAAATCAAACACGGCTCTCGTCTATACCAAACTTTTGCCCGTGCCTTCAGCCAATGTCAACGCGGCCCGACATGCAGCTAAGCTAATAGCTGTTCGTATCAATGAAGAAACACACGCAGCCTGGGCGCCAAACCAACCAACCAAGCCAACCAACCAACCTCGCATCTACTCCTACTGGCTACTCCTCGTGCTTTTCTTCTTACATCCAAAACATGCATGGACGCACATGTGATATGCCCGCAGTAGTTAGTCAGGGGCCCTGCATCTCGGCCTACCACTCTGCTTCCATTCCGCTCCTCACTAACACCATCAGTCGTCTGAGCCGCTGCATATTATCCAGCCAAGCCGAAAGAAGCACCTCGTCAAAACACGGTGTTGGTAGATCCGGTTATAGACCTGAGACGATGTGACATTGGAGTCGTACAAGGCAGCGGTCCTTTTTCTGGTTTGAAAAAAAAAAAAGAGAGGGAAAAAAAATCTCCGTTGGGCTCCATCCTTGAAAATCCTCCAGACTCTCTGATTTGACGTCGTCGTCACGATATTCCTTCCGCACTCCACATGGCACACAAAAAGACGGCAAACCCACACACTCAATTAAGAAGCTCGCAAGAAAAAAGAAGAAGAAGAAAATCCAGCAGCAAAGTCAATATGCACATAAGACGACAGGTGCAGATCACGGGCAAACAAAAGGGCGAAAGGAAGGCAAGAATGCTACCATGCAGTGCTTCCATGCATTGCAATGTCCATCAGGCACGCCCACATCACACCCATCCATTCCCACGCGACCCAGCCAGAAATCCCCAAGGAGAATCAAAAAGAAATCCAGGGAAACATCATTGCCAATGTCAATGATCCATTCTTCCTGGATCTGACAAAGATGACATATCCAATAAGCCATGCCCAAATCTTGCCGGCTCTGTCTCCATGCAACAATGACAAAATCCCCCCCAAGATGGCCCTCCTCCCCCTTCGAATAAGCAACAGAATGCAATGCCACATCACGGATTCACTCCTCCATCCATGTCGACGCAAGTCCGGATACGCCGCCTTGGCATCAAGCCTCACGAATGACACCTTCTAGTGGCATACGGAGGCTGCATGTGCGTACGGCGTCTGGACACGGTCAGACTCGACCTCGAAACGCTTGCTAAAGTCAGTCAAATGGTGGATTGTTACATCCAAGTTGATTCCCTGTCAGTGCTCAGCTCAACACGAAACAATCCGAGTCTGATACCATGCAACCTACCGCTGAGTGCTCGACGTCTTGTCGCCCTCCTTGCGTCCACATCATCACTCATACGTTGCAACGCGAGCAACCCATCATCACACACACAGAGAGAGAGAGAGGCACACGCGCAAATCGCCAATCAGAAACAACAATTGTTGCAGTATTAGTTTTCCCCCTGCATTGCCCCCAAGAACGCCGATGCTATGACGTATCATAATAACAAAGAATCTTAAGCCTCCGCCAAGTCACCCACCGCAGTTTACACCACCCAAGACTCCACCAGACCAGGAAAGAAGAAAGGAACAAGAAAAGAAGAAAAAGAAGAAAAAGAGACAAATGAAAAAAACGCTGGTACAAAAAAGGGACCCTGGCGACTCATAAACCCCTCCTCTGGCCGGGTAAAATGCCCACCAAACTGCAGCCTCTGTCTCTCACTGCCCTCTTCTGTCTCCAAACTTGAGTGTTAATCTCGTCGAATCACTCATTATGAAATGCGATTAGCAGATAAAGCTGAACCCAATGGGTAAAGGGGGAAAGAGCCCATGCCGGCCAAATAATGCAAAGAAGCGCACCAATCCTCGCAATAAAAAACGCACATCTTCCGCCCATGTAGATGAAGGGGGTTAGAAACATGCCGTCAACCGCCCAAAGTTCCTTCGGTATATCAATCTCTCTTTCCTTCTCTCCTCGGCTCAATCTGCTAGACACGTTGCGAGTGGTTGTACTAGCAAGGGCAGTCTAGGTCAATGAACAAGTATGGTTGAATTGATCGCCTCATCATCGATGGGCGTCGACACCCGGTGAATTTGTTGGGTAATCATGGCCCGTCTCACGAGCTGCTCTTCGTCTTCGCACGACCATGACGCCTTTCCCAATGGTCTTCATCTGGAACGTACTCTTCGGGGTGAAAATCAGGATTACCATAGTGTGCTCTGTTCCATACACTATTCTTAAACGTGGTGCTCTGTGTCGTTTGAAATGCAGGCTCCCGGATACCACTGCGATTACTCTCTTCATACTCCAGCTGGACGGGGCTAAACCGTATGTGATATCCCGACGGAGAAGCCACCGGCGGTACCGGAGGATTATTCGCGGGGACAAGGCTGCTGATACTGCTACTCCTCGTCGTTGGGCTGGGCGTCATTGAGGCGGTCGGAGTCAGGGGGCTAACCGACACAGCAGAAGTGGGAGGGAGAGTTGATGGTGGTGGAGGTGGTGGAGGTGGTGGAGGTGGTGGCTGCTGCTGTGGCACCTCAGAAAACTGCGACATCCAGGGACTGGACTGCTGCGACGATACAAAAGGGTCACCAACAGGGCTGGCCGCTGACGGCGGTGACGTCAAAGGAGACAGGCCACTCAGCTCACCCAGTTCACCCACACCCAGTCCGCCCAACGAGTTCATACTGAAGCCCGGCAACATGGCAAGGACGTTCATGCTACCCGTTCCGAATCCTGTTGGGTTGCCGCCGTGGTTGATGTTGATGCTGTTGGTGAAGTTGGACACCCGGTTGATTTGCAAATCGACAGAGCCAGAGGGTGCAGGAACGGAAACAGGTATGACCGGCGGAGCTGGAGCCTGGATAGGCGGTGCTCGATACAGAATGTCGTAGTGGTCGGGGCGGTAAAGCAAATATATCGTGGGCCCGAGACTGGTCGTGTCCTGCTGGTTGGCCTCTTCGGGGAATCGATAGCGGTTAACCTGGCTCCCCGGGCTGCGGTCGAGGTATGCGATTTCAAGGACGAAGTCGATTGGCTTGAGCAGCAGATTGGCCAGGCCAATGATGCCAAGGTGCTCGATCTCGCGGTTGACAATGTCGATGGCTTGCGAGCAGTAGTTTGCAATGCCACCGAAATCAGCAGCAAAGTCGTCGTAGATGGCTGCATTCGCCTTGAGGGAGGTGGCCGAGAGTATACGGAAGTAGTAGATGATGTTGGCCTCGATGGTGCTGTCGTTGAAGCGTTGGAGCAGGATGACTCGAGCCAGGCCGGGGTTTGCTATGTTGGCGGCAATATCCCGCAGTAGGTTGTGTGCCTCTTCGGCAAAGTCTTCGTGATATTCGTAGCGACCGATGTTGGAGATCATATGGCCGAGGCTCATGAGACGAGCCACCTCACCCTCGATCTGGGCTTGGTCTCCGAGGTCGATGAGCTTTTCGTAGTAGGCAAAGGCAATTGCTGCAAACAAACAATAGCCCGTCGTTAGCTTTGCACATGCCATGGATCATGAGAAGCAAACTTACCGCGCCATCCGCAATTTCCATCGCCCTTGATCTGGCGGTAGTGAGAGTATGTCTGAGGTAGAGCCTGCGGCGGGGGGAGAAGCTGGTCAGCATCGACGTCCATGATTCCTCTTCCATTTTATCTCTTTTTTTTTTTTCTTCTCTTATTCCATGTCATGTTTTCCTTGGCCCAATTCCATTCACCACGTATATGTATTCTATCGGAGGAAGGGAGGGACGAACAATAGTCTTCTCGACATAAACAGGGTCGGCCTTTGCGTATTCCTGGGTGATGGCATCGCTCGGGGTCTTTTCGCCGACAAAGGGTCCCTGTTGACGACATCGAAGCGTTAGCAAGCCAAGTCCATTGCGCCCTTTTGTCTAGAGAAGCGAGGAGAAAGGGGCGGGAGAAGAGAGAAGCGCCCGCCGTTGCGCGGCGAGACAAGAGCAAACCCCGTTGGGATTGGGGAAGCTCTGGCCATGATCTTGTGCCAGGCCAGCAGAAAACGCACCTCGAGTCCCGGCTGGAATCGCTCAGCGGCCGCCTGTTGCGCGGCCATGTCGTGCAGTCCCGGTTCCTGCTCCTCCATCTTGATGATTGGGCTGCCGGTTCGATTGAGTCGCCGCCGCTGGGGCTGATGCAAAGCCGAGTGCGGAGACGGGGAGCTGTACGGATAGAGAGCGCCGCAAGATGCTGGCCCGAGAGCACTTCCAGGGCCAGCTCCGGCTCCAGCTACAGCTCCAGCTCCAGCTCCAGCTCCTCCAGCTCCTGCTGCTCCTCCTGCTGCTCCTGCTGCTGTTCCTGCTCCGCCCGTGGGGAACAAGAAGTCGAGGCTGTGGGCGGCGCCTAAGCCATACGGATAGGAAGCAAAGGACGAGGCGGAGTACGAGTAGGGCGTGGGTTGAGGCTGAAACATTGCCTCCGGAATGGGCAAGTTGTGTGAAAAAGAATGGGGAGAGAGATGGTCAATGGCGAGACGTGGAGGTGCCAGTTGCGAGCTGCCCAGTTGCGGTTGCGGCGCTCACAGCGGGTTAGCGACAGCTACAGCGCTCGGTAGACACCTGTTAGTGGGTGGCAGGCGCCTGGAATTGGGAACGCAGAGCGCAAAGAGAGGGCCGAGGGAGACAACGAGAGAGAACCAAAGAAAAAGATTCCAGGTCGGAAGCAAAAAAGCGTCCCGGCTGCACCAAGCTAATATTCTTTTTTTTTTTCCTTTTCTCTCTCTCTCTTGTTTCTTTTCCCTCTTCTCTCTTTTATTATTAGTGTTTTTTTATTCCTAGTTAGCGGCGGTAGCAGCGGTTAGAAGGCGGGACGTGGTGATGAATGCAGCGACACTTGGTCAAGTGCAAGCCAGAGCAAGGGGACCAGTGCATGTACATGTATGCGGGCACCTGGTCGAGCGGGCGTCTATGTACCGGTACCTGAGCTCAGGTGCTCCAAAGCGCGGTACCTGTGCGGTGCGCTGGCGGAGGTGGGCCGCCAGTTGAAGCGCTGTTTTGGGGCCCTGCTAGCGCTCTGGCGCGCTGCTTCTGGGGCTCTCCGGGGGCGGGTTCAGCAGTCCAGGCCGGCAGATTAGCGAGAGCTTCGGCTGTGCCGTTGCAGGGACTCGAGTCTGGTCGAGGCTTGATGTATTGATTAGGTAGGTTGTAAACGAGAGCAATGGCGAGGAGGCGAGCCAACGAGCCAACGAACGGACGACGGAAAAACGAGGGGTGCTGGTTATGTATGTAGACGAGAGAAAAGCCAAGTGGGAGACGAACAAAGAGACAGGAGAGAGAGACAAAGGTAAAAGGCTGGGGACCCCAGAAGATGCGGAGTCGAGGGAAGAAAAGAAAAGAGACTCGAGGCACAACGACAAAGTGAGGCTCAAGGAGGAGCGGGGAAAGCCTCGGTTCTATTTAACCAAAAGCAGGCGGCTCAATGTTCCGTCTGCTGCCTTGTACATGTATTTTTCTGTTCTGTCAGGGTGTTTTAATATCGAGCCTCTCTGCTTCTTGCAAGTGGCTGCCTGCAATTGAGTCTCAATCAAGAAGAAGGCGTGCCAACAAATATGTCAAAAGGAGCGGTGTTTCGTTCGTGAGGGTGCTGTGGACTGGACTGGGCTGGACTGGGATGGACTGGGGATGTTCAAGTCGGGCCACCGACCAACTTGTCTTGTCCCGTTTCGGGAGCGAGCCTTGCTCTTTCTTGTCAAGATCAACTGGATTGATTGTTTTTAGACGTGCTTAGGCATCCGTGAGCGTGAGCTAGGGAGTGACGGCGGGAAAGAAGAGGGAAAAGAAATCATCACAGCGACTCCCGGCTTATAAGTACATCTTGTACCAGACGGGTTGCGACGTGGAAGCGTGTCCACCCCCTGGCATTGAAAGCTGAGAGCACGACGATCGCACAGCTGGCGACAACCCCCGGGAGCGTGAAACGGGAGCTGGGCTTGCGGGCTGAGAAGATGGAGGCGAGCTTTACAACAGAGGTACATGTGTATGCGCCCTCCTCACAGAGCCGTTGTGTGTCCCATGTATGTCCCATGTATTACAGTACAGGTACAGTCGGCGTTGGAGCAAAAGAGGACATGGGCGAGAGGCTGTTGGAGACCGGGCAAATACAGGTACAAGGCAAGCAGGGTTCGGCATGACCAAGGGCATGATTTAAACAACTCAAAGCGATGTGATGGGGGTCAAGTCTAGGACTGGACCTTGTATGCGTGTGTGTGAGTGTGTGTGTGTGCGAGCGAGTGATTCCCCCAAGTACATGATACAGCACTGTACTCGTCCAAGTCCTGGGACCCAGATTAAAAAAAAAAAAAAAGGGCAACATGCCCATGTACGAGTATCATGTATGTACGGCCCGGGTGCCCTATGGAACGGGGCCCAGGTGATAGTATTCATTTGCAAAACACAGGCACAGTGGTGGACAGAGACGCGGCCCAGGCTTATTGGTGCGCGTCAGGGCTGCAGGAACAGACAGTCGAGCGGGAGCATCACTAGCAGTCTCGACTCCCGAGATATCACCACAGAGCAAAAGAGACTTTCTTGGCCTTCCCGGGCTGAGAGGGCGATCTGGTCCCGGAGTGGACAAGGTGAAGAGGCGCCAGGGACCCATGCCCGTGGGTGCCAAAAGGACGGTGAGAAAAGGGCATGGCGTTGACGGAGAATCAGTTGAGCGCGGACCGAGGGCTCCAGCAAATCAAGGTAGTATGATTTGAATCTAGGGGCGAGGGCCAGGAAGAGTCCAGGCAAAACTCGCGGGTAAGCTAGTCGTGATGCGTGCTAGCAGCCCGAAGCTACGATAGTCTTTGGGGGGGAGTATCCCGGCATGTTGGAATGTACTCGTAGTATGCGCTGGAGGGAAGATCCTGGGAACCAGCCGTGTGGTGGCTGGATGGAGGTACTGTACCTGTCCCTTGCAAAAGCCCAGCCTGCTTCCGTTTGCTACTGTACATACATGGTCGTCATGCATACATATGTACCCAGGTAGGTGCCTATACCAATACGAGTACATGTACAGGATAGGTATGCAAGATGTTCAGGATGTATGAGAGTAGGAAGCACCATATCATTGAAAGAGGGGGAGTATAGGTTTGTAGTCTAGCATGTAGATTCGAGCGCGGTTGAATTACTACATATAGTAATATACCTGTATCGTATCGTACCCTGGCCAGCAAACAAATGAAAGGTTGTAGACAGCATGAAGGAAAGAAGGAAAGAAGGAAAGAAACATGACCCAGCAGTGGGACTCGGTGATCCGCTCGGGTTCAACTCCGTGATGCCGCTGCAGGCATGTGCATGTCTTGGCTGGACTGTCCAGGTTGTAAATATGTATACGAGTAGAGTAGTAGCAGACAAAGATCGAGGAAGTGGGCGTCTGGCCGGTGTCTCGTGTGTGACGAGGCTTTGCGACAAACCAACATATGTACATGTACTTGTACCCTGGTCCAGCAGGAGACTCTTTTGTACTTTTATTTTTATTCTTATTTTTTCTTTACAAGGAAGCATGGTCTGCCTGTTAGGTACTCGTGCTCTATGGGTGTGGATGTAAACATGAATTTATCTGTGCCTGCTGGAGGGCAAGTTGAGATGGACCACCATTGACGAATTGACGAGGTACAAGGACAAGTACGTCGGATAGGAGGCCACAGGGCTGGGGAAGGGTACAGCTCATGTACCTGGCAATGGCACCATGTGCCTAGCTAATTAGCTAATCCATGTGTGCCAGGCAGGTACACCGTAGTACTCGTCTGCTGCTTGCCCGGGTACAACCCAACTACAAGGACTCCATACTCGTACATGCCCCGTACAGGTACATGTACGAGCAGGTAGACATGATTCACTCAAGGGCAAAGAGGAGAGGAGGGGAAGAGCGGCAAGACGCAGACGCCGTCACAAGCACGGACAGATGCATGATGCCGTCTCTGTTTGCCCTATTCCAGAGTTGAGCCGTCCGTTTCTGTTTCTTGCTGAGACAGAGGTGAGGCAATGCCGCTGCTTCTTGTTCTTGATTCCGTCCTTGTACCGCCATGTACCGTCACATCGACACGATACTGTACATGTACTAGATGACGGCGCACTGCACGAGCAAGGAACAAGCTTTGAGTGCCTGGTGAGCTGGCAGTTTCAAGTACTGTACAGTTGTTCAATTGGTACCCAAGGACAGTAAGCAACGCAAGGAGAAAGAAGAAGAATAGGTGCACAATAAAGAAAGGAAGCGAAGCACACACCGTGTACAGTAGGCTTACTTTAAATCAGGCACGAGTGAGCATGCATCTCGTCGATGTGTTCCTCCGTCTTGATGTACCTGTACGGACAATCATTACCCGTATTTACCCCAGGGCTGTTGAGTTTTGGGGGCCGTTTAGTCGCCGACAACTCACACAAAAAAAAATCAATTAATAAATAAATAAATGGAAATGGAAAAATCGCTGGCTCCATCGTTCTTCGGGACCACTTGCGGCAATGCCGGTCACGACCAGGATCAATGTGCAGACTGCCTGTCCTCCCTACAACCTGGGACGGGGACTATTGTTCTGCTACCAGGTACATGTCACCACAGAGCGATGTGGTTGGCCATGAACCAATGCTCGGTACTTGGTTACTATCCAGGCATAGTGAAGAATAGGGTACCTAGTAATAGGGCGTGGTAGAGGACAGACTCAAGTCGGTAGGTAACTAACAGGTAGGGGGAACTAATAGGTAGGGGTACGGAAGAGTCCTGGGTGCGAATGACATGCGCGTCTGGTCTGGTAGGCCCGAGACGAGACAAGACGCATCGGAAAGGTGGGCGTAACCGGGAAAAGAGGGCGGCGGGTTGAAGCTTGAATGTGACGGATGCTCATGTT